TTTATATAAGATAATTAAGTAAAAAAACTACTAGTAGCTTAATTATATTATAATAGTACACCTTTAGAATTTATAGGGATTATACCCTTTTATACTAATTATAAATTTATATTAAAAGTATTTAAACTACTATAAGATAAACTTAATTTTAAAAAAGCCTAACTTATAGTAAAAATAATAATTAATTTATATTAAGAAATATATAAATAACTTAAACTTATTTAAAATAAAATAAAAAAATATATAAACTAAAATAAAATTATAAGACTAATTCTTTAAAAAGGAGATATAGTTTATATACTATAATACTTATAAGGCTATAAATTACTAAATATTAAAATAAATAAGCTAAGTAATAAACTTAATATTAAAAAAATAAGACCTTATAAGATTCTTAAATAAATTAAAAAAATAAACTATAAGTTAGTTTTATTAAATATAATAAAACTTTAAATTCTAGTATTTTATATATTATAACTTAAAAAAGTATAAGTTAATAAAAATACTAAAAGACTTATTTTAAATAAAATTATTATTAAAAATTAAAAAAAGGAATATAAAATTAAAAATATACTTATTATATACTAGAACTTTAATATAAATAATATTAAGTATTTTATTAAATAAATAAGATACTTTAACCTAAAAAACTTATAGGAACTAGTAAAATACTTTAACTTTTAAAAGCTAATAAAAAAGTTTTTTTATTTTATAGGATTAATAAACTAAAATTAAATAATATAGTATTTTAATTAATCTTATTAATACTATTATTAAGCTATATATTAGCTATAACCCTTAACTTAACACACTTAATATTATTTAATTTATTAAGTAATTAAGCACTCTTATAAAATATTTATTTACCTTATATATTTATTTACTAATACTATTTATAAAAATATAATAATTATATAAAACTTTTATTTATTAACTAAGATAATAATATTAATTATTATTAAAACTTTATTAGCTTTTATTATTACTAAAGTAATTTTTACTTAGCTTAATACTCTTTAATATTTAACCTCTTTTTCTTAAATACTAAATATTAAGCTAAGAAAAGTTAAAAAAATTCACTTATTTTAAAACTATAAACTTACTAGCTGCTAAAGAAATACTATTTTTATTATATATTTAACTTTTATAAGTATACTTTAAATACTTTTAATACCTTAGCGCTATTTTATATAATAAACTATAAGTATTATAAAAAAAATAAGATATAATAAGAAGACTAATAGTATTAATTACTACTATAGCTACCTTATAATAGTTAATTAAACTTTTCTAAACTATAGGATAATATTTTAAAATACTATAAGGTATTATAATAAGAAGAAAAGAAGTTACTTATTATATTAAAAAAAAAGAACTATAAACCTTATATACTATTATAACCTTAAGGATAAGACTAATAAAAAAGGGGTATTATATTATAAATTAATTATATAAGAATTCTTTTAGTATATACCTTTAATAATATACTAAAAGGCTATAACTAATTAGGGTATAAAACTCCCTTTTTTAATAGGATATATATTTACTTATAAGATAAGAATATAACTCTAGGAGTATATTCTTATTAGGTACTATAAGACTTATATTAGTAATAACTATAGAATAACTTATTATATGAGAACTATTTATTATGCTTATTAGATAAAACTTAAATAGTTAGTTATTAATATAGCACTTTTAGATAATAATTAGATTAGTTATTTATAACCTTATTAGCTATATAATTATATTGCTTATTAGATCTCTTATATCTCTCTACTAATATAAACTAATGCCTTAGCTTATAGATTAGGAACCTACCCTATACCTAAGCATAATAGTATAGGTTAGGATGTTACAGCAAGGAAGGCAAAAAGGGCAAAGATAGAACTTGGATATTGCATAGTGAAAAGGTAGACTTTAATGTTGATTTGCTTTTGTAGATGGACTGGAGATTTTATCAAGAGTGGAAAATAGCAAGGTATTTATATTATAATTATTACTAGCTGTTTATATAGGATTACAAAACTCATTCGTGAATGATTTATCTAAGGTTCTTTCTAACCGTCGGCTGTTTTGGCCTACGGCCAGGGTGCAGGCTAAGAAATGCCTAATATGGAAATTGGTGATCAATAGTGTGTGATCCTTCTAGCTAGCGTTTAATCCCAAAGAAGAAAGATACTTATAAATGCTAGCTAAACACGGCGCAATATGGGTACTATCTTTTGAAATAGGTCATATTTCACCGACACCTAATGTACAGAAAGGATTCGAAGATATGTAGCTATCCGAACGTAAGAAAAGGCATGCCGAACAGTGGCCTCTAATTGGACAACAAACGACTGTCGTCGAGGATAAACGTACGAGCAAGTAAGCTCCATACCATAACAAAGGCGAGAGCGGAGGTAAATAGAGAGGGAAGGATGGAAGGAACGAACTTTGGTGGAGGGCGCAGCAAGAAGTGGATGAAGAGTAGACTAAAGTGGAAGTTGTACGAGGAGCTTGACAGAGGGAACCAAGTGGATGAAGTGAGCGTGGTGGAAGGAATGGCACAACAAGAAGCAGACAATGAGAATGATTAAGTGGGTTTATGGCACGGCAAAGTGAGGGAATGGCATAGCGGAGCTTGAGGAGTTACGTCAAGGCATTTTGCGTCCTGGTTGGCAGTTCCCAAGCAGCCAAATATGAATGAACTTTTAAGAGGGCGAGAGTAAGACATTAATAGCTATCGTGCTTTACATATGTGCGCATGGGTTTGGTATTCTATATAGGTACCTATATACATGCAGAATTCTACTCCTATTAGTGCCCGCAGCTTGGAAGCGCGGCCCTAGCCTTCTTAACAAAGGCCCTGGCCTAAGTTAGAAGGCTTTCTACTATGAACTAACTGACCATGTTTTCAAAATGCAATGCCATTTACCTAAAGGGGAAATACTTCCAAATCTAAATACACTTATGTCTCTAACATGTGGGGTAGTTCGAAAGGGAGCTGGGAGTAGGCACCCCATTCAACAAAGGAGCGTGGGCCAAGCGTAGAGCATATACAATAGCAAGCAAAGAGGTGTTACCACCTCTCCCGGATGACGAGAGTATAGATACCTCAATAACCATATGCATAAGCATCCAATTTCAGAGACTCGGGTAAAGAAAACGACAAAGAGAAAAAAACGGAACCAAAATCACAGTGAGCGTTCTCATAGGAGACAACAGTCCGCGTGGCTCCGGGCATCCGATCTCGTTGGTGACGAGTCTGATGGCTAAGCATCCTCCAGAAGCTTGGAAATAATTAATCTGGAAGACTTGGCCAAATATCAGCGCAGCTATAAGTTTGCAGACCACGCTTCCGGTGGCAACAGAGCGCATTTGTTACGAGCGATAGATGGCGGCTCGCTCTTGGATATCTACCCCAGCTACAATCATTCACACAAGGATGGCCTGGAGAAGATAAAGGATCAGTTACAAAAGGTAAGAAAGTAATGTAGATAAGTTATATACTGAGCAAATTGTATCAAGAACCAATAGACCTCTTCTCTCCTGCCACATGATTCATAAAGGTAACCTTTCCTGGAGAAACAAAAGTCCTCTTGGACGTCCCCTTCACAGTAAAAGCAATCTCCAGCTTCTCTCTTGATAAATAATGCGGTGCAGTTCTTTTGGCTGGCCTGTGCCCAGCATGTTCTCCCAAAGATTGTCGAAGCAAATTCCATAGCGAACGAAATGCCGATTCCAAGTAAATTAAAAAAAAAAAGGAAAGAAGGAAACTTCGTATAGAAAACGAATGAGAGGAATCAGAACTTGTTATGAGAAGATGCCATGGACGGATTGAAGAAGTATCTCGCCATATCTCTGCATATGTCCACTTGAGCCGGAGCGACTGCGAACATCCTCGCGGGGTCCCAAATCGCTTGTTTCCTGAGTTGCTAGACTTGACTCAATGGAGATCGCATGATAGACCATATCGTTTGTAGACGCAAAGGGCCACACGTTCTAGGGCGCGTCGGGACGCAAGGCACATGATCGCTCGCTCACGGTGCACACCACATTCGCATAAAGCTCAAACACAATCGTCCTTGCGGCCAATACATTCGCCGATGGCCATGATATTCCTACCCAACATCGCAGAAACTGCTGAAGCGCGAAAAGGCTTTCAATATCCAGCACGCGGTAGGCTAACCTCGGCCCAGTGGGCTCTTCTTGTGAGGATCAGGAGTGAGAGCTGGCATACTGTCTCCCCCGCAGCCAGAACACCATTAAACGCATTTCTCAAATCGATGATGGGCGAATGCGACAATGGAAGGACTGAAAGATTTAATCAAGAAAATATCCGCGAATAACAGTGAGAATCGCAACAAGAGGCATTAGCGAGAGACAACAGAGCGGCTCGACTTGCCACTGCAGATCACACAGTCAACTATTCTTCATTTGCCCTCGCCATATCGATCGCAGAATCTCCCAAGGAAGCTGTCAAGGCCAACAGCAACAGGCGAGCTTTGAATACTGCTCTTAAGACGACGTCGGAACTCGATATTCTTCAGTTTTTCGTGGAAAAACCAGACATGACTGCCAGTGAGGATGATCCGCCGTTTCTAACAACTTTCTTACCCAGCACATATTCAAGCATTTGCTCATTGCTCAGCCGATATGACCATAGCGCGCTTAAGAATAGCCTCAAATACGTATAGGGCTTGTTTTTTTTTCATCCCGTTGACCTCGTCTGTCTGGCCATTTGCTGTCTTATTGCCTTGAGAGAGTATGAACCAAACCGAAAAATGGTTGAGAACTTCTTGCCATGGCTCGCAAGTTGTCGGGCATCGTTGCCAGATAATGCGGGATGGTCTGGCACCCTGCCACGCAACCCGCTGGCTCAACCTTGAAATCTGTCCCCTCAAAGTCGGCGCATGAGACCTGATGCCGAACATTTGGAGTGGCATCGCCAGTGTCGACCGGTCGAACAAACACAGGTCCCAGCATGTAGGTGAACCACCCAACGTAAAGTCCATTCACAGTGGGCTCTGCTCTGATGACGGGGCGTGGCTCGTCTGGGGTCTGTCTCTCACCAGCGTCCCACCGTTGCTGCCTTTGCAGATCAAGTCCATTCGAACTCCTGAGAGCAGACTGATCTGGTCCAACAGATTCTTCTTCCGCTTGCGCTTTGCGGCTTGTGGTGTGAACTTGTACATGGTTTTGCCTCGGGGGAGGACTTCCACAATGCACCATTGATCTTCAATCAGAGTCTCGAGAACTCCATCTCCAACTGGTTGTACCAAATTATCACCATCTTCATGTCCAATTGTTCTTTGCTCGGGGCCGTTTGCATTCGCCTTCACGAGCCAAGAGCGATCTGCCCGAACCGTAATTCTGGCGGTCTGCCACTCGAGAGTCTCGGCAGACGGGGACTGTCCATTATGCTAGTATTATGGCAAATAGGTGGTTGCGAATCGAACGTCGACGATAATTAACAATTGCTTAGGTGGGTTAGGTAAGATCTATTAAGAGAGACGGAAACGTCAACAGAAAAAGAGGGAAACAATGGTTCCCAGCTTCGTGTCTGTCTTTTCGAATTCTTTGATAGCGCTGCCTTTTGGAGACGGTCCTGTGCTATTCTTGTTAGAAAGAGGCTTTGTTTGAGGCATTCTCGGAGCATACAATGATCTAGTTGCTGCAACAAAGCTGGTGGCTGCAACAAAGCTGATTCTTCTCTCTCCTGGCAAAGCTGGCTTCTCGGAGATGTGAAAGGATGAATGTTTCTTCTTTCGAGAGAAGAAAGTGCACGGGCGTTCAGTTGCTCTTCCCCAGTGGTGAACAGGCACATCATCCCAGCCGTTTCTGCGGCACCATCACCAATTTCGATGGATTTTCCGCATCACTTTCTCCTGCGGCCAAAGCGGTCCACATGGCCCATGCGTGAACCAGGCCAGGTAATTATGACGAGCAAATGGCTTTTCAGACTCACACAAGACGGACGCTCTTATGGAATCTTTCCATTGGGCCTGTCAATCCCTTCTCGCCTAGGCCAATGCTCTCACAGTTTATATGCCCATTATCTAGCTCTTTCTACGTAATCAGGAGGCAACTTCTCATGGTTTGGTCCTATAGGCCAGATACAAGATATCATGCTTAGACAACGGCTCGCGCTCTTCAAGATCAAGTATCATAAGGCCGCAAAATACAAATGTATACAAAGTTCAAAACATGAATACTATTTCATCAAAGGCAAAGTCATCCAGGACCCTAGTTCTTTTATATAGCAGTGACAGTAGCATGGAATGTCTCCAGAGCGAGAAACAAATCTAGTGTTATTGTGGTGCGTAAATTTGAGAAGAGTGCTGAATAAAAAATTTGTATTTCCATGGTCGCAGATAATAATCCTTTACGATTGTGCCCACCACCCCAAACCTGCGCACTTTTCCTTCCAAGGTTTGTAGAGTTTCTGGCATGGCATACCTGTCGTTGTACACAAGATGTGGCTGATTGCGACAAGATATAAAACAATTGTTCAATGCCTCCCAGGCCAGCCATGTTGCCGCTCTCGTATTCTTGCCAAGCTATAGCTCCTAGCCACATCGCGAACACTGCTGTACTCGGCCGAGCCATCGAGCTTTCTTTGGACATTTAAAGGCCGATAAGGTCATCTTCATGATTGTGGCGGGCAGCCGTAGAGCAGCGTGGAGCGAGAAGGAGCGAGTTCTACCTGGATTCGGGTCTTCAATTGCTGTTAGGTTCTTCTTTATTGCTAATGCCAGGGTGACGAATGCTTCATATTCATCTTCGCCCTTGTAGCCGTGTATAACAAATGTGTGCTGGGCTCGTGTGCTGTCCCCTGATAGTTTTTGCAATAAGGAGGCTTTTGAACTGTTGCGATATGCGGCCCAGATGCTCAGCAAAATTATCGAGTGCCGTAGATGAAGATGATGTATATGCTGTAGATGCTTGCTTTTCTTATCATTGCGCTCTGAAGAAACCCCGTAGCCCTCTGCTTGTCTGGCACGGGTAATAGTGACGTTGAGTTTTTGCAGATCGCCCGCGAATCCCACAGACAATGTTCGTACCTAGTAGAATGCCACAGTACGTTCATACATCATCGCAGGTGAAGCAGGTACCTGTACCTATGTGCATCGCCCTGAAGCTGCGTAGTGAATTGTGTACGCCGGTATCGCTTGACCTGCCGACAATTCATGCGGACATGTATGATAATGACCTCTGCTTATCTAGTACGGGTAATAGCGGCGTTGAGTCTTTGCGGATCGTCCACGAATCCCACAGACAATGTTCGTACCATGTCAAGAAAACAACATCTGCCTAATTTCCTTGTGCTTTGTCGACAGTCAGCACTTGAACTTGTATTTGTCACTCGTAGAGCTACTACTTTCTCCATAAATGGCGGTAAGCAGACACCGTATAGCACGGGTAGTAGCGACGTTGAGTCTTTGAGGGTAGTCCATGAATCCCATAGACGATGTCCTACTATGTCAAGAAAAACAACATCTGCCTGCTTTCCTTGTGCTTTGTCGACAGTCAGCACTTGAACTCGGCTTTGCGTGGGGCTACTGCTTTCTCCAAGTCATTGGCGATAAGCAGCGCGGCTTTGAGAGCGTAGCATAGGTAATAGCGACGTTGAGTCTTTGCGGATCGTCTGTGAAAGTGGAGTTGAAGTTGTATCTTTTGCTGTTCAATCTTGACGATCTCGCTGTGCCTGGGCATGAGTAAGAAGGGAGAAACAAAGGAAAATTGACAGAGGAGGAAATACATGGAGACTGGCTGGCGCTTCTTGTGCTCGCCGTGGCTGCTCTTGCGCGCTGGGGCATTCTACTGCCGAGGCGGGAGCTGGTAGGGCCAGTCGGGCGCCGCTAGTTGTTAAACTTGGGCAGATTCAGTAGAGATCTATGATGGACACGACCTGCGAATTGAAGGACGATTGAGCGATCGAGCGATGCGATGCGATGCGATGCACACCACTAGATTAGCTGCTGCCGCGTTGTGCGACAGAAGGCGTGGAACCGACGGAGGAGAGAAGATGAGAAAGGCTGAGTAAGATAGGCAGAACAAAAGGAACAATAGAGAATCGCAGAGACAATATTAATTATCAAGTCTACCTCGTGAGGTAGGTAAGAAAAGACGGTGACGGTGGAGGCGATAATATTCAACTTGCCACAAAGGGCAACAACAACGCGAAGAACTAAAGCTATAAACTAAGAAATAGTCATTAATCACATTCTCCGACGATTTCAGACAGATATGACATGGAATAATAGGCGTGGACTTACTGCAAAGACTCAACTAAAAGATTATAGGCTGGTGGCTGACTTTGAGATCTAAAGCAAGGCATGAGTCGATCTGCTGTTCTCCAGAGGTGTTCTCCAGAGCCGACATGTTTCCCTCCTGGAGATGAGTGGAAGATAGGTAAATCGCAAGTAAGCGTTATATCAAGTCTGCGTTGAAATGTAACGAGAAAGGCTTTAATGAGAATCAACACCCGCGGCGAACTCTCTGGTGGCGTCACCAGCAGAGCAGACACAACACAAGACAAAGGCACAATGAACTCTCGCCAGATTGGTTGTTTAGGGGGCCAAAGGACTCAAAACCGGTACAGGAAACGTCACCCACTCCGAGAGAGATGGGTGAGAATCTGAAGACAAAGGTCGAAAAGTCGCAGCACGACGGCGAGAGCAGAGACGACAGGCGGCAAAGGCACAACGGTGGTGCCAAAAAGAGTAACTGATCAATGGTAATGAATTGGTAAAAGGAGGTGAAAGCCCTTACGAAAATGGCTGAAAATCTTGGCAAGATCATGCTTTCCAATGTCGAAGTTTGTCTTTCTTTGGGCGGTGAGTTATGTGAGCGGGCAGCTGCGTTTTGCAATAAGCGCTCCTTCCTCCTGGCCCAGTCACTTCAGTTTCCCATTGATATCATTTTTTTCTACAGCCGCTATTACTGCTATTGACAGGAGCTACAGCTACTACAGCTACAACCACTGCTATAGTTACAGCTGCTAGCATAGGTACATACAAGCACTACGCGGCGTATTGAGCCTTCACCATTGACATCTCGAGAAAAAATGCAGTGGCAGTAGAGCTATATCAACAGATAAGAGCGCCAAAACGAAAATAAAGTTTCCCCAAGCCATATGCTGTAAGTCCAGCGAAACCATGAGGGAAACAGACGATGAATGGGGCCAGTCTGACTTCTGGGACTTTCCAAGCCTGGCTCATTTTGGTTGCATCCACGCACATCTCTTGGCTTCGCATGGGTGGCACCATGATATCTTTCCAAATAGTCGCGGCTAGTAGCATGAGCCTCATGGTCAACATGTCCTTGGGAAATCCGCGTGCAAAGTCTCTCAGCATGTCGATGAGCTCTTTCGGGTACGCCAGCGTGGCCGTGTAGGGAACCTCAAAGACATATCCAGTCGGCCCTGCAGGTGTTCCTCTTGCCAACAAAGTGCCATCAAAAAGCATGTCTTCGTTGCTGAGATAGATGGCTCGAGGCGTCTCCAGGCTAGTCGCCTCGGGTCTTTCCGAGGTAGTGTATTGAGACTTGGGGTTTCTTTTCATGTGATCAAACTGGTTCGGGTCGGCGCTTCTAAACTTTGCCAATGGAACAACTTGCTTCCCTTCGCTAACAGCAGAAAGCGAATCGTTGATTTCCTCACAGTACTTTGCTTGTATCCATCTGAAAATACTGCTCCCATAGTCCCTCCTGCTGCAAGCTTCTTCGGAGCAACAAAGTTCGCCCTTGTGCATGCTGAATGGTGGACCAAAGTCATTCCGCCGCTCGTACGCCCTCCTGGTTCTCTCTTGAACTCGGATGCTCGATAATTATACTGTCGTACATTCGCCCGTGCTTCACGTGGTGCTTTCGTTTGGTTCTTCGCGGCAAGTTTTCACCCGTGTGGTCTTCCGCCTCCAACACAGTTTCTTGTTCGATGGCAGCAGTTCTTTCGAATGGTATTGAGCGAGCAAATTTTAGAAAAGGGTCAAGTAGAAGCAGAGTTTCTGATGCTCTCTCCGGGTGCAGTTGCGTGCGGCCGCGCTATCGGCTGTGCAAAGAAAAACAGATGTTGATTCTTAGGAAACACGCAAAAACGTTTAGCCGTCAGAGATTCAGATTGCTCCAGAGCAAACAAAATTTGAGTCGTATGTGAATGAGCTATGGCCGGCAGCTGTTAGTGCTTGGTGCTGGATGGGCACATGCATTGGGAGACAACATTGAATGCAACATTGTGGCTTCAGGGACTGATTGTGGCAGGAAACGCACAATGCAATTTCAACCGCTCTTGGCAGGCAAAATAATACTATAATGTCTGTAACAGCCTAAAGGGTTACACGTTGTGACTATGTTGTCGCCAGTGCTGCACTAGAAGACTGCAATGATCCGCCGCAATCCATAGCAGTGTTGAGGCAATATGGTGCCCAGCAACCTTCTTCTTGACAGAGTCTTGCATCTAGTCCAATAACAACACTACAAGATCTCTAATAGAGCATAGCGTCTGTTCAAACTGTCAGGAGATGGAATATAACAAGACCAGAATGCAAACATATATGAGAGTTGAAAGCAAGACGAGTATAAACACCAGTGGATTTGCCCATACACGTATTGACACTGTTTCTGAGTAGTACAGAGACGACAGAGAAGATGCAGAGCAATTCCAACAAAATGTTTCGTACATCGTTCGCCCTGAAGCAAGATAATAGGCGCGCACACCGGATGGCCGATGTATCAAAGGACCACTGGCTGTAAAGCCAGAGATAGAGCCGCAAGACAATGCCTTCAACTTCAACGGCAACCAATTCAAGATGGAACCAGGAGGCTCAGCAACAGGCATGCGAACCATCCCGCACTACTCGTTCCTGCAGCCAGGCAATTTGAAAGCCATCAAACAGCTGGTGGATGGGCAAACATTCTCAACAGTTTATCGAGGAGCTTCAGACGGGCGCTGCTGAGAAGAGGCAAGCCTGGCATATCGGGCTTCAGATATTCAGTCCCTTTCATAAAAGCCTTGACCTTTCCACCAGAACTCACCAAGCGGTTAGAACAATTTGCCCTCAGATGCGACAAGGATCTTCTAACACTGGATACGTTATATCTTGCTCTGTTCGCAGGGTACGATACTGTTACCGGTCTTCAATTGAACTCCGAAGAATACGTAGAAGCGGGTCCCAACGCGGCGGACAGCGTCAAGATTCATCAGCCAACTTTAGCTGAATGTCTAGTGTACTACCCACACTGGCTGCGATTCACAGAGGTCACAGGCTTGGCAGAGTTCATACACTTCTTTAGATATGTGGAATGCGCTGTTTCTGGTGATAGAAGGCATAACGACATGGTTGTGCCAGATGATCCTCAACTGAACCCCGATGAGATCAAAAAACTTGGGCTTGAGATCGGGACCAAAGTGCCGGGCTTTTCTCCCTTCCAGGTTTATGTCAGCCGGTTGGACTGGTTGGCAGACCAATATAGAGAAGACCAAGTGCTGCAGAACATTATTCCAGGCATACTGTCAAAAGGCATCATCAGATAGATGTTGCTCATAGCATTACTTCTGACGCTTCTGCTACAGCCACAGCTACTACAGCTACTATTGCGATTTCTACTACTTTTATTACTTTTACTACAACCGCTACTGATACTACTGATACTACTGATACTACTGATACTACTGATACTACTGATACTACTGATACTACTGATACTACTGATACTACTGATACTACTGATACTACTGATGCTACTGCTGCTACTGCTGCATAATAGAACTGGGGTGCCGAATACACGTAGGTCATGTAACCTTTGCCTTTTACTCCACAATGCCCCGAATGATCAACATGGAATCAAGTGACAGCTTCTTTGAACTCCCTTCGTCGCTGGTGAGGTCCAAGTCCAGGCTTTGAAGAAGATTGCTCCTTTTGGGGGGGCTTTGGGGGGCCGCCGGTCCGTTTCAAAGTCTTCATCGTCATCGCTGTTGCCTCTCCCAGTTCCATTCAGACGGCGAATTGCTCATGACGGACCTACCCCAAGAAACACCCATCTGAGCAAGGAGCAACACTGCCGCTCTAATAAACTGTGCATTCCCAAGGCTCTCGCGGACCACTCAGCCGAGATTACCGGAGGCATCTTGAAAAGGGGCCGCGTGTAGTAATTGGACATGACTGACGTGGCCTCACGGTATGAAGCAGCAGAAGCAGCAGCAGCAGATGAAGTTGAATTAGTACCTGCTACATGTAATACACACAACGATCTAGTTATACAATGGCCACAACTGCGTGTCAAGCCCCGAAATCTCTCCTACCAGCCCGCTTGCCCAGCTCTGGCTGGCAATGTCACCACGCGACCTTGGACGTACAATTTCCGCAGCACATTGTAGAGCATGCCTCTGCGCACATACTGCTGGCTTCCATCCTCGGCAGCTATCTGCATGCTCTTACCCACGGCCTCGTGTTCTATCGACCCTAGGACATTGATGTCCCCGAAGATGACGAGGCCGCTTCTCTGCCGACTGAGCATCACGTTGAGCCGGTGCTTATCCGTCGTAAACCCAGGCCCGACTCTTTGCGTGGTGCCTATGATGACCACGACGATGTCGGCTTCACGACCCTGGAAGGAATCGACGGTGGTGGCGGGCGGCATGGCGGAAAGTGCCGAGAACTGCGGCTTCCTGCGGCGTCGCTCGACGTGGAGAGCATTTGCCTTGTAAGGGCAAATGACGGCGATGTTGGAGGCGCGGATACCAGGCGTCCTTCTGACCAGGCCGCAGAGGAACTCCAGAGCATTCTCAACTTGGTCTGGGTTCCTCTTTGACCTGGTCACCTCGTCAACGATGCAAGTCGTGCCTTGGCAGTGGAAAAACACCTCTCCGAGGTTACCAGGAGGTGGCGGGCGCAATTGGCGGAATCTCGCGCGGAGATGGCGTTCCAGAGCCTGGCCAACGCCATGGTTCACCAGTTCGCTGCCCGAGCCATAGCTAAAAGGCAGGTCACTGTAGACCTCTCGATGGCAGACATCGAAGAGTCCGCGGGCCATTCGCAGCTGGACTCGCAGACGGAACGTAGGCCAGCCGGACGCTCTGAAGAACTCGAGGGCCGAGATCCGCGCGTCCCCGCCGAATCGGTTGAGGTGGTTGCCGTCGCTATCCATCTCGTCCTCACGAGTCTGGTTGGACGGGGCAAATTGCCTATCGTCGCCGCCCATGGCGCAGGGCAAAAGCGTGTTGCCCCATACACAGTAGAGATCCGGGCGGCTGATGTTGCCAGCCTCGTCCACTGCGATGCCCTTGGCCTTTTCTTTCCAGGCCTTGAAGTCATCCTGGCATGACAATGACGGCGTTGTGCACAAGATGTCAGCCGACTGCAACAGAGTATAAAACAGGCCGCTGATGACGTCTCTATGCACGGCCGGACCGCTTTCGTACTCTTCCCAGGTCATGGCTCCTCTCGCGACACGGCAAAGGCGATTGTATGCTGGGGTCGAGCCAAGTATGTGCTTCATTGTGTGGATGCTCGAGGGGTCGTCGTGATGAAGCCTGCGGACGGCGTTGGACTCCAGGGCCATGAGAAGCCAGAAGGAGAGAGAGAGGTGCAGCCTCCAGTTGGAGTCTCTGAGCCAGTTGTCGGGCGCCGCCTTGTCGCCAAGCTTTGGATCTCGCAAGAGGTTGATGAATGCTTGGTATTCATCCCCGGGCTTGTAGCCGCGCATAACAAAGGTCCGTCGGGCTCGTGTCTGGTCTTCCGATTGCTTGCCCGTGTTCAGACGCTCGACGACGTTTTGCGAAATGAGGTCCAATCGCTCGGCAAAGTTGTCGGTCGCAACGTTGGTTGGAGCTGCGGCGAAGATCTTGCCGAGGGTTGCTGCCATGGCGAGTGTCGTTGTGGCCAGGAGAGTCGTTTTACCAAAACCAGGTGGCTAAACGAGTCTTCTAGTTAGCAAACGATGTCAAGTACCAGATGTAGTAGACGCAGAGCGAGGCTAGAAGTTGGAAAGGGAGATTACTTACCGCTGCTATAAGAACAAGGCCGAGACATCTTTCGGACAAGTAATTGTAGAGGCGCATTTGGTCAGCAGGCAGGACCTCCTCCATCAGGGCGTCGATGTGCCGATCCGGCAGATCGATGAGGTTGACGACGGGGAGACCGCGGTGAGCCAACGACTCTGCTTGGTCCGTCAGACGTGCCTTTGCCATGGCACCGGTGAGCTGGTCCATCTCTTCGCCGTCCTGGTTTGGGGCAAGGACTTTCCAAAAGCCATTGCCATGCACCAGGGCGCGGTGAAGCGCCATCCTGAACCGGAGTTCTTCAGAAATGGGCGGCATGGCCGCTTGACTGCTCAATTCTTCGGGGACATCGTGCGGCTGGGCTTGTGAACTGAACCAGTTCACAGCTTTGACCTTGCGCTTGTGGTCTCTGAACATGTCGTTGTTAAACTGCAGCGAGACGCAGGTCCAGCCGTCGTTGTCTCGCCTCTGGGCATCGTCGGCTCTCCTGCGAGTATCGAATGCCTTGACTTTGAAATCGGGGCGGCGGTCGCTGTCTGTTGGGCCCGGTCTTCGAACTTGAAGAACGAGGTCATCATTGCGAATCGGATGCCCAGCCTTGCTGAAGCCCTCTGCAATTCGAGCGTTCCATTCGGCGGGATTCTCGTCACCTTCACGATCGAAAAGTAGAAGTTTGAGGGTCCTCAAGTTTACAAGACGAAACCAAGGCTGACGATGCTGCTCAATGAATTGCTTTCCAAGAGTCACAACGGCATAGAGCTCTTGACAATCTTGCGGGTCCTCATCACCAGGGGCAATGAAGTAGGCCCGGAAGAAAACTTCGCTAATCTCTATAGCAGCTTGGTGAACCCACATGATATCCTGAATCTCGGATTGTGTGAGCACGGTGAGATGATCGTTGTCGTTGTTGAAGCTCCAAGTAGGCGGAAACTGGGGACCTTTGTTCCCTGAGATAAGATCGTAGTATCGCTCGTAGGACCACGCGTGCTCTTGGCCATACGGATAATGAAGTGGCGGCGGCAATGGCTGAGTCCACCAATTGCGCAAAACATTGGACGGAGAAGCAACGACAAAGGAGAAGTGTCGCTGCTGGAGGACCTCAATCAGTGTCACGCCAACACTATCCGGTGCACTGTTGTTGATGAATGCTTCAAATTGCTCGCCGGGGTGAGAGAACGGCATTCCGTAGCCTATGACAACACTGCAATCATCCGGTGCGAGTCTGACATCCAGTCTGCACATTTTTTTGTCCGATTCGAAGAGGGCATGCACCAAATCCGGCTTGAGTTCTTCGACAGAGACATTGTTGTTGGGCAAGCGAACCGTAATCTTGAATGTCTGAATTGGAGCAGTACAATCTCCACCGTCGGCATTGGTCACTAACAAGATCTAGTTAGTGAGAGTTCCACTCAACAACAAGCAGAAGAAGTTGAGGGAGAGCAAACCACGTACCTTTGTGACACATGCCGAAGCCATCGTCCTCAACGTTGGGTCCGTACGGGACCTCGATGACGAAACCGGTCCAAGAAGGCCTGACGTTATCCTTGTAGACGTGGGTGTGGATGGTGATGGTGATTGGGCTGTCAAGTCCCAGCGATTTGCCGCCAAATATCACATTGTTGCCGATTAACAAGGCGCCTCGTCTCCACTCATGACGAGCTTTGCGTGCTGGCGTACGCTCAATATCTGCTGATTGAGGCATTGCGGAAGAAGGTATGACTGGTTTTTGGAAGTCGAGACAGGAGGTTTGTGTGTCGGATGAACCGATCAATAATCGTTTTCCCCTCTAGCGAGCCGGAAAAGATGCAATGATGAGAGAGATGAAGTTCGGATCGTTTCCCACTCCGAGGTAGGTAGGAAAGATGAACGAAACAAAGAGGCGGCAGCGGCAGAGAAGAAGGTTTGAATCGTTTCCCACTCCGAGGGAGGTAGGAAAGATCAAAAAAGAAACGGAGAGGCGGCGGCGGGGAGAGATGATCGAAGCGATATCGATGCAAACGTGTCCCACTCTAAAGAGAGCTGGGAACGAGCACGAGGCACAAGACGAAATGCGCGGGCAAGAACTCTCAGATTGTCACAAAGGACAACGACAACGCAGACTCAGGTTTCAAAAACTTGCGAAGAACTGAAATTGTAATTAGCTGATGATTGCCGACGGTTGTGAATAGTAACAAGGGGAAAATGTAGACTTACTAGCGGGCAGAGCGCGAGACAGAAACTGGGAGCTGAATTCACGGATTGAATTCACGATAGAGAAGGAAGAAACAAGACCAAAAAGAGAGAGAAGAGAGGGAAAAAGAAAAAAAAGAACTGAGAGGGGGCGGCAGCCCTAGGTTGTGCATTTGTTGATTTCTTGCAGCAGTTGCCAAGTGCAAGCTGCCAGTTGGCCGCTATAATTTCATTCATTTACAGCTCACTTTTTGATCAAAATATGGGGGGGCTTTGAGCTACCAACAACCGAAGCTTTTGCATGCGCTCCCGAAGCCGAATCTGATAATTCCACGTTGTACATAGGAGGTAATTTCTATATTGATGTATATAGTTGAACAGCCTGTTTGGCTTTCCAAGAGATGTTCAGTCCCCTGCTGTAGAAAGATGCAGTAGTCTGTAATTTTGGAATGTCTAAAACCAAGGCATCTCGAACTAGTTTCTGAAAGCCCGTACGGTTGTAATGATTCATGCAGCCGCATTGAACTCATGCCCACCGAGTCTATCATAGATAGAGGCGCACAAGTGTAGGCGATGCTCAGATACGAAATTGGTTGCAGATGTAGCATTGTGCGCACAAGCTTCTCACTTAATGCCTCACTGCCTGCATATCACAACGATTCCTTTTCCAACAAATATCGAGGCCCATGATCCAGCTCGCAGCAGCTGGCAATGAGCAACTGGTTCGGCCCGCAATCGATCGTGTCTGGATCTCGATAGATCTAACGGCCCGCCCTTTCAGTCCATTAGCGCGCATTTGTCAGCCACTTGAATTCTGCTGCTATATATTTCCTCTCACGCCGCTTCTTCTTTCGCACTTCTCCCTTCTTCTTTCTCTTCAATGAGGGTGGTCCCTTTGTCTTTATCCTCCGAGGAAGAGGTTGACCCTTTTCGGAGGGCTGTCCCTTGGAGTGGGCGTGAGGAGGGCCCTTAGAAAAACCTCACCCTCAGACCTCTTCCCCTTTACCGGGAACGTCATAATCTTTGGAACCTTTTCTTTTTCATTGCTCTACTGGGGCTTGCCCTGGCAGCGAAGAAGAAGTTGTTGAGCCTGCCACGGCGGCACAGATTCTACACATGAGCTCGATGGTTACACAGATCCTGTAGAGACCAGGAGGACGAGGCTCTCCTCAGAAACGAGGGATACCGTGAAGAAAGCAGAAGTGAATGAAGGATAAAATTATTTCGCGAGTAATATGTAATATTGATCAGAGCATTTGGTTTGGTAATCCCGTGATATATCCCGTGGCGGCATTCACTGGCATGGATTTGAAGTGGCCTGCGCTGGAAAGCCCTTCGCCTCGTGCCAAGCACCAAAGACGACTCATTGCACACATTCAACATTTACCTTTGGCACATTTCCATTCATATGCCCCGTTTACCCTGCACATTACAACTCGCTTTGGGGCTTCTTCGTGGGCTGTCAAGTCTTCATTTATGGACCGAGACTCGTCCAAAGCCATTCGGGCATGGCACACAGATAACTCTTCGGTTGAGAGGTCAGCATCCGTCGTTCAAGGCTTGATACTCTTCTTCTAGATAATTTCCCACTCCCAAATCCCAAAATTTGTGTTTCTCCATCGGGTCCACCAAGAGTCTTTCTGAGCTCCTGCTTCTAGTTTCTCAAAGAGCGCCTTGGTACATGTAGTCGCTTGGTCAGTGCCTACAACTTATGTACCTTCTTCTTGTCCCACCTATTCCTTGGATAAAAGTCGAGGAATGTGCTTCGGAAGTCCGTTGTTATGTCCTGGCAGATGTAAGGCGACGCAATAATATCGTGAACTCTACGCAGAATCCCACTATCTGGGACTTTTTGTCTTATCTAGCTGCATTTTCTTATGTAGCCGCCTCTATCTACACCAGACATAAAACTGCGGAAAGGCGTAGAACTCTTGTTACATGGTATTAATAACAGGTGGCGTCATAAAGGCTACATCCTTTTGGAAGCAACGTTGATTACCGTTTGTACGGTATCATTCCACACCCTCCACTTTAATGTGTCTTCTGGCTGAGACTCACTGGGATCTTCGTCGTCGCTGACAGCGGCACACATGCTCAGATGCCGAGGCATCGCGCCAGTCAAAATCAGGCACACTTGGCCAGTATTTAGTCAAGCTCAGCACTGGCGATAACAACGTAGCCCACTAATGGGTTATATCTCCTAAACTCTATTAGCTTGTCTTGGCTACGGCTGAGCAGACGACGCAATAGTATGCGCTTAATAAACACATGCAATCCAAAGAAGCAGATAGACGATCTTCGATTACGGTTCAGGCAAATGTAATCGAGCAAGCGGATTGTCGGGATAATTACATCAGCATGGCCGATATGTTACATTGTCCGTTCTTTACACTACATGCTTTATTAACCAGAGTTGAGCCAGAGTAAGTTCAAGCCACCAGAGGGTGAGTTCAGCTACTGACAACGATCAGTAATCACAAATTGTAATATCGCTGATTACTGATCTGCTCGCCAGATCTCCTCCTCCGGAAGTTCGGACTATGAAACCATTGATCTAAAACCTGTAGCTGAGGCGACAAGGCGTCTTTCAGTAGAATTCATGATCAGTAATATGATATCGTTAGGTGCCTAGGTTCGTAATAAAAGGTTGAGCATGAAAGACGCCAGCTGTCAATATAAATATCTAGCTTCCCTCGATGAGGAGATGGCTGAAGAGATAGAAGAACAACAAGCACAGCCAATTGCATAATTATCTTTGTTGCGTCTATTACTGTTGTATCTATCACTCAAAATCCATATATATTTCCCCATTCAGCAGCAAATGGCGCCTCTCGTCTTTGTCATAGGAGGCACTGGGGCACAAGGCATCCCGATCATCCGCGGGCTCGTCAAGGATAAGGCTTATGCTGTGCGATTTTTGACCCGCGACGCCACTTCGGCCAGATCAAAGCAGCTTCTCGCCTTGGGAAATGTTGAAGCCATCGAGGGCACTTTCGCAAGTGAGAGCGATCTTCGCAAGGGGTTTCGCGGGGCGCAATACGCCTTTATCAATATTGATGGCTTCAACAGCGGCGAGAAAACTGAGACGTACTGGGCTATAAGGTCGTATGAGCTGGCACTGGAAGAAGGCATCAGGTTCTTCGTCTACGGAAACCTCGACTATGTGTACAAGAAGAGCGGATTCGACCCAAAGTTCCGGACGGGTCACTACGACGGAAAGGGACGCATCGGTGAATGGATCTTGCAACAGAATAAGAACCCCGAGATTGCCAAGAGAATGGGCGCCGCCATCTTCACAACTGGCCCTTATATACAAATGGCTCTAGGTGCTCGCACGCCGATGTCTCCTGTTGTCGGAGATGATGGAGTCGTCACCTGGTTTGTTCCACTGGGGTCTGGAACTGTGGCGCATGGTATGAAACACTCTCCACCTCGCACCGAGGCCAACGAAGGCTAACATCTTCCAGTCGATCTCGATGATTGCGAGCACTACGTTCGCTGGCTGTTCGATCACCAGTACCGCTCAAACGGATTGGATCTGGAAGTTGCCATTGAACTCGTCGACTATCACGAGATGGCCAGGGCATTCGAGAAGGTGACTGGCCACCCTGCCAAGTATGTGGACGTTTCCTTGGAAGAGTATTGGGAAACAGGTCCTCTCAGTGCTGCCAAAAATGCTACAGCCGGGTACAACGCTGACCCTAAGGACCCTGCGACGATGAACTTGCGCGACAATTTCACAGGGTTCTGGAATATGTGGAAATATACCTACAAGGGAAATGGTGGAGTCATCAAACGAGACTTTGCCCTGTTGGATGAGATCCATCCCAATCGGATCAAGTCGGTAGAAGAATGGTTTCAACGGGAAGAGCAAAAGAGCAAGGAGCAGGGGTTGCCCAGCTTGTGGGAACGAGCCACCAGTTTGAAGCCTGTCCTGAAACTGGCCGAGGATGGGCGAAAGGGTCGTCTATAGGCAGATGGGAATTGTTGATGAGTTTTCTAAAGACTTTGTTCTTTGCAAGTAGTAACCGTACTAGAAAATATTGAACTTGAATGGCCAAAATACAAGCATTAGTGATGATGAAACCTCTGTTTACGAGCGTCAATATGCATTGGACTCGACTCACTAATGGCAGGCATTCCATGGCCAGCTACGTGGTGATGGAACGGCGGGGTGGCTGAAAGGCGCGCCCTTTGTGAGAGACCAATCGCCGTGGGTCGTCATCGTTCTGCCTTCAAGATGGTTGAGCCCTTGTTTACGAGTACATGTAATTGCGCTACATGGGTATAAATTGTAAGTATCAATCATCTTATACAGAACCATAACTTGTATTGGCTTGCGGATAAGATGGAGATGCCGCAAGCACTACTCAGCTCAAATCACCCTCCGACCTGAATATAGGGATGTATGTCTTGGTCAGGTCATAAAAACATGACTGAGGAAATCTTGTGTCTTTGATCTCTCACTATTCGAGATTCGTATAGAAAATCCTTCCGAGGGAGCTTCAACAGCGAATCGTCGGGTGGGGATTCGTGCTACCCGCCATGGGATCGAAAGGCACGTTTGCCTGATGATGGAACCGAGTCGGAGAGGGACATTACTTGGTCATCTGTGAAATAAATCAGGTTAGCTGAGAAGTGAGCTGGCGAAAGCTGTCTCTGTTGAAAAAGGGACACAAGATTTGAGATTGGGTGTGACCTGAGAATGGCTGTAGAGGACGTGGAGGCGATGGCTGGGCGACCGCTGAGCCGCACTTTGAAAAGGCCGGAAACAAGATTGGACATTGAACATTGAAGAAAAAAAGGAAGGACGGAAAAACTCATGGTGCGGCCCCGATTACGACCGGCAGCTGGAGGTTGATGCAGTTGATGAGAGAAAGTCGAGGCTCGCAGCTGGCCCGAGTGACACTGGCGGAAGTGACTTTGGTCCACGGTGTAAATTGTATGCAGTGCCAAGTAGCGATTGCTCTAGCAGCTCGATTCAAGAGGCTGCCCCGTGCATTTGCTTGATTTTGTGCTTTTGCTTCTTGCTTCGCCCACTTCACTTTGCATTCTCAGAACAGTCGTCCTCGCTATCAGACTGATTCATCCTCTCTTAGCTGGGACTCTTGCTGCGTCACCTACGGAATCGCGCTGCTTAGTTCTTTCGAGACTAAGCTCATCTTTTATCATCACTGTTCTTCTCAGAGACTCCGCTCCCGCAACGATTTTTGCTGCGCTTCCATCACAAGAGACTCTCCTTGCTATCTCTGCTAGATTTGACCTCATTCGACTGAGTCTCTTGACTTGTTAGTTCTTTCGAGACTAAGCTCACCGTTTGTTATTCACTCTGCCTTGTTTATCTCAGAGACTAACCTGTTGCAAAGATTCCTGTCGTACCCCCATCACAAGAGGTTTTCCTTGCCATCTCAGCCAGACTTGGCCTTGCTCGACTGGGTCCCTTGACTTCGTAGTTCTTTCGAGACTAAGATCGACATCCATCATCTCCCAGCCTTATCATTCGAATCTACGAACCGTTCTTCACACACCTCTTCGTCCTTCTGCCTCGCCGGCCCGGGTCTCTTTTCAAAATGGACTTTCCCTCTCAGATGCCCGATTGTCCTTTTACTATGTATTCGCGGTGGAGTCGAGACGAGAGACGCACCTACTTACGCTGGCTGCAAAACTGGTTTCAGCACATGCTTGACACTGGAAGCGCTATCCTGGCCCCCGAATTGGATTTTCATGCTACCAAAATGCAGCCGGCACCAGAGATATCGGCCGAGTCATGGAAAAAAGAGGAGATGGGCGAGCCAAACCCTATCGCAGACTTGGTCTTGGAGACTCTGCAACACGCACCAGCAATGCGTTACAAGGGCTGGAAAAGAGTACAAGATACCCTCACCCTCATCCCGCCCGCAAGGAGAACAACGGAGCTTGTGGGTCTTTTATGCGCTGCGCTTCGGGGAGAGATGATTTATTGGCAACGGCTTCAAAAGATTGAGCAGTCCATATCGTTGGAGTCTCTGAGATCAATGTACATAATGAATGTCATACTCATCGTCTCGGTCCTGACAGGACTAGAAGTCAGGCAAGAAGAGATTGTGCCACCCGTCCCATTGGCGTATCCTGTGATAGAGGAGGACTACTTGGCTTTGGATGACATACTCGTCCAGCTGCAAAAGCTGAAAACAGTTGATGCCGATGATCAGGCAAACCAAATTGAAGTGCAAAGATTCAGGCAAGTTTTGGGTCGCCTGATGGCGCGGGTACGCCCGGGGCAATTGTTTGCTGCTATGGCTGGGCACCTCGCCCAGCTTGTGAGAGATTCAGCTCCCGACGACAACTTCGATTTCGCTGATCCTCATCAAGTCCTAACGGACTGCGCCTTGTACCTTTGATAGGCTTATTACATGGGTACTACTTTCGTTTCTTTGATGGGACTCATGGCGGACACAGTAATGGAGGATTCTCTTGCTCTTCCTTGGTTTATTCGTGGAGTTCATTGGGAGGCTTTCTTTCGTTCTTTGTCGTTTTTATTGGGACTCTGGTACATGGTGCTTTTCAGGACGGCGTTTTGTCATGGCATGGAAGTTTTTGTCACACGGGATTTAGCATCTCTTTTTGCTTCTGATTTTCTTTTGAAGGGACGCTCGGCATGGGTGGCATTGGAAAATTCTTTCATATATGACTGCGCTCTTTACTCTGGTGGAGATGTACGGTTGCGATGGCATTGAAGCGGAATCTTGCAGAACCTTGTCCCTTGTTCCCGTGAATTGCTTCATTCTCAGTTTCGTAGATTACTACCGGGTAAACAACGTGCCAGCTTGGCCTCAAATGCTGCGCAACCACGCGATTCCAACGCCTACGTCGTACGAATACTACCTTGCATGTAGCTAAGCAGCCGTCCCGTGCAAAAGTGGCCGGTCAACAGGACGTGAGGCTGGGGATCCCCAGTCCCTGGTCTCGGCGATGCGCAACTCACCACCCGATTGGCCGGCCAGGCTTTCAAAGGATTCACTTCAATTCCTGCCACGCGCAAAGCTGCGCGGTGAGTTGTTCGTAGCGCGACGCAGCTGCAAGTGGCCGCAACTAGCCTCTGGATAGCGGTAACCAGGCGGCCGAGAACAATCGCATTGGTCCTTTTGAGATGCCTAGCCGGGTTAAACGCCAACCTTGTAACGTCACATTCGCTGCACTGTTAGGGAGCTGAAGCTGCACACGCAGACCAGAGTTTTGCCGTAAACGTTGTTCTGCAAGGGCCGACTTGGAGTTATAAACGTAGACCGCTCCCGGTTTCCGGGAAGCAGGAAGAATAGACCAGGTTTCACCAGACACAGTAGAGGGACCTGGAAACCAGCCTCATCTCTCAGACACAACTCAAGCCTGGACAAGATGCACAACCTCTTTGCTCTCACAGCTGCCGCGGCTGGCCTCTTCGCAACAGCCTCGGCAACCAAGGTTCCCAGCGTCAACGTGCCCGCTTGTCCTCGCGTGGGCAGCATCAGCTACAGCAAATCCGTGCCTGATCTGACTCCCTTCCCGCGCACGCAGGTCGATCTCTGCTACACAGACACCAGCCTGGAGCTCGCATTCACTGCATTCGACGAGGTCAACTACTACTTCAACGCGTCGCAGGGCATCAACGACGACATCTGGGAGTACGAGGTCATGGAGGCCTTCCTCTACAAGGGCACCGACGACCCCCAGACTTATGTAGAGCTGGAGGTCAACCCCAACAATGTCACCTACCAGGCCTTTGTCTACAACCCGTCAAAGAACCGCACGGCCGGCGCGCCCTTTGACCACTTCTTTGTGTCGGATCCTGCGGCCGATGGCTTCAGCGCGACAACTGTGCTCAACAAGCCGGCCAAGACGTGGAAGAGCACCGTCACCGTCCCGCTAGGCATCTTCAACGTAGACGAGTGCAAGGCCAAGGGCACGCAGTGGAGGATGAACTTCTTCCGCACAATCACTTCTCCAGAGACATACCCCAATCAGACTTTGGGGGCATGGAGCCCGCCAAATGAGGCGAGCTTTCACATCTCCAAGTACTTTGGCCATGTGAACTTTGTATAAGCTCCAGATCGGGCATGGGCATGTAAATGAGCAGAATACGAATAGAGGCTGCATACCTGAAACGAATCTCTCTCGATATCAATGCTTTTTCTTCTTTCAGTGACTTGGGCTTTTATGTATATATTGAATTAACTTTTGAGAAGCCATTGATGTGGTTGGAGTTGTATTGCAATTAATTGCGCGGCATCGTGGTCGGCACTACTACACGTCAGCGTCTCATGTAAATATTTTGGCGGTGCAGTCTGCGTACGTACCAACTAAGCAACAGAAGATGAAGACTGTGAAGTGAATATACACACAAAGAAAAGAAAGCATACGAAATTATAAAAAAGTTCAGTTGCTGTAAAACTGGTGAAGGTGGTAAAATCAATGTCCCAGTGATAACAAAAGCAGAAGTAATAAAGGTAGTAGAGGTAGTAGAGGTAGTAGAGGTAGTAGAGGTAGTAGAGGTAGTAGAGGTAGTAGAGGTAGTAGAAGCAGCTATTAATAAAGGATAAAACTGTGTTGAAACCCACGTCTGGTGAAACTGAAAGGCCGCCACTTTTTGAGCTGAAACGAATCTCTTCTTATTGCAATTATAAGCCGCGAATGCGAAACATCCGGCGGCATATTCGGCACCAAATAGCATGGGATTTCTAAACGGTCACCAGTTAAATCAGGTGTTTGCAGCGCATTGTTGCACGTCCGTAGTTCAGAGCGTAGTAAACGGAAATGTAACCGTCCAGTAACGGCGATCTTTTCTCAGTAAGGGAGCTAAATTTGTATGCCAAATGAGAGCTTACTGATGTTGTTTCCTCGCTGTAGCATATGGTATTTGCTCTTCCTTCGATATGTTCGGTCCTACTGCGAGTGATCGGCAGGAACGCAGGACGTTAATCTACCATGAATGCGATGCCAGCAAGATGTCGTTTGCAAAAACTGCTTGGACTCATAAACAGCCGCAGAGTCCCCTGCTCAGTTTTCCCGGCAAGGCCTTGTAAGCAGTGAGATCTATTATTAACTACTAGTGTTTGCTGTAGCGAGTGAGGCGAGAGACGAAGAGCCTCGCTGCTTACACCAAAGACAGCCTGAGGCGGGGCGTTTCTGCAAATCTTGACCAAAACAAGTCTTGGAAGAAATCCGCGAGACTACATCGCTGTCAGGTCCCTGGAAACTAGCGACAGCGACTTGCCTATTTAGATGAATGCGAGAAACAGCTGGTCCAGCCCAATTGAATACGCATAACGTGCGCTTATCAGCACAATCTTGGCGCTTGTTGGTGACAGTAAACGTTGCTATTGGCCTTTATAACTCACGTACGTGCCACTTACATGCAGCCAGCTTCACATACGGGTATGCGGCACTTTCGCATGACTTGGCTCATTCTTGCATGTACGCGTCAGTCACTGCTTTTGTGTAGGTGTTTATTCTCTCAAGGCGTGGGCAGCGCTTAAGGCAGCCGTCTATCCGGTTACATCTGCAGAACACTCCGAAGCTGTACATCGCAATATTTCCGCCTTACAACCTACCTAATTGAGCAGTTCCCGTTGCCTTTTGTTGGCTCTGGTTGAAACAAAACCGTGCCCGTAGCGTAGTTTCATCCTGCTAGCCATGTGGGGTTGGATCATGACCCAAATCATGGGCGCAGGCTAGATGGGATCGCAGATCTTAACCCTCCGTAACAGGTGCCATCCTTGGCCGTGCAGCTCAGTACCGGAATAGGCAGCCGCTTCAAGATGTGTGGATCGGGTGAAGTGCTCACAGTGGGATAGTAAACTACATGTGAGAAGATGCAAATGTGTCATCGGGATGAAGAAAATGGATAGGCGATCATGCCTTGTAGAAACAAGTTTGCCTTGATAGATGTCTCACCATCTCCAAATACCCGGCTATCGTCATCGGTAATGAATGAACCTCATCTATGTGAGAGACAATTGAGTACACCAAGCAGTATAACTTCAACCATCGCCTATCAGGGTCAAACTGCAAGCGCCTACTCTAAAAATTAGCCTCCGGCGTACGTCCGCGGTTACTGTTGATCACTTCTTCTCTGAATAGCGCCCTAAAGACCCCTTCCACAATAAGCAAAGCACTGTCAGACGGAAGCGATGATCACAGCTCGAAACGGGATCTGTATTATCGAACGAGAAGACTTTCAGGAACGTAGCATCTATCAGCGTGGGGATTGTCCACTTACAACTCGCCATTGGTAGTAGTGAAGCTATCAGGTCTCGATGTACTCCGCGGGGCTGTTGGCTGTAAGTGTCAAGTGTAAGATATTTTTTGAACGTTGTAACAACGACTAGCCTTGCCACGCTGCTTTGAAACAAACGTGGAGTATGCACGGCATATCCATTTGCTGGTGGTTACATTGCAATCATGATCATGGAATCATCAGTCAAGGGCTACGGCTGACATGGCTCATACGCTGAATAGTACAGCGTCTGAAACATAAATACGGCATCATCTGCCTCTTTTCCCATTCCTTTTGCCCTCACTCCTCACTCACCAACGAGACCTTCAGTCTACAGTCCTTTCTTATAAAAAGATCCTTGACGGATCCCTTCATTCCCTTTTACTTTCGCAGTATATACAGTCCTTTTTGACACCTTCATTCGAGCTTGTACTCTTCGACTTCAGTCACTTATACATACCAACAAAACTCAAGATGCTCTTCACTGCTGCTCTTACCGGCCTCATGGCCACCGCTGCCATGGCTGCTCCCTACCGCCGACAGACAAACTCTACTACTGGCCTGAACGTTGTCTACTGGGGCCAGAACGGCGGCGGCACCATCGAGAACAACGATCTTTCTACCTACTGTACTGCCGAGTCAGGCATTGATGTGATCGTTCTCGCGTTTCTCTACCAATATGGCAACGGTGTTACCATTCCAAGTGGCGTTATTGGCCAGAGCTGTGCCATTGATACCTCTGGCAACCCTTCAAACTGCGACGATCTTGCCTCCGCCATTGCTACTTGCAAGTCCAACGGAGTCAAGGTGGTCTTGTCTCTGGGCGGCGCAGTTGGTGCCTACTCTCTCTCTTCTCAGCAGGAGGCCGAGACTATTGGACAGAACCTCTGGGACGCTTATGGCGCTGGCAATGGAACTGTTCCACGCCCATTTGGCTCTACCACTGTTGACGGTTGGGATTTCGACATTGAGGCCTCGTAAGTTGCAAAGCTCTTTTTAAAAGTGAAAGAGGTCAAGAACTAAACAGCTATAATACAGGTCGGGCAACCAGTACTACCAGTACTTGATCGCCAAGCTTCGCTCAAACTTCAACGGCGGCAACTACGTGATCACAGGAGCTCCTCAATGCCCGATACCAGAGCCGAACATGCAACAAATCATAACTACTTCGCAGTTCGATTACCTTTGGGTCCAGTTCTACAACAACCCCAGCTGCTCCGTTGGCACTTCTACTCCCAACTTTGATGACTGGGTTTCCAACGTTGCCAACACTCCCTCTGCTAATGCCAAGATCTTCCTTGGCGTTCCCGCATCGACATTGGGAGCTACCGGTACCGAATCTGGTGCTCAATACTATCTTGAGCCCTCTGCTCTCAACACCCTCGTCGGCCAGTTCTCTTCCAACCCTGCCTTTGGCGGTGTCATGATGTGGGCTGCCGGTTTCTCCGACTCCAACGTCAACAACGGATGCACTTACGCTCAAGAGGCCAAGAAAATTCTTACTACTGGCCAGATCTGCTAAGTGTCGGGACATCAAGCCTCGAATTCGCTCTCATGAAGCATGAAGAACAGACCATCCTTTTGGAACGTTCACCTTTCTTTTTCTGCACGTTTCTTCCTTCATCTTTTCTCTTCTATCATTTACTGTTTATACTTGCCTTTTTGGACTGATGTACTTATTTTTACACTCGCTGGTTGAGAATATACATAGACGCGCACATGTATATATAGGTAGCTGATGAGCTAGATGACATTGCCATTTGGCACATTGTATAACATGACTTTGCATATAAAACCACGATGACTTTAGAGTTGAATATGAGTTTTGTGACTGTTTAAAAATTAATCTTCAGTTTAGGAGAGTTACGAGAATTGACTGTAGAGCAGGGTCGGTTCGCATTGGCGACTTCACCACAGCGCGGGCTAAGCTTTTAGTGGATGCGCAAAGCGAAAATGACCAGCGCTGCATCAATGACGGCATTAGACATTACTTTTATTTATTTCATCGTGTTATTGTAAAATCGCAAAATACCACCCAGGCTTCAACAGATGCGTCTTCCCCAAGTCTCCCTTTAGCCAGCATCTATGCTCGCTCCCTGCATCGCCTGGTATAATCCCCCATCCCGCACCTGTACAGCCCGGAAACGTTGCACAGTTGGCCATACAATCCTCCATGTCTACTGTATACAAGTTTCCCACTTCGACTGCCTGGCCTGCGCCGCTGTAGTCTATTCCGCAGATGAGCAAAAAGGTCTTTTGTGAGCCGGGAACGGCGTATCTTGTATTGTTGGCTTGGGGACAGCCAAGGAGGTTAGATGGGAGAGACTCGGTGGGAGAAGCAGTCTTTGAACTCGTCGACGTCGATGTGTGTGGCCCCGGAGCAGAACTTGTCGTAGGGCTGTTGCAGAAGCAATGTCAGTATACAGCATTGTCTCAATGGAAACTGGATAGTTATGCATGGGCTTTAGAAAGCCATCTCGTTATCCCCGCATACCTTGGTTGAACAACTGCCTTGTGCTTCGTACTAAGACCAACTCCAACTCCAACGCCGACTCCAATCGCTACAAGTAGCCCAATAGCGGCCATTATAAGCCAAAACAACCGAGTAGTCACCCCGCAGATGGTGGCTTTTACAGGTAACGGAGCTGGCGGAGCGACATGGTCATACTGGTAATCGTAGAATTCTCCGGCTTTGTTAAGAATGTTGGTGGTGCTCGACACATCGAGATTCGTATCTCTGGTCGTCGGAGGAGGCGGCGGCGTCCCTTCGCGATAAAAAGTCGCGGCGGTTTGGTCAACCGATCTGCCCCGGTCTGGAGACATCGGGGCCCCCGGAGTTGCACGGATCAGATTTCGTCTGCCGCCGTCGTTGTGGAACAGGACGCTTTGGCTGCTTGTGCTGATGGTGGCTGAACGTCCTCGCTGTGCACCGCTGAAGTCATCTCCATTTCTCTCGGCCTCGCTGTAATGAGACGGAAACCCCATTTAACGTCTCCGGCAGAGTGTCTCGCGTTGGAAGCGCTTGAGTCGTTGTGAGAAATTTCCTAGGACTCAATTTCCTCTTCCTTGCTCTCTAGCGCCAAACCCCGGAACGCGTCCTTGACGTCAAATGTGTCGCCGCTCAGATGAATCTTGAGACAGAGCCTCAGCCCAGCAAAGCCCGAGTTTGCAACCGGCAGAGCTCCTTAATTTAAACGGCAATGCGCTACCGTGTATGTCATCATCTCTCGTACCTTATTGATTTCCTTCTTCAGTGCCATCACGTGGCATTACCCCTGCTGGTTCCTGCAGAGATTCGATAGTGCGACGATGAATCCGCTTTGGAAGCCGAAACCAATGCTAGTGCTCTTATTGACGGCGGGCCGCTAGACGGAGCCCGGCCTGATTCGCTTCGCAGGATCCTAGTCTTGTCGTTGTGCTTTGGATGCGATGTTGCCAGTGGTTTGTGGCATCTTGAGCAAGTGGTGGCCCCTTGTTGACCGGTGCCATGTCCATTGTTACCACGGATTTGGTTGACCGTGGCCGAAATAGGGCCTGATCCCAGACGGCGATCTCAAGATCATCTCTTCGTTGTGCACACAATGAAGGGCAAGCCCAGAAGAGATGAGCAGCTGGTTTGATTGGTGAGTTATAACCTCGGTTTGAAACGCCGTTGCTACAAAGCTCCGCCAAATACAGGTGTTTTCTGGTTGCTGTCACTGGAAGACATATCGTGCCTTTTCTCTCCTCATTTGGTACCGCTGACAACAATGCTTGTAGCATTTTGACTTCTCAATCTTGTATCGACGGTATGGTAGACTTCGCAAAACTTTATGGCCTTTGAAACCGTGGGCAAGTTGCGGTGCTTGGCGACGTAGAAGAAGCTACGCTAATCTTCATTTTCGCGATGGGCCGTGTTTGGCTTTCGGTTCTTCGTTTCTTCGGAATCGCTGTCACTATAAGCGTGGTGATTGCTTAGCTGGCAAGCTGCTGTGGCTTCTCCTCGGGGAGTAGGAAATCGATGCTATTTCGAGAGGATATTGATGGAGGCGCTGGTGCTGGTGTTGGAGTTGGCCTATGCGCGGCAACGTTAGTGATTCGGGTACGCTTGATTGGATGTAGAGGGCCGATCTCACGCGTTGAGGTTGACATAAAGAGCCCTGTTTGCTAAATGCATCGCCCCAGCAGGATTTCTCTCGTAGATAGGGCATTGTGGAATTGGGTTTCATGAAGCCCTCGCGGTGATGGTGGCACCCTCTGCACGCAAAACCACTTTCAAGAAAACAACGTGCAGAAAACGCGCAGCATGTGAATGAGCAAAAAGAAACGAGCAAGTGAATTGAAAAGGAAAAAATCAAAAAACAACGACAGAGGCAGGGTTCGAACCTGCGCACCCGAAGGTATTAGATAGCGAGAATCAGTGTTAATTCAAGTCTAACGCTTTAGACCACTCAGCCACTCTGCCTGTTGATGTCTTGGAGGCGGGGTAAAACTGTACAAGTAGCATTTGCCTCTGAACGTCCAAGAATTGCCGAGGCCTCATTACCAGTTCGGCGCGTCGTATTGCGAGCTTCACTTCCGCTTTCAATGTCGATTGCGCTCAGCATCTCTTGAAGAACTCCTCAGATATTCTATATCTGATCTATTTGCAACTGGTCTACTAATTGCGCCCGTTGTAGCGCCTGGCAACCTACAGACTTTGTCTTTGGCGTATATTGCGGCATGGCCATCAAGGTACACGCGAGTGATTTCACTCTGGACAACAATCATGAATCAAATGGTATACAACCCGGGCTATGCTCTGAGCTCACCAATTGAGTGAAAGCAATAGAGTGAAATGCATTTCATCGGCAAAAAGAAAACGCGCTTTCTCTGTTTGATAGGTACTTTTGCTCGACTAGCAATGTGAAATCCGCAGCCCAGTTGCAGTCTTCCTTTGATCCCGGGTAGCTCCGTGATACGCGATAACCAATCTCCAGCCAACAAGCATTATTTGCCCATGTTCGGCAGGCTTCCCCGCCATCTCGCAACGCTCAACCTGGCCAAGATGCCGGATATAAGAAGCCCAGCCCAGGGCCAGAGCAGATCGCCGCCCCTCATCTGCAACCAACCAGGTACGTCTCCAATGCTCTCATTCATATCCTTCATATCCTTTCTCGCTGATCCCTCGCAATCGATGATGTGCGTGAATATCAGCTGCTAACCGCCATCTCCTCCTTCAGTGTCCGTACCGTCGCGCTGAGAGCTTCCAACTCAGCAAGGCCAGCCATGGTCTCGTTCAGTTGCTTCGCCAAGTATGGCATCGCCAGCCTCATGGCCGCGAGCCAGGCATCTGCCTTGACGCCTCTCAATCTGATGATGCACGCCGTCGACCTCCACGCGAAACCCGACCCAGAGCAGCGCGTATCGATCGAGGCGTACGAGAAGAAATACCCTAATATCAAGGCGTACAACTTTTCGGTGCCGGTCGACCATTTGCACAACGAGTCAAACTATGCGCCTCATTCAAGCGACTCGTTTCCACTACGATACTGGCTGGACATTTCAAATTACCGTCCAGGTGGGCCGGTCATCATCCTTCACAGTGGCGAATTTGATAGCGAAGGCAGATTGCCATATCTTCAGCATGGAATCGTTCCCATCCTGACCAAGGCTACGGGCGGTGTTGGGCTCGTCATGGAGCATCGATACTACGGCACCAGCTTCCCCGTTCCAGACCTCACGACCGAGAACCTGCGCTTCCTCTCAACAGAGCAAGCGCTCGCCGACACTGCATACTTTGCTAAAAACATCGTGTTTCCCGGCTTGGAGCATCTCGACTTGACCGCTCCTGGGACCCCATGGATCATTTACGGCGGCTCGTATGCTGGCGCCTTTGCTGCCTTTGCCCGCAAGCTGTATCCAGAGACATTCTACGGCGCAATCTCATCTTCAGGGGTCACGGCTGCCGTTGAGGATTATTGGCAGTACTTCGAGGCAGCGCGCCAGTATGCGCCCGGCAACTGCGGGCCAAACACGCAAAAGATTACCCAAGTCGTAGACTCAGTTCTCTTCAGCGGCGATAGGGCTAAGGTGCGTAAATTCAAGGACATGTTTGGTCTGGGAGATCTCGAGGACGACGAATTTGCTTCCACCATTATTCGGGGCCTCTACGGGCTGCAGTCCACCAACTGGGACCCGGAAGAGGACGAGATTTCTCTCGGAGTCTACTGCGCCCTCATCGGCTCTGATGCCCAACTCTTCTCGAGTACAGCCCATCTCACCCTAACGGTGAGAGATCTCGTCAAGGAAGCCGGCTTTGCTACCGAATCCGAGGTTCTGTCCAATCGCATGCTCAATTATATTGGCTATATCAAAAATTATGTCAAAAAGACGTTCAAGTCGGCTTGTAAAAGTAAATCTGCCAAGCAATGCTTCTCTGCCCGCTATGCCCCAAATGACGTGAGACTTGAAGCTGGCTGGTTACGCAGCTGGGCCTACCAAGTGTGCACACAGTAAGTAATTCTGTATCCTATGCATTGGCCTGGTATCTTGTGATGCTGACTTGCCTTCAGATGGGGATATTTTGTGACTGGCTCTGGTACGCCCAAGGACCAGCTTCCAATGATATCTCGAGCCATTACTCTCGAATACGCCTCGATACAATGCGAGAAGCTCTTCAACATCACCACCTCTCCCGATGTGCAGTCCATCAATAAACTAGGAGGATTCAACTTTAGCTATCCTCGTCTGGCAATCATAGACGGAGCTCAGGATCCATGGAAAGCCGCCACTCCCCATGCGACTGGCCTGCCCGACCGGGAGTCAACTACCAGCGAGCCCTTCTTGCTTATTGACTGGGGTGTCCACCACTGGGATGAGTACGGCCTGCCCGAGGATGTTCACGTCCCGGGCCTGCCCCCGCCACAAGTTACTCAGGCACACCAGGCCGAGGTTGAGTTTGTCAAGGCGTGGCTGAAGGAATGGAAGGAGGAAAATGGAAGCTCATCAGCAGGGCTGGATCGGGAAGAGGAGATTATAGATGAGCTATAGTTTGTGTTTGGCCTGCATCCATTGTTTCTTCTTAGCGTACTTCTTTTTTGAGAACCAAGTCCATTTCGTCTATTGGATACTCATTCCTCGGCAATGTCAAGACATGTATACCTTCCGCCCAAAACGGCCACTTTGAAGATATTTGCCCTACTCATCAAATTGAAAATCCTTCGAATCGTCGGCCAACCATATCCGGATTTCCTCCAATGCATCAAAGTCATTCCTACAAAGAGATAGTTGAACCCTCTCATCAAACCATTCATAAGTACGGCCAATGCCCTCCAAACTCTCCCCCTCCTTCTGACAAGATCCAAAGTCGATAATGACTGGTACATTGCCTTTGAGCATAATATTACTCGGATTGATGTCGTTGTGGATAATTCCTAGTTTATGAAGATGCCGAAGTCCCCTTTCGACTCCTTCTAAAACATGGAGATAGCTTTCCAGGCCTTGTCGATTTGCTCGAAACATTCTTTTGCTGTAGTGATGGGGGTTGACCGCCTGCATTAAAGTTTGGTCGTACTTGGCAAAGCATATACTCATAATTTTGCCGTCGGCAACTTGGCAACCAATGTATTCAGCGATATTGGGATGTGGATTTTTTCGAAGGAGCTCGCAAATTTCTGCCTCTCTGAGCACATTGTCCGCAATGCAGTTTGGCTGAGGACCCTGATGATACCGATCGTAGGAGGTTAACAGAGGTCGCTTGGCAAAGATATCGCACGGTAGAGGATCAGAAGCTCTCAAAAAATTGGCTGGAAAGAGAGGCATATAGGCAGACACAGGGATAAGAATGCTGTGAGAAAGATGCTCTCTCCTAATGTCTGATGGCGACACATGACGGCCTTTTGAGAATCCATGGTAGATATTGTTATCGTCTCGATAGACTACAAGAGTCCCCGTGAATTGATACTGCCCGTCGACGTCTTCGAAAGCTTCGTTGGCCTCGAGTACGTCGATCTTGGTGGTCTGCGGATTTGGTATCGGTGCAATAAACAGGATGCCAGTAAATACCGACTGATGAGAAAGTGAAGAACTGCTGCCAAGATGATTCATTTTTTGTTCACCGCTCTAAAGAGCAGTAGCCTTTTCCCTGTCGTGGATGATGGAATATGGTCCGTGTGCAGAGCTATGTCCGTTTACATTCCCAGCGACTACGGCACCCAACGCAATGCAAATCAAGAAACCTCTCGAGAGGCTGTTGATTGCCGTCATTTAGGGCAAAAGTTCCAAGCGCCTGGACGATGACGGTTCATCATTGCAGAACTACTGGTCTAGTTGCTACGATACAGTGTCATATGTTCCGCCAAAAGGAGGCGATACTAAGTTGGTGAGTGTTCTGCCGTGTATATCTTGCTGGCGCAGGAATACTTGAACAGAGAAGCTTAGTTGATATAAACAGTTGGGCTATGGAATCGCGTGCACGCTTGCTATAATTCATGTATCGTTTGAGGATGAGCAAGATGTTACAACGATACCTATTTCATCAAGTTTCTGGGCCAGCTCCATCTCCCAACACTCAGCTATAGCTCAACAAGGCAGCTAGCCCAGGTATATATGAATTGAAGTACTCTTATAGATGGCATATACCTGGAAGTAGGAGCAATAGCCGTCACCGGAGTGGTAGCATATTCGATATCCGGAGTGATGGATAATAACTCGGGCGCTGGATACCATAACTTTTTCCAAAAAAGAAAAAAGTCGCGTTGTCACGCAGTGAAAGCCTCGGATATAAACGCGACATGTCAAAGATGGGATCTGCAACGTTATTCGTTGTGTTATCATCCAAGACCAAAGCGGCATTTCTTCCGAGGTGTTTGGTTCGAATTTAGAAATGCCGAGAGATCAGCCGCGTTTCTATAATAGTGGAGACGCAAAGAATGCCGTATGTAGTATTTTGAAGGGTAGATGTGGAGTTTGTCTTGATTCATGCAAGTCTACCTACGCAAAGACCTCTCTGTCGGGACATCTACGTCGCAGTCGCAGGCTTTGTATGCATTATGACAGTGTCTGCATGTCTATCTACTCAGTATAGGCAGGCAGGTATAATACAGAACAATAGCCGTCACCTTTTTTCAAATTTTTGAAACTGTTTAGTTTGCGCGACTGGAAACCTCGTCTACACGAGTAAAGTCGGTGATATTCCGCCAAGGACCACAAGGCCCATCATCCGGTGCTTGTACCTACATGGCTAGCAGACGGCAGTTCACAGATAGCGCCGCCCCAAGACACGAATCGGCCGATACGTGTATACACTGGACTGGATGTCAGAGAGCCGAAAGGCTTCTAGTCTCACGCCACCTTTAAGGGGTCAATCTGGTGGCGCTCAACGGCTGCTCGGAACCGGATCTAGCCGCGCAGTGCAGGCAGGAAATTCTCCTTGCCTGCAGCGGCCAGCAGTCCACGATGCTCTGTAGATCTGCGCTGGAGTCTCACCAGAAGCGCTGGTATGGCGGCTCGGCGGCTTCTCTGCATCCGAGCCCGGCCCTTGAATCCGCGGACAGAATGCAGGCCGTAGAGGTCGCGCGAACGCTGATCCGCATTGTTTTATCCAGACGCCAATGTAACGGTATTGCTACCATCGACTTTGTGGTTATAGATGGAACAGTATCTGCTGCATAAACTCTGCGCGCTTGCTCCATTCCGAGGTCCACGGACAAGTGTCTAAAAGAGACCGCCCACGGGCTCGAAGAGCTCCATCATCTGGCCATGCCCCTAATTCAAGCGGAATCGGTCATGGAATCACCGACTCTCGACTGCGTCGTGCAGAGTTTCAAGGACAAGGACGCGGGATCTTGTCGGCGTTGAGTGGTATTGCCTCTGCCGGTGCCGCCGTGGATTCTGGAAGATACGTCATACGGAAATAGGGACGGGAATCTTCCTCGGGATATGTTGGTGATAACCTGTAGGACCACAGACGTTCACACGCGAGTATATAATGTAAATATCCTGTCGACGATGAAAGGGGGAAAAAATCACAAGAGCAGTCATTCAAACTATAACCATTTACTTTACAAAGAGCAGCCACCTGCACTTCTTTTTGATCATATTCATTTGATATCTTTTACAGAGCAGCAGCCATATCCTGCAAAGGACAGCCCCAAATTCGATAAATCTTCCCTTGTAAAGACAACAGCTACATCCAACATGGGTTCCGTCGCAACGCTTGAAGAGACTCGCTCCATCATCAACATCATTGAAGATGATGCTGCGAGTGACCCCAACCGCCCCTTTGTCTTCGTACCCCGATCAACACGCCCTCAAGATGGGTGGGAGCCAGTCACATACAAGCAGCTAACAAACGCTGTCAATCATGTCGCTCATCTCATTGCACAAATGGTCGCCAACGATGCCCGAAGAGATGACTTCCCGACAATTGGCTACATCGGCCCAAATGATACGCGATATCTCGTCTTCATGCTGGCCTGCATGAAGGCAAAATGCCAACCCTTTCTGCCATCTCCTCGAAACACCATCGAAGGCCAACTCTCTCTCTTGAAGGCTACCGACTGCCGCTATTTCTGGTACGGAGAAGGATACTTGCCAGTTATCCAGAAGATTCTTGCACAGCGACAGATGCAAGTAACCCAAGTTCCTAGTGCCAAGGAATGGCTCGAGGCTACGCCCAACCCTTTCCCGTATAATCATTCGGCCGATGAGACTCGATCACATCCATGGATTGCTCTTCATACTAGCGGTTCCACCGGAATCCCCAAGAAAATAATCTTAAGCCAAGGAAATCTCCAGCTTCTTGGCAAGCTTCGCAGTACTACCGACCAGTACAATAACCCTTCTTTATACAATGCATGGGCCTCTCGTTCAACAAGAGTATTTAATCCTATGCCGTTGTTTCACGGAGCGGGAGTGGCAATGCTCATGATGCTCGCCATCAACTATAAGATGCCTTGCGCCTTGAATATACCAGAGAAACCATTAAACGCCGAGCTGGTAATGCAGTGCTTATCTCACGCTGGAGTTGATGGAACTATTCTGCCTCCTTCGGTGATTGAAGATGTCTCGTCTACTGAAGCTGGCCTGAAAGCGCTGACAAATCTCAAATTCCTCTCATTTGGAGGTGGCAGTCTGTCGGGACCAGTGGGCGACAAGCTCGTGGATAACGGAGCATACATAATTAACCTTTATGGATCCAGCGAGTAAGCTTACCACTCAATTAACTTGCCAAACTACTTGTCGCTAACGAACAATATCTAGGACTTTCCCTCTGGCCTTACAAGAGCAGACAAATCCCCGCCTTTGGCGCTATTTCATCTTCAACCCCGAACTTATGGGATCCGAGATGATTCCAACAGCGTGGGAGGGAGTTTATGGATTCAAAATACGCCGCGACCCACGAAATGCTAGTCCCCAGCCTGTCTTCAACAACTTTCCAGAATTGGATGAATTCCTTACCGGAGACTTGTTCGAGGCTCACGAATCCTTGCCCAACCACTTCAAGTACTACGGGCGAGGAGACGATGTTATCGTCTTCTCAAACGGAGAGAAGCTGAATCCAGTGACTATAGAGGATATTGTCGTTGCTCATCCAGCTCTTAAGCATGTCTTGGTTGTGGGACAGCAAAAGTTCCAGCCAGCCATCATATTGGACCCGAAGAACCCCGTAAAGAGCGACGCAGAAGCAGAAGCACTGATTAACGACGTGTGGCCTCTTATTGAGCAGGCCAACAAACAAACAGTTGCGCACGGCCGTATTGTTCGACAGCTAGTAGCCCTTTCAGACCCCAATATGCCGTTTTCGCTGGCTGGTAAAGGTACTGTGCAAAGGACCCATACTGTCCGTTTGTACGGAGATTACATTGAGGGCATCTACTTGCAGGCAGACGCTGCTGTGAACAATGTGAACTTGGACCTCAGCAGCCAGCAGGGCTTGGCGTCATCTATCAAGGAGCTGCTTCAAGACAAGCTTGACGTTGAACAGCTCGAGCAAGATACAGACTTTTTTAGCCACGGAGTCGACTCATTACAGGTCATTACCATGGCCAAGATGCTGCAAGCCGGGCTTGAAAAGGCAGGGGTCGAGTTCGATCCCAACATTGTCGCAACTCGCTCCATCTATTCCAACCCTTCAATCGAGCTTCTTTCCAGCTACATCTTCCGATCAATATCTAAATCTGATGGAGAGAATGGCGATTCAGCAGAAGCAGACTTTAGTGCCCAGCAAATTAAAGCCATGGAGGCTATCGTCGCCAAATACACCAGCAATCTCCCCGAGCGAAATGATGCTCAACGAGACCCGAATGAAAATGGTCAAACAGTCATCTTGACAGGCTCGACAGGCTCTTTGGGAAGCTACATGCTGGATCAGCTCATCAACTCGCCTCGCGTCAGCAAAGTGTACGCTCTTAACCGCGGTGCTGACGGAGGCCGCTCTCGTCAGGAGGATACAAATGAGAGCCGTACCTTGACCAAAGACTTCTCCAAGGTTGAGTTTTTGGGCTCGGACCTGTCAAAGCCAAATTTTGGACTTGATGCCGCCAAGTATGCAGAGATGCTGTCCTCGGTGGACAGAATAGTCCACAACGCTTGGCCAGTCAACTTCAACATGCCAATCGCTTCCTTTGAGCCGTTTATCCGCGGAGTCCGCCACTTTGTCGACTTTGCGGGTGCGTCACCCAAGAAAGTTGCTGTGGTGTTTGTATCAAGTATAGGCTCTGCAAATAGCTGGTCTTCTAGTGAACCTGTGCCTGAGAGGCGACTTGAAGACCCGAAATTGGCAGAGATGGGATACGGCTTGTCGAAACTCGCGGCCAGCTTCATCTTGGACGCCGCGGCGGCACAGTCAGGCTTAGCCACCGTGTCTGTGAGAGTGGGCCAAATTGCTGGTCCCAAGGCTGGAAATGGTGTCTGGAATCCGCAAGAGTTTGTACCAAGCTTGATTGCAAGCTCAGTCTATCTCGGAGCCATTCCAAGTCATATTGGCCCATTCCAAAATGCCGATTGGGTCCCGACAGAGGACGTTTCTGGAATCATCCTTGACGTGGCTGGCATCACAAATTCCCACCCTATTGCTGAAATCAATGGCTACTTCCATGTGCAGAACCCTGCCAAGGTGCAATGGTCTGAAGTAGCCGAGACCCTTAAAGAATTCTATGGCGGACGCATCAGAGAATTCACAAGCATGAGCGAATGGGTTGCGCTCTTGGAAGCCAGCGCTTCTGACGAACAGAATCTGGATAAAAATCCCGCTGTCAAGCTGCTCGACACGTATCGCGGGTTTAGAGAAAAGGAGGCAGCCGGAGAGGCACCGGTTATTTTTGACATGAAGAGGACTATTTCCAAAAGCACAACTGCCGCTGCATTGAAGCCTATTGATGCAGAGCTGTTGCGGAAGTGGTGCACTGCGTGGAACTTTTAAGGCGAATGCTATTAGGTAGTGAAAGTATATTCTATTTTAATGTATCAGTTATCTTCAAGTTTGCTTGTTCATATTAAGAACCCTAATAGAAGTCAATGATTCGAATGCACAGCCACTCATAAACTCCGTAGAGAAGGCCAAGTGATTGGCAAGAGAATAGAGCCATAGCCATTTGCCAATCTTCTTCATGCCAACTGTACATTACTCCTAGCTCAAGTCTCTATCAACCACATCTTCTAAAATCGTCTCATTTCTGGCTTCGGCAGCTTTGCGCGCCAGCTTAAGAGTCCTGGTATCTCTCTCTGTGTTTCTCGTAACCCACCACGTCAGAAGAGTGACCAGCATACACAGGGCGACCAAGGCCATGGCCACAGCAAATGGTACCGTGTAATGAGGAGCGTATTTGCTTCTGAAGATCTGAGGTCCCACCGCCCCTCCAATCTGGCCATACGAGTTTACAAACCCAATCGAAAATGCCGAGCCTGTTGCTCTACTTGTGGTCTGGACTCTCCAGGGCCACATGAGCGGATACCATGCTGCTGCACAGCTGTTTCCGATGAGTGTAGCGATATATACACCGGCATTATTGGGATAAGCGACAAGAACTGCGTAGCAGGCAATTATTATCAGCAGACATCCGATTGGATAAAGCGGCCTGGGATACCGGCCATTGTCAGCGAAAACTCCAGAGGCCCCAATCAGAATTAAGGACGCAGCCGTAATGGGTATGTTGAGAATCTGAGCCGTCGCAATGTTTCTGAATAATCACGTTAGAAAGCTTGTTAAAGTAGTGCTGCAATGGAGATTCTCACGTAAACCCCAAATTGGCAATGACTGTCGATTGATAGAAGCGGACGCCATTCGTGCCAATTGTGTAAATAGCCCAGATCAGGGTGAATAGCCAGAGTCGGACATCTTTAAGGGAGTCGACGATTTCGCTGAGTTTAAAATTTTGTTCATTGGCCCGAGGAGCGTTGGCAGGTAGTCGAGCTTGAATAAAAGCCTTTTCTTTGTCTGTTAACCAGCTTGCCGTCTCCGGAACTAGTCATCACAGCGTGTTAGATCAAGTCATCTTCCGGCTCGGAATATACGAACAATCTGGAAGTAGAAACCACACAGCGATTCCGAACACAATCGTCACAGCTCCTTCGGTGAGAAATAGCCTGCGTAACAGTTGTCAGCTATACCGCTCAATGCTCTAGGTGAAGCGCAGAGGCTCACCATTGCCATCCTGAAAGCCCAGAAGACCCAGACGCGTTGTCAAATGCAAAAGCCAATAAGCCGCCAAAAATCCCCGAAGTGTTGCCACAGATGTCTGCAAAGGATCAATATAGATACAAAGACCAAATTGTGGCAACGAACTCACAAAAGTACAAGAGTCTTAGTGACATCTCATCTGGTCGATACCAGTAACACATTTGAAGGAGGATTCCCGCGAACTGGCCCGATTCTGCCTGTACTCTGGTAAGATTTCCAGTTCGGACTGGGGAGGAGACACATACCAATCCAAGAAAGAACCTCGTAGCATAAAGGCCGCCTTTATTATGTACAGCAGCGTGTAGCATCAAACAAATACCCCACGTAACTATGATTCGTGACTGCCACTTTGACGGCGTGAAGTATTTTAACAGCAGATTACACGGGGCTTCTCCAATAATATAAGGGATCTTGTTTATAGTTAGATGCTGAAATGAGGCAGATGATATCCGGGATCTGGCATACATAGTATACTACCGTTACTAGATTGTACTCGTCTGATGTCATGCCAAGCTGATTCATAATATTCTGATGAGTTCCCTGGTTCATAATTCGAGCATTCGATACCTGCGACAGGTCATCAATCTAAGTCATTTTTTAGTCCAAGTGGAATGACTACTTACATTGTCTGAATCTAAATTTTTAAACATAAAAATAAGTGAGCACAAAGGCATCAGATGCCAATCAATGCGCCTTAGTAGCTTCTTCTCCTCTTCGGCAGTGAGAAGCGTGCGTGCGCCTTGGCTATCTGCCTGGAATCCATCAATTGCTTCGTCTATTGGTAACTGGGATATTACTTCGCCCCGTTTTGCATAGTGAATTTTGTTGTCGTGAGATATAGTCGGTATACTGACTTCGACATTATCGTGAGAGTCTTTGGTAGTCATTTCGCGCACTTGTCACAAAACATGTGTTTCTATATTTACTTTGACATACTATCTCCAGCTTACTTATGACTTAAAACACACAACTACTAAAAGGAAAATAAAGACACTTCCTATTGATCATGCCATGTACACCCTGCAAGCACGCATTTCGGAAACACTCCGCAATTTAGCTGGCAAATGATAAGCTATTTGAAAACGCAGCTACGAACCAAGAGTTCGGATGGTGACACATCATTGTTGATATGCATAATAATTACAATTCGCTAGATAGACAGTTATATCCGGGCAATTTATATGCACTCCATATATCGTGCGCCCGTTCGCAGATCTAAAGTCACTGTTGGAGGCAGAGAGGGGCAAGCTCGCAATCAAAGTGCATGATCACGCAACGCAGCTATGATCTCAAACGCACCAAACGGAACTAATTGGGCTACGAGTGCATTTAGCCAGTATGCTATCGGCATTTGGAGTCAAAAGTCGCATGTTCAGTTTATCGCGGATAATATAAGTATCTAAACATAGCCAAGTCATGGCGCGTGGTTAAAGTACGAGAACTTAGTCGTATTGAGAATACAGCATTATATTTGACTCGATCAACAGAGTTTAAGATATTAAATATGGCAACGGTAATTAATCTTGCGCAAGGCCCCGTTGAGATCCCCGCGTATCATCAGGTACCGGAGACCGCTCACGAATGTACGATGTTGGAACCTCTCTTCTATAAACACCCATCACTCACATGTAATATCTGTAGTGGACTGGGCCGACCTGGTCACTCTAGATCTCTCTCAGTTTGAGGAGCCCGGCGGTAAAGCCCGTCTAGCCAAGCAGCTTCAAGAAGCTATCCAAAAGATTGGTGAGTAATGTTTATTCCTGTATCTGATACCGGTGTTAAGATTATTCGGTAAAGGCTTCTTCTACATTACAAATTTTGGTTTAAGCCAAGAACAAGTAGATCGCCAATTCGCCATCGGTAAAGAAGTTTTTCGATTGCCTACAGAAGAAAAACTCAAATATCGGGCTGAATTGGAAAAGGGAGGCTACAACGGCTATAAGCCGCTGGGTCTTAGAGTAAGTATGATCCGTTCACCGCATCCCAGTTGCTAATATGCCGAGCAAAGGAGGTCGCTCCAGGCATCTGGGACAACACTGAAATCTTCAACATACCCAAGTTCATACATGCCTATGAGCGTCCGCAGCCGGAAATCATCAACCAGAATCGCGATGAAATCGAGAACTTTGCACGACACATCCATGACCACATTGTTGGGAAGCTTTTAATCCTCTGTGCTATCATCTTAGAGCTGCCGGAAGACTATTTTCTGAATCACCATCGCTACAATGAAAAATCCGACTGTCATTTGCGATACATGAAGTACCATCATCGTTCAGAGGAGGAAAACCAAGCTCTCGACAATGTCTGGGTGAAAGGCCACACGGATTTTGGGAGTCTCACGCTGTTGTTTCGGCAGCCTGTATGTGCACTGCAAGTACGAACTCCAGAAGGTAATTGGCGCTGGGTTCGTCCGTATCCAGAAAGCATAACAGTCAATCTAGCCGACTCGCTCGACTTTTGGACGAATGGGTTCTTGAAGAGCTCAATCCATAGAGTGGTAGCGCCTCCATCTGATCAACGAGATGTTGATAGGCTTGGCGTTCTGTACTTTGTCAGGCCGGAAGATAGCACGGAATTGAAGCCCATCACTAGCACTGTCCTTCAGCGGCTCGGCTACTCTAACGAGACAGACACGAGTGCAGCTGGGATTACAGCTGGTGAATGGGTAAAGGCGAGAGTCGCCAAGGGAGTCGCCAAAGAAAATAAGCCACGAAGCGAGGTGGAAGAACAGGCCATCATCGGTGGATTAACTGCAAAGTACTATGATTAGATAGACAGCAGAGGCCTTTTGGGCTCTAAGCTACATATCATCTTCAATGTATTGCTTATACACTGTAGGATAAAACTTCTGACCGTTGATTCTATGTGACCGTACCTTAGTTCGCAATTGGCTTTCCCCCCAAGTGTCGTATTTGCCACGTAGGAACGGAGAGTCAATGGCCTTGCTTTCCTCTGATTCAAGACCAGCATCGCGCCGAAAATTGGAAAAGTGATCCTCCAAAGTCCCAAGAGCCTGACTTTTGGTCAAGTCTCGCCGTACGCCTTGGAAAAAGGGAATGCTGAATCTTTCATCGCCACTTGAGAGCACTCGGTGTATGGTTGCCTTGCAAATGCCATGCGTTACTACTTCGAATGCTTGACCAATATTTACCACAAGCGTGCCCGGAATTACGGGGACGTCGATCCAGTCGCCAGCCTTGTTGAGAACTTGCAATCCCTTGACGCTTGGTGGTGAAGCCTGAAGCAAAAACGTCCACCAGCCGGATGAATCCTTGTGAGGACCAACTCCCTGGCCTGATCCAGTTACAGCAGGGTAATGTACAAGCTTGAGCCTATGCTGATCAGAGAGAAAAGACTCGAATGTGTGGCTGGGTAATTCTAGCGCTTGAGCAACCAAGATAAGAAACCGTTCTCCAAGAAGAGTCAACTCGGAGATGTAATCCTCAACAATTGGTCGCAGCTCCGAGAGTCCAGTAGGCCACTACCGTATAAATCCAGAGTTAGACATTGACAATAGAATACGTGATCAATTTTGTTGTTATATACCTGGTTGGGACCTCTGAGGCCTTCATAGAGAGGTTCATTAGGATCTGAGATAGCTGCCAATTCTGTTGCAAACTCGATTTGCTCCCTGACATCGGCCTGGCCATTTGTGATTTCCGTGCCTGCTCCCGAGTATCCAAGGAAATGCTTCGAGTTCTCTAAAGCTGCTGCCTTTTTTGCACTGTCTGGCAGAGCAAATAGCCTCGGAAGTATGTCAACGAGACTGTCAAGTACTTGTTGAGGCACCTTGTGATTTGAGATGTATAGGAATCCCACCTCTGTAAGAGCGATGCGAAGAGCGCTGAGAAGAGCCGGGAGCGATGTGGGATCATCTGCCAGGGCCAGGTCGATGACGGGAATCTCCTGAAAGCTACTTGTAGGACCCGACATTGTTGGGAATGAATATGATGTGATGAGGGCGAGGATACTTAATTACGCAACTGGAAGTTTGGAGAGAAAACTTGGCTTGAGAAATTGAGGCTTTTGTGACTCCCATTAGCCGAAGTCGCTGTATTCAAGCTTGCTTATGTAAATTCTCTTAACACATGCACTATGTTGATCTTTGAGTCTAAAGGAGATCATTCAATTTAAGTGGCTGAATTAGAAATGATGCAATTTTGAAGCATGACTAACTAGGCGCATTCCATTCTCGCTACAAATACGCGGTAAAATGCAAAAGCATGTCGTTAAATCTAATGTAAGCCAGACGTCACTCATAGTTTTGTTCTCCCTGACAGGAAGTAATGTTTTGTTATTTATTAGCACAACGAAACATGAAATACTGTGTAAAGGCTATAAATTAATAACGAAGACTTTTGCGTCTTAAATAATCGGCTTATTCGACATGTTGGAGCGGCTTCAGGCTTGGTAATCAGACTTGAAATCTAATTAGGCAAGTTGCTTCTCTTTGTTGTTACAGCCGGACTACTGAGAGTCTAAGGCAATATATCTCTGCTTACAGTATGGTATCTAAGGGTGTCGCCCATTTAAATTTCTTGCCTACCTGTATGAGAGTTAGCTCATTTCGGACTTTTACATGTTTCATCTCGCAAGGTAAATGCTGGAACAGCTTCCTGCTTTAAGCTAGTTTACCGAGCTCTAAGCAATTGTTGGCATGGATTTACAGCGTTTCTCTCACTGCTGACTAGTAAAATGTAAAGTAAATCTAAAACTTGACAAAGTCCATTTCTTGGAGTCTATTTCGTTATGCCCGGCGATGCCCTTTGTGATCCATATCTCGACAGTCCCAGCTTGCTTGAGAACCCGAGCAGCTACGTATTATGTGGTTGAGCCTATAAATGACACTAACACTTTCAATATTCCCGCGCCATCTAGAGGGTGAAGAACGCTTTCGAACTCGGGAAAGACATAATATCCAACGAATTGCAGCGGATGCCACTGAAAAGGGCTCATTAGTGACAACCATCCTTTCGTACTCCATCATGACCTGCACAATGGATACCTACTAGATACTACAGAGGACTACGTGGGCGACATTTAGTTTTAATCATTAGGCGCATGGCATATGGTAGCCCCCCACATAGGAGTTTGAGTGCGTATTGATGCCCTGCATGGATGGTGTCCTCGCGCATGCCACCATCCCAAAATGCTGGGACAGATGACGATGAAACGATCGTCACCGTTGTGGAATGCCCGTCATTCACGTGGAGGATCCATGAGTTGCATCACGCATGACACTAGCGATATCAATATGGATTACTAACCCGTTGTATATATCGCAGCTCAACACACTGACTGCTCTGATTGTTATCTGCATCTTCGCTTGGCGATAACATGTAACATCACAAGGCGTCTTGACCTGGGGCGGATAATATCGCAGCTGGGGAAGAGCCCCAGCACCAAGGCTTTACCCTAATAGGTGCAGTAAACGGCTGCTATCTAATCATCCTGCCAATGACAGCCTAAACTGTCCATATCTTCGTAGGGTTTCTTGCTAGGGTCCCATGAGCGGCAACTTGGCTCACTTGCCGCCAGAAAAACCATAGCCAACATTTGTCGTTACATGACCATCAATGTGATTGAACAGCTGCCGGTGTTCTTTTTAGACATATGAGGTTTTCTTGGAAGCACTCGCTAGTTAGCATGATGAATGCACTCTGTCTCTGGATTATGGGTTATTATCTATGCCGTGTTAACCGTCGCAGAGCTGAGTCTAATTATCTAATTACAATGCTATGCCAGCTACAATTCGGGCCTTCCTAGTGGACGTCTAAGCGCCCTAATCAATGCAGCTTCGCACAGGCACAAGTAGATACTTGTAAAAGGCGCTTAGAGAGGATTCAAGATTAAGGCATGCCGGAAATAACCAATAACAGTAACAGATTTCTAACAGCCATCAGACCAGGTTCACCGAATTTACAAGTACCTTGTAGATGGCTGACGCTTCGTGAGCTGATTCATTTGCTGCTTGTAGGACTACTGGATTTGTCGCGAAGCTATGCGGGAAACCCATGTAACTTGAGACGTTTCTACACCTGACACAGAGTACCCAAATTTTCATCATCAACCAGAACCACTTTGTGCAGTGACTGTAGCCTCAACCCAGCGCAACATTAGACGTGTGTGGTAGCACGAGCGCCCACAAGGCGTACAATGGAATAGTTTGCGTCTTAGGGCTGCTTGTGACACCAGGGTGCAACCCCAGACCAAATGACTGCCGCAGCTGTCGTGTGCACGCACGTGGAGCGCGAGATTCACAACTGAAAGGGTGCAGACAGCTACTGATAACGGCCTAAGCACTGAAGCTACGCGCCCACGGGAACAGTATCAACGGACCCTCCAGGCGTGAGACCACAGACGGGCTGTTGCGCGTTTGCAGCTTCTACCTTACAAAAGGAGCGTGGGCTCAAACACTTTGCGATCTTAGAGCTACCTGATTGAGCCTAGATGTGGTTCCCACGGCAGCCGAATTACCGAGCTGTGTAGCAGTAGTCCAGGAACGCGAGATCCAGTGGCCGGGCTGCAGCCAATCGCCTCTCTCGTGAGTTCTTCATTGAGAACCTGTGTCGGCTCTTCACTCTGTACCGTTGACTGGCGGTCCGTCACTTGATCCTTCATCTACCATTAGCGGGCAGCTACCCGCGCGATTGAGGCCGTCATGTAACGTCCCCTTCCCGGATTGGATGCTTCTCTCAGATTAGGCATCTGGAAACGCAGGCGGGAATGGAGTGAGGCCATATTGAGACGGGCTGCAGGAGTCAGTGTTTGCCTGGGTTTCTTAACGGCGTTTTGAGTTGATGTTTAAATACACCTCGAGGTTCCTCATGTCGATCCTTTTCTGTCTGAGCAAGAGCTTCTTCACCACTTTTACATTCCCTCTACCAGGTCCTTGACGGATCGGTCCCTTCCTTCTGGACATACTTATCTTTCACGTATATATTATCTCTTTTGCGTACATAACGTTAAAAAAAATATGCTCTTTCAAAAGACTCTCGCAGGCCTCGGCCTCCTCGCCAGCCTTGCTTCGGCCGCTCCCTCTCTTAGACGTCGACAGGACCCCGCGGGCCTTAACGTTGTTTACTGGGGCCAGAATGGTGGCGGAACCATTGAGAACAACGATCTTTCTGCGTACTGTACAGCAACCAGCGATATTGATGTATTGGTCTTATCATCGTGCGTTATCTAGCTCTTACATAAAACATGGCTTCGACTTACATTCATTTATAGATTATGGCAGTGGTCGAATGGTGCTACGGCCATGGGAGGCTCATTTGGTCAATCTGTCAGTCTTCTCTTCACTAGTTTACGAAGCACATGTTCTAACAAACGTATAGTGTGGAGTTACCAGCTCAGGTCAACCCCAGAACTGCGACGCCTTAGTTGCTGCTATAACAAAATGCAAGAACGCTGGCGTGAAAATTATACTCAGCATTGGAGGCGCAGCTGCCTATTCTAGTTTCGCATCGGCAGATGAGGCCTCAGCAGCCGGTCAATACGTATGGAATGCGTATGGCGGTGGAAGTGGTGTCACAAGGTATGTACCTGTCTGATCTCCAATTATCGAAGACAACCACTCACTTCATATAGGCCTTTTGGTAACAACATCGTGGATGGCTTTGATTTGGACCTTGAACTGGCCACTGGGAACGAATACTTCATCCCTTTCCTCAACACGCTTCGGTCAAACTTTGCCAGTGATCCCAGTCACACCTACGTGATCACAGGAGCTCCGGTAAGTCAATCCACAACATTTTCAGAGTAAATACAGCGTGCTAACTCCGTAAAACCAAAAAGCAATGTCCCATACCGTGCCGTCTTCCCAGAAATCCTAATAATATGGTTGAATCATAGCTTGCTAACAAGAACAACAGAGAACCTAACATGGGAATTATCATCCAGGGTGTTCAGTTTGACTATTTATGGATTCAGTTCTACAACAACAACAACTATACAGTCCCCTGCAGCTTGGGTATCAATGGCGGAGCTCCTTTCAACTACAACAACTGGACGTCCTTCGTTGAAACTACACCATCCAAAAACGCAAAGCTCTTTGTTGGTGAGTGATCCTGACTGTACTGGATATGAATTGGTTTGTTCTAACAGCTTGCAGGTGTACCTGGTTAGTACTTTGTAATATTCGGTAATTTGAAGGTCTATTGATACTAACTATTCGTAAGCATCTCCGCTCGGGGCAAATGGCTCGCCAACCGGCTCAGTCTACTATGCCACTCCCCAGCAACTGGCTCAAATTGTCGCCGAAGTAAAGGGAAACTCAAACTTTGGCGGCATCATGATGTGGTCTGCTGGATTTTCCGACTCCAACGTCAACAACGGCTGCAACTATGCTCAAGAAGCGAAAAACATCTTGTTGACTGGCTCTCCTTGCGCTTCCGGGCCTGTGACCGCCTCGCTTCCACCCGTCCCAACTTCGACTTCGGCCTCCTCGCCACCAGGAAGCAGCTCAACTCCTCCCTCTGGCTCCGGTTCCGTTCCTCAATGGGGACAAGTAAGTTCTGCTCCATATCATGCAAAAAGACACTATCTAACATAGAATAGTGCGGTGGCGATGGTTACACAGGGCCAACTCAGTGTGTGTCACCATACAAATGTGTGGCTACGAGCGAGTGGTGGTCTCAGTGTGAGTAAAACGCTTGGGATTCATCGCCTCAAGAATCCACAAGTAGTGAACTCGGACACACCAAGTGGGCCAAAAATCCCTCTTCCTTCTATTGTATATAGCCCAATTTGATGCAGCTTTGCGTCCATTCAAGTACATATTTCATGAAATTACATATCTTGGACATTTTAGTCCAGTCTCCATACTATTACCTCAGCGTGTGGCTAACATCTGCTTGTTCAATGATCGCTATGCGCTTGGGAAGTGTTAATTCGCAATGTGAACCGTATCGCGTACTGCTAATTGGTGAGTAGAATGTACCGCATTTACGGAGCAATAGTGCTCAGTAGTTGCGGGCCTATTGAGAGCACAGCCGTCTACATGTACAAAATCTTACCGAAAAGTCATTATTCTTCCATACATTCTGCCTGATTATTTACTGGGGCTCAAAACTCTGTGTCTACATGTAATGTAAGATCAGCAAACCTTCTTCCAATGCAGTAAGTCATTAATAACATCCTACCAACTAACCATCCTAGATTTTTCTCATTCCTGTTTCTCCCACCACTTAGAAGTATTATTAGTATGCAATAATGCTATACAATGCAGCAGTAGGCATATCCTGTTAATAGCTATTTGAATGCTATGCTTCATGGGCATCTTGAGATTGCCTAAATTGCTGATTCTATTGTCATCTCACTCATAGAATAGATGTTACTAGACCCTTGATACTTGTTGTATTCAATTACTAACTGCAATTTGATCTAAAGCATTTATTGTCTACGACGGCCAGGCCTCCAAGGCGTCGAAAATCATGGCTTTCGCTCGATATAGTAGAGTGGATGAGCCATGTAAAGGTCATTGGCACAAGACTAGTCTGGCAGGTGCGCCAAGGTTTACCTACGTATTAGCCTCCTCTCAGAATATAGAAAACAAAAGCCAGTCTAGATAAAAAGGTTTCCGTATTCTAGATTGAATAACTACTTACTCTCTGTCGGTACTGTATAGTCATTCATTGTCACTAATATGTTTAATTTAGACTGCTCTGGCAGTCAAATAAAAAGCTACGGATTCCAAACTGCTCGTTTCTTCATGGCGATGAAAGCAAGACTTGCTCTGTGAAGGCGACATTTCCCATATATGTTTATTTAATTGACTTTTTACTTATCAATCTTGCCCTCATTGGATCAGATAATTCACACTTCGGTTGGCTATTCCTAGCCGACCCGGTACGGATAAGACCTACGTGGGGGCACTAAGACTGCAATGACTTGACTACGGTTGCCCTGTTGCCCAGATGTGGATTTCCAACTCACGAATTTGTTGTCCAGAATAATAAGTATAAGCTATGCTGATCACTGGCGCGATAGTACTCGTAATAAAGGCGTAAGTCTTGAGGATGACGCTCTCACAAGGATTCTGCTGCCAGGAAACGCAACTCGGGAAGAAAACGCCACTCGCTATACGTCTGCTTTCGCCTGCCAAACAAACTGTAAAATACGATTCCGCTATTGTCTCTCCGTCGTTGACATCTTTATCTGCCCGTAAAGTCCTTTGCTACGCGTTATTTCCCAGCCATGCGCGGCAGATCACAAGGCTGTGACTATTTGGGAAGAAAGTTTACCTGTAGGCTCGGATAACACCCACATTTTGCAGGGTTACTACAAGGAATTTGTAGAATGCCATTTTGAGTTCTTTAGTATTCTCCTATCGATCAAACCGGAAACCACAAGTATGCACTCAAAGTACGTACATGCATGTGCCGACCACGCCCAGTCGTATACTCCTCCTATCATTCCAAATTCAACTATTTCCGCTGCTAGTAATCCCATCAATTAGCGTGCTGCTAAACTGTGTCTAGTCGGTCATTAGCCCAGTTTTGTGACCAGGACCGTGTGTGTATGTAGCCCGGGTCGGCTGGAGGTAACTAGGATTTTGTGCCAAAGTTAATTCAACATTATAAGAAGAGCTAGCATTCTTCAGACTCCATTGAAAGTTTGTCTTCAAGCAATTGCATCTATATAGAACATCCGAGATTCCAAAACACCATCTCTCCGCTTCTACAATTCATATCAACATCTTTCGGAATACTGCGAGTATGGATTACGACTACCGCGCTCTCCCGCCCTCGTCTTTTATACCATTCTTCGAAAATGACGATTCCCGCTGGCAAGCAGTGCAGGATCGAGACATCAATTCCGACGGATTATTTGTCTACGCAGTCAGAAGCACAAAAGTATTTTGCCGACCGGTTTGCAAATCCAGACATCCTCGCCGATGCAATGTCTCGTTCTACCCGACAGGAAAACAAGCACAGCTATCAGGCTTCCGCCCATGCAAGCGTTGTAAACCAGAATTAGAGGGTCTCATGCCCGAGGAAACGGCGGTACAGAAAATTCGCGAGTTCCTACAAGAACTGGAAAGAACAGGAATCAATGATGAGGGCTCTTATCAGCTCACCCTGAGTCAAATGGCGAGGCAAGCCAAGGTATCGAAGTGGTATTTTCACAGAGTATTTAAGAAATCCATGGGCGTAACCCCCGTGCAGTACTTGAAGATATGGCGCGACACGATACATTCGCAAAATCAACTGGACAATAACGGCTTGCATTGGCTTGATCAACCAGCCCCCTGCACCGTTGAGTGGCCTCAGCTTACGGAGACATTTCCGAACAGCGAGGATTTTTCGGCGGATAACGTCTCCAATGTCACAAGCGAGACTGATGAAGTAATGGTGGCCGACTTTGCTTTTCCGAGCTGGCTCACATAATGTGGATATTGTTACCGAGGTTTTGGTGAGGGCAGAAAAAGCGTGGGGTGCTGTTAATACTCAAAGCATAGATTGTCATAGCTTATCATTCTTTCTCTGCCCAAACGAAATAAATGTCAATGCAGCACAAAAGAACATCGTCTTCAATTTCTAGTGAATAGTAGAAACGCGCTCGAGGCACTCTGGAGTTTGAATCTCGAGCACGCACAATCTCGTCTACATCCCCAGCCATGCATGGGCTCAGGGATGAACACATCTCTGCCTTTTTACGCGTATGTGGCCTTCGATTGTCCGTCTCGGTTGACATCATAATGTGCGAGATTCGCCTAATCTTACTGAAGAAGATTTTTGCCCATGATTGCATCTTGCGTAACCGTTATAAAATGAGTTGGATGGAAGAGGTGTAGCAGGGCGAAACTCCCCGTCTAGCTACAACTGGCGTCTGACTGTAGAAACGTAGTAAGAAAGGTTGTCACACCTCACATAGTCTGACGGTTGAAGGCATTCTAGGCAACCGTTTTCTTTGCTCTCTCGCCCTCTATGTCTGTATACGGCTGGGCAGCTCGTCAAGACGTGGCGCTGGGCTTGTTTCGTCAACGTGGTGCGGCAGAGGCTGCTTATGCTGCATCTTGTACTCCGCAAATCATTTTACTAACACCATTTGTGGTGCATCCGATCCAACGCTAATGACAACGCCACCTGGCGCCTCCACAACGGCCTTGGATAAAGGAATAAGCCCCGATATTGCGTTTGACAAGCCCAAGTGCGAGGCTGCATCGCAACGCTATTTGCCCAGAGCAGGAAAGCGGAGCAAGGCTTGCAATATAAGCAAGTTTTTGCGCCGTGGCTAGCGGAAACTCGTACCTGCTTTGCTCCGGGGTAGCGACGTTGTATATATTACTATTTTCCAGCCATAAGACACTACCTATCTAACAGAGCTGAATGTGCTATAAGTTGTCAACCCATGTCATCGGGCTACGTGGCGTTGGAAGCTTGTTGAGACGCAATAGAAGATAGATGCTCATTTCTCTTGGTACTTCTGGGAACATTATTAACAAGGATTTTGAATAGTGAACTCTCACATCATCATGTTAATATAGTGTCTCATATGTTGCCTTGAAGTCATTTGTAAGAGATGGCTCGCGAGATAAAGTGTATGAAAGCATGTTCTGCTGCGAAGGCTTCTGCATCAACTCACTCTCAACTCAACCTGGCTGCTCATATATACTTCAGCCGCAGTAAATATGGGTATGGAAGCTAGCTTGTTTTCTCATCGCTTCGTTATTTTACGCTTGGTATCAATGTCAATAATACACTCGCACTCTTTCCAATTCCAGAACGACACCCCTAGCTGCCGTTTTTCTTGGTTCCTAGGCACCTATACCAAGCTTCCTAAGCCGTTCTTTAGCCTTTGATGCTAACTTAATTTGATCATTAATGCGGAGTTTCATAATTTCCAGCTACTATTCACCAGTGACTCCGCATCTTGAAGTATCTGTATTAGATAAACATAGGAGGTACTCGCTGAGCATTTATGGCTGATTGGTATAATAACAAAGCGTCCAAGTTGCTGGCCTTTGCGAGATCATTTTGTGACCAAGCTTGCTGTATCATAGTCCGTAACATCATAAACTTTCGTAAAGGCCTGCGCTCTAGTAACGTCTCTATCGTGACTAGCACCAGTCGACGCTCATCCTCCGTCGATGCTTCAAGTGCTATGACAAAAAGGGGCCAAGGCCGATCACACCTCGTCGTCACCTCCAACGCCCTGTATGCCTCGGCCGCCAGTTTGTTAACATGTGGGGTGTCTCGGGGACTATTACGGGCTACTCGCTGAAGATAGAGAAGCGCGGCAAGACGATAAAGTTCGGCGATTTGAGCGTTGTACAAAGATAATTCGTCCAACTTTGAGATGTCAAATTCCTCGTCTTGGCTGAGCCGATGCAACCGCTGTTCCAGGATTTCCAGGCGTGCGTTGTGCTCTGGAGATTTATAATGCTCGGAATCGCGATCAAGGACGTTATCAAAAATCTCGTGTAGAATGTCTAGCAGCTCAAGGGAGCACCCCCATGATGTCAGAATCTGTATCAGACGATTAGCTTGAGGGATTTTTTCTCTCAGCTTCCTATTTGTAATAAAAAACGGGAAAGGAGAGGGGATGATTGCCGCTACTTGCAGTGTGCTGTGAAACTGAGTGGGGAGGCTTCGAGATGATTTTCCTCTGTCTCGCTATCCATGTCTGCTGCTCGTCTTTCCGAAGCCAGTGAAGAACACTAAACTTGCACATGGTATAATAGTAGAAAATCCAGTCCATCATGGTGGCCGAATCTCCCTCATAAGTATTCCCGGGGGTATATATCGTATCGACGATTCTTTTGGTGCCGCTGAAAAATATGGCCCAGCGAAGCGACGATTCGCCATTCTCCATCTATATTTATGTACAGGTAGTGAGCTCATGTATATACCAATTGAGTATTTTGATAAAGGAAGAGAAATTGGTAGAATCTATAAGAAGGTGAAGGGTAGTGATAGAAAACATACCTCGTAGACACTTAGCAGCATGCTAGCTGCAATTGCTTGTAACGCTTCGTCTTTATCCCATGGTAGAGATCTATCAATACTAGCCTGTAAATGTTTTATTGCCTCATTTTGGTGCTGTATAGCCTTTGAAGGCACGACAAAAAATTGAAAAGATAGTGCTAGCAAGGCTTGGCGAAGAGCCATAGCCGACGATTTTGTGCTATTTGCAATCATCTTGATTAGTAGCTGTTGAATATCAACTGCATTGTCTCCGAATGTCATTTGTACGATTGCAGATTCGTCGCCGCCTAACACGGGTTAATATTAATATGCTATGATGTGTATGGCGAGAAGCGGATGAGACATACCTTCTGAAGTCAAATATGCAGATTGATTCGAATAATGAGATGACACTGTTTCTGGTACACGTGGCAGAGTCACCTCATGAGCAAAGTGATTCTGACAAATTTCTATACAACGTTAATTTTCCAAAGATTGCAGCTTCATCTGTCAGCTTTTCAAGCTTACTGCTCCAATTAGGATCTCGTAGCCGCACTGCCAATTCTATGTCTCGATTTCCCAAGTCGATAAAGTAGAGTGGTCGACCATGTATTGGTAGTTGGACTTTAGGGACACAAAAAAAGGCCCTTCGACTGCCAGGTTCTTTTGGCCATGACAAGAGAATTCCATATCCTACACAGACTTCGCCGCGGCTTTTACAGCTTCCGCAGGATGGAACTTGTCTATCACACGATTTCTTTCGAGCTGCCTCTTCATGTTATTATCCAGTGAGATAAATTCCATATGGCGGAGCTATTGACGTACCTCGACAGTTCCAACATCTTTTTGGGCGGCTCATCATTTGTGTTTATACGGCGATGTTCCCATATGGCAGGGCAAGAGGTTGGTGAATCTGAATGCATTGGGAAAGTTCTTGCGCTAGTGTTATACATCTTGAGTTTTGCCACGGGGTGAATACGTGGTATCACGCGTGCTGCAGCTAAAAGTAAATATTCCATTCACAGGTGGAACTTGGAATATATTTTTTTTCACGGCCCCTGGCGAAGCTGCCCCTTTGGTTGTGTTGCTACGGAACATTCTGTTTAGCAGTGTTGCTGTGGATGTTGACAGTGCGTGATGGGGGCGACAGCATCAGCGAATCATGACTAGCGATTCCAACTGATAGGTGCTAGCGGTTAATCTTTATTTATTAGTCTCTGGAAAGTATTTAAATGCATGCGACGGACAGGAACGAAATTGTATGTTTGTCGACAATTCCGACTCATGTCGATTTATTAGCTATTGTCGTCCATTGCGGCTCTGCTAGTGTTTATCTACGCTGTCTCCATCTCCGAGACTGGGACAACTCTTACACACAGGGATCGAACATCAAGAACCTTGAGTTCTACACCACCAACTGAGAAATATGAGTCAACCAATAGAATTTTGGTCGCATAGTATGGCTAAAGAGTTCCTTAAGCTTGTATTAGAGGATGCACTGACATAAGCCTAGAAATTGGGCCGAATCCTTGGAAGAAGTATTACTAGATCTTCCTTTCAAACATCATCTCCACACTAAACAAAGTCCTTAATAGTGTAATTGTCTTCGAGGAACTGGGCATTCCATACACAACCAACTTTCTGGACTTTGGTGATAACGAAGGAGGCGTCGAGCACCCTGATTTCCTCAAGAAGAACGCTGCAGGACGAGTCCCGCTCATAAACGATCCCGCAACTGGTAAGAAATTACAGGGACGTAAGCTCGTGTTAAAAGAGCCAAAGCTAACAGCGCTGCACTCAGGTATGATTCTGACAGAATCTAACGTTATTAACCACTATTTGGTCGACCATTATGACAAAAGCCACATATTCGCCCCCAACTCAGAGCAAGATAAGTATCTCGTTGATAAATATCTCGGTTTTCAGAGTAGTGCACAAGCTCCGTTTTTCGCTCAGGTCAGAAAACCTTTTGCTATCCCAATCTATTTGTGACACCAAGTATACCTAACTGGTGTTTAGACACTTCAACTGAAGAGAAAGGGCAACGCAGATGGAGTTGTTCATTTCCAGAATCTCGTAAAGAGGACTCTTCGGACCGTTGATGACGAGCTGGAAGGGAAAGAATACCTCGTAGGCGGCAAATGCACCCTAGCGGATCTGGCCTTCGTCCCATGGGATCTCATGTTGGACGCTGTCCTTCAAGGAGACGCCGAGGCCGAGACTGCCCAGGCCAGACAGCAGCTATTCCCTAATTGGTACAGATGGCACACCAAGATCGTTCAGAGGCCGAGTGTTCAGAAAATGATTACATTGAAGAAGGAGGCTAATTCCAACTGAAGCAAGTCGAGATGGAACAAGCTAGAAGACTTCATTGAACAACCTTCTTTATCGTGCTAATGGACACAACTCTCTTTTCATCCACAACCATTTCCTTTCCCCCCCCCTGCAGCATGTGATACGCACTCGATTTGTGTTGTTATCAAAAAAAAAAAAAAAAATTGTGGTAAAAAGACGTGATTGATGTACATTACTGGATTTTAGACTCAGAAATGCCATCTTCAACTACCTATACGTCCCCTTCTTCGAAAACTTACGCTTCACCCCTTGGGTGATTGCATCTTCTGGGTCGACGCTTGGCATGTAAGCTTCGCGCTGCTACAGTCATGATTTGAAGTGCCAACAACTCAAATCTAACTCTGAAGAGAAGATATTTGGGTTAATTCATAAGCATCATAAAGTTATCTTTCACGTACGATGCTTGCAGGCAGAGGCGTGCCGTAGAGCAAGTGTCCTGTGTTTCTCCTGTAAAGCACATTCTATACGAACGATTTTTAGCGTGGCAATGGCAGCGCTGGTGCCGATCCACCAGCATCTCGAGATTGATGGCGGTCCAAAGCGTGGAAATCTCTTAAACATCTCCACTATACAGCAGCCTTAAGATCTGAATGCTGAGACAAGCCTTGATGTGAGTTTTACATGTAGGTAAGTTGGCACACGACTCATGCCATCATTTCTCAACGTTGATCTCCTAGCATGCATTAGCGCTTATCCAGTGTTCAGCCTCATGCTGGAATCAGTGTTTCAGGGCACTTTGCTTGCCGTATCCGCTAAATTCACGCTCCCGCCAGAGGCCAGTTGAGATTTGGCACCCTGCTAGCACCGTGCCGGACTATGGTAGGCGGAAGAATTGTGCATGTATCTTCAAGGAACAGTTTTCTGTCCGTCTGTAAGTATCCCAGGACCATCTTAGGCGAATCTGCTCATGCATACAGGCGCATTCTGAGTAATTTAGCGGAAGTATTCCGCCATGATTACACCTTCAAAGTCTTCTTCGCCTAGGTATACTACCGTAAGAGGCTAAGACGACGTCGTTGTGAGGTGTCCTATTATACAAGAGCATAGTGCATAGCGCACCCAATTGCGATACAGCAGCCATGATGCAGAGCAAATCACAACAACGGGAAGCAAGTTCTGGTACAACGACATCTTGGCTTTACTTCTCAAATTCAGTGTAAAAGGATATTGCCAGTGAATAAAGAGTAATATTGACTCATATAGGCTTTGCTTTCATATCTGTTAAGGATGAAAAAGTGGAATTCATTTGCTCATATGGAGCTGTTATCACTGGCAAGAACTACCACTAGTATCGTAAATATAGCCGAGAGACTGCAAAGTTTTGTTTGACAAAAGCAGCTTTGCTCGCATTAAAGGGCATGGTAGTAACAAGAAAGGCACCTCGCATAATTGAAGATAGGTGGGAGGTAATAGATAGATGGATATGGAAACTCGGTGCAGCTTGGCTTCGAATTATACTCCAAAGTGAGGAGGAACAGCTTGACTCTTTAAATAATTTGATCACATTAGTACCAAGATATAAGTTTGCAGAGGCCATACAAGGTGCAATGATATACTGCTGTTCTCTTGATCAACAGCAAGTTCCTATTAGCTCGTATATGGTTGCGGAATACGGAGTGCAAGAGGGGAACCTCTCTCTGGGAGGCACTACTGCATGTAGACGATAATAGATCGGCGCAAATAACATGCAGTGTGTCACTTTTTGCTGCATCCAAGGAATTAGGAGGAAGGATCCCTGCCTCCGCGAACCTAATTGATGTTACCTTAATTAGAGAGCAACAGTCGTTACGGGCGATCAAGCCCACTGCTTGTTGATTTAGCGTCGTTATTTTGTTTGATCCGCTGACTAACCGCTCTGCGGGCAAAATTTGAACACACAGCGGCTGAATTATACACACATATAAACGCTGATCACCTTCTAAAGAGGTGCTCATATTATGTGCTTATACATTTTACGTTTTACGATTCTTGGCACTCAATTTGAGGATTGATCTTGCATGGAATCTTTTGAGCAGTTTTAGCATTTCCTATTCCTGTCAAGGATATCGCGGATGACCTGTATTTATCCAAAATCCTTCCGTAAAGTGCTGTATGATGATGCAATGCACGACGCTGGGAGAGCGTCTTGAAAGCTGGCCCGGAGCAAATTGCTTGTATTTTGCCCTTTATGACGATATGAGCGAAAAAACCGTTTCGAATGAAAAAAAAATAGAAACGCGGCTGGAGACTTTTCATGATGAAAGTAGCTGAAGCGAGACGCATGAACAAACGCCACAATGTCACAGCGCCGCGGAAGAATAGTAGCTAGAGCCGGTTTGCAATGGTGCGCACACAGTAGCGTCCGCGCTTTTCCGGCGGAGCAAAGTGGGCTTTACATAGGAAAAACAATCTCCTGAGGGTGTCACCAGCTCTAGATTCCAAAGGGCAGCCAGCTTAGCCTAGCCACACACAGAATGGCTGTATTAAACTTTTCCATACCCAGAAAGCAAAATGCGTTACCAATAATGCAGCCATCTCAACCAAGCTACCCCCTGCTTAGTCGGGCACAAGGGTCCCAGGAGGATTTCCTGCACTATGCTTAGCTGTAAGCTTTCCTACAGTTGCGATGATATCAGACTTACAAAGCTTGATTCCATTTTTTCCCACTTTCATTTGCTTCTGATTCCACTGTTGAATAGCGTGACTGGTAGGGCAGATTGCCATAAATAAGATCCATGCTCTCTTCTCCATTCTACGTTTTCAATTAGTTCACTAGCATCCAACTTCACCAACATCTTACCAGACTCTCAACCTACTTCGAATCTAACAAACAAACCGTTAAACCACCTCTTCAAAATGGCGGAAAAGGTACAGTTCAAAATGACTCAACTGTGCATAGAATCATACTGACATATTTTGCATAGTTTACTATTTATACCTCCCCTGAATCCCAGTGGGTAGGCGTCATGCATTTGGCGCTGGTCGAGAAAGGTCTCAAGCAAGACGTAGATTACGATGTAAAGGAAGTCAGTCTTTGTAAGTATCAGAGCCTATCAACTTCGTATATAGTTTCTGCACTAACATCTCGCCATCCAGCAAACGGCGACAACTTCGCTCCCGACTATATCGCAATCAACCCCAACGGGACGGTGCCTTCTCTCACTGCCCCTTCCCTCTCCAAGCCTATCACGGAAAGTGCCGACATCCTCCGATGGATCGATGCCAGAGGAACAAAGACTCTTGCACCTGAAGATGCAGCTCGATCAAAGGAGATAGTTGATCTCGTACACTCACCATCCATGAGCACCAACCTAATTCTATTCCAGGCACGAGATGCAAATGAGATGACGAACAAGAAAAACAGCTTCTGGAATACTTTTCTTGAAGGCCGTCAGTCACGTTTAGACAAAGAGCTCGCCGCACAGCCCAGCCACCCATTCTATGTTTCCAAGACGGCTGAAAATCTGTCTGTGACTTCACTGTATCGGGCTGATGTTGGGCCCACCCATGAGGATTTCTACAAGATGACGGACGACATGTATCGCACCCTGGCTGCAGGCCTTGACAAGCTCGACAGCTTGATTGCACTGCCATATGCGGCTGGTTCGCGGGTTAGTGAGGCAGACTACAATGCCGTTCCATGGCTCTCGCACGCCATGATGGGGGCCGATACACCAGTCAAAGACGTTCAAGACTTTGGACCCCTGGAACGCTTGGTTCAGAAAACGGTGCCCGATTTCAAGATTGGTTCGAAGACCAGAGAGTGGTGGGCAAATATCGCAAAGACAAAGGCGTTCAAGGAGGTGTTCCCTGCTTTGCACTAGGATGCTAGTACGCAGCTGAAAAGTTGACTTGGCTTCAAGGACGAGTATGAATGAACAATAATGTATATTAATAGATTGCTATCGTTACAAAAGTTATTGTTTTGACAATTGACCTTTTATCATATTACAAGCGCTATTGTGAAGCATGTTCCTCGAGTGATTCGCGCCCTAAAACACTGGCTTTCCAGTATATGTTGGGCGGATTTGTTAATGTTTACTGTTTCATAAATGACTGAACGGTTGACTATGATTAAAGATAATTTAAAATACGTTCAACGCTTCTGGTTCCCAATCGATGTTTCTTCGCCACACAAAGCAGCTGTGGCATGACTTTAGCTCTTTTCTGCCACCTCAGTCACGACGTGCGTCTCATATGCATCAACCTTCTCTGACGCAAACTTGCGAGCCGAAATCTTTCTTGCAAACAAAATGTCAAGCTCTTCATATGTACGTCCCTTGGTCTCGGGCAATCTGAAATAAGCCCATATGAAGGTGAGAAGAGCAGTGCCACCCCAAAAGAATCCTGTCTTTCCAGAGGCATTCCAAGCGGTAGGATTCATAAAATAAGGCTCAAGGACCTGTAAATGGTAAGCAACTCGTGCCGAAACAGACATAACATATGGTTAAAAGGCGACATTGAAAGGGGCTTACCTGAGACACAATGTTTACGATCTGATATGCCGTCCTAGCCAGTGAAACCGTAAGCGGACGCAATCTGATGGATGATGTTTCCGAGACAATCGCGTAAGCCAATGGGCCTACTGTCAAAGCATATACGAGGAGCCATAAAATGCAAAGTGCAGCTTCTGCCCATATCGCGTTCTTAGCCGACGTCGCAGCATTGATAATGCCGATAATGAAAAGGATAGTAAATAGTATGCCTTGACCAGAAACATATAGGGTTCGCCGACCAAAGTGAGTGATCAAAAACCATGAAAACACTGTTCCAAGAAACGCAATGGCCGTGCCTCCTAGATTCAGCTGATACGCGTGATCGGCGCTCATACCGGCTGTAGTAAAAAAGTAACTAGGTGAGTAGGCAAACGAGCTTCCAGAAAGAATCTGGCCAAAGAAGGCCACGCAGCAAATCTCTGTTCGGCGGAGATCGGTGCCTTTGAAGCATTCCACGTAGGATTTGCTTTCCTTGGCTTGCGCTGCTTCAATATTGACAGTGTGGACCATCATGGCGAGCTGGCCACTGATCTGGTCTTCGGTTTTATTTCCTCCTAGGCGTCGTAGACTTTGTTTCGCGTCATCCACCCGGTCCTTTCGTACAAGATACCATGGACTTTCCGGCGCGAAGAAACAGACAATCATGAGAGGAACGGGCCAGATCCACTGAATCGCAAACGGGATACGATAAGCCCACTGATCTTGACGGTGAATCAGGCCCTCAAGGACGCCTGCTGCGATGAATTGACCAATTGCCCAGCACAAGTTTACATACGTCGTAAGATAACCTCGCAGGTTTGTAGGGCAAACCTCTGACGCATATGATGGACTGGCGACGGCAAAGACACCCCATGCTAGACCACATAGGATTTGGCCTACCAACAATACAGCAGCGGAACTGGCGAAAAATACGATGAAGATGAAAGCGTTCATGAAAAACAGGGCTCCGATCATAACATGGCGGTAGCCTAACACAGACACAAGATAGCCGTTCAAGATGCCGCCTAGATTCGAATCCTAGATTAGCGACACGAAATGCAATGGAAAGTTAAGACTGTCATACCGAAAATAGCACCCACGGTACTTCCCATATTCAAGCCAGACTGCCACGGCGCCGAGACCTGGTATCCAATCGAGCCTCCATAATCTTGGCCGTACTTCTTCGCAAACTCAGGATAACCGAAAAAATTGCCCATCAAGATTGTATCGTAGCCTTCCATAATGATACTCATTGAGATAAGCATAGACCAAAACACAGCCTTTCGATTGCTTTTGAGGGCCTCGAGTAGAGTTTGGGAATGCTCTTCGTCAGAGGCATGCTTGGCATCGACAATGGCGCCTTCGCCAAGTGTATCCTCGAGGTGGGTAGCCGCCACCTTTGTGATGTTTGTTTCCGCCATTGTTACAGTAGAGTGACTAAATTGCCGTCACCAACCAAGGATTACTCCCTAGAAAGATGAGAGACAGTTTAAACACGAAGACTTCCACCGGTTCCAATTTGGAGAAATCACGAAATCCTTATACAAATTGGCGAGCCATGATGTTGGAGTAGCCGCCAGTCAGCAGGCATGACTAGCCCGTGCAAGTTCCTGCGTCAACGATCATTGGAGCGCCAAAGTTGTACATCCAGGGAATCAGAACGGTCTAAGCTGCAAGGAATAGGTCAGCGCCGCCAGTTGTCGAACGACACGAGGCGTTGTTGGATTATTTATCCAGACGGCTAACTGGTATTAGGCTATATTTCAAATCTTATTGCACTAGACCCCGAACTCTTGAACCATCTCCTCCATAAACAGCCTTGACAGGCCTCTAGCCCTTACCGAGTTGTGCAAACTCATTGTTATGGTCTTATAGCGACTCCAACTTCCCTCATCCAACAGCCAAACCCCACGCTCGCCCCTCTTTTACCCGAGAGCAGCTCGTGCTCGTGCTATCTGTTCACGACTTGGTGTAACGGAACAATATCCTCCGTAGCTGAATTAGCACTAGATTGGCTGTCCTGTAGACGAGCTAATGACTTGGTTCCATTTCACTCCGCAAATTCAAGGATCTAGAGGCCAGTGTGGAGTAGTATGGCACGCTTGTACTCTCATCATGGGACACAAATCACCATGGTGAAAGGTCTGGCTCAACGTAAACAAAATAACTGCAATAGCATGACGTACGGTGTGTAACAGCCCTCATGGGCGCATAAAGATGGTCAAGCTTCAAGTAGATATGTAACCTGAGTTATATGCGCCATGCAAGAAAACGCACCTGAGATAACTGTCGTGAGCAGTGATAGATAGACCTCCCCGATGCCTCCTTCGGTTCAGTGATGGGAGTGGACCGTAGCATTTACGAGATCGTATGCATATACCTAATCTTCCGTAACGATACCACGCACCATGATGTGCATATAGGTGTCTACTCCGTAGTAGGCTATACTTTGGGTAGTCGTATTTCGTATCTGTAGCATTTATGCATAGATAAAAATATTTCGGAAGATCGGATTGATGTGAGCCGAGGCGCTCATGTGGTTATATGTAATATGATGCGTCGCAATGGTTGCGATGATCTGAAATAAAATGACACTGATATAATGCTCGGACTTATCCTAAAGCTCGCATGCGAAACTCATTTAACTTTTTATATGCGTAGAGAGAGTATTAATAACGATGATATGTGTCGTTCTTGAGGAACGTGATGCAGCAGCTAATCTAGTGAAGCGCATAATAGCTGCATGCACTCGATGCAGACGCTCTGGAGATACAGGTAAAAATAGCGCAACAGACAATCCAGTGGACTCAAAAACATGGTCTGGTGCTGTTGGTTTTTTTCTGTTGTTGAGAAAACAGAGAGCATTCATGTTGCATGGGCATTGTCATAATATCTTACTATTGAATCTAGCATTCTCAATCTAGGAACAGTTGCAATAAACTGAAGGCCTGAGTCAAACATTTCTTATATCCACTTGTCTCTCGCTCAAGTGCGCGAAGCAATTCATGAGGTACGATACACAAGTCATTAAATTAGATGTCGGGGAGCTATCCACATTACCCAGCTTTCCAGTTGATCGCTAATGTCCAATAGGTATTAGCCAATAACACGATATTGGAGGTAAAGATAGTTCTTAATAAAACCACAACTGCAAATCGTTATACAATAACAAGCAAGGAATTTCCATCTCTAGTAGCGTTTCTAGATGAGCATCATGTTTTTGTGAATTCACAAAATTGTTTGTCGGTAGTGCCACGGCTTAAGCGTGATAAACATCGTACGACTGATACTAGCAAAAGCCTTCCATAGCTTTATTTAATTATGGCGCTCACTGGTGGAGAAGATACCAGTAGTACTGCTATTTACCAACGGCAAAAATGTCTTTTGGCGCTCCAATCCCATCTCTCAAGGCTGCTACATACACCAAGTTCCGTCATGTTTAGCCTAAACGGGGACATCTCACTGACCCCACGACTACCACTAGCTTCGCATGTAAGGTTATGGAGCTCTCTTTAATATCTGACCGAGGAGGGGTTTGTCCTTATTGATGTAGCCTCTTCCGTCGGTTATAATACCTCTAGCCATACAGGTCAATTGACAGTAGTAATAGTCCTCAATTACAGAGAAAGCGTTTTCGCAAAAAAAAACATCATGAAGTTCCGAGATGGAATGTGGCTGCCCATTGAGGGCAAGAGGACAGAATATGCAGAGGATATTTACACTGCCACGCAGAGGCCAGACAGCCGAGCTTTGTCTTTGCTATGTCCCACGAAGCATGTTCGGTCAAGAGGTGATACACTGAACTTACCCACTGTGACGCTGGTAAGCACGCTCTAATTGTCAATTAATTTGTTCACGTCTCTCACATTTGCATTCAGGATATTGAAGCTGTTTTCGATGGCGTGATTTCTGTTGAGACAACGCACTGGTCTGGAGCTGCCAATAAAGGACCTCACTTTGATCTGTTTCCCGCCGGAAAGCCTGTAGATGATGCCAAGATATCTGTATCAGATAAAGGCACAACAATCTCGTCAGGTTCTCTCAGTGCCACTGTTCACCCTGACCAGCACACGTTTGACGTCCGCTTTCATGCAACGGATGGATCCAAGCAGCTCACTTCGTTGTTAAATCGCAGCATTGGCTTTGCTTATGGCCCAGCACCCAGCAGCCCGCTTCAGCTTGATGATATGAGAAATTTCGACCATTACATCTTTACACAGACGACGCTGAGCGTGGGGGAAACTGTTCACGGACTTGGTGAACGTTTTGGCGCTTTCAATAAGGTGGGCCAAAGCGTTAGTCTATGGAATGCAGACGGCGGTACGTCGTCGGACCAGGCTTATAAGAACATATCTTTTTGGCTGAGTAGCCGCGGTTATGGTGTGTTTATTGATACTCCGGATCATGTTGAGCTTGAAATTGGCAGCGAACGGTCATGCCGTGTACAGACAAGCGTGAAAGGACAACGTCTCAAATGGTATCTGATTTACGGACCCTCGCCAAAAGAAGTTCTCTATAAATACACGATTTTAACGGGCAGGGCCGGCCGGGTTTCCAGCTGGAGCTTCGGCTTGTGGCTTTCGACGTCGTTTACAACAAGCTATGACGAGAAAACTGTCTCCTCGTTTTTAGAGGGCATGAAAAGCCGTGATATTCCGGTTGAAGTCTTTCATTACGACTGCTTCTGGTTGAAGGCGTTTCATTGGTGCGATTTTGTCTTTGACTCCGAGATGTTTCCCGATCCCAAAGGCATGATAAGTCGGATTAAAGCCAGTGGACTTGTCAAAAAGGTCTGCGTTTGGACTAATCCTTATCTTGGCCAAGCGTCGCCTGTTTTTAAGATGGCGGCAGAGAAAGGTTATCTACTGAAACGCAAAAATGGTGACGTTTGGCAGACTGATCTTTGGCAGGCTGGAATGGGGCTTGTTGACTTTACAAACCCTGAAGCTACCAAATGGTTTACCGGCTGCATGGAGCAACTCTTTGATACGGGTATCGATTCCATCAAGACGGATTTTGGAGAGAGAATCCCGACAGGCGATGTCCAATGGTACGATGAAAACGTGGACCCGTCAAAGATGCACAACTACTATTCGTTTATTTACAACAAGATTGTATATGAGGCTTTACAAAAACGATACGGCGAGAATGAAGCAGTTCTCTTTGCGCGATCTTCAACCGCCGGTTCACAACGTTTCCCACTACAGTGGGGTGGTGACTGCGAGTCAACCCCCGAAGCAATGGCAGAATCGCTTCGTGGGGGCTTATCCCTTGGCCTATGTGGTTTTTCTTTTTGGAGCGTGGATATCGGTGGATTCGAAGGCTCCCCAACTCCCTGGATCTATAAACGCTGGGTTGCTTTCGGATTGTTAACATCTCACAGCCGTCTTCATGGTAGCAACAGCTACCGTGTCCCATGGACAATTGACAACGACGACCAAGGAGAACAGAGCTCTTCAAAAACATTGGCAAGATGGACTGCTCTAAAGGCTCGCCTTATGCCTTACCTCTATGCACAAGCCATGGAAGCTATTGCTGGTGGCCTTCCGCTGAGTGTCCGCGCCATGTGCCTTGAGTTTCCAGAAGATCCAACTTCCTGGTATTTGGATCGCCAATTCATGATTGGATCAAAATTGCTGGTAGCTCCAATTTTTGAAGAATCAGGAGAAGTAGAGTTCTACTTACCTGAGGGTCGGTGGACGAATTTTTTCACAGGCGAAGTGAAATCGGGGCCTAGATGGGTGAGGGAAACTCACGACTTCGATACGCTACCATTCTATGTGCGTGAAAATACTGTATTAGTTTTGGGCAAAGAAGGTGAACGACGGACAGTATATGACTACGTCAAGGACGTCGAGGTTCGTCTATATCATGTTAACGCCGGAGCTAAGGCGAACCTCGTGGATAGTGACGGTAACTCAAAGGGCACTTTGGAAGTGGATTCTAATAATGATCTCGTGGGCCAGGATCTTCTTCAGAGCGGAACAAATGTTCTGGTCATATCAAAATAAGGTGGAGAAAATAGACACAATTAGATAAATATGTAGCTGCATAGAGGTACTTCTGTATATCGTATCTTTGGCACAGTAAATAGAAGTCGGCTATCAAAAAGGACGCAGCGGGCAACATGATATTATAAAAAGAAATGTATCGCCATAGCCCCAAGTTCCTCTAACTATTTGAATGGAAACACATAAAATTTCAATGGCGGTTTAAAGCTATCTCTATGAGGCTTTTTCAACCCATCAAAACTCTTATCAAGGCAAAGAATACCGTTTTATAATATCCACTGACTCACATATGAATTGTGCAGCGGAAAAGTAGGTTAGGTATTCTCGGATCTAGACACAGTGCCTTGCCCCCCTAACTGGCAGAGGGAACTGAACTATAACTACAGTATAAGAGATTTTAGACTCCTATGACAGTCTTTGATGAAATTAGTGTAAAACAAAGGCTGAATGACCTGTAGATAGAGGCCCAACAGACTTGGGTTGGACAATAAATGTTGAATATCATTTGTTGCGCAAACTCGCCTTATGGATGAACTTTTTGCGCTGTACCAAAATAATACTTGTAAAATAAGAATAAACTTAAATACATGTGGCAGTTCAAATGTATATACTGGAAAGGACAAGAAGTCAGGTTGGAACGATTCTAACGTATGAAAGCTTGTCAACCTTAATGTCGTGTTCCAAGGCGTACTAATCCATATTGGAGAAAACAGCATTGTTGCACAGAAGTGTTGCCAAGATGCCAAGATGCCAAGTGGTGTAGAATTAGTAGTATTACCAATCTATACGTATAAACCGTAACTTAGACAACTGTAATACCAAGTCTGATGAACTATAGACGCGTAAAATACCAAACGCTACGCATAACCGTTTTGATGCAAGTAAATCCACAAGTAATATATACAAATAATCAGAACGATATAAGACTAGAGAAGATTGCAAAATGAAGTCGAGGACAAACCTCACCGGCCCTCTTTGTTCAGCGTCTCAAGCTGTGCATCCTGAGAAACTGGCAGATAAGTCTGGTCCTTTTTGCTGTGTGCATAACGGTCTTTAGCCCAGCCATATAGGGCACTTCCACTCAAGATCAGAGCCATGCTGCCAGCACGGTTGGCAGTCAACGGCTCTCCCAGAGTTATGACGGCGACGGAGCTCTGGGCTACTCCTCGTGCGGCTGTTACAATCATGTGCGTAGTTGGGCTGGTAACCTCAAGCTGCATGAAGGTGGCTATTGTGAGTAGAAATCCGGCAACACCGGTCAACACCGCAGTGCCTAGAAACTGATGGGCAGTAGCAGATGCATCAGGCGTCTCCGCTGAGCTCAGAACAGCTACCGTAGTTCCCATTTCTCCGGACAGAAGGAGCAGCGGCAGATAAAATGCAATAGCCATGACATTCGACATCCAGACCATCTGCCACATTCCCTCGCTGCTTTTTCCGAGAAAGCGCTTTACAACCACGGACTCAACAGCTGTAGTGAAACTCGAGATAACTCCAAGCAATACGCCTTTCCCGCTTGTTAGCATCTGGCTATAATCAGATGCCATTCCGGCGCCGAAGCCGGCCATGACCAAAGCACAGCCGCCAAGTGACAGTGGCGGATAGTATGGGCGCGGTCGAAGTACAATAAGCGATAGAATTAGAGTAAATGGGAGCAGGAGACCGCGAGCGATCTGGTAGACGGAAGCGTTAACCGAAGCCAAGCAGTACGTCTTGGCGAGGATGCCGACAAGTCGAGCAGCAGTGAGTGGAAGAAGTGCAACCCATGCCTACAGATGATGGGGGTTAATATTAGCAGCGACTCTTCAAGTGTTAAGTACGATTCAAGTGCAACTTCAGCGGCAACGGCACAATACCGTAGAGCTGTCAACACTTTTACTACCACTTCACAACATACCGAAACGGGCCTTGACAACGTAATCCACTTCGTAAAGTAGCCGATAGTAGTGAGCAGAACAACTTGTACTGTTGTCTGGAAGGCGAGCAGTGTCACAGGGGCATCGATACCATTCAGTGCTGACTTGGAGAGAATCGTACTCAAGATCGCACAGGTGGAATGGAAGAGCACCGTCAGAGCAACTCGGCGCCGGGACGGCGGTTGGGGCTCTATGACCTCACTCATGATGGAAAACCGGTCGTTGGGGAAAAGATATTGAACGAGTGACTAGAAAAACATAAAATGAACGGCAGGAAAATTATCTCCCAAAACGCAGCGCCAAAGAGAATATTCTACAATGAGTTTACTTCAAACCATTTGTTACGAAACAAAAAAAAATCCGGAGTAGTGATTGCTATGGCTTTTGCAGCCGCAACTCCGGGCAGCACTACTGCTTCTAGGATCTACCTGGGAATAACAGTTAAGGGGTAAGCTACGCTAATGCCGCTCTGACTACTCCATATCAAGGAAAGATGTCTGCCTTGCGGCTCTCAGGCTATGAATGGCAAGGTAGGTAGAAGTTAGAAGACGCCGCTAGCCTGACCTACAAATCCATAGCGGAGATTTCTTATCAACCCTGGGTTAGCACAGGCCACAGAGAGGCACGAAGCGCCTGTATTGCACCTGGAGCTCTATCGACTGGCTATCCATTTGCTTTAGCGTATCTGCTAAAAGTGTTTGGTCGAGTGCTGTGATATTCGGACGAGCGCCACTATCATTAGTATTCAGCTAGAACGTCTATATGGGTCTGCGAATAAAGGCTCAACACCTGACGGCCCCGAGTGGACGATGGAGTCGTGCCATACTTCACACCTGTAACACGACTCTGCCTAGTCGAAAACGTCTTTTGTCGATCGGCCGTTACGCGTCTTATCTGCCCACCCCTTTTCCGAGCAAGATGGCAAATCTACTCCGTAAATAGCAGGAACACTAACAAGACACGACGTGCCAAGTAACAGACCTGGGATCTGTCAACTGCGGCTGATGACACGGCTGGTGAGCATGCGCAACCCCTCCAATAAGCAGCAGTTTGCCCGTTGACTCGCACCATGATGAGGCGCGCTATAGCGCTCAGGTTCAATCCCTGATTACGTCGCCTCCTCCACACTAACGCCTTGGCAGGCTCCGCTAATAAAAATGCACAAAGTATCGTCCAGCCACTCATAGCGGCGTATATCACGAAGCCGTCCTGATGGTACAGTTGCCAAGACTCAACAACTCCCAAGTGAGATGCCGCATATGCCGGGTGACCTCCAAGTACCCAGTACTGTCGGAAGCTTGCTGGCTTGATCCTTGTAGCAGCTGGATGGTAGTAAGCGAAGAAGGTCCAACATTAGGAAAAAAAAAAAAAAGAGAGAGAGAAGTGCAGAGGGGAGGAGAGGGGGGAGGTGAAAATTACAGTGGTCTCGAAAGACAGTTTGGCGCAGGCGAGAGATTGGAAACAGAGAATGTCCCAGAAATCTAAAAATGCAATATATGCTACATAATCCATAGATGATAAACCAACCCAAGAAGAAAAAAAAGTGTGTATCTCAGGAATTATTCGAAATAAAATGCTGTATAAAATCGCTGTAGGGCGTCATCATGGTGAGCCAGTGTCTGCGTCTGCCGGCACAATCCCGCTCTTTCTAAAATCCTCATCCATCCATTTCCTCACATTCAGCCTGTTCTCTTTCATTAGTTTCTTGGCTGCCGCTTTGACCTTGTCCTTCTTGTCCTGGTATGCTTTCGCGTCCCCGACTACTCTTTCAACTGTCTCCATTTCTCTCTCATCCGGCTCTGATAGCCAGACTGCTTCGCGCGGTAGATATGAATATGCCGCAATAATCTTTTCGCTCGCTACCAGAGGAACTCCTGCAATAAGGGAAGCAGGCACCGTAGAAGAAGCTTTGCGATCCAAGTAGGTCTCAGATGCAAACGCAGGAATCACCGCGTATGACTTTGAGAGCAGTCTGTAAAAGTCGGGATATGAAAGATCTTCGTCAAACGCAACGTTGCTGCGAATATTCTCAGGAACTTGGACATGCGGGCCATGTCCAATCAGGTGTAGTTTGACCTTTTCGGCAGGTTGGCCGCTCGTCAAATCGGTCGTTCCATTCATCTTCTTGACGACATTATCCAGGCTGCCAAAGATTCGTTTGTAATCTCGGCGTTCGGGGGCGTAGTCTCCCTGCATAGCCAGTGAAACTTCGCTTGAAGAGTCCTCGTTTGTCTGATTAATCGGGAAGACTGGAGGAAATGTTCGTGCGGTGACGCTTGCCTGCAAGTCTTTCCACTGCGTCACGGATTTTTGCAGGAGGTAGTCAACAGTGTGTTGGCTGAGGCCGATGAAGTCAACTCGCTCTTGGTCAACCCATTCTCGGACGACGTCGACATGCTTGCCCTTGTTCCAGTAATCGGCATGGTGGACTAGGCAGAACAGGTGTGTTGTTTCGTTGTGAAGCAGGTGTCGAAGCGGATCAACTACCGACTCTTTCTTCTCCATGTCCAATTCACAGGTCGTAGAAATAACGAAATGCGGAGGAGGAAGATTCTTGACATCATTCTTAAAGGTGTTGGAGTTGTTAACAGATAGGATTGGTGTTTCCAGCTCAAGGTCGTTGATGATAACGTCAGACTTGTAGCGTTGTTTCGCAAAGTAGAGCCTCAGTTCTGCGTTTGGGTGTCCTCCAAAGGCATAGACCAGCGCCGCCGTCACTTCGTCGTGGACACCAGCGGACTCGACAATGGCGATGCGTATGGGTTCGTGTTTCTCACAGGGGAAACGATCATTCCACCACAACAGGTCGTCGTCATCAGTGAAAAGGCTCTGCCATATCGGTTCATCTCCAAGAAGTAGATTCCTGGTGCTTTCACGGCTGCTTAAGAAAAGTAATGCAATAGCAAGAAGAATGAAGAATAAATATAAGGAACGTAATCGCCTATAATAGGCAGTAAAGGCCATCTTGAGCATGTTGATAAACAAAACAAATCATAAAGATACAAGAAAAATAGACATCATGCCCTTTCACAACGGCATTTGGAAAGAGAGATAAAAAAAGAGAGTTACTGAAAGATCAAGATTAGCATGAGCAGGCTGCCCCGGATCGTAGTTTAAAGACCCGAGCCCTTCTCTACAGCTACTACGGAGTAAGACTATTACTACTGCTTCGTACGACTACACCAAGAACCCCAGTCTGCCCCAGGCCGCGACTTTCCAGATGCGTACGTAGCGAGAGATTATCAATATTTTACTTGTACCACTGCCAAGACAGCTCGCGCTCTCCTTTTATGTAGTGTGCCATGGTTACGGAGGGCTATGGAGTACACTAGCACGACTATCTTGTAGCAGACTACTCCATAGCTAGCTAGTGGGGACGATCCCGGCAATTATTGGAGGCGACGCTACACCAGCGCCAGGTCCAGATTAGGGGGGCAGCCTCACAAATACTGGCATGGGGGGACTGAGAAATTGCCATTCTGAGGTACCGTATACCTGCCTCTTCCTCTGCCCGATCAGCTTTGCTGGTCTTACCTACGCATATTGATTGCCGCTAGACACTCTGAGCACGTCCCACTGTAGTGTCATTTCTCAGGCCAATTTTGTCCCATGACAACTACAGCCCAGAGTAGGTGTCGTTGCCGGCATTGAGGACAAAAGGTGTAGTGTACGACTTCTCACGATGCTGCTTGCGAATCGCTTTGGCAGGGTCACCATCATCGCGGGGGTGACCCTTCTGATATCGTTTCTCTTGGTGATTCTTGCACAGAGCGCCGATATTCGGTCACATCTTCCCAGTTCCACTGCCTCAATATGGCCAGCGTCGGATTGTGCGGCGCCGGTAGAGAGCAGGAAGAATATTTCCTACGATCTCACGACGCCACCTTCGGTTGGATGCGAGGACATTGTCAATGATCTGCAACAAAGACTTATTCAGGCGTATACAAAGAGCCTGAAGGGTGTCCGATATGCAAACATTTGGGGTTACCTAGAGACAGAGAACAAGGGCGATGCCGCCATTTGGTCTGCGCAACAGATCCTCATGAGCATGCTTGGTATTGAGATGATGGAGGCCTGCCGGTACGAAACTCGGCCCTTTTGTTCCTTTTAAACCTTTCCGTAACGAATATGTCTCATCCTAACTAACGGCGTGGTTATACAGATTCGTGGATAGAGACTGCGACATCAAGCGCTTTCGCAAGGTGCTCGAGGACCATCGCCCCAACTCAGCCATCATCATGGCAGGCGGTGGTAACTTCAACGACTACTACTGGGAAGACCAACCTTCGCGTATGAAGATGATTGAGACCTTCACCAATGTCTCTATCCGCGCTTTCCCTCAGAGCGTATACATGACGAACCCCGAGCGCATCAAGGCGACCGAAGAGGCCTTTGGCAAACACAAGGATCTGCAGCTTGCTGCGCGTGATAAGCCCAGCTACGACTGGCTGGACAAGACCTTTTCCCAAAAGGATGGAATCCAGAGTCATCTTGTGCCAGACATTGCATTCATGTGGGGAAATCGATCTGATTTCAGGGTCAATACACCGAAGACGTACGTATTTCCCGCCACATCCTCTAAGCTTCTGGCTATTGTTTTCCCGCTCTAACATCTCTTTCCTTGTGCCCATAGTCATGATATTCTCATTCTTGCCCGAAAGGATATGGAAATCTCCGATGGCGACTCTTCCGACATTGAATTTGGCGAGGGTGAACTGGACCTGGGCGGCAGTGTGGGCAAAGTTACCTACCAGAAAGTTGACTGGAAATTCACCCATACGCCGGATATCGACCCGCCAAAGGCTCGTGATGAACCAGCCGGCTCAACTGCGCCCAAGCGAGAAAACGGCAAAAACCAGCGAGCCTGGGCCAAGTCCATTGCCGGCTTTGAGCTCCTGGGCTCTGCGCGGTTCGTCATTACCGACCGCCTCCATGGCCATATCTTGTCCACACTCATCGGCGTCCCCCATGTTCTCATGGACAGCAAACTGGGCAAGAATCTTAATTTCCACAACACTTGGACTCGCGACTGCGATTGCACCAGAGTTACATCCAGCATCGGCCAGGCGCTCGATGTGGCTCGCCTTTATTTTGAAAAGGAGGGAAAAGCCTAGAAAATTGCAAGTTTGGTGACACTAATTTCACGCGTCTGCTTGGCATCCACATAGATTAAGCCACAGGCTTTTTTGGCGGCTTTTCATTTTATCTTTATTAATACCTTGTAGTATATGGATGTTAGGACACTTAGACTAAGAATGACGATTATTGAACGTACCCCCTAAGGGTGCGATGCTTCACGACCTGATATTAGCAACGTTTAAGCTTAACCTCGTACCTGACTAAACGCACGCTTGCACATACTTGTTACACCCCTTCAGTTCGTTACGATAGTAATACCGAGGGCCTTTTGGGCAAACTATTGAGTAATGAGAGTGGGCTCTAGTGATTCTGTGCTTCGAGGTCGAAAACTACAGCTCGGGTTAGCAACCATGGTGCGGTTTCGCGACAGCTTAGCTACATGTGCCTGAGCAAGCCACTTGACATGAACGATTGATGCTAACAAAAAGACATGACTCAAGGTACAGCACCGTCCTGTCGGTATCTGTTTCCACTGAGTTTTAGCCCATGAGTCAATACAAGACTTACCAAACTTGCCCGTTCTTACAAAATACAATCTTCTGTACCTTGTCTAGAGCAAATAGTATGGTTGGCTTAGCAGGAATCGAGGATTTGACAGGAAACACTTTTTCAGATGGAGTAGTCTAATATTCAGCTTTTCGAAATGAGTAGTAACACCATTTGCAAGTTCTAAGTGCAGTGTTGCACCGTGCTTTAAGTTACAATTCAATGAAATTTATTGGGTACTTGTGGAAATTATGTGACACCAGAACAAGCCACAAAGCTGTCTTATCGACTTGGCATGCCGCATTTACACAATCTACCAGCCATCAATCTCAATTGACTCAGACACATTTTAAAAATAAACGGGGCAATAGAGATATAGGAATGCTTTTTGTTTCACGACGTTTTCTATCAGAGTATCTCTATTCGTATGTCGAATTATTCCCATCAGCAGCAGGCGCGATGAAGTTTGCCTAACCTAAACCATGCCCATTCTCAACAACTTGTTTCCAAACTCCAGAAAGTAATAATCAGCATAGACCAGACCATGGTCACTGTATCTCACTAAAGCATATTCATTGTTATTTGCTGTTGCGTGTTTTAAGATGCAGTCAAATGTCACTCCTTCGGCCTTGATCTTGGAGTCGGCATCTGCGACAAGTCGTGCCGGATCCGTTGCTTGACACATATCAATAGTTTCCCTTGCAATGCGCAAAGCATCGCTCAGATAGTTTGACCCCTCTCCTAGAATTTGATGGAGTAGGAGAAGACCATTGGCGGCAATCATGCCGGCAGAAGAGTCGCGTAGCGGCTTATCACCCATGGGCGCATCAAAGTCCCAAAGGGGAACAAAAGGATATGCGTGTTTTGCGCTGCGTAGACGCTCAAGGAAGTGCTCTGCGAGGCGAATAGCCGTATCTAAGAATATCTGTTCCTTTGTCCAGATGTATGTTTGCGTGAAGCCGAGTATGGTCCATGCTTGACCCCTAGAATAAGAATTGTTAGCAATGTGCTATCAACTGCAGAGGCAAGCCTCACCTTGACCATGTCGAATCGTCGCTGTATCCTTGATGAGTATGTTTTGTCTTTAGAGATCCATCGCGCGGATCAAAATTGACGACATGCCACGTAGAGTCGTTATTTCGAATTAGATTCCGCCTGACAAAATGGGCGTGGTTTGTGGCAATATCTATCAGCCGCTGGTTTGACGAGTGGTGCCCAGCATAAAATAGGAGATCCATATCTGCATCTAATTAGTTCACGCAATCTCTTTCAGCCTCAATCTCCAAACATACTGCACATGCTGTCCACGATGACGAGGAAATTGGAGTCCTTATCCGTAATGTTATATCTTGTGCTGACAGATTTATCCCAGCTCCTAACCGCCTTCATTCTGTCATCATATCGAGATGCCAAGTAACCTGCGGCGGTCATTACAGAAGCACGGCTGTCATAGTTACCCGTCAGCTCCCAGTCTTGCCGTAAAGCAGGCTGGACTATGAATCCAAGATCGTGCGTGTTTGTTCTCTTGGCCATTTGGTGAAGAGGAGCGGCCCAAGTGCGACACAGAGCGAGCAACTTTGCATGAAACTCTAGGCGATCAATGCCTGGTAAAGGTAGATACTGCGGATATTTGACGTATCTTTCTAGAATGCAGTACAAGCTCCCAGGGAAAAAGCCGCACGTCCAAAAATTGACCTCCTTGGTATTGTAATGCCCTGAAGTCTCTCCATCTTCTGGAACCCACTCAGGGTATTGAGATGGAGCTTTCTGTTTGTCTCATTAGAATATTAATCCAGGCACGATAGTTGAAGGACGCGAAACATCCAGAGGCAGACTTACACCATCCTCCAAGTATTCTTCAGCTACCTTCCACAGCTTCGCTGCGATGACCTCAGAATACAGCCCAGAAAGTTCAACTGCAAGTTGGTGGCGAGGAAATGTCTTGCTTGCCGTGGTTGCTGCATCGGTAGCGGACAATACGGAGGATGGCGTAGGCGGGCTATCTTGGCTGCGGTTCCGCGATAGCCCATCCTGCGAGCTATCCCGCGATAAATCGGTAGAAGAGGCCATTGTTAACAAGAGTTGAGTGTATTGTCAATCAGACTGGTCGCTGAGTTGAGTGAGACAGATGGTCAAGTTTAAAGACATGTGCATGACTAACAAGTGCAAGTCGGCAATGTATGGCTCGCCTTAAAAAGGTTATTGTCTGAATACAGTTCGTGGTGGAGCCAAACTCACCACCCTTTACCAGGTTAATTATTCCTACGATGGCGGAACAGATCAGACTCCCCATGCAGATTATCCCATGATCACTGTCGCTTCAATCGTTCTGGCTTCCTTTGGCGGAAACTGCTCTCCGATACTTAGCCCGACACGCCGAAGCTGGCTCCACCCCCGCCGACTGGAGGCAGCTAGGCACGCGGGCAATCGGTAAATTGATGATTGTATTTCATGTACTCCGTATGAGCCTTGTAATAGAGGCTCCTCTGGGTGATTTCTTGGTGGATGCCACTACTGGTGTAGATGAGGGCAAGTTCCATAGATGTGGCCCTTGGATCAGCCAATATATGAGGCATGCGTAGTCAAGCTGCACTTTTTTCCTAGAGCTTCTAGAGCAACAGTGCTGTAGACGCTCCTATTTTCCAGAAAACCAAGGCAACATTCCACGCACCATGGCAGCTCCTGTAAACGGAGACCCGAGGTTCAATCCTCTCCACGGCAACCCGTTCGAGACAAGAGACGATGTCGCCAAGGCTGTGGTATCTCTATTCGAACCTTTGTTACCTGTTTTCTCAAAAGGGTGCGCTCGTGTTCAGATTGATGCGTCCACATCCACTTGGGATCGTGCAGCCTGTGATTTGGAGGGCTATGCCAGGCCTTTATTTGGCATTGCGCCGTTGGTTGCCGGCGGAGGGCAATTTGACCATTGGGACATGTACAGGGAAGGGCTTAAGAACGGTACAGATCCTCAGCATTCAGAATATTGGGGACCAGTGCCATCAATGGACCAACGCCATGTGGAAGCAGCTGCTCTTGCATATGCGATTTTGCTTGTCCCAGGTCATTATTGGGAACCACTCGAAGACTCGGTAAAAAGCAATGTCGTTAAATGGCTGCTGCAGAGCCGCAATGGAGAACATGGATCAAATAACCATAAATACTTTCGCATCATGGTGGATCTTGCGCTGGAAAGTGTTGGCGTTGAAGTCGAAAGCACTGGCACAAACGAATACTTGGACGATATGGAGAGGCTATATATATCAGATGGATGGTATCGCGATGGAGAAGACGAAGGCGACACACGCCGTATAGACTATTATAATCCGTTCGCCATGCACTACTACGGTCTATTCTACGCCGTCCATCGACCGTCAGACAAGGCACGCGGCGAACGATTTAAAGAGAGGGCACGAGAGTTCGCGCCGGCCTTCTTACACTGGTTCGCAGACTCAGGTTCAAACGTTCCCTATGGCCGCAGTCTAGCATACAGACAATGCGTTGCTGCGTACTGGGGCTATCTAGCAGTAGCTGGGGTCGAGGCATTGCCATGGGGCGTCATCAAGGGTATATATCTCCGCAACCTGCGATGGTGGGCGGCACAACCAATCTCAAGACGAGATGGTATCCTGACGCTTGGTTACGCGTATCCAAATCCTTTCATGGCAGAAAGATACCTATCGACCGGCTCTCCTTACTGGGCTATGAAGGTTTTTGGTCCACTGAGCTTGCCTGAAGATCATCCATTCTGGAGAGCAAAGGAACTTCCCATGCCAGAGCGTCCGTCAATCGCCCCCTTCTCAGTACCCGGCCTTGCCTTTATGCATATGCCCGGTCATACGATTATGCTCAACTCTGGACCGGATTCAAATAAAGCCATGCGCTTTGTACCGGAGAAATATCTCAAGTTTGCTTATTCAAGTCGATATGGTTTCTCAGTGGAGAGCGATAGCCGAGGATTTGACGTCGGTGCTTTCGATAGCATGATTGCGCTGAGTGACGACGACATACATTATAGGGTGCGTGAACATTGTGAGGTTGCTAAAATGGCTGGGAATAAAATTTATTCCTTATGGCGTCCATGGTCTGACGTTGTTGTTGAAACATGGCTCATTCCATCTGCCAATTGGCATATTCGCATTCATCGAATCCAGTCGCCTCGACCGCTTACCACTATTGAAGGCGGATTCGCAGCTCCAAGGGCTGATTTCAGCGTGGATGAAGTTCATGCAGACGGTGGCGCAGCGTATGTATTATGCAGCGAGGGCGACTTCAGTGGCATACTGGATGCTTCTTCGCCACCAAAGCGAATTGGCAGGGTTACCAAACCTCACGGCAATACTAACTTGATGTTTCCACGCACGCTGGTGCCCCAGCTCAAGGGAACTGTCGAAGCCAACAAGACACAGATATTTGTTTGCGCTGTCCTTGCAGGTCCGAATGGAAAGTCGATCAAGGAGCATTGGCAGACCCCCCCTGTGATTCCGACGGTTGATGAGCTTGAACGAGAATTTCAAGATAAGGGAGAAGATATTTCCATTGCGAAGCCATATTCAGCACGAAGATGAGTATGTTTTTGTTTAATTTAGTTAGTTGGCCGTTTAGAATTGCAGCCTTTGTCATACGCAATTAAAAACTTGAACTTCACCACATGTGCAAGGCACTGGGATTGAATCACAGCCCTGTTACATCTAATTTCTTTTCTAAAACTCGGACAATATCTTCTCTTTTCATTGTTACATCTTTTTATCCCAATTTCTAGTGCATTTGCCCTGAAGGAGAAATTAAAGAGAATTTTACAAAGACTGTGTATAAGTGCTCCCATCTACAAAACTGGTTTATGGTGATAGTATCGTAAATACACGATCAATGTTAGCGACTTTTCAAGCCATCTTTGGCCCTGCCATTTCTATAACTCCGTCAACGACCATTGGATGAACATTATTTTCTTACTCGTACCACTTTTGACACGAATTCCATCAGCTGGATACCATATCGACTTGTCTCCTGCCATATAGCGTGAAGTGAACCTTAGCTTCGGGTCATCGGCACCGGACCCCTGTCTTCGGGCATCTTGCCCGATGAACGGCGTGCCATTACTCCGCATGCCGAAATATTGATCCAACTGCTGGTGGCTGTTACCGGCGTCTTCAAAGCCTCCATCTTGAAGAGCATGTCTAGAGTCTTCACACGGAGCTACTACTAATGACTTTAGTGATTTACCCCACCCCAGCCCAAATCAAGATTGTACCCCATGGGGAAGATCGAAGCCATTCTCCAAGGTCATATGGCATTTCCAGGAGAGACAAGGAGGGCGGCAAGCGGAGCGAGACTTTACCGGCTATCAGCACAATAAGGGCTAGAGGGTGAGTTGGCTTGGTTCGGCCCGTCCGTGAGCCTCGCCTACGCTCCCTGTTATGCTGTTTGGGATTCGAACGGCCGTAAATAAATGGCAGTGTCCGCCGTGAATCTGAAGGGTTCATCTTCGCCTCCTGCTTTGTATGAGCCGGGTATCGGAGCATCTTCAATATCATTGAACAAGTTCTTGATATTCACTTACCGGTACAATGTTTCACGTCGATAAAGCTGCTGTCCGCGGCGTCGAAGGCCACACCCTTCGAGAAGCTGACAAGCGGGACCGTTTTTGGTGGCACTACCCAGGTCTTCGCAGCCTCAACTTTCTCCTTCTCGGTTGTATCGTCTGTGATATGACTAACGGATATGATGGCTCCATGTTGAATGGACTTCAATCGATCCCCTCTTGGCAAGATGCCTTGGACCACCCGAAAGGCACTCGACTCGGTACGATTTCCAACGGCACTCGATACGGTCAGCTCGCCGCTCTACTTGTTGCCGCGCCTCTCATCCAATGGCTTGGGCCACGGCGACCCATAACAATCGGTTCACTGCTTCTGCTCATCGGAGTTGGCCTTCAAGCCGGGGCCCAGAACTACGCCATGTTCGTTTTCGCTCGATGCTTGATTGGCTTCGGCAATACGATTCAAAACACAGCATGCCCGATTCTAGCCTCAGAGCTGGCCCATCCTTTCCAAAGGACCCAGATCATTGGCATTCAGAACACAACTGGCTCGCTGGGTCAGATCATGGCTGCATGGATTACCTATGGCACTTCCTTTATTGTGAGCTCTTGGGCATGGCGTCTTCCATCACTGCTTCAGGCACTCTCGTCTTGCTTCCAATTGGTCATGTCGTTCTTCATGCCCGAATCGCCTAGATGGCTCGTCTATCAGAATCGCAGCAAAGAGGCGTACGAAATTCTCGCCAAATACCACGCAGAGAGCGACGAATCCTCAGAACTATTGCAATACGAGATGGCAGAAATCGAAGCGGCTATTGAGGCGGAAAAAGTTCAAGCACTGTCTTCATGGATGGGCTGGTTCCGCACCTCCGCCAATCGATACCGACTCTTTATCATTGTAACTTCTGGTTTCATCATTCAATGGTGCGGCAATGCCTTGCTTTCATACTATATCCATCTCGTCTTCAACTCTATCGGCATCACCAACAACAAGCAGCAGCTTCTTCTCAACGGCGGCATCACCATCAACGGCTGGGTTTGGGGAAATATATTCTCACTGTTCATTGATAAAATAGGCCGCCGTCCTATGTGGCTGATTGGCATGAGTGGCATGTTTGTGGCATTTTTGCTACTTACTGTATTCACGGGCGTCAACACAGGCATCAATTACGAGAACCATGCTCTGGGTCGTGCAACTATCTTCACCATTTTCCTCTTTGGCATCTTTTATAAGATGCCTGGTTGCATGCTCAACTCGTACGTTGCCGAAGTTGCGCCGTTTGACCTACGGGCCAAAGCCTTTGTTATCTCTAGTTTTGGCGACGCAGCGGCCAATATATTCAGCGGATACACGAACCCTATCGGCCTTGGCGCCATCGGCTGGAAGTACTATATCGTATGGTGCTGCGTGCTTGTTAGCAACTTTATCATCATCTATTTCTTTTATCCCGAAACGAAGAATCTATCGTTGGAGGAGGTTGCGCAGCTCTTTGACGGACCCAACTCGGTTGAGACAAAGCTCCAGGAAGGGACATTGGAAGTTGAAGACGAGAAAAGTGGCGGGGTTAATGAGGCTACTTCTGCTATTCACATCGGATAAGACTTTGCAACTGATGTCGTTTATGTAGTATAATGATTTAGTGTGCTTAGCAAGAAGCATGATTTTAATAACTAGTTGTAACTTATTCGTGGAGTTGCCATGCATATCAAGCAGTGAAGTAAAGCTCGCCCCTAGAGTGCCTAGAAATCGCCATGTTAGTGGTGGAAATTTTCTCCCAGGATCACCAAAACTCGCTAGGCTTACGATGGCAACGCCATAGCTCGGACAATAGCGCCAGTATTCGGCTTGTCCCCCCGCAAAACAGCTACTGGGGCACACCAAACTGGACCCAGCATAGCATCGTCTTGCTCCATCACGCGGCAGCACGCGACGCATGTCGGGGTCTGCATTGCCACATACATTGTGTACACCAATCTCAGCTGGGGATGCAGCAAATCCGGACCTATCGTAGGCCTCTCTTACTTGCTCCCAGCCATCACACATAAGCAGAGGATCCCCAAGGATGGACCAGATCCCGCACAATAGGACCAGTCCGGCTAGGTCAGCAGCTGGGGATGATGAAGGTTCGCAGCATGAGGATAGTTTACCCGCGTGCCTATCTTGCAGGAGAAGGAAGTCGAGATGCTCGAGAGAGAGGCCGAGGTGCGCACAATGCTTCAAGATAGGTATTACAACTCACGTCTTTCATTGTGGCATAGACATGACTGTTGATGAATGGAGCTGTAGGTGTTGAGTGCCAGTACGTCGTCAAGCAAAAACCGGGTATCAAGGCAGGGGCGGTCGATAATCTCAATCGACGGTTAGGTAAAACATTTTGTGTTCCAATCTACGTATTTACAATGACCATCTATCGTCTCGCTAACCGGATCAGAGATATTGGAACAACTACTCCTGGATAGTTCTGGCAATACAAAAGCCAGACTGGCTGCTTTGCTAGACGGAGATATCGCCAACCTCACTAGCAATGGATTTCCCCAAACAGCGCCCGTAATTGAGCAGCACGGACAAATTACACAAGAAGACGCAATAGACTATGGAACTCGAGATTCTTCTCTTGCTTCCACTTCCCAGGCGGAACATCATCGTCCGAAACGACAACGAATTGATGATGGTGATAATGATACCGGAGAGGCTCAGTACTGGGATGTAGAGGATGAGTCCTGGATCCCTCCACTGCCGCCTGTTTCGTTTCTGGAAGCGGTTGTCGAAGCTCACTTCCAAACTGTGCATCATTGGATTCCAATTCTTCATGAAACGAGATTCCGTGCCATGTTCAAAGACCCAATTGAGAGGCAAAAGTTTCCTATACTTCTTCATGCTTTACTATCTGCCTCGATCAAGTACGTCGACTTCGAAGTCTTTGGAATGAGTGTACAGGATGTTACAAGGCAGATTCGCATCTCTCGAAGCGCCGTAATGTCTCATGCAATGGAATCACTCTCTATTCAAAACACTCAAGCTTTGGTCATTATTGCCTTTGACTATGTGAGCATCATGATTGCCTTATTCTTGTATTATCTGCTAAAGATCTGATAGATGGGAAGCGGCCAGACCTCAAAGACATGGCCCATCATTGGCTCTCTGACCAGAGTTGTCGACTACCTGCAGCTAACTATAGAGCCAGACGAAGAGTCGCCGAGGAGACCTCTCTTGAAGTCCTTGGCCATTCTCAATACAGCAAATGACTGGACAGAATCTGAAGAACGACGAAGGCTTTTCTGGAGCGTTTTTCTTTTGGATAGGTAAGTCTGTCGCATCATCAACACCCATAAACCAGCCACTGACATGACGCTGTAGAATATGTTCGGTCACTACCGGGTGAGAGGCTAGAGCCATCAATTTGGCAAATCGTAACTGACGGGTGTAGGTGGCATACAAGTCTAACATCAGACGACGTTCATCGGCGCTTACCTTGTGGCGGAGCAATGTGGGCACGCTCTGAGCCTGTTTCCACGCCGTACTTTGGAATATGGGACAAAGCTACCGCCAAGATAGGCAACTCAATATCGAATGCGCCAACAATCTATTTATCACCAAAAACGGCGGTTGACGATCCAACTCCTGGGTCCAATGCTGGCGTGGATGTGTCCAAGCTTGGGGCCTTTGCGTATTGCATCGAAGCGACAGAGAATCTCAGCCAAGTTACATCTTTTTTCTTACAACAGGGCGTCGATTTTGACGACCGAGATGCTGTCAAAAACTGGCTCACAAGATTTAAGGAGCTTGACTTGCGTTTGGTTCAGTAAGACACACTCTACATCCTAGGTACTCTGCACGTCTCTGGTTTGTTAATTGGCTAACTTTCGCAGTTGGAAGATGTTTTTGCCGAAACAGTGGCAAGATTCGAATGTTTCTCGTGACGTTCTAGTCATTAAGATGGACCCAAATCTTACTCTCGCACACATCTCGCACAACACTTCGACAATTCTCCTCCACCAACATATTGCATATCCACCCACCCGATGGAAAGATGTGGTTAAGCTCCCTAGCTCGTGCAGTGCCGAGACATGCCATCTTGCAGCAGTTGAAACATCATCTATTGTGCAAAAGTATTTGCGATACATGGGCGGAATTGTTAACAGCCAGTTCGCCTTTTGCGCTTTCGCGGCTGCGAGAGTATTGCTTGTTCACTGGCATTCTAGTGAAACACGTGTATTAGACGCTGCATTTTTTGACCTTTTACAGTGTCTGAAAGACATGTCAGACAAGTGGCGTGGATATTATAACAACAGCTCTACCGTCAACGACATATTAGGCCCAGAAGGAAGACGCCGAGTCCAGGACTTGCCTAGGAGATATGTAGAGCAGCTTGAGCATTTGCATGCACGCTTCCTCAACGATATGACATTCTCGACGATAGGCTTCACAAATATCCTTTGCGACGCGAGCTTGTACGACTATACCCAAAATTTGACACACGATACGCCAACGTCCACCAGTCACGTTAATCATGATCATTTAGCAAGAGTGTATCGGCGTTATTCATCGGGATTTGAAGCATATCAAAACGCCGGTGTACCTTCTCCTACAAGAAGGTCGGATCACCAGGCAAGCCACCGGTCTGACGGATCTCCTACCCGTACGCGACATTTTGCAGCATATGAGGTCCGCAATTTCAGAGGACTTTTAGAAGGGGCGGCTCTTTCATCGCGACCTCAGGCTGCGCAATCGCCAATAGCGACACCATCGCCAAATGAGCGTAGAACAGGCTTGGACAATTCTGTGCATCTATTGGCTGAGATGAACACGGCAGAAAATTATTCTCACACGCAACCAATTATGACTGAAGAAGATGAGCTGACGACTATGTCGAATATGCTACTTGGAAACCAATTTTTGGAGATGGATCGCGTCATATCACTTCAAAGTACAGACTTCTTTAACTTTGATTCGACTGGAAGAACAGGCTTATCAGGGTAACTCAAGGTACAACCATATGTTGCCCGCATGGTTTCCTACGCCTTGTAGTTTGAACGCTGCCTTAATAAAAAATATGATATTGTCGTATTGGCCTGACCAGTACCAATTATGGCCATGGCTGTGGCTCATCACTCTGTATCTTTTGGACGGATATGGTGTCCGAAACACTATGAGCGTGGCTTCGTCGGCGTTGGCGGAGATCGGGATATTGGGTAACGCCAGCGGGCGGCAATACGCCGATGGCCGCTACAACGATCAGCAAAGGCCCGATTCAGCGTCGACTGCTGTGGATCCTGAAGGAAAACGGGCGGCCAATGAGTATTTCACACTACGGCACAGCGAGAGACATAACCGACCAGAAAAAGAGAGGTAGAGAGGAGGAATAAAGGTTGTGACGAAGCAGTGTACTCGTTGATCGAATTTTTACAAAGAAAGAACAACAATATATGATACATTTTCGATATTATTCTGTATTCTCCAAGGGCCAACACGTACGCCGTGCGCTGACAACTGAAGATGTCGACGGCTCATCAGGAACCACAGGCAAACCTCAAGACTATCGTTCTTGAAGGAGGCCGCTTGATAGAGATACGAAGACGTCTCCAAACTGGAAATGACGATGTTTTAAACAAATCTTTTGCCATTTTGAAGAAGAAGGCTGATGGCTGGCTCAACCAAGGACCGTGGTCTGTCATGGAGAAGGCAAAAGCCCCCCCAAGCGGGGATATGCACGACTACACCAGCCAAGCTCCATATTGGTGGCCATCGTCAGGACCAGACGGGAATCCTTACGTGCAGCGAGATGGAGAGAGGAACCCTGAAGTGCTTAATTACTCCGATCGAGTGAATGTTGAAAAAGTCCTCGCCTCATCATCGGCTCTTGGCCTTGCATGGTTTTACTCTGGGAACGAGGCATACGCCAAGCACGCTGCGGATATCATCAGAACATGGTTTATCAGCCCGGAAACACGAATGAATCCGAACCTCAACCACGCTCAGCTCATCCCGTTCGCTAATACGGGCCGCCACATTGGCATCATCGACTTCTCACAGTGGTATTCTACGCTCCTAGACATTGCCATCATTTTAAACAGCGGCAGTCTCTCAGGCACGTCAGCAGCTAGCTGGACGGCCGAAGATATGGATGGATTCCGTGCTTGGAATAGAGAATTCTTGAAATGGTTGACAGAGAGCGATTTTGGTAAAGCCGAGAGAGCGGAAAAAAACAACCATGGCAGTTTTACTTGTATGCTAGTGTCCGCTATTGCACTGTTTGTTGATAACAAACAGCTTGTGCAGCAAGAAGCGGCTAGCATCCAGCACGATATTAACGAAACAATCAGCCCAGATGGGGCTCTTCCTGAGGAACTTCAGCGTACTCGCAGCTGGCACTATTCCAACTTCACGTTATTGGCGTTAACTCGGCTCGCTATGGTAGCTGAGAAAGCAGGAGTTGACCTTTGGCATTATAGCGGGCCCCAGGGTCAAGGAATCTTCAAGGCAGTTGAGTATCTTTTACCCGCTGCAACTGGCGCCGCAGCGTGGGCATCTAAAGACATTCAGTTCGAACGATATGCTGCGGCGGATATCATCCGTGCTGCTGCTGATGCGGGCCACAAAGCATCGCAACTAGCTATCGATACAATCGAACTACCCCCAGAGGGAGATCTATGGCCACTGAGGCCTGCACCCGAACAGCTGGAACCTGTTAAAGTAAAATCAGGGCAGATTACAAAATGAGAACAGGTAGCCATTGGTTTCAGAATAGAGCAGAAAGCAATAGAAGCGATGCTTCTCTGAAGACGGTGGACTTGGAATGCTGGGTTTCATGGTAGCGGTAATTCAAAACATTGACTAGATACGGCGCATCTTAAATATAAAAATGTTTGCTATCATTCATTTTGTATGAGGACATTGATCATCCTAGCATTTCTATCTAGTTAGTGGCGGTCAGAAAGTAAAGAACGCTCTCGCCAGGGCCCAGGTTCGAAGCAAGAACCGACGTGGCGACTCCAATATCGCTGTGATCAGGGCCGCCAGCGCCGCCGCCTCCAAGGACTCTGCGTACGCTCCATCCCGGGGCACCGTTTGGCTGGCCCTCAGCTATACCCAACAGTGATAGTGAGATATTCACAAGCTGGTTTCCTTGCAGGTTCGTTCCGAAACCGCCCTGTCCCTGATCCGGTCCATAGTTGGCAAGAACAACAACCGCGTTCTTGTTAGCTGTATCAGGCCCAGCAATCCACGCTTGAAGCTGCTCGGACGCTTGTGAACCCGGGTTTGCAGTGCCGAATGGATTCTTCGGTTGCATTGGATATTGGTTAGTAAAGTCAGCAACTGACTGAAATTCTGAATCGTACAGCAGTTCTTTTCCAAGAGTATCGAGCTGCGTCAGGTCAGAGCCTGTAATTTGATTTGCTCCCGCTCCGACCCAGTGAATTGCAACCGTGTATCGCTGGACATCGGAAAGGCCAGTCAATGCTTGAGCGTTTCCGGTGTACATGTTATCCATATCGGGGCGGACCATGATGGGAGTGCCTTGGCGTGCTGGGTCTTCTTCCTGTTGATTGATGAAGCTTCGATACTGCTCAATGGCGCGCTGTACAGTATTGAACCCCAAAAAGGTGCTTTGGCCCTGGTTGTTGATGTCTTGGTCCAACCGGATGCCGTCAGCATTGCCACGCCAAAGGAAGAAGTCTGCCGCCGTATTGCGGTCCAGTTTCCATGATAGATCTAATCTCATTGGGCGACTAGCTTGTTGAATCGCCTTATGATATGCCACCGCGGCTAGCGAGTTATTTGCAGGCAGGTTTTCGCCGGCGGCAGGACTTCCAGGAGTCATGAAGTCAAGTTTAATATAATCAACTCCTCTGTGCCAATATGTTAGTCGGTAATGCAAATATAGGTACGGATAGGTTCTTACATTGCCGCCCAGTTGTTGACCACAGAATTATGCCACTGCTGCACGCCATCTTTGCTGAAATCGAATGTCTGTCTCAAGTTGTAGCTTGGCTGGCTTGTATCGAACAGTGATCCCAGCTTTATGTTTGTCCCCTCTACCGTGACGCCTGCATCCCCTGACAAGGCGCCTGGAAGCGCATATATTCCGAGGAGCTTCCCCTGGGAATGTAGACGATCGGCCAAAGCTGTCAAGTTCGGGAAGACTGAAGTGTCTGGGACAAGGCGACCAAATTGATCGCCGCCATTTCCTGACCAGCCTGAATCCAAGCTGCACAAAGTATATCCAGCAGTAGCATTTAGAAGGTCACATTGGCTCTGAACATCGTTTTGATTGAGGACGAATGAGGTGCCCGCGCGAGCTTGCATGCCGAATGAGTTCCATCCGCGAGGAGGCCCATTGAATCCATTGGCGCTGGTGCCATAGAATGGCACGAAGAGTTGGCTTGCGCTCACTGATGTCGCTATTAGCGGGACGGTGAGAATAGAAATCTGGTGTTTGCTTCGCATTTTGGCGTGGGAAACGATAAAGCGTTAGGGAGTATTAATGAGCTGCCAAGACCGCAATACCGAAGAAGATATTGGGATTGCCGGCTTTTATGTGCTGTGCATCCTCTTTCCTCTTATAGCATGACTTCCATCTAGAAACCGATCACGAAAGGGGTTAAAATCGGCCAAGAGTAAGCAAAAGACTAATCGCGACCGTAACAGGCCGGTTGAGGCGGAATAAGCTATAGACAACTTCCTCTTTGGAGGCTAGGGTTTACAGATGGCTGTTTCAGTTACGTGAACTATTCACCGCTCGAAAGAATTATACCCGCAGACTTACATAAATACAAAGTCAATAGTCGCGTACCTATTTTTGATGCCAAACCTTTGAACCAGTTGATAAAAATGAATCACAGCAAAAGCTACAGTATATAGTAGGCTCAAGCTCAAACGCATTCTGTAATCTCTATAGTCTAATTATCGAGCATTGCCAACTGCACTCTGTTCTACACTGAATCAGCATTACATTTATTTCCACAACTGCCGAGGTCCCTGCTTGTAATATGTCATATCAACCTAATTCTCTTCAAATTAAATGTTTGCGGAGACTTTCCTATTGTAGGCAGAGTCAGGTCGACAGCACTTGGTGAGCTGATCATTCCCCAATGAGGTGAATCAGAATATAAGCATACTAATCCTCTATACATACTTAGCAACAATAGTCGGGGAAATCAATGTCGGGATGCTAAAAAAAAACTGCTGTCTGCGCTATGGTAGGTGACAGCACTGAACACTAGCTCTATCCTCGTATTAAGTGTTGCATAGCCTGCGAAATGCTCCATATATGTACAAAGAGGAGATGGGAAAGGCAGTTGGGTTTGCAGATCGTACCAGTTTCGTATGATAAGCTAGCATTTACTGTTGATTCATTTTCTTCCTTAGAAGTAGCCTATAAATAGATAGCGGCACTGAAACATGCAATCACATAGTGTCCGAGTCCGATTTCCTTTTGCACGGGCGGTCTGTGAAAGCAACAGTATGTTCATGTGATTGTTTTTTTACATTACAATTTTCTAATCGGGCTACCAAACATTACCTAGTAGCTATATCCACCTCTATTCCGCTAGATGCGTGCTTCACCGCCGAATAAGTCCAACCTCGGGACAAAGAACATCCGGTATTTTTATTTGAACTAGAAAGGTTGAAGATTGGTATAAACTGATAATTAACCTCTGAGAATGCAGTAGTACGAGTGTTAATACCTTCGTGAAAAAGGTGTACACTGGGCTGTGCCCCGCTTGACGAAATCCTTGCCGTCGCAGCTGGATGAATGTAACAATGAGCGACCTGTTGTAAAAGTACCTGTCGTTCAAACGCACAAATATTATCCTTGGGATATTGACAGTTCTAGAATCTAGTCACACAAGTCGTTTTTATGTCTACCCTGATTCCTCTTTCTTATGTTCTAATGATACAGCGCATATGTATACTACCCAATGTCGTCCTTTTCGTCATTGTAAGACTGTAGCCTCGAACAAGTTTGTAATCTTTGCTACTAGGAAAAGCACTCTTTTTTAATATCACCAGAGTCTATTTCCTCCCTATTTTAGAACCCTCCTGCGAATGCAACATTTCCACAATTGTATCGTAATGTATATGACCAATGCGGCAAATACCGCTATTGATAGCGCAAACATCCAATACCGCGTCGGTTGCTCGGCCACGATCATGCCTAGCTGATTGAGGACAGTTTTGTTATCTGCGGGATTGGGATGACCTTGCTGCTCATAAACGTACGACGGTGGCAGCTGAGATATTTGTATAGTGGAATTCTGTAAGCTTGTACCGTCCTTGGACACTGCTTCTACAAAGGTGAAAGAGTGTTGCCCTGGAATCATAGCAACGGTCTCAAAGGCCTTTTTTGCAGTCTTGGCGATGAGGGACGGCTGCTGGATTTGCTCTGGTGATTCTGAGCTATAAAAGTTCCAAGACTCCACTTCGGTTGCTCCATTCCATGACGCGTAGAGAACCGTTGTGGCTGTATCTTTCGTTGCTCCGTATACATGGGAGGCAAATGCAATGGGTTCACTCACATGTAGCGAGGCCTTCCAGTTGAACTTGTACTGCCTATACTCGGCAAATCTTTCATATTGACTGTAGACTTGCTGAACAAGGGTTCCGTCTAACGAAAACTCGCTTGTGTATCCAGATTCAGACCATGAAACCAAAATATTCTCATTCTCCAAGAATTGAATATTCCCACGGCGGGCAGTGTATAAGCCGTCAGGCCTGTCCCACTTTTGAATGACAGTTGCTATCATCGGAGCCGTAGTCGTTGCTAACGAGACTAGCAATGCGGAAGAACAAGCGCCAGTGATCGACACGCCATCAGAGGCATTGTCTAAGAACGATATCACTGTATGAGTTTCGTTTTGGCTGTAGACTTGGGCGTCGTGCTGTGAACTGAAGTTGAAATCGTTTGTATGAATGAATGAGGAGCGCGGGCCACCCAATTGCCAGATGATAGAACCATCGACGCTGGATATGAGAAATATCGCAGACTGGTGTCGCATAGACACAAGATAATGGCCCTGGGGTGTTTTTTTAACTGAATTTATGTGGCTGGATTTTGTACACGTCTTTGTCAGTAAACACTTTGTAAATTGCGACAACTTCGGAAAGATTAAGATAGAATGACGCATTAGTAAAGGGGGAGGCGTACTAAGCATCTTCAGGTTGTGCGGAATGAGAATCGGATGCCGGAACATAGTCGTATGCCCACCATTCAAAAATGACCCTGTTCGTTTCTATCTCAACCTCCTGGAAGCCGTTATTCCTAACGGTTGCGTTGGCGTTCTCTGGGAGGGGTGATTCGCCTGGCAGGCTTTTCTTCGCAAGTAGTACTAAAGCGCTGTTTCCATCTTCAATGACATTGAACTCGTGCATATCAATATGCACTTGCTTCTCCCCGTCGCTCGCATAAACAGTCTTGACAATCTCGTATGCAGAGTTCAAGATGATGCCCACCCCACTCGCTGTAGCGACTGAAACCGGTCCCACGTCGCCCGCTATAAGGGACAATGCATCAGATCCTCGGTATCTTATTTTGCGAAAGTCATACACGTTGGACCGATTGAAAAGCATAGCCCCGCTCCAGATTAGTTCCTGTTATGATAATCTGAATTAGTTTATTGCTGTAGTTTGGGACAAAAGTGTGTCTGCTAATCACCCCATGGTTATCAAAGATATGAGGGCCAAACTGCCCTGGGACATATGAGTGAGTATCCGGCGTGTTGAGGGAATCAAAGGGTGCATGGAACCAGCTTCCCGGACTGACTAAATCGTCCCGATACGTCCTACATTCCGGAATAGGTGGCTTTAAGTCTGGTCTCTATTTATCAGGTAATTAGCGATACCAGGATTTGGACCAGAGCTGCACCTAGCGTGGCGATTATGTACAAACCGCTTGCGCAGGCGGGATGGCTAGGCCACACAGAGATAACGTTGAAATAAACAGGGAATGACTGACTGAAGCATATGTCGCTAATCCTCTGTCAGTATTTTTAAATTCAACTGCAGATACCCGCCATATGGAGGAAATAAGCAGATAGCATGCTTGTTGAGAAAGCTGCATGGCTCTCGCTGTCAATTGCTTGCGGACGCTTTGGCGAGTAATGATAGCCTTCTGTAAGACTAGATGAGTAGTAATTTGGCAATCAGTATAGGCTGCACGCAAAACTTGAAATATGTTAGCTGGTTCAATGTCGCTTTAGATATACATGGCTCAATAGATAGTGTAAGGAAACGTTTCCACAATCTTTGCGATCATGACCTGTCTGACAGGGGGAAACAGGCTAGAGTACCTACGGAGCTGTGACACGCCAAATATGTGAAATCAGCCTAATCAAGGCATTCTAAGCTATAACGAATCCGAATTTTCCGATTAATGCATCCTTCCCACTTTGTATCCTTGTTATTCCGAAGATTCTCCTCGTTTCAGGCGATGTAGAAAGCTTCTAGGCTTTACTTCCTATGGAAGAGCTGCATCGGGCTCATTATGTGAGTAGTTGAAGTAAATAAACCTTACAATATATAGTGGTCTGGAAGTCGATCATTCACAGCCTGACTGTTGGTTGCTATTATTTATAATGAAAATAAATTTCGCTGCCATGCTCTATCAATGCGGAATAGTCAGATACTTTACATAGACAGGTCTACGTGTGCATCACATGGAGCATTATCCGCTGTAGCTTAGCATGCAATGCGGCCTCTTATGGCATGGAAGCCTTATAAACAGGCTTAGAGCGCGTGTTACAGATATGGCCATTATTCTTTCACAAACATAGGTACTCCGTATAAAGCTCCAACTGCTTATTACATTTTCGTTTACTACCTGTATCTATGCCCGTACAATTCTGCTGTTGCTGTACTAGAAGCTTGATTGCTCTAATAGAAGCTTGCTCAAAAAAGTCCCAATTGATGAAACATTGCAGGACATAACCCCGCTTGACCTGTGAACAGCTCCCGCCTATACAACACAAACACGGGGACATCTTGGAACTACAGCTACCACCTTGAACTATCTATTCAATTGACAGCTTCGAGTCTAGCCGGTAATATATGCCATATGTAGTACACAATGAACTATAGGAACTAGTATTATAATCCTTCTGTCTCAGCCTATTGAGTTCAGCTGCATGCTGTTCAATTAACAAGAACACTATCCTGATCGGGCAGCCCATTGTTACCAAGGTTGCCTGACCTTTGGCTATTTCATAGTGATTATGCGCATGTTAATTCTCGATTTCCTACTTTAACAACCTTGGAAGCCTGTTCAGCTCGTACATGTTTCTACATCGCTAATATATGGACGCAGACTTGACCGAAGGCAATATAGTATTTTCTGAGATTTTGCTTCCACAGCAATTCGAGCTTCATGAATGTCTGAATTCTTGACTCAAGGAGTCGGGTATAGTTATCGCTTCCAATATTCTATCCAAGGTGATGAGTTATTATGAAGATTGTGATGTCTTTATGCGCATTTGACAAGTACATGTGGCAATTCTAATTCGTTTCCTCCTTATTCGGCTCAGTAATCTCATAGTTTCTCTCCGAAGATGTGGACTCGGATTCCTTTTCCGACTCATCTGGCTCGTGGCTACGAACAACCAGGTAAGTCGGGACAATTGCCAGCCCTAATTGAAATATTAGATACAAGAGTCTTTTGTCAAAGGTTTTCATGAAATCTTTAAACTTACCAAGGAGTATTGTGTTAACGGCCAGGGGCACTCGTCCTCCATACCAGTTTCTTGTATTGAGGCCATATGACACGGCTTGAGCAAAGCTTTCTTGTCCACGCAGAATACCCGTCAAGCGAGTGAGCTCTGCTACATCATTCGTCATGGTAGCAACAAGATAGTATAGCCAGTTCTGGGCCGCCTGTTGTGAAAAGTTCCATAAAAACAGCACAAAAAAGCCTTTGACGTAGCCGGGCGTGCTCCAGTCCAAGAGTGGAGGATTAGAAGTAAACTGTTCTTGAACAACCCAGCCGTATACCCAAGAGAGAATATGTACTGCAACGACATAATAAAATGCATATTCCAAACGCTTTTTAACGGAAAAACGGGTCCAATCGAGCCACTGGCTAAGAATCTGCGAGGACAACAGCGTAGCAAAGTTGCTTACAAAGCCGATCAAAGCACGGCCACGTACGCTGAAGTAGTAAGCTTCAAAGTTGCCAGTGTACTGATTGAAATAAGCAGCCCAGAAGATCGGAAGAAGAAGCAGAACGTTACGTCTCCTCGATAGGTGATACAGAGCCTTGAACTCAGCAAAGAACGATGCTTCTCGTTTGACAATGACACGCGATCCATCGCTTCGTTGGACTTTGTGGGGTGGAGATAGACACAATGCCAAGGGAGCTGCCAAACATTGTAAAACAATGAAAATGATGTAGGTCACATAGCCAACGCTCCCTTTACCGGAAGTTTTTACGTTCAAGCCCAAGACAATAGAACCGCCAACAATGGGTCCCAATGTCCGGAACCAGACCCATATGTTCAAGTACCTGGCTCGCTTCGAAGGTTCTGGGTATCCGAGAGCGATGGCTCCCTCACTTGCCCAAAAGAGTCCGGCTGATATTCCGCAGGCCACGGCACCGACAAGCACGAACCATTCGTTACCAAAGCGATTGTTTGTGTAGAGACCAGCAGAATAAATCGGGTAGCCGAGGGCTCCAAGAAGAAGTGTGTAAGACAGCCCTATTCTATTGGCGATTGGGCCACCAAATAGGCAAAAAAAGCCCATTAATCCGAATACCAAGGCATTGGCGGCGTTGATCAAGTATGGCGATTCGGCTCCGCCAGCACCTGTTGTGAATGCGTATTAGATTGGCGCCCTCAGGCAAAGCAAAATGTAACGGATTGAAAAGGATGTTGACGGGAAAGGTACCTAGAGAGTTCATTGCATTCCATAAACCAGGTGCTAGAAACCCAACACCACCGATAACACAGGCATTGAAGAGCGTACTCCGATACCACTGCCGCTTCTCATTCAATACCGGCGTGATACGCTCTTCGGCGCCATCTTTGGATACGCTGGCCTCTATGTCCGCCATGATGCCTGTTCGAGTATCCCTTGTGTTGTAAAGGCTTCTGCGAGATGCTGATCGCTAGTTTAAAGGACATGGCTGGCTCTTTATATAAATGCATGCTTTTTGTATGGGTTTCCAAGAGGATGGAAAGGTCCACTTAGTGTTTTATGCGCCAGATACAATGTTTCTTTCCGGTATAATGACCGAAAGATTTCTGCTCGGTTAAAAGCAATCTTGTTTTTGTTTTGTGGTGCTCATTCTCTGCGAAAATGGCGTAAGAGATCGATGTGGAGCGGTGGGCCAATGACATGAATCAGGTAACCAGTGCCGCGACGATCTCAAAAGGTAAGCTTAATAGATTTGATGCGTGGATTAATTTATAGATGCGTTAGAACATATGTAAATGGTAATTGTGTTTGATGATCCTTTTCCCATCAAAAGTCATTTATATAACTTGTTTCCCAAACCTCGGAGCAACGTCAACAATTGCTCATCTACCTGGTTCTATTTGTGTTTAATCCTCTTTTCATGGCACATATAGCTTTCCTCTGGGCTCACTTCCCTGTTGTTTCCCATCATTAACTCGTCTATTGTGTACCACATATACGGCGATTTGGAAAGCGGCGCTTGCGATTCCCACTGAAACCATTACAATCATTGTGCGTAGGCCAGTTGAATAACTGTAGCGATGAGTCAGTCAGTGACCAGGTCGAGAGAGGGATTGTGTGGAGAATGGTGGACCTACAGCGGCTTGTCATCAGCTTGGAAGTATTGCGTTCCTACCATAAGGCCACTAATAGCGGACATCACCCACATGCTGCAATAAAGAAAGGTCAGATCCATTACAAAGGCTGAAGATGGATGCGTGAGCAACTTACGCAATACTTATACTCTTCTCTCTGGGGTCTGTGCAATTAAGCTGAACCCATGAGTTGTGAATAGGATGATAGCCAACTGCGAAACTGTTGACAGCCGTCCACAAACCCCACCTTGACCACTTTCCAACATGAGGCTGAAGTTGATGGGCTACTATGAGAGTGATCAAATAGCACGTCTGAGCAGCAATTACGGAAGCACCTCGTTGGTTGGTTCGATCGCTGATGAATGCGAATAGAAAAACAACAGCAAGTGCGATAAATGCACCCACGGCAGCCAGAGCGTTTGCCCTGGTTCTATCAAAGCCCAGCGACCTTCGTGTTCTCCATCAGAATTTGAACAACACGACGTGGACATTTTCGAAGACTCACATAATGATAGAAGGGGTGTAGGTGGTTAAGGGACTCCATGTGGAGAATACCACAAATGTTGAAACGAAATGCGGCCAGCGGCGATAATGGGTCACTGTGCTCCAAATGACTGCTAGAGGAATCTTCTTGAGTCCTTGCTCATCTAAATCCTCCCCGCCATCTAGTTCGAGGCGCCGCCGCAAAAGATTCGAGTCCATGTCCGTAAATTTAATCAACCCCTGGCCAAAAAGAGGTTTTGGACGTGACGGCGATCCAGGTAGGAAAAGCAAGAGAATGAAAGAAACCGAGATTGTAAACAGACCCTCAACTATCTCAAAGTGCATGGGAGCGTCAGCCATTCATCTAGATCGGACGTGGGCATCGTATTGAGAAGAATTCAGTTCATCTTACGTAAAAACAACCACTGCCATCCACGAAGACCACGATGCCCATCCAGCTGCAGAATGCCCGAGGCAAGCAGAGGACTAATCGCATTGCCGCCAAACATTCCGAAGAAAAAGATGGCCACCCTCTTTGCAAGCTCCCGCTTGGTATACCAAGTCGATAATGTATAACAGGCTCCCGGAATATATCCAGCCTCTGCAAATCCAAGAAGGAGGCGGGTGGCGAGGAACCCCCCTCGATTCTTTATAAAAACTTGCATGATCGCGATAAATCCGAATACCAGTACTTGTGCTGATATCCATTTCCGTGGACCAATACGCTGGAGAGCCATATTGCAGGGAATCTCGAAGACAACAATACCCATGAACATAAGTTGGTTGCCTAGGTTAATTGTCGACTGAGTGACGCCAATGTCGGCTGCAAATCCACCAGTCAAGGCACTCGCAATGTTCATTCGATCAAGCTGGAAAACTAATAGTCCGAGAAATAGAAGCGGTAGCACAGTTGTGTCTACTCTGCGTAAAGTTAGAACTTGATGAAAAGGCCAAGGGAATATTATATGTACTTTGTGCGAGCCGTGAGCTCTTCCGCCGGATTCCATGGTAGTTGTTGCTCTGCTCTAATCGATATGCTGGAATCTTCAGGCGTCGGATCGTTGGTGAAAAAACTCAGTTTTTTCTCGTCTTCTTTGGTCGATGTTGGTATCATCGTAAATCAATAAAGTAAAAAGAAATGTTGACATAAACCACCTAACGTTTAGCGGAGGCTATATCAATGTTGTGATAAGTGAACAATATCGATATGATATAGGTAGGGGGTACTTTAAAAGAACCTAATCTATTTAATACGACAATGAGAAACTTGATTTAGAGAGACCTTCAAAAGGTACGCTCTCTTTTTTTTCACTCTAGCCTTCTGTTATTATGTCACCTATCAATGAACTCGTAAGGCCGATTTGCTGTAGGCCGGCATTATGGCGTGCTAGATATGCCGAGTGCCAATAATTCAATGTAATGATACAGATCTCACTTCTCTACTTACTAATTTAAATCGGCAGTTGATTGCAAAACAGTATCATATGCTTTAACATCTATGTTCATGAGCAGCTTGCTGGCTCTACTTGGCACTAAAATCTTAACATCGCGTCCGATGGTTTGTCCCTGGCGATGCTCCGCAACCCGTTCTATAAGCGCCGACTTGCACATCATAGGCTAGCTCAGTATACCTTAGCGAGGCTACCGAATTGCGTGATGCAGCCCGCCATTGCGCAATAGCGAGATAAAGAGTGTTTTCAAGCAGTAAAGATAGAGCGATTCCAAAGAATGGCTATTATTTCGATCAATTAATTGACACATTAATACTTATAGTAATGCGGCGCGTGCGGCGTATGCGGCAGCTTATAGCTAGTCAAAAACAACTGGCAATTAGTATCGTTGTAGATCCTTTGAGAACTCTAGATCGGTTTTCATAAACAGCTCACTCTCGTTTACGTATCAATTCTTTTTTAAATTAATCTATATGAACAATTTCTTGTGCTTCTTCAATTCTATAGCTCGTGAATTAGACAATCGCAGCTGAAACCATGGGCGGTGTTCCTGTACGGCGAGTAGCCATCATTGGCGCCGGACCAGCGGGAGCCATTGCCATTGATGCCCTTGCGCAAGAAAGGTCCTTTGAGGTTATTCGCGTTTTCGAGCGTCGAGAACGAGCAGGAGGATGCTGGTATGTCAATTGATTCGTGTTGATTGTTGTCCGCAATAGGTTCTATGTTTGGAGAAAACATAGCCCTGAAAACATCAGTGTAGAGGCACGCGATTTCGTTTGACTGCTAATTATATGACAGGATAGATGATTCATCACATCCTCCTACGCTGTCCAATTTTGTATCGCTGGCAGCGCGTACAGCCGATGCGCCACTTCCTATACCGAAGACGCTCCCGGCCCAGACACAGCGGTCTGACCAACCACGCTTCTCAGAGTCGTCTGTGTATCCCTATCTAGAGACGAATATTGATTCTCTACCTATGGAATTCAGCAAGGAACCAATTCCAGTTGAACGAAGCGAGCTTTCAATAGCCAATCACGGACCAGACACTCCATTTCGCAAGTGGGATGTGATACAAAGATACGTCCAAGGGCTTGTCGATAGAAAAGGCTACAGCGACTTTGTTTCTTACGAAACGACAGTTGAAAAAGTAGAAAAAGTTGGCACAGAGTGGAAAGTCGTATTGCGAAAAAATGGGAAACACCGCGATTACTGGTGGGTTGAGTGGTTTGATGCCGTCGTCGTCGCCAGCGGGCACTTCTGGGTGCCATATATTCCTGCCATAGAGGGGTTAGAAGCATTTGAGAAAGCAAGGCCCGGCAGTATAATCCACAGCAAACATTTCCGAGGCCGTAAGCAGTTTGTAGGCAAAGTAAGTTGTGCGCTATCAATAAGTACGTGTGCTATCGAAGGGTATCTAATGTCTTCTCTACGCAGCGCATCGTCGTGGTTGGAGCATCTGTCTCTGGAGCTGACATTGCCTTTGACCTTGCCAATGTCGCACAGGCTCCGGTCCATGCCATCACCATTGGGCACACCATCAACGGATACTTTGGAGGTGAAGCTTTTAAGCATCCGAAAATAAAAAACCATCCTTCAATTGCCAAGGTTGAGGGGAGAACTGTGCATCTAATAGATGGAAATTCTATTGCCGATGTTGACTATATAATCTTTAGCACAGGCTATAGCTGGTCTCTGCCCTTTCTCGCCGATGTCCCTGTACGAAATAATCGTGTTCCAGATCTTTATCAGCACGTCGTCTGGCAAAAAGACCCGACATTGCTCTTTGTGGGCGCTGTGGCGGCTGGGTTGACGTTCAAAGTTTTCGAATGGCAAGCTGTTTTGGCAGCACGCATTCTTGCCGGTCGAGCAGAGCTCCCATCTGTTGAAGAGATGCGAAAGTGGGAAGTCGAAAGAATCAAGGCACGCGGAGACGGTGTGAAATTTACGTTGATATTTCCAGATTTTGAAGATTACTTTGAAACACTTAGACAACTGGCCGGAGAAGGAGAAGAAGGGAAGGGGCGCAAGCTCCCGCGATTTCGAAGAGAGTGGGTAAGAGCCTTTCTCGATGGTCATGAGCGTCGCAAGGCTATGTGGAGACGACTCAATGAGAAAGCCCAACTTGAGCTGAGCGCGGCTCAAGACGGCAAACTTGATATTAGAGCACGGCTATAATGGCATTGCACATTTGATACATTGTAGATTGGCATGCCTTTGCCTCGACCCCATGCTCCGAACACGCGAAGCGCGCACTGGCTCTATCCGAATAATAGGCAAACATAGAGAGGAGTGTATTCTCATGTTTCAATAAACTTTTTCCAAGAATTATTGCTCTTTTTGAACATGCAACTATTACTAAGTAGCATGGATAGTGTCGGAGTACATTTTGCCTCAAGGTAGTGAAGCACTGGTAATACAGGCTTATCCTGTACAAAACCCCCCCTTCCGAAAATTCAATTCTCTTTTCGCCGTATGTGCGCCTGATTCGCCAGCGTAATTCATATCTCATGGCAGTGACTCCACGATTTAAAACATTTTCCGCATCTCAGCCAATATAAATGCACCAGGCCCCCAATGATACACTCTTATCGTGGTAGATGCCACTGGTAGGTACATATATCTCACCTTGGCAGCGTTTCACTGCAGTTGCTGAGCATGCGCTGGGTAAGTATACCAAATCTTTACGTAAAAAGGTAGAAGATTAATGTATCGAGGCAAAGATTACTCTCTCTGTTTGGTGGCTTTTGGAGATAGGTAAGACTCGCACCGCATAGGCACTCTGTAACACAGTCCTCACAGTGTCTGAACGTAGGTTCTCCGCAGTACAAGTAAGGAGAATCACATGGAAGTGGAGCGTATTGTGCATTAGCGGCAGCCAAGAATGGAACGGATGTCGTCGTAGGTTGCCGTTTCTGCTGCATCTTAACTAGCCTCCATCCGCTAAACCGCCGGATGATGCACCAAGTCGGATCAGTACAATTTGATATATACATCTGGTAGGTTAAGGTTCTTCCATAAAAGAAGGATTGAGGCATCTACAACGAGTGTCTTAGAAGCTAGGTCAATACAATTGGGAGGTGTCCAATTAACACGAGAGTTTTTTAGAGGTTGGCCGCGAGCCGTCCTCATTATAAATACCCCGTCTCTGTCGGGCTCTTTGAGAAGGGGAAGAGTTATTCCAGACCTCGCATATTCTTCTTTCCAGGCACGTTAAAATGACTTCTTTCGATCTCACGTCTTATAAAGCCTTATCCTTTGATATATATGCAACGCTCATCGATTGGGAGACGGGCATCTTTGGACAGCTTCTACCACTACTCAGTAGACTTCCGAAAGGACATTCACTATGGAGCAAAAGTCTGGCCGATATTCGAGATTATCTTCTCACCCGATATGCAGCTCACGAACATAGACTGGAGATTCAGTATCCAAATGAGAAATACTCAAAGTTGCTGAGCATGGTGTACGAAAATGTTGCTGCGGATATGGAAATAGCCGTAACTTCTAGCGAGTCAGAGGCATTTGGTGGCGCCATAGGGAAATGGCCAGCATTTGAGGACACCGTGGCCGCCATGCAAAAATTAGGAAAATATTACAAACTCATTGCGTTGAGCAATGTGGACAAAGTGTCATTTGCAAACACCTTGCGCGGTCCGCTTAATGGCGTCAAGTTCGATGCAATCTACGTTGCAGAAGACATTGGCACGTACAAACCAGACCCAAACAACTTTCATTACCTGGTCGAACATGCAAATCAGGAATTCGGGATCCAGAAAAGCGACATATGTCATACAGCACAGAGTCTGCCGTTTGATATTATCCCTGTTGCAGCAATGGGTTTTCGGCCCGCCGTTTGGATATCACGTGGAGGTGGAAGAATGGGAATGGGGGATTTAGAAGCGGTGAAGGATAAGGTTAATATTGGAGCGACGTATCAAACGCTAGGAGAAATGGCCATAGCTGTAGAGGCAGCCTTTGGTAAATCTGAATAATAATTAGTGTCCGTTGTCTGTATGCAATGGCTTAGTTGATAGATATAAAACAAAACTCCACAGCATAATGCAATTTCCTTTTCTAAACTCAAGCCTTTACAGTTCAAGCCTTTACAGTTTACAAAAGCAAAAGGTCGACTCCCAATCGCTGTTGAACTGCTTTCCAGTCTAACACGACCTGGTCTGGTTCGACGCCTCTCACAATGGCTTCTTGTGCACGATCATGCCATATTTGGCGAATAACTGTTCCAGCCACCAGACGGTTTGGGATTCCAAGTTGGCTTGATACTGCTAGCCAACACTCAACCATTTTCTGGTCTGCTTCATCCGTGGCCTCTGTAGCAGCAATAAAGACAGGCCACATCGATATTGCGCCTCCGCGAACGTACATAAATGTCATGGCATCCAGCAAGACGGATCTGACATACTTGCTGACGCCGCGTGGAGGAACCTTGAGAATTGCTTGATATATATAAATCAGGGCCGCCGTACGGAAGAGTCGAAGATGAAGACAATCCAAGAATTTAAACTGCTCCGTTCTGGGTAATGATTTCACAATACTCTCCCGCTCGGGAATATCGAGATCAATGCCGCATTGTGCGTGGTTTTCAGGTAATAATTCGGCAATATAGCTCTGAACAGTCAGACAGAGATTGTCAGGGACATCGCCATGCGCAATCCGCTCCATGAAAAGTCTGGTTGATGAGATTATGCGCAAAACATTGCAGCTTGCACCGATTGTATATCCAAAGTTTTGGCGGGAAGCAACGCCTTCGAACAGAATTTCGGTGATTGGGGAGCGATTATGAGGCTTGGCGTTTCCTGTTTGTGAAATTTCGAATGAAAGGGCGATGCTTTGAGATATTACCCAAGAATGCGTGGACTGAGCCCACGGCTTTTGCCGCACAAACTGAGTCACAAAACTTCCAGCTCCATTAAAGTGACTCCTCCAAGCGACCGAATCTCTTGCCTGACCCTGTTTTCGTAAGCAAACAATACATTGAAGATTGGCGGATAGTTTTTGTATACACTACTCACCTCCGAGATCATTAATGTATATAGAGTAGCAGCGCATGCATTGTATTCCGCTTCTTTCGTAGAGTTTAAGGTTTGACTTAGCTCTCTTAATGAAGAGCCGTAGTGCTCCAGTGCAACTGATTCCTTTTGATGGTATATATGTCGATTGTCTTTGTATAAATTGGCCAGATTAAATGCAGATTGAGCGATGATCGCATGGTACAAAGCTCGTGAAGCTGGAGACGAATCTTGCAGTGCTGTCGATGGGTAAACAGATTTCCAGGGGTTATTCGTGCTGTCCACTGGAATCATAATGGGGGCTATCCATGTCACATAGTGATGGAATATTGTGGCCTCATCTCGTGACGATGATAACCAGTCATATATTGTTGGTGTAAGGGGCCGTAGTAGAGAGTAAGAAACTTCGATGTATGGCGTGGGAGGCGTCTCTGACTGAGACAAATCTATTAAAGATGCAACATCTTGCGAATCCAATTCGGACTTGTATGCAGTCGGATGATCCAAGATTGAGGGATCAGTCAGCTGCGTCGAATGAAACACTGTGAAGGGATTCAAAGGCGGCGAGTGGTCCGCAATCGGAAGGTCGATGCTATCCATCTCGTCGATCAGGCGCTGGATGTGATCGTCGCTGAAAGCCGGCCAACCACGCCATGTTTGCTCAAAATTCATGCTCCTTCGAGAAAACGGAGGATAAGTGCCAGTCTTTTGGTCTACCCAAACAAGCTGGATGCTATACCCTTCACACTCAAGCCTGCATTTCTTGCACTGCTTGCATGGTAGACCTACACCGTTGCACTTGACGCGCCGTCGGCGACAAGTCCAACAAGCGGAGAACGACCTTGTGACTTGCTTGCGAGCACGAGGCATCGTATGTATAAGTCAGTGAAGTTCTCTCAAGATATGTGCTTTCTCGCGATCCCAGTGGACGAGAATTTGTGAAATGCACGCGAACTGGCGCCTCTCGAAAGCAAAACTGGTTGTATGAGACAGCATATGAACAAAGTGTGTGGGCCCTGCGAACCCCGCGGGGAATTTTCATCGAAAGCCAAGTTTTCCCTGCGTTTATTTGGTGCCCAGTGCATAGGCGAAGGAAGATACGGTGCTTGGTGCTTGGTGTTGGTTAGGTAGTACCGTAGTAAGCAGACTAACATCGAGGAGTCATACGCCGAATACAGTGGGAATATCAAAAGTAAGGAACCTGCATGATTGAATGCAGCATACAGTGCGCGCTTTCTTATACATGTGGTTATACAATGCCATTAAATACGTCCGAAGTACTCCTGCGTAATCATTTTACTATATAATCCTAAATAAAGCTCTTTGTGATTATTGTGCCTGAATCTATTCCTTAGTGCTGAAAACACTACCCACCCGTTATCACTTGTCACTCATAACGACCTAGTTCAGATAGAATGCATCTCGACAGATTTCAGTCAAAATTGCGCCAAATAGCCAGGTACGAAAAGATTCTGCAGGCCATAAACTGAGGTGATCCTTTAACATCACTGGGGCCCTTAAACCTTGCTTATTTCAACTTGTAGTTTTCCTTTGTCCGCTTCTTCTACCAGCTGTTGCAACCTATCTTCTTTAGGCACGGTGCTTGATTTCCAAGGCTTGACACCAGAAGCAAAAAGCTGATCAATATCTGAATGGTTCGTTGCCGGTTAGCACATTCCACTCCTTGTACAAATAGCTTTGAAGTGGATGTTTAAAAAATTGATTACCTTCGAGGCTTCTTCTCTTTGTTTCCGGAAAAAAGAAGTACGCATGCAAGCATGCTACCACGTTGAATGTTCCAAATATGATGAATGTCTTCCATTGGATATTTTGAAAGGCTGGTGGTGTATAGTAATTGTTGGCAAATCCCAGAATCCAATTGGCAGACGTTGCAATAGACACGGCTTTGCCTCTGAGACGTATAGGGTAGATCTCGGATGGATAACACCATGAAATGGGAGCCCACGTGAAGCTATAGGTCGCAACAAGAAGGTAGGTGAAGGCAATTATTGCAGCTTTGGCGGATTTGGAATCGTCATTCATTGTCCATGTAACAGCGCTTGATCCGTCGAATCCGCCAGGGACATAGTGTCCATATCGGGCCATGACACCAGCAGTCGAGTATAGCCAGATCATCATGAAAAACGCTCCTCCAATGAGCGCAGGGCGTCGACCAATGCGGTCGAGAAAGAAAATCGCCGGCAGTGTAAAGATTACATTGATGATGTACTGAACACTCGATGCAATGAGTTTGACGTTGCCTGTAAGGCCAGCCATCTGGAATATGTACACAATGTAGTACAACAGAGCATTATTGCCGCTTAATTGAGTCCAGATGTGGACAAAGATACCGTTCGAAATACGATGTATATTGTCGCGATGGATCAGCTCTGCCCACTTTACCTTACCTTGCGACTCTGAAATGGCTATAGACTCTCTTATTTCCGCATATTGAGCTTGCACAATGGGAGCTAAATGGTCTCCATTTCCGTGAATGCTAGCAAGGACTTCGAGCGCTTCTTCCCATCGATCTTGGGATGCAAGCCAGCGAGGCGATTCCGGGATAAAGAATAGAGCAGTTAGCATAACAAGAGCAGGAAACATCTGCACTGCCCATGGAACTCGAAATGCGACGTCTGTCTTGCTGTAAGACGCCCCGAAGGTGATGTAATACATGATAAGGCCCTATGTAAGACATATTATTATTCGCCGACTGATATAAAACTCATTGTACTTTGCTTACCCCCCAAGTGATGCTCCATTGTTGAAAGCTTAGAATGCGGCCTCTTATTTCAGGACGCGACAGCTCTGCAAGGTATAGCGGCGCCGTAGAAGTGAACAGTCCTACATTCAAGGTCAGTGTTTGATGCTTTCGATCCAGTGCTGTCATCAGTGTTTTCAGAAGAGCCCAGCTTACCAACCGCTCCACCACACAGCAGCCTGCCAACTATCAACATTGCAATGTCAACGCTGGCGGCACATATTATGGCGCCGATAACAAAGATCACGCAACCTGCCATCAAAGTATATCTTCGGCCAAACCTATCAACAACAAAGATATTCACCAGGCATCCTAGAAATGATCCACCGGAGATGCTTGCGGTAATGCCGCCTTGTTGATCGGCTGTTGGACTGTCAAACTCCTCTTTGAATGGTTTGGTGCTTAAGATCGCGGAAAGAGATGATATGTCAAATCCCTGAAGCAAGCCTCCAATGACCAGAAAAGCTGTAATAACATAAATGTTACTTAATTTGTGAGCCATTGTGAGCTATTTTGCAGGACAAAAATTGTTGTCGAATATTCGGAGGCTTGATAATGGCTATAGGTGTTGCAGCACATGCAGCAGCTCTGAATTTGAGCATAGACTGAGAATTCCGACTCCCGTAGATAGCTTCAGGCAGTTGATCACGGCATCTTTAATAATAACGGGAAAAAAAAAATTAGTGAGGCTAACAGACATTGATGAACAAGACACTCTCCATTATCTCTCTAGATTTGACTTGATATAGCCTGTAGGCATTACCTGAAGCATTACACCGACATCATGTACTCTAAGCTCCTCCTACATACTGATTACATGGGTTGGGTAAAAGCAGCAAGAGGCGGGGCTTTCAGGTTCTCATTTCCAAGACTAGAAGAATGCAGCTCTATCGTCGGCACCATACTTCCGTGAAAACCGGGGTTATTCCCGTGCTGCCTCTACTAAGCTGTCGCGACATATATGTAGATGATCACGACATCACCAAGGCAATGATGGCCGACTGTTTGACAAGATTTTTTATTGGGAATAGGCGTTTAACAGCTACTTCAAGGAACATTTCTCGGCGAATAATATATACATAGCGAATCTCGGAGGTCTTGGCAAAAGTACTATTTGTACTACTCCGAAATAGGTACCGAGAGTAATGGCGGCTAGAAAAGTCGGCCTGTATGAACTTATGGTATTGCATATGTAATTGCTATTGTCAGATAAATTAAGATTATATGATGGAGTTGAGAAATAGGTCTCAATCTCCGGCATCGACTCACTCTCCAAATCACTATGAGTGAACGTGGGGGCGGTAATAGTGTGTGACCAGGAAGAAGATGATATAAGCTCCTAGCATTATTTGATGCAAATTTTACGATCTTTATAGACTTTCGTAGGATTATATGTGAAGAGTATGGAAGACAATAAGATGGAACTTAGGGATAAAGCGAATTGAACAAGGCGTATGGCTTACGTGAATCAGATGATTCTGCTCGCTATTGTATGCATTCTCCTAATGGGTTGTAGAATAGATTGACATCATGAAAGTAGAGTACTTTTTAGCTTTCTAATCCATTTGAAACGCTTAAACTGGAATCCTAATTTCTGTGAAGGGAATTAATTTGACAGGGGCAGAGAGTCCATACGGTTGGCCACCATAGCTACTAGCGTACTGTGATTGCTCCCAAGATTGGGTGACATTGACTTGCAGCAGCCGATTTCTCAACGTTGAAGATACTTCAATCTTCACATCATTTAGGCCCTTGATCAAAAATGGAGTGATGTCGACAATTGCGTCTGTGATATCGATAGGGCCTGTCCAGTGCCCATTGATCCAGAGACGTATAGTGTTGAAGACAGGACCAAGGTCTATTAACGCACCATGAATGTCTTTGGTGGGATTCCAAGCGAAGTGTGTTGTATATGTACCAAGTCCAGATGTACTAGAGAGGCCAGAAATATTGTACCAAGGAATTAATGTATCAAGGTTGAGGTTATGGTATTGGAATATCGATGTATAGTTGTTAAATCTGTCTGGGTTAGGCAGCCAATCTTGTATAGTGACGTTCCAAGGGCCAAGCTCCAGTGGAGTAGTTTGCTCTTGAAAGCCACTTAGTGTAAAATTATGACCGTTACTCAACGCGATCGCTTTTTGCCCTTGTGATGAAGAGCGAGCAATGATAGAGTGGCTGCTTGCTGAGTAGCTCAGATATTCGACGTTTGTTTTGACAACATGGACATCCGGAGCCTGAGTTTTGGAAAAAAATCCTTTTGGTGCAAAAGCAAGGATGGTCGACTGATTTGATTGCAGTTCGATCCAAATGTTGAATCTATCACCAGAGATGGTGTAGTTAAGAATTGGGTCAATGGCGCCCGTCCAAGCATCCAACGTGTAAGGAATGCCAGTGCCTTTTATAGAAGCTACTGTAGCGTGATCTTGGTATATGTCCGAGTTGTACACCCAGTAGTAGTCAGCGCGATTATCCACGTCGATTCTATGGACGTATAATATGGGAACTGGTGATAAATTTTCCGCTGCGGGCTGAATGTTTAGCTCTTTCAAAGCATTTACCACTTCGCTCTCCGACTCTAAACTTCTAACAGTAGGATATGTCAGTAGTTTCTGCATTTCTTGCTTGACGTATTGGTCGCATGAATCGCAATAATAAGGAGTTGTCTCGGGCAGACTGCCAACAAAGATAATTGAATATCCGCTGCTAGCATACTCTGTAAAGCGATCAACAGCCTCCGAAGTAATATTTGTAGAATTGTCCACGATAAAGGCAGAGAACCCAGGGCCATCTTCTGCAAGCAATCCATTGGTCACAACGGCGTTATCCTATAGAGAATCGTTAGAGCTATTAATATACTCGTGCATCATCACGGAACTTACAAGCTTAAGCAGCGAAGGGCTGACGGAAACATAAGAATATCCAGCGTTCTGCAGCGAATGGTCCCAGAAAATGTTCTCCCCCATGTTGTAATGTTTGATGTCAACCGAGAGGTATTTATGGCGATAGATACCAATGTCTACTCTTGGCACCCCAGTCTGAAGAATTATCTGTGTCCTGGCTATCCAATCGCCCATCTCTTGGACATGTGCCCAGCTGGGCTGCCGTGGCCCCCACATCTCAGAGTATAGCCATTCAAAGGTTGTTAGGCCAGGCCACTCGACCTGCGGGCGAATGCCAGAGTACGGGAAGCCATGCGTGACGATGCGGTTGACGCCACCAGCATAGTTGATCTTGCAATCATTCAGAATAACAGGCCAAGTTATGGCATATGCCTCATAGCGGTGCGCCCCAAGTTCGCTGGAAAAGATTTGCTTCTTTCCCATCATTGCGCCGCCTCCCATGGCACGAAAGGCGTCAATCACTCCATCGAAATAGTTGGATTCTGTCTCAGGAGCATCGATGTGTGCAGCTGCTGAGTTCATATCCCACGGTGGTGCAGCATTAGGTGCGGTCGCATATGGCTGTAGACTTCCTTGAATGTTCCATTTGCTTGTCCATTTAGAAAGTCCATCAAGATGGTATTGTTCGTACAACTCTTGCAGACACTGGTAGTAGTCATTGCGCAGCTTCCAACTTATATCCGTTCCATTCTCATGGTCATTAAAGCCGTAGTAAAAGTAGCTATTTGCGAGTGTGCTTGGGGGAAGACCAGTCGTACCGAAAAGAGCTGGTAAAGCTGTAGTGATATCGTAGTCGCGAGTTTGGCGAAAGTACGACGACAATTCGTCTGTCCAGAACAGCGTGGCTCTAAACTCAGCAGAATCTTCCCATGCGTACATGCCAAGCTGGGCCAGAAGATCTCCATTCCCTCCATTCATGACATATTTCTCGGTAAACCCTGTCCAGAGGTCTGTTCCCTCTTGGCTGAAGTGATCGACGACATAAGCAAACCAAGAGGCAGGATTATTGGGAGTGGTTGCATTATTAAATGCACCTTGCGCTGCTAAATAGCCTGTGCGACGCTGATAAAATGTAAAAAGAACATAGTCATTCCCATCAGCCGGAGACGTATAGTTCAAAATGCCATCTTTGACCAGGTTCGTAATATCGTTGACGCTATCGAAGTCAAGTTGAGTTACACGATTATCTTTGGAAGATACTTTGAGAGAAAAACGAATTAATGACGAGTTCATACATGCTAGAGGGTATTGGAATCTTGAACATTACCTTTGCTTTTGCGAGCGACTACAGCAGCGACAAACTTGTTGGTGAAGTTTGTGACAGGAGTAGAAAAGTCTGGCTTATTCGCATAGCCTGCATCTGTGCGACCTGGAGGCGGGATAGGGCCGTCAAATGTCTGGCCTGAGCTCAAACTGACGCTGCCATATGCCAGCTCAGTATTCATACCGGGAGAATCAGGATCCAGAATTGGAATTGAAGCGCCCTGCGTTGGCCCCAAAGCAAAATCGACGAGCAGATCCAAATCTTGGGAAGCACGGAGCATGGTGCCAAACTTTCCCCTCCAATTACCACCCCCGTAACCATATATTGCCGGATCTACAACAGCTGGCTCAATGCCATAATTCTCCAAACAAATAATCTCAACTCCACCCCATCCCGCGGCTTTGATCTCTTGTAAATCAGCGTATAAGACACTGTCGTCCACGTCGGCGTCTGGAACCCAGTACCGAAATGATGGCCGGGCCAACCCAATGGGGTTGGCAAACTCCGTAGGAACATCATATGCGATCCACAGAGCAGGGCGTTGGCCAAAACCAGGGCTTTTGTCAACAGCCACGGACACAGTGGCCAGCACCACGATGCCGAAAAATGATGGCAGTGAAGTCCTCATCGAAAGCTACTCTCACTCACAACCAGTATGTGCCGGAAGGAGTCTTGGTGCGTTGGGACAAAGTTTATTGACTCCCGATTCGGTTCGAGTCGCCGAGAAAGCAAGTCAGTCGACTTTAATGACTGCTCTAGGCAATCTCTCACTCAACGCAACATCGCCACGTGGGGCATCTCAATGAATGATGCCTTCGCCGGTCTGTCGGCCAACTTCATCGCATCATCGCGGCCCTGCATCATATCTTTTCACACATTTTAGCCGTCAAAGTCTCGCTGTCGGGTCAATGCGCGGGTCAATGGGTGCCGAAGAGGAAAATAAGAGATGGCCTCTGCTCCAGATACGGCTAAGCGGAGATGGTTATAGCATGCCGCTTTTAAGCTGCTCTGCTTGTCCCCTTGCCATTGACAGCGATACGATGACGAAATTGCGCGGTAAAATGCTTGAATGGTGTAGATCCTGACCTTCAAATGACATTGGAAGCCCCGTTACATATGCATACGCCGGTGGTGGCACACTTGAAGGCCCTGCTGAAGGGTTCCGATTTGCCGCCTTTCGTATGCCCGCTCGGCCTTGGTCGCGATGCAAGTATTCAGGCAGCCTTACCGAGCATATACTAGCAGCCCTAATTGTAAGTAAACCGTAGCTTCTGGATCCTACCCTCAAGTAAAGTCTTGGTTGATACCTATACGGAGCTATGATGACAGACTCCTTGGCGGTCTCCGCAGCATATGCAGGCACCAAAAGCGCCATTTCTAGGTCTGTGGTCGTGTATGATAGTGAGTTTACCAAACATACGCATACGACCACTAGGTTTAAAAGTCTCCGCTCATCGGCTGATACAGAGCTTAGTTTTTGGCACCCAGATGTTCATTGTGATGATAGCCAACCAAATCCAGACCTGCCCGCTATAAATAGTAATAATATCTGGCTGTCCTTATCAACAGCGGAAGCGCCAGAAAGTCTTCTCGGCTGACTTTATAACCGCAACGATGAAGTTTCTTCGCCATGTCCTACAGCTTTTGCCTGCCTCTCTAGTGTTTGCCGCGTATACTCCCTCGTCGCCCGAACATACCTGTGTGATCCCGGCTTTGAACGATGGGCGTGATGACGCTCCCGCAATCCGCGAGGCATTCGATAAATGCGGGAAAAATGGAAAGGTCATTTTCCAAAAAGACACTACGTACAGTATTCAAACGGTTCTTCAGCTACATGACTTGAAAAACGTCCAAGTTGATATGCTTGGAACTCTTGAGGTGACATATCTCGTCAATTAGTCTCCAAGTCTTCAATAACTGACAATAGTAGTATTCAACTGATGTTCGGTATTGGATCCTGCATGGGTCGTATTATTATTTCCAGAATATATCGATTGCAATGGAATTCTCAGGTGAAGACATTACAATTGACGGCCACGGGTCTGGTACTATCGACGGCCAGGGGCAGGTATGGTACGATCTGGCACTCGGGGTGGGTGGGTTATACGGACGGCCTATCCCATTTTGTCTACGAAACGTCAAAAACGCCGTAGCAAGGAATTTCAAAATCCTTCAATCGGGTAAATGGTAAGTTTTCTACTTCTCTACCTCGCCTACATGGTATTAATGATGTGCAGGAATTTTGTAATGCTAGAATCTCAAAACATTCTCGTGGATAACATCTACCTTTCTTCCACTTCAGACGATGACCAGGTATTGTACTGTTCTTGAGGCTAGTATAACGTGATGTGTCATTTACTGACGGCAATTAAAGGCAAATCCTGGTAATCTCGGCAACACAGATGGATTTGACACTATCAACAGCGACAATATTACTATCCAGGTAAGAATGGTAAGCAAAAGAAATTAAGATATGGGCATTGACAGGATCACAGAACAGCTGGGCAAACGTTGGGGATGATTGTGTCAGCTTCAAACCTGGCTCTACTAATATGCATGTGAAAAACTTGACCTGCTACAACAGTGCCGGTATCGCAATCGGTAGCCTTGGGCAGTATGAAGGAGTGCGAGACGTAGTTGAGAACATTACTGCAGAAGATGTCACTGTAAGTCTATCCCCTAGCGCCTCAAGATAATGCTGCAACCAACTTATATATAATGCAATGGATAGCTTATCGGTAGCCGCAATGGTGCTTATATAAAGACGTATGTCGGCAAGAGAACGTACTGGCCTCCCCAGGGGGGTGGCGGCGGTAACGGCTACGTTCGTAATGTTGGTAAGTTTTTTTCTCACTGAGCCTCTATGTTGTCTCGGGGGGGTCTAATTCAGTTGAAGTGTTCAAAAATTTCCATATCGAGAATATTACTTCTTCGCCCGTTCTAATCCAGCAGTGCACTCACTGGGGTGGATACAACGTCCCAGCATGCGCTGATACACCCGCTACTGGTTACTTTTCCAACATATCCTGGTCCAATTTCACCGGGTATTTGAATGAAAAGGTCGGAACAAAATCGATTAGTTGGGCGTGTTCACCACTGGCACAGTGCGAAGGATTCTCATTCAAGGATATCAATGTCAAGTCGGTTGATGGAGCGGATGGAACATACTCTTGCAGTAATGTGGACGGGTATGACGCTACTTGCCAGAAGGTTTAATAGTGTATGTATCTGGCGAATATACATAGTTAAGAGATAAGTCTATGTGGCAAGCAGCGTGTTAGGTCTTGGGGAGGACATAGCCCTCTTCTAGTTCCTCTCTCCTATTAATGACATGTTAGTAAACAGAAATGAGAATAGAAGAAGCTGATGGTGACTGACAAAAATATCCCAAACTCCGAAACGTAGGCTAACCAATGTTTCACCAGCTCATCCAAGACTTTTGGCTCCTGTTCAGCCAAGTCATGGACCTCTCCCATGTCTCGTTCCATATCATATAGCTGCCATCTTTCAGGACCCTTTGGCTTTGGAATGAATATTGCTTTCCACTTCCCCTTTCGGATGGCCTGATGGAAAAATAGCTCCCAGCCGGTTACATGATCTTCATCATGAACGCGAGGGGACTTCTGCAGTAAATGTGATATCCACGATTTACCCTTTACTGGAACGATTTGTCGACCTCGAAATTCCTGCTCCGGCAATGGAATACCTGCCAGATCCAGAAATGTTGGAAGAATATCCATAACAGTCGTAAATGAGTCAGTAATGCGCCCGTTGGAGAGCTGAGCAAAGCGTGGGTAGTGAATGATAGCTGGGCACCGAATACCTCCTTCTGTGACATAACCTTTATGCATTCTACTGGGTGCTGTTGAAGCTTGTGCCCAGCGAGGACCATACCAAATAAACGAATCTCGGTTGCCTAAATTCTCGTAGTCGTTGTTATAATGCTTATCAATAGACTTTTTGATAACATCTCCAGTCACGGGAATTGCCTCCACGATAGCTCCCTCAGCGCCGTTGTCAGACATGAAAATGACAAACGTGTTGTCCCATTCATCAATCTTCTTGATGTAGTCAATCACCTTGCCAATGTTCTCGTCCATTCTATCGACCATGCCTGCAAACACCTCCATGGTCTTGGCGGACCACGCCTTCTCCGCAGCTGACATTTCGTCCCACTCTTTGGTTGACGCAATGACCGGGTGGGCTTCGATATCTTCAGGTAAAAGCCCAAGTTCAATTTGCCGTTTCAGCCTTTTCTCCCGTAAGCCATCTGGGCCATCATCGTACTTTCCCTTATATTTGGCAATCGATGACTGTGGCGCTTGCAAGGGCCAATGCGGTGCTGTAAAGGGAAGAAATGCGAAGAAGGGTTTTTCTTTCAGTGCAGTACTGCGCTCTCTTTCGTCTAAAAACCCAATAAGCTTGTTGGTGAATTGATCTGATGAGTAAAAATCGGCTGGAAAATCCTTCGTTTCTACTCTTTGGTCGTCTTCATAGTACAAACTGGCCCAGTGAGCAAAAATAGGTGTACCATCGGGATGTTTTGGTTCGTAGGCGTAGTGACTCGACCCTCCAGGCAAAAGCGCAAATGAGCGATCAAAGCCCCGAGCATGCGGTGTACGCTCCTTGGTCAGGCCCAAATGCCACTTCCCGCTCATACAAGTATAATATCCTCCATCTTGGAGAATCTCTGGCAGAGCCGCAACTCGGAAGTTCAAGTATCCTTCGTAGCCTGCTCTTTCGGACCATGGCACTGGCGGGTCTCTTCCACGCCCCCAGTATTCCATCTGACCAAGGCCGGCGATGTGGTTGTCAGTGCCTGATAGTAACATAGAGCGTGTGGGAGAACACATGGATGCCGTATGGAAATTCGTCATGCGAACACCAGTAGGTGAGTAAGCCAAGCCATCAAGATTTGGTGTTTGAATCTCGCCTCCAAAAGCACCGACATCTGAGAAACCAAGGTCGTCCGCGACAATGAGAAGAAAATTCGGGCGTTTGGAGGTGTTCATAGTTACTTCCCTGGATGGTATACCAACCAGACGCAATATCTAACGTTGACAAGCAATTTTGCATATGAAAAATACCAGAAGGACAAAGACATGGTTTGTTTTTAAAGCAAACACCTCGCCTTTATACTTGCATTTGGGTAATGGTGCGATTATGTGGGTTGAGTGCGAAACATTCACTACCAATTATGCACCCCTCTGGCTAAAAGCAGCAAGCTAACGATGGAAGCTATAGCTTGGATGTAGTGGGGGGTCTCGGCGAAGGACTACTGGTGCTGGGAGATGCATACTTACCTAGTAATAGATCCAACCGTCTTACGAAACGCCGTGGTGTTTACCATTGTATCCATGTCAGGCCTTAGGCATAACAATAAAAGACGAATTTAGGCTCACTCACGTTTAAAATAATGCCAGAAACAATTTTGCGATCCTCATTTCATGGAATAGTACAAAAGTGCTCTCAGAGTCGTCCAAAGAGCGAAGCCATAGAAATCAGGTCAATGTCTCTAGGTTAGCAGATTAGCGGACGATGCTAAAAGTGTAATTGGAAAACACAAGAATCTGATCCTGTGCTTGGGAGAGACTGTGGAGGCTTTCTCTCTCTCTCTATATATATATATATATATTCACCATCGCAAAAACGATCTAAGTATCGTACAGAGATTATCATTGCTATAGACTCAAATCATACATGAAAGGGTTGAAAATGAAGCGTATCAAAGCCAAAGCTTAGCCTCTTAATCACCTGGGTACACAATAACAATGTGTCTCTATGTCTTGGGTGTTAAATGTTAATATTCGTCAACAGCAAAAACATAAGTGAAGACACAGATACTGCAATCAATCTCTCTATTCTTTTTACATAGCCTATATCTTCCTCCCTTGACACTTGCGGTTTTATCGCTTGGTACCCATAGTTAACAGTATCATGGTTGTTTTGACATCTAGTTAGACTTGTTCTTCGAAGCCTTCTGCTTGGCAGCCTTTTCTTTGGCAGCAATCTGAGCTTCGGTATGATGGGGTTCACGCTTGTCAGCCCAAGAACCGAACTCGTCATCCGCAGGAACCTCATCACGAGCTTGGTGCTTGTTTCCGGTCTTCTTCTTGGCAGCGGCCTCTTTGGCAGCAATCTGTGCCTCGGTGTGGTGAGGCTCTCGCTTATCAGCCCAAGAGCCGAACTCATCGTCAGGAGGAACGTCGCTTGCTTCGCGTGCCTGATTCTTCTTTCCACCCTTCTTCTTGGCAGCAGCTTCCTTGGCAGCAATTTGTGCTTCAGTGTGATGAGGATCTCGCTTGTCAGCCCATGAGCCGAATTCATCATCCGGAGGAACATCACGAGCATTGTTCTTCTTTCCACCCTTCTTTTTGGCGGCGGCCTCCTTAGCAGCAATTTGAGCTTCAGTATGATGGGGGTCGCGCTTATCGGCCCAGGAGCCGAATTCATCATCCGGAGGGACATCACGAGCATTGTTCTTTCCGCCCTTCTTTTTGGCGGCGGCCTCCTTAGCAGCGATTTGTGCCTCAGTGTGATGGCGAGTTTCAAGTCCTTCAATCATAGAGCGCACGAACTTGGTAGCCAGAGCAGCGCCGGAGCCCTAACAAACCTATTTAGTTGCATATCAATGGCAGCCTTGACGGAAATTACTTACGACGTATCGGCGCTCCATGTCAGTAGAGCCGGGCGCCAAGTGGCCGGAAGCCATAGGGGCCAAGCTGAACATGGCAAACACCAAGGCACTAGTAACTGAAGTAGGACGCATGGTGAATAAAAGGTATAGGGTTGTTCAAATTGAAAAGGAATTGTAAAGACAAGGAAATGTAAGAAAAAGAGAGAGAATTGATTGAAAGAAGACTGTCCAGCAGCCAGGAAACTGAAAGGAAGAAGGAAGAAGGGTGAAATGAAGAATGAGATGCCGGATGATTCCAACAGCCAGAAGAGATGAATTGAATGTGCTTTTATAATACTTGGACAATACTGGCCTCTCTGTAGACGCTCTTGCAATAGGCGACCCAGTCCCACACCTCGGCTCGAGGTATCGTCAGAAACTTGGTTGAAACGGAAAGCCCCATTGACTGTTTTCCAAACGTTCAAAGGAAAGCGCTAATCGAAACCGACTATCAGTCTTGCTTCGAAACTTCTGAATAGTCCCGAGCTATAGTCATGTTATGGTGAAGCTCCAGTTTTAAGTCGGGGTTGCGCTAAGCGCCCCTACTAGGAAGTTACAGCTTTGCATCACGAGAAGCTGTGAAACTGCCGTATTCTGGACAGTAGCTTGCGATGCAATACGAGCGATAATCTGGCCTAGTGGTTTTAAAAAATGGTGATCTTTTTTCGGAAGTGCCTAAATGTCACATTTAGATTCAAGGTGAATTGATGTTTGTTCTGAAAGTCTTCAAACGCGTATCACTAATGTCTCCTTGCCCCCTGTGTCACGCACCAGACCAGCCTCCTAAGATTGATAACGGCGAGTCATGGTATCAATTCAATTCGCCCGCCCTCTCTCTCTTATGAATTGAACAAAGTCAAATTCCCCAGTGGCATACGATGCACCAAACCGTTCCCTTTCTTCTTTTTCAGCATTCAAGACAACTCCAGTTAACTCTCATTTCATTCACATCACCATGGCTTTTGAGTACCGATCTCTTGAGGTAGCTTTTCCTGGCGAAAAGCCTACCCGTCTGTCATCGGACTCTTCATCGACATTGCAAGCAATTGACGACCTCGACTACTTATCAAGCGACTCAGACCTGTGCTACAAGACTTCTCTCCGTGGAATAGCTTCTAGATGGGCTAGATCTAAGTGGTTATGGGCCGTTCATGCCGCTCTGTTATTTACTTCATGCGGAATGCTCATCGTGACAATACTATTGCGATCGTCAACTCTATATCATGTTCGACAGATTTCAGCCTGGTGTAAGTCATTCATAATAAGATATGACATTGCAAAGCAGCTAATGGTACATACAGCGCCCGCCGATGTCTCCGTCCAATACAGCCATGTTCGATATAACCTTACAACCACAGGCAATCCCTTCGTTGGCGCTGGGCCTGAGGTAGATGAAGCCTGGAGAGAAATTTCATATGACAGTAAGTATGCGATAAATTTCTCAGTCAATAAACAATTCTGACACTGGCGTGAAAGTGGGTGACCAATGGATACCAAAGCACGACATCTCGAAGTTGGATATGCCAGACACTTCGCTCAAGGTCAACCACCCTGTCACTGGAGAGGAAGGCTATAGAGTTGGTATGGAAGTCTTCCATCATCTGCATTGCTTAAACCTTTTGCGCCGGGTCACCTACAAAGAATACTACGAGCCACTTGGTGGAGAGTTCGGCCATGGCCCAGAAGCCCTTCAAGCTCATACAGGTATGTATATTGCAGGTTGAGCATCGCAGAATTAAGACATTGGACATGGTTTGGCTTACAGACACATAGATCACTGCATTGAAGTACTGCGCCAAAACGTCCAATGCAACGCAGACATTGGCCTGTTTACTTTCTACATGATCCCAGATGACCCTCTCGCTTGGCCCGAGCTAAATTCGAAGCATGTTTGTCGCAACTTTGACAAGGTGCGCAGGTGGGCATTGGACCACTCTGTAGGAAATATGGAGGTGTTGGAGCACTAGCGGGTTGTTTTTCATCTTTTCTTGTGTCTTGTGTAGAGAGAATGCAAATAGCCTTGATTTCACGTTAATGACAATCTTTTCTTTTTTTAACATCTATACGCATACACACCGCCATTTGCCAACGTATCATTCCTAATCACTTCGATACTCACTTGCACAATTCCTGCTTTTGTACAAATTTTGGTTCTCTCTCCTCTTTTTCGTAGTCATCCGGGTGATTGCCTAAGAATACTTCAAAGGAGATGTTGATCGCCCAGGGGAAGAATCTCTAACGCTAGAAGAAACTAAGTCTCCTCACCTGAGATTCGCTTGCCAACCGAGCTAAAAGCTACGATAAAGTCAACTAGTCCTTCACTTGCCCACTGGCTACCCAGCTAATACCTACTCTCAGGTGTATATGCGCCCGGGGTAGTCGCCACTGGACATGAGGAATTTAGTCCTCTATAGTTTTGGTGGTTAGCACACGGTTGCCACTATCTTGAAACCAGGCCAATGTGGTTCGGTGTTGATTCAGCCAAGGGGCCCCGTGCGGAGTATTGCATCGGCCCCTTCGTGTTATAGAGTTAAAACAGAAACATTTTAGGTTGCGTTTCATTGGTGCATTTACTCGCCCAGTTACCAAACGTGCAAACATCAGTTTGACTACTGGTATAGCTTGGCACAAGTCATCGCTCTTCGCGAAGAGGGGATTATGTCATTCATCATATTGTGCCTCTTTCAAAAATGGATCTTGTCGCATCAAACAATAAAAGTTTGAGGTATGCATTAGAATTGGGGGTCAAGGCTATCTAACCCTTCATAGCTGCCTTTTTTCCGGCGGGCGCCTCTTCTTTCTTCTCTCCCTTCCGACAAAACTGCCTATCCTCTGCTGGTTCAGAGAAACCTTTACCTTTCGCTTTTCCTCTATTCTCTTTTCTTATTGGGTATATTTACTTTATCAAGGCATTGTATGCATATACTCGAACTATCAGTCGTCTAATATGGGATTCTCTCAAAATTACTCAAAACTCAGGGGAAGTCACGACTTTCAGGAGGGCGAAGATGTTGACTTGGAAGATAATGCATCTGATTCGACTAAATACTCCTCAACCATTGAAGATATGGATAAAACAAAGCTTCTACCCTATCGAGATGAAACAGACCAATCAACACCATCCTCTTTAGCACAGCAGCTGAGAGCGAGCCGATTCAGAATATCCTCTGACTTATGGACGTGGCTACGCTGGGCAGCAATTGTTCTACTACAGACTACTCTGATTCTGTTAGTTGTTTTGAAACAAGACAACAACACACAGCCAAAGGGCGATCTTCAAGAGATAAGCGGCAGCGATCGATATGTTGAGACAGGCAGTGATATTAATGGCCTTTACAAGACATGTATGCATCCCGATATCGCTTTCATCTGCCACAAAGGACTTCTTCATCTAAACTGACTATTCAATAGTATCTCACTCGTATACCTTTCTTAAACCGGAAGAGGACAAGTACTTTCCAAACATAACATCGAATGATAATCGCATGGAGATTCGCAAAAACTGGGATATGTTGATGCCACGTACGTGACAGCCACTTGGCCTTTTGTACAACAAGAGGTTATGCTAAAAGATGTTTTAGTCGGAAGCGGAAGCGTTATAATTCCAGATTATTCGAAACACCCTCTACTTGGGCAACCCATTACTGACGATCCCATCCGTTCTGGGCCGTTGTTTGAGGCATCATGGACACATGCGCTACACTGCGTAAGCAATTGAATCACGAAATATCCCTATTTTTTTCCTATCCTGCGAACTAACATTACTTGATACTTCAAGTTATACTACAGCGTGGACAGCTATCACCAGTTGATACTGAACGGGCCAAGTGAGGATGACAACCCAATGCATGCAGCCCATTGTTTTGAGTATCTCCGAAACAGCATTCTCTGCAACTTAGACATGACTCTAGAAGGATCCATGTCAACTCCACATGATAAGGACAGAGGACAGCCTCATGTTTGCCGCAACCGAGAAGAAGCTATCTCTTGGATTGAAGCCCGAAGGATGGACGATGCACAAGATATCGTTGGCCCTTGAAAAAGGGTATAAAAGGCGAGCCTAATGTTATATATACTTCAGTCATATAGTCTACTTCGAAGCTTCATTGAACGTCCATAGAGCGTTAATTTAAAAAAGAAATTAATAGTGTCATTCAGTCGATTGCACATTTCTCCCAAGCCCGAGATAGCCAGGCAAAATTCTGGGCAATGACGAATAGAGCTACTTTCGGAAATCAATTGGCTAGGATCTGGTAAGTAAGAAAAGCGATTTAAAAAATATATTGCTATCGAATAGGCTGCTTCTAGAATGCTTTTCACATGGCTATTTGTATTCTTGACATTAAGCGAGGAAATCTATACCTGTATTTCCATCTCTTTTAGTTCTTGGTGTAGGCTCAGTTACCTGGGCGTTAGCGGCCTCTTTAAGAGTCCCTTGGGAGGGTGCGGCGCGACCTGTCCTTCCGCTATATCTCCCAGTCCAGTTCCTACCTGCAACAAGGTAGTATTAATGGGTTTTCTAACATCCTCCATCGATTACACAGTACGATGAAGCCTGTCGCTTCAAGCTCGTATATAAATCTTAATCTCATTCGCTCATTTCCAGGCGCTGGACAACACAACGCTATTATTTTAAACAGTTCTTCAGACGCTGAACGTAGATTTCTGATTCATGATCCCACCAATTTCGTTTCCCATTGCGGAATCTTTCCGTCGCGCAGCGTAAGGGCTTAAGCTCACACTGCGGCGTGAACAAGTCTTTGTCTTTCTGGGTACGCCAGGTAAATCCTCAATTACGGGAGTATTTCCAATGCGCAGCGTGGCAAACGAGTTGTATGATATTATGCTCCTCTTCCCGATTATCGGTGTGTGTATGTCCGCATCAAGCACATTTCTAGCACTACTAAATTTTACGCTGGGAAAAGACCAAGCCATAGTAAAACGCGGATGTAGAATGCTGAGGTCGCGGGATGAATTTGTTTCGACACCAATGAGCACTACTGTCTTACGAGTTGTTTGTCTGGTCTATATCCGTCATGACCAATGCAATGGACACAATGGGACTAGGAGATAGATTGCCATCTTTGGTGGTCTTAAACATGTCTAACGGAATTGGATGCGATAGATAATAGAAGCTGTTCGCCAAAGAGCAGAAAAAACAATTTCACATGAAGAGCCTTCGAAAGAGCAAGCACGTTAGATATGCGCGAGACTTCATCGTCTAAGATGATTAATTTACGATGAACTCGAAGTGCATATGGGCAAATTTGCAGTAGATACTTAAAATGTCTGAATCTTCTGTTATGGATAGCCAACATGGTGCTCTCAAGCAGATTTAGTAGTTATAGATACTACAATCATTGCTGCTATTGCCTCTTTAGAAACAGTCGAAGCCTGCAAGGAAAAGACTACATCTTGTAAATCTTCATTACCAAAAGTGATATTGGTATATAATTCCCAACACGGTGATGTTTCATGCTGGGTTAAACAACAAAAGAAATTCCAACAGGTACAGAAAGTTATACAAAGAGCTTATCATGCTTACCCATGAATCAACATCAACATCAACTCTTCTCCAGCATGTCTGCATCGATACCTGCCAAACGCCTTTTGAACCCTACGCCCAATATCAAACCAATTTTTAGCCTTTGATCTTCATCATCTCTTTTATTCTTTAGCAAAGCCTGGATGTACCCTGTAGCAATTGGTAGCAGCGAAGATCTGGTGCCGGTTTACCGGAGCCCGTGACCCCAGAAAATGTAAGCAGCAACAGATTCGGGCCGTTTTTTTCCACGCCAAAAGAAGCTGCTTTACATAGGATTTTCCGCCACTCTATTGCAGTAGGCGTGAATACATGGATGGTGATAAGTTTCCATTGCGCAGTGCCTGCTCGCTCTTTATTCTTTTTCTGCACCCTATCTCGATGCACACTTGTCGACTGTATCTTGAATTTTTGTGGCTCGCTTTCGCAGCTCATTTTCAATCCCTCTAGCTCAGGGTAACTAACTCCCCGTGTGGGCTTTGCAAGCTTCTGTAAACTAAGAGGACGCTAGCCATTGCCTAGGACAGATTCGAATTTGTCTTGATTGTTTTTGCTGCCGGCGACTGTATGTGCCTCTGAACACATGCTGCAGTTTCCAAGGAGTGTGTAGCAGAACTTGAAAAGAGGAGAGCTCTCTCTGGTTCCTGCAGAGAACGATCCAATGGCGAGGCAAGACCTTGGCTTTTATACAAAACGCTACAAGTTGATAACGCCGTGAAGACGGGCCTTTTCTAGTGTGGAAATCTGCATTCCGACTACATTCTTATTGCACAGGGAGGGCATGTGCTGGTGGAAAAATCTAAATAGGCTATAGGCCGATAGCGCGTATTAGCGTAAGTCGGCGAGCTAATCTAGAGCTGACTCCTTGTTGGAGCACGTAAACCAAGAGATTAACTGCCTACCTACGTATCTAGATCTGGTACCTCCATGTCTTAGCATTCTGGTTCTGAAGGATCTACCCCGTATTCGGTTGCCTTTTCCATCTTCATTGATTGGCTCCATGTCGGGTCTACCTCGGGGGTGCTTGTGAACTTAAATGACTATTATCTAACTGCTGAGAGGATCTTTTGTTGTTGGATTATACCTTCTTTACCTGTTTTTCTCCCATTGGCTACTAGTTTCCCATTATTCATGTCACGAGATATGCTAGGGACAGCTTTTGGAAGGAATAGCCCGAACAATACGCCATTGATGTCTTTAGTAGACTAGGTAGGTCCCTATAAATAACTACTGAATAGCACATTAACCAGTTTACAAGCCATATCTTTACGGCAATCTGCAACTTAATGGAATAACAGTGCGATTAATCACTAATTGGAGCACCTGGACCATATATCAGCCTAATCCATCGCTTACATTCCTCAGTTTACAACAGAGGAAATCCTATGACGAACAATTAAAAAAAGCTGTCAAAAACCGAATTTTTTTTTGAAACAATTTCTTTTTCAATTTTATGATATGGGCAGTCCTAGCTGGGTAATACCGGTCGCTGCGCTCAGCACCATCTGCGGCGTTGGATTTATAGGCGTTTGGTTTTGGTATGCATACTGCATTTCGCAATGTATCGGCGTGCTGTAATATTTACTCAATACCTAGGTTTCCACGACTGCTGAGAAAAGGCACACAACAAGAGCTCCAAGTTTTAGCTACGGAACGAGCCGAAAGAGATCGGTACCTGCAACAACGAAGAGCAGAAGAGGGTAAAGTGGTTCAAGAAACGCAGGTCACATCGGCGCCAAAAGACGTGCCCGAGGCGGCATAACGCGTTTGGCGATGCCGCTGGCAGCAACAACATAACCACACTATCGAGATGGAGTCAAATAATACACTCTTGATGATATCACACATGAAATAATAGAAAGCGGGTTTGGCTATATACTAGAACCAATTTAATATTACATTTTATTTTGCCTGACCATCGACCAGCATCTCATTATGGCATTGCAGTGTATTTGGTCATCAAGACAGTTTAACTAACCTACCTAGGTATTGGCCCCTACTAACAGCTCTATTACGGCATTTGTAGTAGAATATCTGACTGGCCTTGTCGGCGCTTTACTCGAATATCTTCCGTGTATTACCTAGATTTCTTTTTAATATCAAAATTTGTGATATTGGAATGACATATCTGAATGATATTAACCTTCTGAATATCTACAATATCGGTGCGCGCATGCTTTCTCCCATCCATGGTATTGGCGTGATGCGGTGGTTTTCAGTTGCCGCTGCCCATGCTGCATAATAGGCAAGAAGGCAAGAACGTGGATTTTCAGTATCTACTATATGACGATATAAAGCAAGTTTTGCATATAATAAGCGGTGAAAATACGAATGATCGATATGATACATTGTTAGTGAATAAGGCGGTAGGCTATTCACACTTTCAAGCTATAATGCAAGTAGCATATTTAAAGTGCCTGTATATATATATACGCGAACTTTAGCGATTTATACATGTGGTAACTTTATGCTATCCCAATACTTTTATGTCTTGATAAACATTGTCCAGTAAGGCCCGATATGCCACTTCTACAGTTTGCCGTCGAATATTGCCTTTTGTGGCCGTTCGTGGGAGGGAGCTGGGTGGAACAGCAATGACAAGGCTCGTCGAGGTAATGCGCTCATGGAGATATAGTCGAGAATGAAATGGCTGAATCCTTTCCAAGATTGTCCGTTTCAATTGTTCATGGTCGATATTGGAAGCAGTTTCCACAAACAAGGCTGGGCTAGGCCGCCCCGTTCCAACTACAATGCAGCTATCCACCAAATCTCCACAGACTTGGAGCACATTTTCTTCAATCGCTCTGTTTCGTGTTAGTAAGATATAGTAGCCATGAAATGAGCTTTGTTACCTTGTATCGCAGCGAAGACTGTTCTCGCTCTTTATCCAGTCGTCATTACGCCCACAGAATTTATAGCATCCTGGCTTAATTTCTATGAACAAATCTCCAGTGCGAAATTTGCCGTCTTTCTGGCGAAAAGATTCCACAGGGCAGTCAGGAGACTCGGGTAAGATGATCAACTCTAGGAACTGACGGCCATTGTCCTCCGTCACGGTCGGCTCGAACATATAGGCCGTACCGGGCAAAGGGCGAAGCAAAGCAGCATCGGAACCTGCACCGTCTATAGACACCATCATGCCACCCACTTCAGTGCTTCCAAATATATTCTATGATTCATTAATAGATGTCTAGGCTCCAAGTACAGATTGATCTGACTTACCGATAGCTTCAACCCGTTTTTATACGCCCAGTCTTCTTCTTCCTGAGGCATGGGCAATCCACTGTACAAAATCGAATCCAGCATTTGTAAATCTACTAAAAATTTTGGATTTTCTCTCGCTTTGCAAAAATGGCTTGAAATAAATGTACTGAACTGGTTGAGGCGGTTGAGTCCGCATCGATGAACCATGTTCTGCAGCTCATCAGATGAGAAGGCGATTTGAGAAGGCTGGATTGTACAGCTCCCATGCCTGAGAAATCCTATCATCATAAACGATTGAGCAATATGGCACAAGCTCCCCCTGTTACGATATCAGTATACGAACAAATAGCAGTATCTAAGAGTGACTGGACTGGGGTAGAGATTTACATCCACACTGTCACGTCCCGGCCAGACGCTGCTCGTGGTGTCGCAACAACAGAAGCTTTCCTCACCATGGAGTCAATCCACTTTCCAGTGCAAGGAACAAGCTTAGGTGTACCAGATGTTGAGCCACTTGTATGAAAAATGAACATTACGCTATTGGGGCCAGGAGCTCGTAAGGGAGGAAGATATCCTAGCTTCTTGCTGGAGAGCAAATGAGGCAAAGAGCTCACGGGGAATTGGGGTACTGAACAATTTGAGATGTTTGAAGCAAATGAATCATGATAAATAAGAGCTGCGGCGTTGGTTTTGGAGAGGAGCTCAAAGATTACGGCGGGATTGGGCAGTCGAATGCTAAAGAGCTGCGGAGTGTACCCTGCCCTCGAGATACCGTAAATATGTAGAAGGTCCAAGTACGTAAAGCCAGGAATCCTGTTAACAATTAGTTAAATACTCTCTGTCCGGCTATCAGAAAATTGTAGACATTCCATAACCCGATGATTGATCCAGCTGAAATGTGTCGGGAGAGGAGAACACGCCTCCAAAGCAAGGCATACCGTTCCACATCATTTAGGAACTGGTCATAGGTAACTGTATCCCAACTAGAGTCTTGCTTTTTATCTCCATTGCGTTCATAGGGTATCAAAAAGGCCGTCTCAGCGGCGAATCGAGAAGCACTCTCGTACAAGACTGAGAGGTGTGAAATGAGATTCTGTTGACTATTGGAAGTCATGCTGATGTAACGGTTATCAGAGTGGCGAGAAGAACGTGAGACATTCAAGAAATGATAGGGAATAATTGGTCTCACAAAAAAAAAATAGCTTACCGGAAAATACAAATATAGGGATTATAAGCAATATTGTTCATTACATGATCATTGAACATAATAGAGATATCCCTTGTCATATCTCACTGCAATGCGGCTGAGCAATAAGACCTCAACTGAACCTAATAGCCTGCTAGAGAATAGGCTAGGCCTGGCTGTTGACGAATTAGAAGTCTCGGCAGCGTGCCTTGGTCAGATAGCACCGAGCGAGCCGACCCTCCCGTTTCGAATGAGGGTTAGTCGACTGCGGGAAAAATTCCTATTAAAGTAAGTCATCAATCATGGTTAAACAAGACAAAGGAAATGCTGGGGAAAAAAAGTCGAGAAATATCCTTTTGGGAAATATGACGAGCGGCCATATAGCATGTAAGAAGTTAGAATAGTTTGGAGTACTCTGCTCCCCATGTCCAAAACCATTTGCCGGTCTTACCACATGATTTCGTCGCATCCAATGCCATTACTAGCTGCAGCTTATGTTCTGCATTACCCGTATCGAATGGAGGGCGCAAATTCACGTTATAGAGCACTCAATCTTACGTACCGACCACATTCCCAAGCCAGATGAATATGCCGCAGATATTTATGCCGCAAAAATTGGTTGAGCAATGAGAGATTGTGGCGAGTGACGGCAAGACCCCTAAACTATTAAATCATCAACGCTGTTTTTGGTAGATAGCATTCAAATCTGAGAACCTGAACGGTGAAATATGGCAGGGGATCTAGCAAGCATAAATGGAAAGACTATCAGACTCGCAGCAAGTGGGTCTTCATGCATTTGTTGCCCACCGGCTGCGTGTGTATGTATATCAGAGCCAATGTATTCCATGTCTGACTATCTGCGGGTTATTGTTTCTTGCGGAAATATACATGAGATATATTGAATGTCCTGAAAGGCTCTTGCAAAGAACGAGGAGCGATTCCCGAGAGTAAACTCCACCAATAGGCTAAACGGGCTGACCACCAATCTCGAGGCACGTGTTGTGATATCTATAAAGTGCCTTGCATAAAGTTATCTTCTAACGGTTCTTGTACACAATGTAGTTCCTGGCTATCTTTCAGCTGACTTTGCAGCCCTAGCTACTTATAGTAGTTTGTTCCGTAGGCGTCAGAGGCGATGGAATATCTGCTAAGCGTAAAACATTGCTATATGCTCCAAACTAAATGACTCGGTCACTTATCTATAGCTCCCGCTAACCCCAGAGTAGAGCGATTTCGCAAATAGATATGCCTATGTGAGGTTCTAGATTCCATGGCCTGTCAGTATCATCCGGCGAGATATTGACTTGGCTATGTCGTCTGTGAGCACGAGGATCAATTGCCGATACGTTCATAAGACGCGTAGCTCCGAATTGCCCGCGGGTAGTCACCAGCCCCCTATGTTTTGTACAAATCTAAGTCAATATTTGTGACAAACAAGATTGTAAGCCAGACATGACGTAGTAAAGGGATAGCGTCAACTCTTGGAATGTTGTTCCTTGTACCATGTGGAATATGTTCCAGTATAAAGATGCAATAGTATCTCTTAGTATCAATTGGCTGCAAGATCCAATCAAATTAGCCTTTAAGTGTTTTTGAAGCTGGCTATTTACAGTACTTTCTATTTTTTTGCCCAAGCCTTCTCAATGTACAAAAGTTCAACATATCATGATTTCACAAACCTAGTCATCCGCGAACATGTAGCGCTCAAAACCACTCTTTCCTCGCATGACAAAATTTGCATCGATGGAGAGTCATTAACAGTCGCTCAGGTGGTTGCTGTTGCATTACATGGCAGACCATCATACATATCCGATGATACTGCCGTCCACACCAAAGTTCAACAAAGCGTTGACTTTTTAGAGCAAGAGCTAGCCCAAGGACAAACTGTCTATGGTGTTACCACTGGCTTCGGAGGCAGTGCCGATACTCGCACAGATGAGACTGAAGCCCTGCAAGATGGACTGATCAGATTTCTCAACGCCGGAATACTCTTACCGTCTGATATGGGCCATGTGGCGCATGAAGATGCAACGAGTCAAGGCATATTGCGCAGTCACGCCTTGCCTCGAGCAATTGTAAGGGCAACTATGCTGATTCGATCGAATTCCCTTCTACGCGGACATTCAGGAGTGCGAATGAACGTTATTGGTACAGTAATGTCTCTTCTCGAGAAAGACATTATTCCTGTTATACCGCTGCGTGGGAGTATTTCTGCATCTGGAGATCTCGGTCCGCTGTCTTACATTGCTGGAGCTGTGCAAGGAAACGCTGATATCTATATGCGTGTCGGAATTGCAGCCAGCTACGGCAACCTTGCTGGAACCGTTGTCACGGCTAGAGAGGCGCTTCAGGTGTCAGGATTAGAACCACAGCGCCTTCAGGCAAAAGAAGGTCTTGGTATTGTCAATGGCACATCGGCAAGTGCTGCAGCTGCAGCTTTGGTCATCCATCGAGCCAAACAGCTGGCGGTTCTGTCACAGTTTTTAACAGCAATGGGTACAGAAGCGCTTTCTGGGACCACATATAACTACGACCCTTTTATTTCTGCTATCCGGCCCCATTGGGGACAAGAAGAGGCAGCCGCCAATATCACCAGCTTTCTTCAGGGATCTCGGCTGGCATCGCAGAGCAACCCTCAAGGACGAGGACTAGCACAAGACCGGTATGCTTTACGAACTGCGCCGCAGTGGATTGGGCCGCAGTTGGAGGATTTGTTTCTCGCACAGCAACAAATTGAAGTTGAGCTAAATTCGACGACGGATAATCCATTGATCGACGTCGAAGGCGGGCGCATCCATCACGGAGGCAACTTTCAAGCCATGTCTATTACGTCAGCCATGGAGAAGACCATCCTAGCTATGCAGAATCTAGGCCGTTTGCTATTTGCGCAGTGCACGGAACTCATTAACAATAAGTTTAACAATGGGCTGCCCTCCAATCTGTGTGTTGATGAACCTAGCTTGTCTTATACATTCAAGGGAATCGATATCACTATGGCCGCATACATGTCTGAGTTGGCGTCTCTCGCCCATCCCATCAGCCCACACGTTGTGAATGCAGAGATGGGAAATCAGTCTCTAAATTCACTTGCCCTCATTGCATCCCGCCGGGCGATGGAATGTGTTGAGATTCTATCTCTCATGTCTGCAGCTTATATATACGCCCTTTGTCAAGCCGTTGACCTACGATGTTTACACTTGGAATTTATCAAGGTTGCGGAGCCCGCAACGAACGATATTGTCAGAAGCATCTTTGGCTCAATTATTGAGGCTCCAGAAGCCATTTCAGCTCTAGAACGATGTTCCTGGGATTCTATCCTAGACGTTTGGATCAAGTTATCTCATCTCGATCTTGATCAAAGGTGCCTTGAAACATCGCGCAAGACAGTTGGCAATATTGTAGAGTTTCTGAGCTCTAAGAAGCTTTCAGTAACAATTAAGTATTTAGAGGATTACCAAAAACAAATTGCAACCATTCTTAATTGCCTATATCGCCAATGTCGAGAGCGATTTTTCCTGGTCCAGGAAACGCCAAATTATCTCGGATTCGGTTCAAGGCGCATCTACGCGTACGTTAGAAATCACATTGGGGTTACGTTACATCGTGGATTCTCCGAAAACATTGGACCCCGATCATACCCTTCTAACTTTGAGTCTCACAACTCTCACAAATCTAAACTTTACAAGTATACCAACAGCCAGGTGGATATATCTAGTGGCATCACCAACGGCGCCGCAATTCGACGTATAAGCGAGCACAGCCAGGATACTGCTCACAATTTCCAAAAAGATTCTGATAGCATCGGATCGATAGTAGGGAGAATATACTTGTCAATTTGCAATGGTCAATTGCCAACACACATGCTGGAGTTCTATGAGCCATGAAGCGTGTTGAATGGGGTGCACGTATAATATTTATAGTATATTTATGAACATCATAACCAGAAGTCCCGTTTCAAATTATGTGAAAATGGTGTTGCTGCTTATCACAATTTCAACAAAAGGTCCATCAGCGCAGGGAAGTTTGGTGATCTAGCATCAAAATGTTAATTCGGGAGAACAGGGTATCTTTCACCAGTCGGTGGTTATTACTTACCCCAAGCCAGAGACTGGATCCCATCCCTTAGCTGCTGGGAACCCCGGGGAATTGTTGCATCCTGGATTGTGACCAACCGTGACATCGTGAAAAACTTGAGGGTTTGAATACTATGGGGAATATTGTAAACAATCATTGGACTCAAAGATATCGAAAGTGAATAGTCTTAACTTACCAAAACCGGATGCAAATAGCCTAGTGTGCTTTTCCCCGCTTCAAGTCGCGCTTCATTGATCAGTGTTATCGCTGACGCAAAAACAGGCGATGAGAGAGAAGTCCCTCCTATTAGCTGCCATTGGCCTCCGGTGAAGACCACTTGTCTGTCTCCAACAGCAGCAACGTCTGGGTATCCACGGCCTCCGCGGTGATAAACGCCACTACTGACGGATGAATAGTTTCCATCAACGACGAAATTATCATAGCCATCAAAGGGAAGAGAAGACTCAACTTGGGCGAAGTATGCTGCCACGGCTTCTTGTTGGTAGCTGGGGGTTCCAAAAATTTGACTGAAGCCTCCACCGCTTGCAAATCTGGTTGTCGCAACTTCATTCAGTTTCTCATAAGGTAACTCAGGCCCTGTTGCGTTGGCGAAGCGGTCCCATTGAGTGCTCCCGACAGCTAAGACGTACGGGCAAGTAGCTGCTGAATGTGGAGAGAATATTTGCTTCTCGTCACCACCACACTGGCTTTTTTGGCCTACACCGACATCTCCAGAGGAAGTAATGACGGTTACTCCCTGTAGCGCTAGTTTCATCCATTCGTTGCATTGTCGTTTAAAATATGAGTCGGGGAGTTCTCCTTCTACCTGATGGTATGATATGGAGATAACGTTGGTTGGCTTATAAACACCGCACTGTAACTGACCCTTGTATCCACCGGGGTTGGGATCAGGGTACACAGGATCCAAACAGTCTGGGTCAGTGCAGTCTCCTGTTTCCCCAAATGCGCTATATGTACAGTAACTGCCATCTATGGCGTCAAGGAAAGCTGTGAAAATCCGGTCGTTAGAGAAAGAAACATAGTGTGAGAGTATTGACAGACACTTTCTGTGCCAATTTGCAGACATACTATTCCAAAATCCATTGTATCCACCATGAGACTCATACCACTGGTCATCTTCTTGGAAAAGAACTGTTCCTTGGGGGTATATCAGCGGGATGGCTGAATTAAAGTCCAGCGCTGATTCAGCTCCATCCTCCACATTTGTGAAATTAGAAGGATCTTCAATTGCTCCAACTGCCCCGTCGATAAGTCTTTCTTCTGGCCATGTGCCATTGGGTATATAACTAGGGCGATTAAAGGCGTTAACTGTGAATCGTAGTAGTAATTGTTTCCCAACTTACGGATAGAGCGTAGAAAAATACACATCCAATTCCTGGCGACTATAATGATCATTTGACGATTCAAAAATCCCAAGCTGGTTTCCTGGATATGCCGTTGTGCCATTCGGGATTGAGTACTGGGCTAGAACCAGTCAGTGGCTTCTCGTCAAGCGCATACCAAAACAATTTGGTGGAGGCATATATCTCTGTACGGAGAACAAGAAATTTACCTCTTGTGCAATCCGCCGTAACATAAATACTGCATGTAGTACTATTGGGATTAGGAAAACCAGGCAACAAGGATACATCGGGTCGCCCCGAGAGGCTAGCAGCTCGTTTCTTGCTGGGCATGCTAGAAGGGGTCTTGGCGCTGCCTGTTCGAAGTCTAGTGCCCGGGGTTACATAGTCGATATGCTCTTGAATATGGATAGGAACGTGATATTTCTCTGCAGCTATATCTTCACTGCCGGAATTGTGTTCCCATAGGAAAAAGTCGGCGTAGAGGAGAGATTCTACTTCTTCAACAGAGGCGTCAAATTGTAGCCACTATATGAGGGTCAATGAGACCCCGTTAACAAAACCTTCAATGTCAATTAGATGAGATCAGAAAGCACCTGTTTGTTTGCTGATTGGCCGATGCGATCTGCAGCAATCCCAGACTCAGTGAGCCATGTTATAACTGCGTCAACGCTAGACTGCGGTGGTGCGAAGAAATCGATAACCTCATCTGGAGTCATATGGTTACCATAGTGGAAAGACGTAGGATCAGAACTATAGCACGCAATTAGTATTCGTATGAAGGCCATTTAGGAATCTTTTGGGCATGGAAACGCAAGGATTCTTTTTCATTGCCCAAAGAATCCAGCTGACTTTTCTTACATTTCCAACAGCCGCTTGTCTCCAGCAGCTAAATTGACTTGCTTAAGGCCAATTCTCATAGGCAGATTCACTGCACGCGGAACCTTCTCCTTCTTAGTCCATTTGTGAACTAAAGGAGAAAGATGGCGTTCATGGAGCCTATGAGTACTTGGAAGTTCTCTTTTCACAATGTCAAGGACAGTATCTAGGGAAATAGGACCAGCAGTGATATCAACAATAAATGTTGCTACAACAGCCAAAGAAAAGAGTTTAGGCAACATATTGAATATCACTTTGAGCTAAAATGTTCATGAATAGTTGCGAAAGAGCAAAAAGCTCAATGATATAACAAAATACATCCTCCTGTAGTATCTATCAGTAAACATTATCCAGTTCATTATTACCATACACACAATATATGGCGTGCTGATCATGAACCCCGCGTCCAAGTCTAAAAAGGGCAGGTAGTTATCGAAACAATTAGGCTAGAAAATGAGAAATAACGCAATATGATCGAATCTCGGACATTAGGTGAATCGAAGTGGCGGTATATTTACATGCCAAGAGATTCTCGGCAAGTAAAAGCGTCTCTTCATTTGCCTCTCTATTGTTATTGGTCTATGTGCGTCGCGAAAATTAAGATAACAAATGCAGGTACATCACATCCATCTTATCTTGAGACATATATGGATTCGTCATATACTTCTGCATTAAATAAAGAACAGATCTGTATTTCAATAGCTGTGTTTCGAAAACTACGAAAGAAAAAGTCTGTTCGCTCTGTCATAATAGAACCACTATTGTAGATATGGATAACATATGAGCAAAACAAGAATTCGACAATAAATCGTAACGGGTTCAATTTGATGGAGTAAAAATATTCCTATTCCGCTATTAGTAGTTAAAAAAAAGAAAAAAGAAAAGCTGCATTACAACAAGTACCCAAGAAAGGCAATATGTTATAACTATTTATGTTAACAGACTGTTATATAGTCCAACCAGTTATGGAGAGTCAGTCATAGTAATATGAGCAAGGTTTCATTCAAAATTTGATCTTTGTTATTGAGTCCAAACAATTACTCAACTCAAATATACGATAGGTTTAGGCTTGCATAGATATGTGTGAAAGACTGATATAAGGGATTTTTGCTTTACACATATCCGCTCTCCGATCTTACTGCATCTTTAAGCTGTTCGGTTGTAACACTAATAGTATTAGACTACACAGATGCATCTAAGCCAAGTAATTACATCATCTTAGTTAATAGCCTTACATACCGATTTTAATCAGCTTGCTTGTTGGCATCGCGGCTATAATATAAGCGTTGTGCAGCTTGTTAGTTTTTATAAGGCAGCGTTTTGAACAGTAGGGTAAAAAACAACACGAATTGCTAGAACCTAGTTTTTAGCCATTTTGTATGGTGGTAGCAGTAGTATTCCACGTATAATTTAAAATTGTAGTGTCAGCCCAAATTATTAATAGTCGTGAGCAAAGCTGCTGCGCTGATGAAGGCAATCCAGTGTGTGTAGCTAAGGCCACCAGGTTCGATCAGTCTGCCAGCTGATCGAGGTCAACAGAATCATTCGAAGCCACCTAAAGTCCCCATTGCGCTTAGTCGCTAAGGATTAGTGTCAAAATATGACACGATGATATATAATTGTAAGCATTATAAACTATTGATACATGCAGTCATCATTTTGTTCGTGAATACGTATATGCATTAGTACAGACTATTGGTTGTGCCTTGTATTTGTGTAACGCGCTAAAGACAATCCTTGAAGCCGTATGATGAAGTATCTCGTATATCGAGCTTACGCATGTCTTACTAGCCGTATATTCGTAAAGGAAGTAGCTCGTAAAGACAATAGCTTGAATCTTACGCTGACGATAGCTCATTGTACTGCTCATTCTTGTTCTTCAAGATAGGGTATCCAGCTGCTCGGCGTGGGGGCTGTACTGCCGTATACCGACCTATATAGTGACACTAACTCTGCAATTTTTGTTTCCCAACTTGTTGATCTGCTTCTATGTCGGCGCAAGCAAATATATCTATTATACAGCTATTATAACTGCTATTTGACAATATCATCTTTCACATATATTTCGCAACAAACTGCCAGAGTTGTTAACGGCCAGTGTGCATAAAGTATAAGCTAAGCTCTTGCTTTCAGCTGCGTCAAACCGCCATCATTCAGGGCTTATTCTGTCCGCCGTATAAAATATTCGTCGCACTTCTCTTTTCTATACTCGCTTTTTCCGACGATGGTGTATGAGACATTCCACTACTGAGACTGTTGAATCAAGATTAAGTTGTACAAATTACTCTTTTCCAAGCGCCTCGCGGTGAATGAGACCTTGGGCAGTATTGTCATATTACGAAGACGTAATGTCAAGCCAATTTTCTACCGGCAACAGGGTTCTACCTCAAACGCATACCGCGCATGCTCTTCTTGGAATCCCAAGCATCGATCCGCTAGGCTTGGGTATAACCTGGCGCAATAAGCTACATCCTTTGAAGCTACTGTCCCTTGTTGACAATGAGGTCCCGTTGCCAGGCATTTTCCCGGCGTCTGGGTATGTTAAGATGGTTGCTGAGGCATCTCTGAAGTTTTCTGGATCGAAAATTCTTCGAAAATTCGAACTTGACGATTTTTTTATTGAGAATGAGATGGACTTGAAAGAACAAGACACTGTTATTGAGATGACCCTTGAACTTCAGTCGACCGGCAGCCATGAGAGAAATGGAGACCGGACAGACTTCTTCAATTTCCGAATAAGAACAACATATTCTAACAGAACCCAATTAAATGTTCTAGGCTGTATACGTCTGAGAACTTCAGATGGGCACAAAAGATCATCTTTACTCGAGACAAGGCACGATTCGGTACCAAGCACGCGTTACAACCTTGATAGCATTCCACCTGCTTTCGTTCATGACACTCCAAGAACATATTCTCGAGCAACATCTTCGATCAGCTCTGGCCAAGACATCGAGCTCGAATCGCATAATTCCACCCCTCGTGTAGTTGATGGGCAACCGGAAGGCAGACCTGTTGTGAATCATGAGATTGAACAATACGTACAATCGTCTCCCCAACAAAAAATTGTCAAAACTCTTCCAATGTCTTTTGGACAGTCAGGCTTTTGGTTTATGAGTCAGCTTGTCGGAGATCCAACTTTTTTCAACGGAACAGTTTCATTCTTGATCACAGCAAATATTGATATTGAACTGCTATCACGGCTCGTACGCAAGATGGCAAGTCGGCATGAAGGTCTACGGACGGCGTTCTTCGCTGACAGCTCCCATCAACCAAAACAAGGAATTTTGGCCGAGTCTCCATTATACTTGGAAACAAAGAATGGGTCTCAAAAGCAATTGCGCACAGAAATCGATGCTATGAACAATCATGTTTATGACATTACTCGAGGTGAAACTTTACGACTTATGCTCCTAACGGAATCATCGGCCCGACATCATTTAATCGTGGGATACCATCACATAAATATCGATGGGATGAGCGTTATAGCCATCACTGAGGAACTAAGGCTAGCCTATGAAGGAATAAAGCTACCGCCGCCTTTCCAGCAAAATGAATTCGCAAAAAGACAACATGAGCGCCTTCGTACAGGAAAGTATGCAGATGATATCTCATTTTGGAAGAATGAGTTTCAAGATCTTCCAGAAATTTTCCCCATTCTTCCGCTCTCTCCGAATACGCTCCGATCTCGCCCAACAGCTAGAACAACGTACCGCCATGTTAGAGCAGAAAGGCGGCTGAATCCTGCCATTACAGCTAAGCTTCAAGGTCTTCGAAAACAGGGATATATCCAATCTCCTTTCATTTTCTATGTGACCGTCTTTCAGATTCTGCTAAGTCGGCTAGCCCAATCGGAAGATATCTGTATCGGCGTGGCAAGTGCAAACAGGCATAACGATCCAGGTTGTGAAGACAGTATTGGCATATTCTTGAATCTATTTCCGCTTCGGCTGCGATCGCAAATGTCAGAGTCATTTCTGACGTTGCTGGAAGAAAGTAAGAATAAAATATTTGCCGCTTTGAATCACTCAGCGGTGCCATTTGACGTCATCTTGAATGAAGTTGAGGCTACTCGACACCCTTCATACAGTCCTCTGTTCCAAGCTTTCATCAACTATATTCCGACAAGAGAGTCAAGATCCTTCAGAGATGGTACGATAGAGAACAATGAGTATGAGATAGGGGAAACTCTGTACGATATCATGCTGGCTGTCATTGACCCGCCCAGTGGTGATCCTTGGATAGCATTTATGGTCCAGAAAGAGTTTTATACTGAACGCGAGGCCCAGATTCTGCTGGACTGTTTTATTAACTTAATGGATGCTTTCACTAGCGATATCCATCTTTCAGGACTTACGCCACAGATGTTCAACGGGGCAGCGATTCGAAAAGCCATACAACTAGGGCAAGGTAGGTTCAGCACCGTTCCCCTCAACAGAGAGGCTGCCTTGCACGCTCTCTGAAATGATTGACAGAGATTTATCATTAACTCCTACTGCCCATAATATAGGAACTAGCCTCGACGTTGAACTTGGGTCTCTCCATGGGTTCTTAGAAACCATCTCTACAGAGCGCGCTAGTGCAAGCGCGCTGAAGGATACGCATGGAGCTGAGCTTTCATATGCCGAAATGATGAATAAATCAGCTCAAATCGCCCATGCGCTTTCTGCATCAGGTATCTCACTCAAGTCTAGGATTGGTGTCCTCCAAGAGCCGACTGTGGACTGGATATGCTCTATGCTCGGAATTTGGCGATTAGGGGGGAGCTATGTCCCCTTGGAAATTACACATGGCGCTGAAAGGCTGAAATCTATAATGCGCGACGCAAATGTTGCCGCTATTCTTATTCACGATGCGACCAGAACGCTTTGTGAAGATGTAAGCGGTGCACAGAGTGCAATTATAATCGACGTCGGCACAACCAGTCACATTGGGGAGGCGGTAGTCATTGACTCTTACACTTCTACGCCTTCAGATGAAGCCATTGTATTATATACGAGCGGATCTACTGGTGCGCCAAAGGTAATTAATTGGCCTCTTTCGTACTAATTCAACGTCTTGTTTCCAAGCTAATATTTGAGTAGGGAATTTCCCTTCCTCACCGAATGGTCACTAACACCATTAAAGGGTTTCTTCAAACCTTTCCTATGAAGCCCCAGACCGTCCTCCAGCAGATTGCCCTCAGCTTCGATGTTTCTTGGTGGCAATCGTTGCTTGGACTAGCCACTGGCGGGACTGTTGTTGTCGCTGGAAAAGATGTTCGCAGAGATCCATTTGCATTAACTGCTCTTATCACCTCTCATAAGATAACCTTGACGCTTGCAGTCCCTTCGGAAGCCACATCTTGGCTTGAACACGGTGACTTTTTGCAATTGCGCCAATCCTCATGGGAATGGCACATTTCCGCTGGGGAGGAGATTGGCAATAACTTGATCGAAAAGATCAGGAAGCTGGAGAAGCTGGACCTGCGCTTTTTGAACGCTTACGGCCCCGCAGAGACAATTATCCCAAATGCCCATGAGATTCTATATCGAGATCACAGATTGGACATTTCATCGTTCCCTATAGGCAAAGCCATGCCAAATTATAGCGTATACATCATGGATCAGGACAACCACCCTCTTCCCGCTGGTGTTCCGGGTCAAATTGTCATTGGGGGGGCTGGCGTTGCTTCTGGCTACATAAACCAGCCAAACCTTACGGCAGCCAGATTTCCAACGGATGCACTCGCCAGCGCCCGAGCAGTTGCCAACAGGTGGACACAGGCGCATCTTAGTGGCGATCGCGGTTACATGCGAGAAGATGGCGTTTTTGTAGCCCTGGGCCGCATTAACGGCGATACGCAAGTCAAGTTACGAGGCCAGCGATTCGAGCTTCGAGAAGTCGAGGTAGCTATGGTAACAGCAGGAAAAGGCGATATTTCGGAAGCTGTCTGTCATATTCGGTCCAATAACGAGGAGGACGCGGCATCTGCATTCCTCGTTGCGCATGTGACACTTGCGCAAGAAGTTCAGAACAAGTACGGCACCAACGGGCCAGTAATCGACAGCATGCTCCGTAACGTTGTCTCTGGTCTCTCACTGCCACAGTACATGCGTCCTTCTGTCGTGGTGGCTCTGCCGTCTATGCCACTAAATCACCATGGAAAAGTAGATCGAAAATTCCTATCTACATCGCCGCTGAAGAAGACAGCTGAGCCTCCAAATCTTTCGCCGCGTTTCGTCCAAGGTCGGAGTGCGCATTTCCAACATGAGATGGAAGAGATATGGAGAGATGCCTTGGGTGATCTAATTGATAACCAGAAACTGGAAGAGGGCTCCGACTTTTTCTTGATGGGCGGTAATTCGCTACTGCTAATCAAGGTTCAAAGTAAAATCAAGGAACGAACGCGCCATGATATCCCACTAGTGAAGCTGTTCGAGGCCAGCACTCTCGGCAAAATGGCTGCTATGCTGCACGACAATCAGCAAGACGACAATAAAGAACAGCTATTGAAAAGTCCAAGCGAAGGGAGAATGAAGCAAATATGGCTCTCTGTGCTCAGTGATATCGCGACTGAGGATATCATTACGTCGGATGCTGATTTTTTCCTTGTCGGCGGCAATTCGTTACTTCTTATTCGCGTACAAAATGAAGTACACAATCAGTTCGGTGTTCTCCTTCCATTAGCCTCACTTTTTGAAGCGAGTAAGCTAGGGCAAATGGCAACATTGCTAGACAAACTGGTCATCGAAAATAGCGCTCCTCGCGAAAGTGAACCAGATATTGATTGGAAAGACGAGGTGGCCTGTCATGAGCAGTTTCCAGCCGTCGCATCAATCGGTAGCAATCAAAAGCTTACTGGCGGATCCCCAAGTGGGACAGTAGTGGTGTTGACAGGAGCTACCGGTTTTCTTGGCAGACACATCTTACAGGGCTTGGTTAGCGACAATACGGTGAAAGCAGTGCACTGTATCGCTATTCGAGATATCTCAAAGCCTCTTGTTGGCTCTCCAAAAGTGACCATCTATCCCGGGGATCTGAGAGATCCTCATCTTGGGCTTTCCGATGATGCTGCAAGACGTGTCTTCTCTCAAGCTTCAGCAATAATCCACAATGGCGCCGACGTCTCATTCCTTCGAAGTTATTGGACTCTTCGTGCAGCCAACGTCCTGTCTACCAAAGCAATCGTACGGCTAGCCATGAAGCACGCAATTGATAAGTCACAACTGCATTTCCATTTCGTCTCGACAGCTGGTGTTGTTCAGCTTGGAACAGATGAATTGTATGAAGAGGCAATATCCGTCCTTCCACCTCAGAAAAACGCAAACGGATATATCGCATCCAAGTGGGCATCAGAAAAGTATCTTGAAAATGTTCATGCTGCTTCTGGGTTATCAGTTACGATACACAGACCATCCTACGTCCTCGGGCCCGATGCGCCCCAGCTTGATGTCATGCACAATATTCTGAGCTTTGCAGAGAGACTAAGGAGTGTTCCTCATATGCCTTTGGTAGATAGATGGCTGCAGTTTGTTGGAATTGATGACGTGGCACAAGATATTGTGACTGACGTATTGGATAGACGTGATAGCCAAGGAGTAAATTTGCAATATCGCAACCACTGTGGTGTCGAGAGCAACTGGGTTCGGCTGGATCAGCTTGCACTATACTTGGAGAGGCAGCACGGTGCAAAGTTCTCCAAAGTCGACTTTGCAGAGTGGATTGACTCTGCAGGAAGGGCTGGGATGCCAATACAGGTGAAAGAATATTTAACTAACCTCATGGTAGGCAGCGAAACCAACAATCACATATGGACTTCACCGCGTGTAATGAAAGGGCCGCGAAATATTATTGCTCCTTGGAGAAAGAAAGGAAGGCTTTAAGTATAGGATTATGTGTATATATATATGTACAGAAGTAGGGAAGGATGAATCCGCATGAACTTCATGATATCTCGTCAAGTTTATGCAAAGTGAAAGAGAGATCGAAGCAACATTTGCCAACTTACAAGCGCTTCATATAAGTCATTATATACCAAAGATCCTATAGAGGCTAGAAGAGATACGTTATCAAGTAGTAAATCAGAAAATGTTCCCAAGTTGGTGGGTAGTTGGCGACTTCTCATCTTCAGAGTGACATGGCCATATTTGACTGAGCGGCGAACAAAATGTGAACTCCATAATAATGCAGGGCTTTTCTCCTTCGCGATAGATGGCATAAAGGCGTGGAGTAGGAACGGCTTTTACCTTCTCCACAAGAAGCATTGCGTAGCCTTTATTTTTATACACGAGAGGTCCATAGTTTACGACAAAGTGTTCATTGACTGTGGCCGTTCTTTAGAATTCAGTGTTATAGCCATCTAGAAGCTCTATAGTTGCCGCTTCAATATATGTTGCTATCGGTAGAGGACCGGGTAACTCGCTTGAGCTGCAAATTCAAGGAAGAGCAGACGGGGAATCTTCTTCACTCACTGACATTTGCCAGCAGGTAAAGTGCCCATAAAATGGTCATGTGGCTAGATATCTATGCTTGCCTATGCCTTGGCCGCTTGTCCGTAGATAGCCGATTGCCAAAGAGAGCCTCGCACATTTATCTGAAGCAGTAAAAGAAAGGGAATAATGAGAGAAAGGAAAGAAAAGAACCTTGGAAGAAATTGCGACAAACTATCTATATCACATTTCCCAACCTCTCATACCTAGACACGGCGCTTCAATAAGAGTTCCACAAGTTCATCACTTGTGCTAAAAGATTCGCGACGTATGAACATTGATTGGATAAATAAAACAAGGCTCTAGTTATGCAACGTAATGCGTGAATACATAATAAATGAGATAATGTCGGTTGAAGGCATCTAAGCATCTAGGTTAAGTAAAGTTACGTGCATCTTAAACCTCGCAATCAATATAATTACTCCAACTTGCTATAAACAATAATTCTAATAGACTCAAGTCTTCGTCATTTAACAACAATACGAAGACCTCTCCAATTCATTTGAAAGACATCTGAACTCTAGGCCGTGGAGTCGGATCCATCCAGATTTCCGTATTCTCGTCCCAGTATTCCTTCATTTGACCATTTATGTTAAATCGCCACCAAATCCCATTTTTGTCCAATATTGGATTTGGATAAGGGTCTTGTCGTCTTCGGAAAGCCTGAACGAGATTTCCAATGCCGAGTAAAGGTGTTGATTCAGATTCGACGTAACTAATTGCCTCCTTAGAGACCTCCATAGGGCGATTCCAATTCAGGTTTCGTAAAACCAAGTAACAAAAATGTTGACAGTTATTTATGATCATATTGTACTGCTGGTAGTCCGGTCTGCTCATGCTCCCAGAGAAAAAGGCGTTGTATATCTCATCCCCAGCCTTCTTTGCGCGGGTTGCCATAACCGTGGCACCTGGGATAGGGAAAGCTCTGAAGGGCGTTCGGGTCCTAGTAGGGGAGAACCTCTCGAAGTGTATTTGGCAAGATTCTACTCTATGCCGGTCCGCCTTGGCCACTCTAATGTGAACAATCTTTCCGTTAGGGCTCCCATCTTGATCGGGGACGTATAGAGCCCAATGTTGGTCGCATCCACCACGTGGACCATAGAACTGAATAAGGTGAATGTTCCGTTGAACTGTGGATTGTACAGAAGAATCAGATGAATAGGACGGCATTGCAGTGGTATTTTCGAGGATTTTGAGATGATATATGCAAATAATGGATAAAGAAACATAGAAATCGGATGTATATACTCTATTGTTGTACAAAAGAAGTGTGAACTGTTGAGATTGCCCGCCACTTATATGTAATTTCTTTCTGTGTATAACTTTTGACCCTACCTCAGTCTTGCACAAATATTCTTTACAATAGCTGTAGCAGTTTTAAATCATTCAATACCAATCAAATTTAGCGCCGACAGAGTTGTCCAGCATTATCAAGCTGGTCCATGTTTAATGGTAATGCATGTTGGACGGACAATAACATTGTTGATTGTGGTTGTTGGTCGGAAGAATAGTAAGCAGACCGGAATCGAAGTATCTATCTATAGTCATTATGCATACCACTGGTGTAATCCATTAATACGTTACTCGTTCAAGAAAGTCTCAGCATAAAAAGAGAACTTTTATTCAGTATCAGCATTCAAAGTGTTCACAAAAAAAGGATATAAGTCGTAAATATGTTTCATAGATTACATAGTTTCAGAATCTTTCAGCTTCCTCGGCCTATGGGTAAACTTAAGGCCTCTGAGGTAGTAGCTTCTTCTTGTCAATTCCACAGCCGGAGAGACGCAAGACAAAGTGCTTTTACAGAAGAAGCCGTTTATTGGCTGGCTGGCCTAGGCTGTTGGTGCTGAAAATTACGAATGCAGCAAGCTAATGAACCATCAGCCGCCAGGATTGCCACACCCGGCGCTTAACTGTCCGCTGTAAGATTTTCGAACTACGATTGGCGCTACCATGCCTCTAGGCGCCGTAGATGACGTATTTCTCTGCTATTCAAACAATAATAGGCGACATTGTTTTGGCGCCGCATATGAGAGATTAATCAAGGGTCACAGATTGGCCTTCCTTGATGTCGGGCGTCTGCATTATAGCATTTCGACATCACACTACCAACCTACCTACCTAGGTACGTAGGGGAGTACCTAGCCACCGAGATCACGTGCGCAACTTACCATACACGTGCTTATTAGGCAATAATGTGAACTCGCCCTTTCCTTTGCATATCAGTGCCACCGTCCAGCTACCTATCTGGGTTTCAACAAGCATTACTGACAATCCACGGTCGCAGACTCATCCATAATCAGTTGCCCACCATGGAAAATCCCACGGAGGTCCCAGGCGCAATAAAAGAAATAAAAGAAGAGGAAAAAATAGAGACAAACGACCTACTCCCAAAGTTCCCAAAATTCTCATACCTGGATGCGGTTATCGGAAAAGAGATTCACAATTTTTGGGGAAACCGCGTTCTCGAACACACCAATTCCAAGGGCGAGCTGCTAGCCTTGAAGGTCAGCGACCCGGATGGCTTAGACCGTTCCCAGGGCGACATGATGAGCTACGCTGCAGAGCATGGTGTATTGGCTCCCAAAGTATTTGGAACCTACGACATTGTTACCAAAAAGCCTATTGCGCGGGTTATGGTCAGCGAGCGAGTTCCTGGTACACCCCTAGTAGATATCTGGAGGGATATGTCCCAGGATGATCAGACTTCCATCAAAGAGCAGCTTCGCGCTCAAATACAACATATGCGCACTCTAACCCAGCCATTCATCGGCCGCATTAACCAACAACCTGTTCGTAATTTATACGACACCACTTTTACTAGATACTGTGGCCCCTTTGAAGATGAAAAGTCATTCGATGAATGGTGTGTCAATCGACTTTATGGAGGAGTGTTTCAGCATAAGAAATGGCAGAAGATACTAGAGAAACAGCGGCGCACCTCGTCTGGGAGATTTGTCCTTACCCACGGTGATCTCTCACCACGCAATATTATGGTGCAGGGCAGTACTATCACAGGAATCATTGACTGGGAACTCAGCGGTTTCTTTCCTGAACATGTCGAGTATGCCACAGCCGTGGGGCTTAATTCGGGAATGGAAAAATGGTGGATTCCTGTATTAAAAGAGGTGTTGGAGCCATGTTCAAAAGATATGATAAAGTTTACTGGTCTAATCGAGGAGAGAGTTGGCTCATATTGAGCTTCAGGTACGAGAAAACACTTCAATGGAATAGATACCCTCTTCGCTAGCTAGCCAGCAAGCAATCCTGTTCTAATAGATCCGCATATATGTTTAGCGAGGCGCCAATCAAAGTGACCACCTCCCACACGCTCTTAGATTGGTACAATCGTGCCCATAGACGAACTGTCTGCACACTGAGGAAAATATTTCTCTTATTCGTTTTCCCAGAGCCAACCCGGTATTCTGTTTCCGTAACCAGCTGAGCCACAAACTCCAGGAGCCGTGTCTCTGCTTGTGTCAATGGTGGGCTGGGGTCTTTCACTGTGGAGCATTCTAGCCACTTTGAGAGCAATAAAGCACACTCCAGGGAACACAAAGCATGCTGGTTTGACCAAAACCTGACTTGGGTTTCGGCGATATAGTTCAGGCCTAATTTAACTGGAATACTGAGGGCATGGGCACAATGAAGGGCCGCCTGCGTCACTCTCTCGCTTCGCTGGATTGAAGGGCTCGCATGAAGCGACTCTGCGATCAATCGGGGATTCCAGTTACTTAGATAGCGTATGGGGCCTAGATTCATATTAATTCGAATATAGGCTAGCCTCATAAGAGCTGTAGAGGTGAAAGCAATTGGGCCATGGGGGCTCAAGGGGTCCATTGAAGACTCTTGATTCTGCTCCCAATGCATAGCCCAATTTCTAAGTGCGTTCTCAAAAGCACCCATCTGATCTGCTGAGAGGAGGTCTTCAGGCTGCTGAAGAGGAATTTGAACATTTCGGACTAGCCAAATTTTTTGAATCAGAGCATGAATTAGGGCACATCCTCCCAATGAAGAGAAACTCGGTTGATTCATCTTTAATCTCTCGTGCGTCTCAGCGATGCCAGAAAAGAGTCCCCTAAAAGCGTTTCGAAAATTTGAGCCCATTTGAGCCACAGTCTTGTGTATACTTTCCCACTCCTCCTTGCTCTGTGCCCTCCATTCTTTTTCACAACTCGGGAGGTCGACATCTACCTCGTTTGCCCACATAATGGGTGGGAGATCGAATACCATGGTATGCATATTCAAGAAGCAAAATGCAACAAAGAGGATTCGCTTAATATTCTCATAGTGGATCCAGCTTTCCCAATCATCATATGGTTCCTGGTTAACCCGAAGTCCCTCTTCTTCGCGAATGAGACTATCCAGCAGGCTGCGCATCGACAGAGCATCTGACGTGGATCCCGGCTCAGACCAAGTTGTGATCGCAACCAAAAGAAGCACTGTTTCTAATATTTCAATAGTACTTTGTTGTCTGTCTTTGAAGAAGCCAGGATCTCCTCGACGGCTACTTTCTTCCAGTTGCATGCTTGATGCAGGTAGCTTTTGAAACATCTTTTCATTGGCAGCGATACGACGTGTGGCTTTATGCCTGCGAATACGTTCCAGCACCAAGGCCTTTGCCACATGAAACAGATCAATGCTTATGTTCAATTCATGAGTATATCGAGCTCCAACTGCTGCGATGGCGATGAATAACTCTGCCGTGATATTCTCGGGCCTAAGAGACGGAACGTGGAGAAAGGGAAAGTGGTCATGGAAAGAGCTAAAATATCCTCCAAAAAACCTAGCCAGTACGTGTCTTGATGGTAGAGTGAAGTCTTCATCAACACAATTGGGAAAATTCTCTAGCTCGTTGATTATTCGTTGCCGACAGTCTGCAGATATTTGCAAATGGAGATCTTTCGGTTGTGAAATCGGCTCTGCTAGCTTGTGGCCCTCTGGGTGCAGTGAAGGAAGCTGCAGTTCGATTTGGGAAAAGGTATGACTGGACTTCTTCATAGTTGGCAGAGCAGTGGCAGAAATCTTAGGTACTAGCTCGCCCAGCCTTCTATTGCTCGACAAAGAACTAGACGGCAAATATCCGTCGGAGCAGGCTACAAAGGGCGGCTCAGGTACTTGGAAAAGCAAGGGGACGGGTTGGTAAGTCGGAGAGAATGGATGGGTAGGAACGGAGACGCTGTCCATAAAAGATGTGAAATCGTCCAAAGATCCGATCGCAAAATATTCGCTATGATCATTTTCGAGAGAAAAGTTGAGTTGTTGATGTACATAGTTGTCTTGAGGAGCAATGTTGTCATCGTATGGCTTTGATACTCCCGTGGCTATTGGCAAATCATCGGCTGCATCCGAAGGAGCGTTCAAGCTGACATTGGTATCTTGGACTGTCGATTTTTGGTTCAAGTCTGGCGGTGTGCTGGAACGTTCCGTGAGAGGATTCAGCAGTCCATTAATGGATGTCAAAGGGCGCTGAGAAGAGTACGGTACTGGAAGAACAGCCGCAGACATAGAGTCTGATGCTATCTTCGAGCGGTGGGAAAGGCGGTCATGTCGAGAGAGCAAATCTCTTTCAAATCCGTATTAGCACCGTCATATTCAATTTAAATGACAAAAAGTCTCACTTTCGAGTGAATGATTTTGGGCATTGAGGGCATCGAAATGGCTTCTCTTTCGTATCTGCAAACTTATGTCAATACGAGTTTGCGTGCTGGAGGGAAAACATTGGCACCCACGCGATCTTTCATGCCTCTGGAGGTGTTCGGACCTTGAGAACAGTCGGCTGCACCGGTGGCATTGGTATGACTTTGGGGGTGCTTGTTGGTTCTTTGGCATAGTACTGTTTCTTACATGCACAATCGAACTACAACAGGATGTAGGATGTGGGGGAAACTTGGGGAAATTTGGGGAGTGCAGAGATTTAAAAGGCATGGATAGAGCCAGTGCGAGTGCGCCTTAAAGTGCATGTAGTTGCTGGATTTCCTTTGCAAAGCGTGCCAATCAAGGCTAGGTACACACTAAGACTCACTAAACATTTTTAGAAGCCACTAAGACTCGCTACTCCAATTTGGAGGTTATCCATGGCATCTGCCATGCCCACCTAGTACTGCTATGGCGTCTCATGGAACTCCGCAAAGTTGCTTCGGAGTATATAGCTGGCATCGCGCGATTCAGCGCGATTGCATACTGCTCTCACCGCTAACACTACGTATTGTACCTCTGTACAATAACATCAAACAAACGCGGACTTTCACGGATTTCTAGTGTTATACCTATGAACAGAATCTCACAAATATATACATGCGAATTGTTATAACTAGGCACGATTATTCGAATTCCTGGTGTTATAGCTTCGTGGGAAATTGAGTTTAAGCCTCAGGCGATTCTCTAGGCTTGTTCAAGGAGCAATCCAATTTTGTACAGCATTTGTAGAGGAATTTCTTTATAATCACTGATTGTGGCGATATCCTCTCTTGCCTCTGGGCGCTTAATGACTACTACCTACATAGCTATTCTGGCCAAGTTATTTTGTAAGAATCCCTACAAAATGCGACTCTGTGATATCGGGTTGATATCGGGTTTCTACGGCCTTCTTGGGGGCTGGTTGCCGTTCCCCGAGTTGGGGATGCTAGGGGTTTATTCTTACCAACCACGAAGCGGGGTTGCTACTCACGGCTGCCGCCAAAACACAGGGAAATATTTCTTTCCTTTGACGATTCAAATTGGGCACAAGAAAGTGTCAATATACTGTCAGATTTGGTTTAGAATAAAAGGTTTCAAGCTCATGATATAGGTCCATGGTTATGGAAATCACCCAAATTCGCATTGTCCTTCTACTCTAGTGTTTATTTAAAGTCTCCCTGCAAATATTACATTCTGCAAGCTGATTAGATTTCGAATATCTCACAGGCGATGCATGCCTAAAGTTTGAACCAGGTGATGCCACTTGTTGTTCTTTTGATACACAGACACACGAGTTTATCACATATGCTCCTGCCGGAGCTTCAATGCTTGAATGACTTGAGCTTTTCGCGGGCAGAGAATAGGGTAGGGCATGTGGAGCACTCCATAAGATCTCCAATTTGGGGTTCAGAAGGCTTACTTCAAGTCGCTAAACCGTCGCCGGTATCGCCTTGATGGTGCTGTGACCGACGTTACCCGTCTGCATGACTCAACGAATTTCTTAAATATATAAATGCCATTGCAAATAGTGAAGCAACTTAAAGAAACATTGCAAAGAGGAGGATTGTCTGAGTAGACAAGTACCAGCGCTGGTCCATTTACACGCATGAACCTTGGCGGCACAGCAGCCATGTCGGAGCGCAGTTTCACCGAACTGGCACAAAAAGTGCTCGACCACTGTGTGCTGGAAAGACAAAACATACCATCGCAACCGATTGTCAAAGTAATCCCCAGGGAAAAAGAGAAAGACATAGGAAATATCGCAAGACCGCCTCAGCTTCCAGCCTCAATTGACACCACTCTTTCGAATGCAGAGACAATTTTTGGTTATCGGGTCCGCATGGACCATCCAAAGTTCTTCGGCTTTATTCCTTCGCCAGCATCTGATCTGTCCTGGTTGGGCGAGGTTCTCAACTCGGCTTACAACACACATGCTGGTAGCTGGTTCCAAAGTTCCGGACCTAGTGCCGTGGAAAAACATTTTTTATCATGGTTGACTAGGGACATAATCAGATATCCTGAGACAGCTGGAGGGTGTTTTGTTTCCGGCGGCTCAATGGCCAATCTGTCCGCTCTCATGCTGGCACGGGACCAGAAGCTTTCACTGGAAGAAAGAAGCAAGGCAGTCGCATACACATCGAGTCAAACACATTCATCGTTAGCAAAAGGTTTGGGCATTCTTGGATTTCACCCTGCCCAAATTCGCAAAGTCGCCTGCGATGACAGCATGCGTATTGACACGACATTGCTAAGGTCAGCTATTGAAGAAGACAAGGCTGCGGGCAAAGTCCCATTCCTCATTGTTGGTAACGCTGGGACTACAAACACTGGCACCGTTGATCCATTCACAGAACTCGCGGCCATCGCCAGAGAACAAAGCTTATGGCTTCATGCTGATGGTGCGTACGGTGCATCTGCTCTGCTTTGCCAAGCACGCCGCGCCGTTCTTAATGGTGTTGAGCTCTGTGATAGCATTTCGTGGGATGCTCATAAGTGGCTCTTCCAAACATATGGCTGCGGGATGGTTCTCGTGCGACATCGCAAATTTCTTACAGAAAGCTTTGGGACAACTGCAGAGTATACTCAGGACGCCGCCGAGACAGCTGAGTCGCTACCAAATTTCTGGAATTATGGACCCGAACTTACGCGGCCGGCAAGAGCAATGAAATTGTGGTTCTCTTTTCAACTCTTAGGGTTGGATGCAATCGACAAAGCTATCAATCGCGGGTTTGAACTGGCGGAGAAAGCGCAATCATCATTACAGTGCCTAAAGGACTGGGAAATCATGTCTCCAGCACAGATGGGCATCATTTGTTTCCGGTTTCACCCTCCCCATGTTCCTGCCGCAAGTCTAGATGATTTGAATATGAAAATTTCACAAACGGCAATTGAGAAAAACCTGGCAGCGCCTTTGACAACAAGGATACGGGGAGTTTTAGTACTCAGGATATGCTCAATCCATCCAGATTTAAGCGATGAAGAGATGGTGGCTGTGATAAACGGGCTAGACCAGCTTGCACATTTGCTTCTATCTAGGGTTAGCAAGGATGGTATAGCTGAATAACCAGTATGGCTACATGTATTCACGGAGTTGGCATGTCTCAACAGGACCAAGCGCTATTGGTCGATTCTAAATAGCGCATTTAGGCAATATACCAGATTCTTTTTATGCGTTGTCTAGAAGTGATGCAAAAGCGGTGTAGTAATTGATTGGGAATGTGCAATTAAAAGAATGCAGGTTAAATGAAGAACGTAGACACCTTGCTACTAATCATCGAACTGGTCTTCAAGAACTCCGTATGTATGCGCCAGTTCTTGACATGTTAACGCTCTCCTCTCTTTCTCCTTTACTTTCGACTAGAGCCCGGACGTATCTCAGCCTTGTGAATCAAAGGTATCTATAGTATGCGACGATCAATCCTGATAACCTGGCTCGTCGCAGCTGCGGTTATTCCAGTGGCCTCTGTTAGCTCCCATTCCGGCCGGCTTCAAGTTTATGACTATGTACGTTCTTCATCGAAAAATATTATCAAGCGTCTTTACTGTGTACCAAACTTATAACCGCTAATATTTGATCGCAGGTGGTTGTAGGAGGTGGTACTGCCGGCTCAGCCCTGGCGACGAGACTAAGCCAAGGCTTGCCGAACAAAAGTATCCTGTTGATCGAGGCCGGCCCTGAAGCGTTGGATGAAGATCGCATTAATATTCCTGGCATGAAGGGGGCGACACTGGGCACCATTTACGATTGGAACTTCACTACTGTGCCACAAACCGCACTCAATGGTCGAGTCCTCGGAGCCAACAGAGGCAAGGTGCTTGGTGGAAGCTCTGCATTGAACTTGATGACGTGGGATCGATCTTCCTCTGAGGAATACGATGGCTGGGAGCAACTCGGAAATCCGTCTTGGAACTGGAAGAACATGATTACTGCTATGGAGATGGTGGAGACTTTTACAGGCATCAATTCGTCTAGCTATGGCGACCAAGGAGTTGGCACCAGCGGACCTATCCACACGGTGATAAATAGGGTAATACCCGCGCAGCAGGACCTGTGGCTTCAATCAATGGCTGGTTTGGGGATCCCGCATAATCTCAATTCTTTGGGTGGAAATCCTATCGGATACATGAACCAGCCCAGCAACGTCGACCCGCGAACATGGGCGAGATCTTACGCTGCGAACTCTTATATCCCAGTAGCGGGGAAGAACCTTCATTTGCTACTGGGGACGCGCGTAGCCAAGGTGAATTTACGCAAGAGCCAAAATTCTCATACTGCAGTTGGTGTTACGCTACAAGATGGCACCGTCATCCAGGCTACGAGAGAGATCATTCTATCCTGTGGCACTATCCAAAGTCCAGGCGTGCTAGAGCTGTCCGGCATTGGAAACAAGGCGGTACTCTCGAAGGCAGGCGTGGACCAGATTATTAACCTCGATGGCGTGGGGGAGAATTTGCAGGACCACGTTCGATACCAAGCATCTTACCAACTGAAGGACAATTTCACTTCGTTTGACATACTCAAGTACAATGCCACGTATGCAGCCGCACAGCTTGCATTATGGCGTGCAAACCAGACTTCTTTGTATGATTACACTGGAAGTGGATACAGCTATCTAAACTGGCATCAGACGGTGGGCAATCTAGCTACCAAACTCAACACTCTCGCAAAACATGTGGTGCTTTCGCTTGGGTCTATTGTCGATAAGAAGAAGCTACAGTATATTGGATCAGTTCTGTCGCCACAGGTGGAAATCATCTTTTCAGATGGCTACACTGGAGTCAAGGGCTACCCCGCTAAAGGCTCCTCCCTGTATGGAAAGGGCTTCTTCACTCTCATTGGTGTCGTTATGCATCCTCTCAGCCGTGGCACCATCCACATCACCTCTACAGACATTGATGCTACACCACAAATTGACCCGCAGTATTTATCCAACGAGTACGATGTGCAGGCCGCTATTGAGGTTGCCAAATACTGCCGCAAGATTGCACACTCTGCGCCGCTCTCTTCAGCATGGGTGACTGAATACGAACCAGGCGGGGCTGTCCAGACGGACGAAGACTGGCGCCAGTATGTTCTCAACACCACACTATCCATATATCATCCAGTTGGAACATGCGCCATGCTTCCCGAGAAAGACGGTGGAGTGGTAAGCCCAGAGCTCATAGTTTACGGTACTACTAATCTACGAGTGGTGGATGCAAGCATCATCCCCGTTCTTCCATCTGCGCATATCCAAACAGCCGTATATGGCATCGCTGAGCGCGCGGCCCTCATGATTATTCAAGACTCAAAGCCCTTTTGAATCTTGCCAGTATTGCCTGCTATCGTCATGAGACACGTTGTGAAACCCTTCATGGAACTTCGACTGGTGAATCTTGTTACTAGATCAGTGGTTGACATAAACCAATTCTTATTTTGGAAAGGTTGTGGAAGAAGGCATATTATCTCACAGCAAATCATTGTGGATAGGAAGCACTTTGCTGTAATTGCGCTCGAATATGAATGCGGAGATTGCTTGGCTTGGGTTTGAGTGCTATCATAATCCATGAATCGCAGGTTACACGCTTGGGATAGATAGCAATTTAGCCTTAATCCTCTATTTGATACTCTTAATACAGTCTGCTGAGCAACCATTTTCTATCACAGAACATGAGATTAGCCTATAATTCCAGTATCAGTTATGGAGAGGGCGTCCTGGTTGGTCAGTGTATCCGTACAATCTAGTTAGCCAACCGGGTCTGGGACTAAAGTATTAGAATATAAAGTTTAAGTAATGCTTACATTTTATTTAAATGGGTCTTTCATATCTTCTACCACTCCCAATTGGCTTCGAATATTAATAGCTACTAGTATGCTTACAATGTACATCTGAGTTCTTATGTACCAACTGGAAACTCTAATTGTCAATTGACATCTTTGTGTTAATCAGCGAGTCCCCGGATTACAATTTTAGCGCGCCCATACGCGCATACACTGCTGTGAATCGAGCACAGAGCTAAACTACCCGTGGTAGCAAGGCTGTGTGTGTCCCTAGAGTTACAATTTGGCCTCGGGCGATTGCTGTTTAGCCGCTGACATATGGCTACTACATCCCTCATATAAAGATGAGGAAACCAGTAGGGCTTTGTTCAAAGGTCATCACCCAAAGGATGTCAGAATTGGTTTCGAGACAATACAGTTGCGTCGAAGTACCATGCCTCTTTTCAGCCAAATCTCCTTGTTATTCCTATTGACCGGCAGCGAGGCATTGACGCAACGGTACGATGCCGACAGCATCTTAACGTCACAAGAATGTGTAAGGCCACAAAAAAAGGCAGAAGGCTGCCCCCGCTTCTTGCTTTCTTCGCAACGGTATTAGAAACAGATGCTAATACTCATCATGCGTAGTGCGACGCCATCCGTACCGAATTTGCCTCCATCGTCCATGGTCCAGCGAGCAATGACTACAGCGACAGACTCTCTACCTATTACTCTCAACAGCAGCATGACTACTCCCCCGCTTGCTACGTCAAACCCAAGTCTACCGAGGATATTTCCAAGATCCTCAAAATCGCGGCATCACACCACTGCCAATTTGCTGTTGCCTCCGGAGGGCACATGGCGTGGGCGGAGGCGTCGAATACCGATGATGGCTTCGTCTTCGACTTGAGAGATATGAACAGGATCTATATATCAGTGGAACGCCAGACTGTGTCCCTGGGGCCAGGATCTAAGTGGATTAGTGTATACAAGGCCATGGATGCCCACAATCTCACTGTTCCTGGGGCACGAATGAGCGACGTCGGTGTTGGCGGGTTTCTGGCTGGAGGTGAGTTGAGAGAGCAAATTCTGGGTTCCGTGTGCTAACTTACCACTGCTAGGTGGTTATCCATTTACATCTAAAACTCCGGGATTTGGTGCCAACAGCGTCTTCAACTACGAAGTTGTGCTCTCTGACGGAACCATCGTGGAGGCCAATGCAGATTCGCACTCGGATCTATTCTGGGCCCTCAAGCTCGCTGGCACCAACTATGGTATAATCACTCGCTTCGATATGAATGCAGACGCTTCAACAGAAATTTGGGGAGCAGTCGGACTTTATCCGTCCACAGAACAAACGAGAACCGAAATATTCCCTGCTTACGAAGAGTATTCCCACAGAAATGATAACACTGACCTCTTCATATCGGTAGGCCACCTTAAAGCCATGGGTAAGAATATGATCATGACTTGCGTGGTAAATAGTGCAGGTCGACCAGAGAAACCCATGTCACCTGTTGAGCCTGTCATCTACAACGAAAAAACTGGCCAGAGAAATGAAGTCATCCACGACCCCATAGACTCGCTGCTCCAGACACCATCTCGCACAGCCTGGTTCACTTTGACGATCAAAGTCAGCACGAAGTTGTTTCTTGACTTTGGCAAAAAGGCAGCCGATGTATTTGCACTGCTTGAAGATGCACCGGGATTTTCAACGATGCTGGGCTTCCAGCCATTTCCGAAAAAATTTATAGAGGGAAATCGCGGGTCTCCAGTATACAACACTATGAAGGAATCTGACGAGGACCTAACACGTGAGATTTTCTAGCTACATACACCTGATAGTGTGAAATAGCCGTTGAGTTTCTGGAAAGCTAACGTCAAGGATACAGTGGTTCTTATTATGACAAACTGGGAAGACCCAGCAGACGATAAGATAATGAAAGACGCCACCAACAAACTAGGTGAACTGGTGCAAAAGGAGGCTCGTAATCTCGATCTACTAGTCAATTTCACCTACCTCAACTACGCCAACAAGGATCAGCCTGTGTACGAACAGTCTCTAACGCCAGAAGATTTGGCTAGGATGCTCAGGATAAGGGACAAATACGACCCATCAGCTATATTTAGAACACTATGGAAAGGTGGATACAAGCTGCCGGAAACACCCACAGCACGGGATGAGCTATGAGTTTGCGATCAATGATGTTCAAGGTAGGACCATCTAGTCTATGTTCCAAAGCAAATGTTGGCACTATCGGCTCATGAAGTCATTTGAAGGTAGTTGCTGACTATTTATCCAATATCCTACATTATTAATTCGCTTCATTCTTTAGAGGCGATGTATCTCTCGAATTAGTTTTGAACAATAACATAATCTACTAGGTAGTTCATGGGATCTATGCTTTTCGGTACCATCGGTCTTATTACTCCTGTTTTTACTATTATGGTTTAATGATACGTATTGCATTCGAAATTTCCCGTAGCTGCTTTTTGGATCATTACTATTTCTATTTTCCCGTTCAAGCGCGTATTGGAAATCCGTATTGTTGCTAGTAAGAGCAAGAGTGTGCTACAGAATGCTATTACATAGGTACCGAGAGACACTAAAATAACGTTTGTACAGAAGAGTTAGAAGTTAATTGGCTATCTGCTATATTCCATCGGCGCGTTTACTGCCTTTTGATTCCTCTTAGCCCTACTTCGTTTGCGCTTCGTTCATGTGAACTGCTGGATCGAATGTTGTAACAGCCAGTTTCAACATTTTGCCGCTGTTATCAATGAAGCTTGGAAGCCTGAGAAGGAGCCGATCAATCTGATTTTGACTAAGCATATAATCTACAGTATGATCGTCTACGGAGGGTCTTTTTGCTCCTGTCAGAAGTTTTCGCAATGGCCAGTCCGGATTCGATTCGCTCTGAGTCAGGACATTAACTGAACTAGATTCGATAGTGTCCAAAGTGTGTAATTAGTAGTTCCAGTCTAGACTAGCGTCAGTGTTATCCCCCTGGAACGATGGAGCTGCCAAACCAATAGTGTAGATGCACGGCGCCAGCTGAAAGATTTTGTGGATTTTCATTTTACGATGAGCAAACGCCTAGTGAATCAATCGTGTCGAGCAAGACAACTTACCATCGCCCATACTTTGCTTTATAGAATCATATCTACCGGCTGCTCAAATCTACGAACCAGGCTTGTCTGAATGTAAATAATGTTGAGTATCCTGTTCGAAGATTTTCTAAAGTAATCGACAACCCAAGTGCTGGCGGCTGCAACAAGTGTATTTGGTGGGCAACCGTAGAAAATTCAGCGGAGAAGTCAAACAGGGATTCGATCTACGATCATTTACTAGGGCCAACAGGCTTTCAATTAGTTTAAAGAGAGAGATGCTGCCACCTCGGCTATCATCTCATCGTCTTCCTCGCGGATGTAACCTATTGACCAAAAAGCCTAGTCAGAGCTTACCTTGCACGATAACCACCCATGAAGCTCCAACATCTCGCCCTCCTAGCGTTCGGCGCCGCAGCCGTCTCGGCTGCGCCTGGAATTCAACTGAGTGAAGGTATCGGGTCTCGAAACGACTGCGCCCACGACAACCTTCTTCGGTGCCTCATCGCCAGCCCCAGTATCGCAATTCCTTTCTGCAGTTCTTCAGCAAACGTGCTGATCTCCCTACCAACTGTGACTGTCACAGTCACACCCACTTCGTACGCTTGCTAGCCCACCCCGGCAATATTCTACCGCACGCCCTTCAAGGTTGACAGTTCAGTGAAGCTTCGTCGCTGCCACGGATGTGACCACAGATTTCGAAACGTTGACTGATACGTCCATCGAGCTGCGAACGGTCACCCCGACCCCGATCGTGGCCGAGACACTGACCTCCTCGCCCCCGGAGAACAGAGAAAGAAGGAAGGGCTGCCCGGCACCCAATTGCATCCGTGTGTTGAACCCTCAGCCATCGTCCGCATCACATGGATGCTCGTGCTTTTCGGGAAGCTATCTTGCGACCGCTTCAACATTTACATCTACGGTCACTGCCCCGGCTGTTACAAAGACGTCACAGACCCTTTGGAGAACTGAGATGTGAGTTTAATATCTTTGGATTTGAAAACCGAACTCCTACTGACTATACTGGCTAATCTAGATCGACGGCCACCGTCATTGTTACAATGTATGTACATGTTTGGATTCATCCTGACACCTGGCTCCGCCGCACTGGAGCGGGCAATTGGCCACATCTATCTCGACCTTGCTGACCCTTCATCCACATAGTACTTCAGAAACTACCGTGTTCGGACAAACTTCTAGCTCTAGCTCTAGCTCCCTGAGCCCTGTCTCGACATCCTCTGTCCCCAGTCTCACATCCAACCCCCCTGCCATCACGACGACTTCTGTCTCTTATACGACTATCACGACCTACCCAGTCTCCTGTGACGCCACCCGCAGTGCAATTCCCGTTTGTGCAAGCTCGTGTCTTAGCTCCGCCGCCGTGACGCAAGCCAGCTGTGGAGCAAATGATACTATCTGCCAATGTCAAAACCAGGAAATTATTCAAGGTGCAGGAGCCAATTGCATCATCGGTGGCTGTGGGTTCGGAGGTGCAATTGATGTATTTAATTCTATCTCTTCCTGTACGTTTCATTTCCTCTTGGCTCGTTTCATCTCCAGCTAGGCTTCCGAGCTGGTGTTGCTCTGCTCTCAACGGTTTCTCTCCCTATTTTTGGCTGCTCTCGCTAATATTATGTTTCTTACAGTCTGCGCTTGCGAGCAACAGGGGTTGTATACTACAACAGCTCCGGTATTCCCTCCGCCCGCGGCTACAACTACATCAACGCCACTCATTGTAACAGACTAGATTGACCTTGGGGTCGCACGAAAGGCACATATTACACAGCGGAAATTGCAGGATTTACATATAATAATAGCTATTCCTATCATGTACTAAACATGACATGACTTGCTTTTTAAAGTTTTCATAAGTCGTCGAACAAGGCGAAATATAAACGCAATAGACATTGCCTAATACATACTAATAAAGAGCCAAGTTGTTGGAAAATATAGTCTTAAATGTCAGAGCGCTTAACCGGACATGTTGTTTGTTACAAGAACAAAAGCATTGTTTTAAAGCTGCGGTCACAGGTTTAAAAACTGAATATGTACATTTCCGAGACAATATACCGGCTCAGGCCAGGTGAGTATGGAAGGCCTTGCTCTCCACCACTCACCCGAATTATAGTCACTCATGCCGGCTTGCTCTTATTTATCCTGTTAAACACTGAATAGTCTCCCGAATGCCACACCGGATACTCTCAACACTACAAGTCTAATTTGAGTGGATGCTGCAACAGATGACATGAGCCAAGTTCTCGCTCTATGAGGGGACGCTGTCATGATCTTCAATAGTGCGCAGGAATCCATCACGGGTGTTTTCAGCTGCTTGCACCGATACAGAGTATCTGACTCGAGCAAGCCCGATGAAGATCTCCTGACAACTGGGAAATCTGGGGGCCATGGCAATAATTAAAACTTACTGACATAGTTATCTCTCTGCAGTGATTTTCTTATTTAAAACGGCTGTTCCTAGTAGCAATATCCTTCCTATCAATAAGAACATTGATCCGTTCGTGCCTTTGTACGGTTCAGTTAGTGCTACCCCAACTATGCTAGCATTCGCTACAAAGCTGCTATCCCCACTGCGTAGTCCTGCCCGTTGACATTATTTAAGCCTCTTTGCCAGGATATCGAGGATCGCAATTTGAGGACTTCATTTTGGGGCAATTCGTTCTATGGTCGCTAATTAATGCTTCGCTCAAGGGCAAGACCGATCCATCGGTATCCAGGATCGGTCTGAGAGGCATTCTAGGGGTTCGAGGTATGCATCACAAGAGTCCTGTATTGCAGAATATTGTTGTCATGTTCAAAATAGCGTATAGTCTGCTTGGGTCAAACGTTGTTCGATTTCGTTCAAGGCTACGTATATCAATCTCTTGCGTCACTATCTGCATTCCCTCTTATGTACGCCAGAAGAGTAACATAATCTGACGTTCTCCTAGATGTATTCAATTTGGCCTAAAATAGCCGCCATGCGCATTCATTAAGGGTCTATGCAATTTAATGCCCTGGGAAGTAACCTCAATGTGCCACATTGCTATACCTACCAAATTAAAATAAAACTGAATGGAACCATTTGTTACCATGGACACATGTTACAGTCTGTGCCATCTCGTGTCTGAGCTCGATGATGAGAGCTACTGGCACGCTATAGACGCGCTATAAATTGCAAGCCACGAGTTCTTACTTGTAAGCGCCGGGGCGTAATTCCAAATGCCCCCCGCAACCAACACATATGCACTGCACAAGCTGCTGACGCTCGAGCGTGTTGGTGGCGATGCAGTACTTTGAATAGCTCGTAGTAGATTGCTTTTGTAATCTATGTTTAAAAAATATGATAAATGGCATAGTCAGAAGTCGTTATTGTTGTGGAAATACGTCGGTAGATCGGCCGTATCGTTACCACAGGTGCACCTTATGTATGTACAAGTAGCCAATCAGACTCCCCAGAGTTCCAGAGCTCGCACGCCTCTCATTCTGCAAAACCTGAACGCCTTTAACCACCAAATGAGCGCCATCGAAACTGTCTATCCATACCCATCCAACTTACGAGCCCTAGGAGCACGATTCCTTCATTTATACGCGAGCTTTGCTTCTTTATCCTTCATTCTCTCTATATCCTCACGCTCTTTTCTCTTGCCAAGACTGGGTAGGGGCCATACCAGCAAGGCTTTGACGAACGGTAGACTATTCTTTCAATTTTTATATGGATAAGACGAAAAAGTTGTTCAAATTAACAGTTTTTGTAACTTGGGGATAGATTTCGGCTTTGGTTCTGTGTGATACCTGTGAATAAAAACACGGATGCTATCGCCTAGATTGCCGCCAAGTGAGTGTTGTCTTAAGCTGCATCATATATGCATTGTTCCATTACATACACATGCATCGTGCAATCATACAAATCCTTGTTTTTGAACAGCGGCGCTGACTTCTGCTAACCAAGATGCCCTGAGTTTCACATTCAACTCCGATGATGGTGTGCTAATCTTGTCCCGGGCAGGTCCATCTAGTGTTCCTGATTGAACCAAAGAAACATTTTCAAACATGTCTCCATCAGCATGTTTGTAAATAGCGCTACCGCAATCACCACAAAAGAATACCGTCAAATCAAATCCATCTTCATGTTTTTGAGTATGAGATTTCGGTGTACCAGAAGTCACGGTGAGCTTCTCGCGTGCCACAGGAATATTAGCTGTATTGGTTCCGCCACTTATCTTTTGGCATGATAAGCAGTGACATAACGCCTGTATTTGAGTTTAGCTTGAAATTTTGGGTAAGTCCTCCAAGTGATATAATTACCACAGGCGTAGAGCCCCCAGCAAACTCATATTTAACGTTGCCACACCAGCAGCTCCCAGTCGGCATCCTGGTGATTTCGAGGTATAATTATTAAACAACTGATGATTATACAAGTCGATGAGTATTATACAAAAGTAAATTCATCTGAATTTCGAAACAGGGAGAGCAAGCTTATTTATACACTACTAGAACTCTATAGCAATGACACTAGCTGTTTTGAAAGTGGAATGATGTAATACTAGATATGTCCGCTCTCTACATTAATATTACCGGTACTTCAACTCTATTATACGTTAGCTAATTCTACAATTTAAAGTTTTTCGAGCGGGGAAAGCCCATGTAGTTAGATTAAGTCTTGTGCTGCTTCGCCACCACTGAGCCACTCAGCTCATGCTGCGCAGTCTTTCAACATCTCAAAGATCGCCTACTTGTGTGTATTCAAAACTTATTACTCAATTGGACGCGAAAATATTTTGTAAAACGTGTACAAACACTGCCTGGCCGACACCGAAAACTGGGATTAGATGCAACTAGTTCAAGGAATAGCTTATTCTAAGAATCCAGTAGCACCTCTGTTATTTCCATTGGAAGTTAAACAGACAAAATCAGGGCCACTTCCGCCTGAACTATTTAAAAAGAATTGAATGCTGTTAATTCCCAATCCAGTTATTGAAGAGACTACACTTTTTTTTCCTGCTAAAGACAGGCATCTAACCATTCCTGGAATTATTCATCAACGGAGACATTTCTGAGTGTCAGATTGCGCTTTTATAATTATCTTTGAACTGAAGAGAATGTCGTGGCTGTTTGGGAAAATTATCACTTCAACAGCTGGAAGCATTTGGAGTAATCAATGAACTTCGATATATCATGCTGCTAGTGAATCCGGAACTGGCAAATCGATGAAAATTTTATTGCCGTGTCTCAAGGCTGGTAAGAGATGAAAGGTTTGCCGAAAGAAAGCATTACAATAATAAATAACAAGGGTCTGGTCTGACGTGTAATGTCATCTTGACTTTCATAGGCAAAGCATAGGGTGATACGCCAAGATAACAGCACGAAAGGAACGTTACTTCCAGAGAGAGAGAGAGAAACTGTAACATAACACCAGTACAGCTGCATCTCATTACTCTCCTTTTCGCTTTTGACTTTGGTTATTGTACCCTTAATACATGATTTATGTTTTCAGTTGTGTGTGCTTGCTTGCATTAAAAACCAAGTGCGTTATGTAACTTGGATTGTTATCCTTTGCGTTTGTACTTGCTTTTTGGTTCCACTGTAACTGCTTGCAAAAGCGTATGCCTGCTCGGGAACTTTAATAAATTTAGAATGAAACCTGGTTATCGGATCAAAGAACCAGAAGCTATATACTAGTCTCGGCTTCGTTTCCTGTTCATCATTTTACTAGCTTCATTAATTACAAATCATATATTCCACTTCGATAACAGGGCAATCAGAGCCACAAGACTGTAAAAGCAGTATTTTCTAACAGATAGGCAGGAAGTATAGCTACTAATGCTCTAGGATAGAGTGCTAGATGCATTTTAGAGTCTACCAAATCAAGTAAGTGAAAAGTTATGTGATACATCGTTTTCGATGGGTACTTTAAAGCTAGCTGATGCTACCTTCTTCTTTTTTTTAATCCTTTATTTTCCATATCCTAAGACTAAACTAGAAGTTGGTTATGTACATATATTTGAGCTTCAGATTAGCGTATAGCTTCTCTCTGCATCGAGGAAATCATGTATGATATTCTGGAAGTCGACTCAAAAAGTTTCTTGAATAGGATTATACAACCCTCCCTAGAGTATTTACCGTAGATATCAATAGGCGCATACTGCATTCACAATGCAAGTAGAGTTATCGAAGTGTTTGGTGGACTAGCTTCTTTCCTCGCGCCTTATTCACAATAGTGCACACACTCTGAAAGTTTACTAGAGAGTCATGCTAGTGCAGTAGTTTAGGCAGCTGCACTGGGGTTATTCAACGAGTAGGATCCTGCAATCCTTCATAAGCAGTAGGATTGCACTAGCTAGGATTGCGGAGTATGCCCCTGAAGTTCCTTATTGCCTCTTAAAGGATTGTTTTTATGCTGTATCATGGCAGGACTCCCATTATTGTTATAGTTTGAGGTTGATATGTGGAGGAGTCCTTGACTTTAACAGGCAAGACAGTAAACTCGGCCCTTTAGAAGTAGCCGGGTATACCTTTTTACCTACTCTAGCCTCTTTTTCGATACTATAAAGAAGAACTTGCAAGGAAGGTGCTTAAAGTAGCCTGTTTAAGATCCTTCGGGGAAAAAACTATTACCAAACGTAGTTATTACTACAGCAGCTAAAGCATGGGTTATCCTAGGAGTATTGTAGAGCATAATACCGTAGTGGCTTGCCTTACCAGAGTAGTGTATTATTAACCTTAATTGAACCATGTGTACAAGCAAGGGTCCTTGAGATAATGGCCCGAGCAGTCTTCCTTCTATAGAAACCAAGAAGGTCTATGTATAGAATTATTATATAAAGCATCTTGTAGGTGACACATAGATGTCTACTAAATCTGCACGACTTCTTATTTCTTTGCATCTCTCATTCAATCACTGATAATCTACAATGCGTCGCCAATCAATTGTTGCTACAGTCCTTCTGGGCGTAACTACAGTCGCAGCTGGTAACCCTGACAAACCAGAGATAAACCCTCACATTCCATATGACCGGTTAGAAAGCGACCTCCGTAACAACCTCCATCCAACTCAATCAACATGGGACTATTGGGGAGCTGGTTGGATTCCCCAGGGCTGCAAGGACTTGGCAAACACATACCACCTCAATCCTGCGGACTTCACTGTCTTCAATGTGCACTACACTGACTGTAGTGCGTCTTGGACGTTCTGTCGCCATAAAGATGCTGGAGCTTCAGAAATCGATATGATTGACATGCTCGGTCGATTACCAGTTCGCATGCGCTCTTACACACGGTAAACTATGCATACCTTACCTTTATTATAATGACTTTGGCGCTGACACTTGCATTCCAGACATTTCATGGCCACTCCCGGTCTTAATGATGGTGCCGCTGCTTGGACTTGGTCTACTGGTGACACTGTTGTCGAGAGCGCGCCAAATTTGGCAACTTTGGTCCATGAAGTTTCTCACAGCCTTGACTGGCATGCTCTGCCTCAATACCAACAGCCATTCAGCTCTTCGTCTATCTGGCAAGACAATTATAACCAAGACTCTGCCACTCCTACAGGCTATGGCCGGACGAATTGGATGGAAAACTTTGCTGAGACTGGCATGGTGGGAGTTTATGACAAGGTTGTTCCAGGTGGCATTGGCAATATTGAATCCAATTGGAATGCCATTTTCCACCAGTATGCCACATATCAAGGATACCTGGGCGACAAGATTGTCCCTGGTGGCTCTTGTGCTAACCGGTTCGACGACACGGCACCGGTTACTATGAGCAACAGCGCCAAGTTTAAAATTACCAGCCCCAAGCCGGAAACAGGGATTGACTTTGCTGGAAAGAATATTACTCAAATTATCCCAAGCAAGGAAGTTGAAGGATTATTCATTAAAGGCTAGGTTATATAGTTATGAGAATACGATAGTTCGAGCATAGCCTAAACTACCAATGTGTCGACGACATAATCTTTGACTTTGGTGCTTTTGTTGCTCTTTTCTCGATAGGATTCAGTGAATATGGGCTTTATGACGAAGGAAAGACTTTATAAGCCACTTGGAGTTTCACCTTTCTCTTGTTCTTGAATTATGGCGCAAGGTAAGATAGCATTGGAGACTAGGGTTGACGGTGTAGTACTGTGACCAATCTAGATATTCGAAATGTCAGCAATCCCAGTATAGCAGATATGTCTATTACGAACATGGAATGTACAGGTTTTCTGAGTTCTCATTTTCATTAACTGATATTCTACTTGAAAAGGTATTCGAATAGCTTGCGTAAAGCCATGAAGCCCGGTTTATTTTGACTAGCCTTTGGTGTAATTGCTCATTGTAAGTATTGGTGAGCTCTTTCTGGGCCAAAGAATTGTTCCCCATGGAGAAGTTGAACTATACAGTGCCGTCAAATAGTCTATCAGATACATGAAGTAAACACAAAGCCAGACAATTTAATAACTATGCGGTCATCATTCCGCGCCATCATCCTCCGAGTCGATATGCCCTGACACACAAGATGGGGTAGAAGCCATCTGGTATATCGGATTATAATTCTATCAAGTTATCCAAGTCTCATCTGTAGACTCCCAACTATTATTCCGAATCTGACTATCCCAAATATGCTATCGAAGTTCGTTAATGGCCATGTCAGGAAAGTAGAACTGAGAGCCAAGAGAGGGGAGAGCTTACCCAATCAAATTCTTCTGATGCATTAAACATATCCTCCATCATAATTGGCATCGACTCCCTCATCGTCTTTAAATCGTCTAGTCTCTGCTCGCCATGCTCTGAATACGTTCCGCCAGGCATGGGCCTGTGAAATTGAGTTTCTTCGAATAAAATGCCCCCTGCAGCACCTGCTGTGTATTGTTAGCTTTTACCATCTACAGCTGCGAGTGATGAGTTGGTAGGACGCACCATGTGCATTATGCAGCCTAGACTGATGATTATCCGCAGACTCTTCTTCACTCCGTACAGACCCTTGGTGGCTCTTTTTCGCAATTTGCAACATTACTTCAAGTGCCTTGGAAGCCTTGCGAGCCTCCGGGGACACTTCAGTGAACGCTATCCAAATACTGTACGATGTCTCCAGCGCACGTAGCAATCCTTGTCTGCCCTCAAATGTTGAACTATCAGAGTTGAGGTGCGCATTACCCGAATCCTGCTCAGTCTTGGAAGAAAGCTCCAAGCACAGTATCATCGCAGCAAGGAGAAAGTCATGGCTTGTAAGTGACGTTACAAACCACCTATCTCTATGCAACTGCCCTCCTGGTTGCGTCTCGTGGTAGATGTCATTCTGATGTCGAAGAATCTGCGTTGCTGCATCTACACACGACCATCTTGAGTAAGCATACCTCAAATCGGAACGGCATATAACTAAATATCTCCGATGGAGGACGCATCGAGCTTTCTGATATAGCAGTTCAAGATTATACCGTTGCATAATGAGGTCTGCTGGGTCCATAATGGACATATTCATTGTGCGGATGCGCAGGAAAGCCGGCAATGAGCTATGTGCAATTTGCAGCTGCTCGTCGAGCTGTGCCACGTCCTCATGCTTTGTGTCCGTGGCCGAATAGGATCTTTGAGCGATCCGGCCAAACACAGACATCAGTTTGCTTTTCACTATTGCGTATGTCACTGGAGTACGCTCCACCATAGGCCTGGGCGAAGGGAGAGCTTTTGTTGTTTCGTCGAAATCTTCGTCGAGAAGATTGTGAGGCAACCCCGTATCGCATTGTAAGTCAGGTATAGTTTTAGGGAGGCCAACTTGAAAGGAAATAAGATTATCCGCTTGCCATATCAAAGCCCAAACCCGTCTCCTCATCTCCCCATCAAAGACCGACAGGTTCTGGTAGTGTTTCGAATCGCGATGGTAGCCCATATGCATCGCTAACCTAGTAATAATACCGCCGAGAATTGAGCTACCAATTTGGGTATCGCCGGTCCTTAAAAACTCTGTTCCGGAGTAGAGGAGGAGAGTTTCGACCTTGTACCTTCCTGGGGTGGTGTAGTTTGCGAGAACTAAGCATTGTGCTGCGCAGGTTCTGTAGACTTCAGAAACATGCGCCGGCTCGCCCAAAGAGCCTGGAAGAGAGTCACCCGCACGAGCGTAAAAGAAGATTGCATAGCACATAATATCGAATAGAAGGCCAACCCATGCTATAGGTGCCGCCTGTTGGTTTTCCCAAAACTGCGTGTACTATGAAGATCATTAGCTCCTGCTGGTACAACCTGACGTCTCGTTGATTACTTCTCGGTGGAATGTTGGAACGTGGAGAATCACTAAATTCTAGTTATTATCTCGTTTACACGGACGCAACACTTCCATTGGTCATGGTTATGTACTTACTGGTGGAGGGTTCCTTGGCATTGAAATAACGAGAAATAAGACGGTCGACTGCAGGCCTTGGAGGTAGGAATGCTAGGACATCAGAACGATTCATCAATGGAGACAACCCAACAAATAATGTTGGTCCACTGCTTTCCTCCTCGGTAGTGCCCAGAAGAAACTCATCATCTGCTCGCTCAAGTGCTTCCGTGCAATCCTTGAGCTCTCTTATCTTTTGATCTTGTTAGCTTTAGCTTCATGATGGCTGTGCTGGTTTTACACGCCCTGAACACCTACATCGTCCAGAATGGCTTCCCAATGCGTAGCATCAACCCATCTTGTGCCCATATGGCCTGTAAGCATTATTCCTGGAGAACTAATTGTGTTTCCTTTCCCTGTAGCAAGACCCTGCGAAATCTCGCCGGATATTTGGCCTCCATCAGTACCAGATGTCATTGGAAAACCCCCCGACAGCTCCGTCATTTGACTCTGACTTCCGGCATTTTGGTTTCTCAATGACAAGACAATGCTTTCCAAATGGCGTATCCTGTTAGAGATGTCGCCACGGCCAGTGACAGGGTAAGCCTGCCCTGCCCTATCGCGTACCGCAGTGGGCGTATAGTGGCACAAATGCGAGAGATTGCGCTTGGCACAATTGTCACAAGGATGTCCTCGATCGCATTTGAGTCTTGAAACGACATTGAATCAATTTTGTGCCCGTGCCGAGGCAACAATCGAAGATATTCAGGGGCCTACGTACTTTTTAACTCTGCAGTGCGTGCAAGAGAACTGAGTCCTGTGCCTCTTCTTCTCTTCGTAAGGGGGTGGCTTTGTTGGAATCTGAGCCTCCTGCTGACCACTGCCTGTATTTAGCAGCGTTCTTTGGTCCATCCTAGCAGAGAGCAAGGCTCGCTACAAACCGATGGTGATTGCAGTGCAGTGCGAAGCCAACATAGTAGAGGGAGGACCTCCCTGATGAGGGAGGGAATGTCACACCACGTGTTTCTTAAAGCCTTGGCAAGCTGTATGCACTCGGATTTAGATGTCCGGGGGCCGGAGCTTGGAGGGTCAAGAGTCCAAGCTCTAAAGTGAGGAATTCTCCACAGCCGGAATGGGACCCGAGGCCTTGAACTGAACAGGGAGCATTCAATTCTCCGCTGAGTAACGACCTCCCTGGCGAACTTTCGCTTCGATTAGCGCCGGATCTACGACTAGCGCCGGACCATTGCCCCGGGTTCATTTTGCATATTGGTCTAGCACCGGATCACATTCGACTTACCCCGGACCTACATGCAGAACAGAGACGAAAAGCACCATGATGCTGATAATTGTGCCATGGATTGAGTCGTAGAGTCGTCTTTATCAGACTTCTCCTGAATTACTATTTAAATCATTTGTAGCGGCATCTAAAAACAGGTTCTCATCTCTCCAATCCTACATTATACTATTGCAACTCATTTGATATCTTTATCACAATGCATGCTAAACAACCAACCTTTTCTGAAAATGACATCCCCAACCTACAGGGTTATGTTATAATCGTCACCGGCGGTAAGCTGTCCCAAATGCCATCCATATGAGTCTTCATTTTCACAACTAACGGTACCTCGGCTTAGGTAACTCTGGAATTGGGTACGAAACCACTCTTCAGCTAGCGCTACATGGTGCGCGTGTCTACATTGCCAATCGCTCTCGCGAGCGCGCTGATCAAGCCATTGCGCAAATGAAGCAATCAACAAACTCTTCAAAGATCGATGTACATCATCTCACGATGGATTTGCTCGACCTAAAGTCAGTGCAATCAGCGGCACAGGCGTTTATTAAGCTGGAAAATCGTTTAGACGTGCTCATTAATAATGCTGGAGTAAGCACAAAGCCCCGTTCTTGCGGACAATTTCATTCTGACTTTTTAGATCATGGCAGCACCATACAAACTTACCATTGATGGATTCGAAACTCAGTGGCAAACAAACTACCTATCACCTCACGCCTTTACCGTCAGCCTTCTTCCACTCCTTCTTTCCACTGCAGCAAGCTGTGGCAGCAAGAGTCGAGTTCGTGTTGTCAACGTAAGCAGCGATTTAGCATTTACTGGACCTGACAGCATTCAATGGGACGATGTCAATATGACTACGACGAAGGGAATGTTAGAACTTTTGTAAGTAAATTTAGCGTGCGAATTCTAGTATACCCTGTTGCATGTTATTGACAGTAATCACTTACATCGTTGTATAGGAAACGCTATGGTCATTCCAAGCAAGCTAGTATTCGGGATGCAAGCTTTTTCAACAGTTGCTACAGCGCACAAGGTAAGTAAACCACATGAATTTGCGTCCCCTTACTTGCACTAACTAGCCGGTCTACTGTGGAATAGGTATTACTGCTTATTCGCTCCATCCGGGTATTGTGCGCTCGAATCTACAAAACCATGACCCGTCCATGTTAGGGACTATAATGCGAGTTGCCATGAAACTAGGACCTAGCGACACTCCTTTACATGGGGCCCTTACTTCTCTGTATTGCGCTACAAGCCCAGAGGCAGCAACTTCAGGAGCTGGCAAATTCTTTAGTCCTGTGGCAAAACAGAACCCACGTGCGGATGCGTGGCTGAGGGACAGCGAAGGGAACAAACGGTTGTGGGAGCTTGGAGAATCGGCAATGAGATCCTGTGGTCTCGCTGTATGAACATACACGGCACCTTCTTAATTAGCTACACTGATCCTTGTCACCAAAGCCATCTGGAAAGGAGTAGACTAGGCCTATCATTTTGTATTTATCTGCATGATCATTACTCTAGGTTAAGCAAATAGATTCAGCGACGTTTCTGCTACCTAGAGCGTTTTGGACTTATGTCTTACCAAGGTTTAATGACCTTGCCACTCTCCTTTCTATAATATAACATGAAACTGGATTGAGCTAGGTCTTAGGGCCGCCAGTAATATATATAGCTGCACACTTCTCTTCTAAGTTTACCAAGGAAGCGTCTCACCGTTCCAATTAATAAAAGTACCCGTTTTAGCCATGTCAAGACCTTCGACTACCTCGACAAGTCCAGCAATGCATTCTTCCATGTTATCCCTTGACCGATAGTCAGTCAGTCTCGTTGCAACATAGCCTGGATTAACAGCTACCACGGCAATATTGTCGCCATGCTCCTCGAATTCCCTAGCCATTGTGACAGTCATCATATTAAGGGCTACTTTTGACAAACGGTATGCGAGATCCTCGCCGTCATTCTCTAGAACGCAAAATGATTTAGAAAGAGTTAATCTTGTTTCCTTTCGTGCTGTTGTTGAACGTGAAGAGTGCCAGACTTACCTGATATAGAGCCCTTGTTAGAGGAGATATTGATGATAGCTCCTTTGGCCATTTTTAAATTTGGGTAAAAGAATTTCGACGTCAAGAAAGCCCCCTACGCTCTAGTCAATACTTTACTTTGCCTTTTATAGATAAAAGAGTTCCCAATCACCTACCACAGTGTTCACGACAAACTTCTGTGATAGTATCTCAGAGGTGTGTTCATACCACATTTGAGGCCCAGGCCCAAGTCCTAGTATGAAGCAAGACTAGTCAGTGCATCCAAAGCCTCGGACATACGTAGGTGACAAATACCCGCAACATTGATGAGCACGTCCAAGGGTTGATTGCCAAATTTTTCAGCAGCACTCGCCACCGTGCTCTGGTTGGCAAGGTCGATTTCGAGAATACTCGAAGCAACTGCCTCTATCTGTTTAATAATTCAGACTTTCTGCGCACAGCGACAGGTTTGGGGGCGGAGACTCGAACATCTTCCATCGATGGATCCCTTATTTCCATTGTCTGAGGTCGTACTGAAGCGATGACGTTCCAATTTCGAGCTGCTAAAGCGCGTGCTAGATTGAGACCAATCCCCCGATTTGCACCTGCCATGACGGATAGTCAGCAGATGTCCAGTGATGATGTGGCTATAGTCTGTTACCTATTACAAGTACCGTACGAGGCATTGTGGAGGGAGTAATACGGAAATCTCTTCTGTCAATGAGGCGACCGGGAAATGTCAAAAAGGTCACTGGCAAAACAAGATGTTAAGCCGCTGGGGCTAATGACCTTATTGACTGAGATGGAAAGCCAAAGCGCATTAAATCAGGCTTTGGAGTATTAGGTGATTAAGATGGGAGCTCTTTCCCCTCTTCTTTCTAGCCGCATAAAGTCTCGACCCAACCTTGTAGATAGGTATGTGGGCATGCAAGAATGGAATGTTGCTTGACTGGCACGGGTGGTCTGAGCAACACCTACTTCCCCTCACTTTACGCTTGAAATATGTGGCACACAGCGTTGATACAGACATCCCATGCAATTCTACTAGCAGGTTTGGGTGCTTTCAAAAACCCCATGTCCTTTTACGACGGAGCATCTGTCTGATCCTATGCGAAAAGAGCGGTAAAATCGATTGGCGAGGGACAATGCGAGCTACTAAACCTGGCTATGTTCGCTGAAATAGCTTAGTACTTACCATGCATTGTATAATATATGCTATACCAACCAAAAAGGATTGTTGGATGTGGACTGATGACGTTATGCCTGCTCTGAGTGGGAGTCTGCCGCGCACGGACTTTGTAAACAGATTTTCATGGGATCTCTTAATTCCCTCAGAATTATGGTTTATGTGATGGTATTCCGAAATGACTACAGATATATACTTCTATTCACACCAAGCACAGTCGAATTCTGGTACCACCGTGGGAAATCACCAAACTTCGTTGATTTATTCAAAGTGCTAGACCTCATGGATATGTTCGGTCGGTCGGACCATTATCGGCCCAGCACAAAGTCATATGCAGAGTCTGCAATTAGAGGTAAGTTGTCTATAGCATTTGGATACCTCGCTGGGACTTATGTCTTATGTCTGTAACGAACAAGTAAACATTACTCACATTTGTTAGAACCTACTCTATCTGGATCATATGACCCAAGTGCTCAGGCTTCCGGATCCTCCTCAAGTTGGGAACTCGTGGTTGCTGAGAAGAAAATTCCGAAGATGCCGTGCTATGTTCGGACGGCCATTGACATAAACCGCAACTTTGTGGGTCGATCAGCGATCATTAAAGAGATTGACCAAGCGCTACTTCCCAATGACTCCAAACCTTCTTCTGGACTTCGTTCTTTTTCGCTTTGCGGCTTTGGCGGCCTCGGTAAAACCCAGATCGCCACATACTACGCGTTTACGCGGGAATCAGACTTTGACGCGATATTTTGGGTTCAGGCTGATGACCTCATGAAGTTAAACAAGAGCTTTGAGGATATTGCTAAAGCTCTTGATCTCATCGAAGAAGGCGATCAAGGAAACAAAGCTATCAGTCGAGACAAAGTTCTGGAATGGTTTTGCGACCCACGGAAAAGAGAAGTTCGGGCAGCGGCAAAACTCACCGATGTTGATTCCGCATTGGCAAAGTGGCTCATTATATTTGATAACGCTGATGATATCAACATTCTCCGGGAGTTTTGGCCTATTGGCTCCTGTGGTTCCATTCTCGTAACGTCTCGGGATCCTACAGCCAAATTGGACTTAGCAAGTCGGGGAATTGACCTTCTGCCAATGTCAAGTGATGAGTGTGCTGCAATGTTACAGAGCCTGGTGGGTGAGGCTCCGAGCGCAACACTTTCGCAAGCCGCTCTGTCCCTGGCAAATAGGATTGGTAATGTTCCCTTGGCTATGTCACAAATTGCGACTAGGATTCGTCGTAACGCAATGACGATTGAAGAATTTCTTCATCGACATGGCAACAACTCACTGATAATAGAGCTCAACAAAGTACAAAGTCTCCCTCCCCAGGAACAATACAGACATACCCTGGCCACTGTCTGGGGGTTCGAGAATTTTAGCCCGAAGGTACAGGGCTTGATCTACACGATGGTTTTCATGGATCCTGATAATATAGCCGAATTTATTCTACAGCAGGGCTCTATGGATATGGGCAACATCCCTTACCCTAAGCCTGGAGAAGAGTATCAAAGGGCATGGGAGGAGTTGTATAGGACATCACTTGTCCAAAGAAAGAAGGAAACCAAATCATTGAGTTGGCATCCAGAGGTTCAAGAGGTTGCAAAGAATAAAATGACCGATGATCAACAGCAAAAGTATTACGAACACACGATAGACATTCTATCTCGCGCCTGGCTTTACGCGGACGACCCATTCACCCGGGAAAACTTCAAGCAAAATGCATGCGACGACGTCTTATCGCACATTCAGAGCATTTTTAGGATTTACAAGTCGCCACTCACCAACTTTTACATATCCACTCCAAGTGCTAAAAAGCTCGTAAAGCTACTGCAGGAAGCTGGGTGGTTAGTTCTAAGCCCTCCAGGACATAGCGAGATCTTGATGGTCAAACTAACAGATATTAGGTATCTAGTGCAGAGTGCGCAATACGATCCAGTGCTACCAATGTTTGATCTTGCCCTGTCAATTTCTCAATCGTACGGAGATGCCATGAAAGATCTTTTCGCGGATACAGCTTTCTCTCTCGCACGTTATGGCGAGGAAACCAATATGAATCCTCACAAAGTGTTCGAGTACTGTGATATATACCATCGCTTGAGCAAAGAGTCAAATGATGGTTCAAGAGCGCGTGTTCAAAATCTTTCCACGTCTCATACCAGCTTGGCTCAAGCCTATCTTCTTTTGGACAATTATGATAAGGCTGCTGAGCATTGTAAAAAATGCATTGCTATAGAAGATGATTTTGCCGACCACAAATCTGGTGCGTGGATGTCTCAGTTCGCACACATCTATCTGGCTTGGGCTGAGCATGGCATGGGAAACTATACGAAGGCTATTACACTTACAAGCAAGGTGATTGAGTTCAGGATGCACAAATTTGGGCCAGACGATACAGAGTCTATCAAGTAAGGCACCTTGAGTTACTTGGAAGTAGCGAGAGCTAATAATAATAGGCTGGGATTGGCACTTCATTGCCTGGGAAATGCACGACAAAGTCTCGGGCTTCATCGAGAAAGCCAAGAGGCGTATAGAAAAGCGCTGGTAAATTTCAGGGCCTGTCTTGGCCCGAACTCTTTTCGTGTTGGACAAATGAAATTGAAGCTGGCAGAGCAGCTTGGCCACCACAAAGGATTTGGACAACTGGCAGAGTATGTTGACACTGTTTCCCACTTATAAAGTAGCCCTAAAGGTATCATCAAAAAGGTGTTATTAACAACTGACTGACTGTGTTTTTTCAGGAGCTTCTTTAATCAAGCCATCAGGATTTTTTCGGCAACGTCATACTATAGTCCAGAGCTGGCGAGAGCTTTGTATAAGAAGTACCAATTCCTCGTATCTCTAAACACAGGATCTCCAAATGGTACTACACCAGTTTGTGAAGACCTGATTTATAAAGAGGCAGCAGAGACTTACTATAAGCTTTGTCCCCAAGCTGGCAAGACAACACCCCTAAACGCGCTAGATTTCGATTCGCTTGTAAGATTTTGGTCACGATGAATATCTATCATTCAGAAAGAATTTATTAGCTACTGCATTTTACATGAAGAATAGTTGGAAAATATTGCTGAAGCATGGTGCTGATTCTTTTTGATGCTATTTGCTAACAAGTGGCTTTGCGTACTTTTGGAGAGCGAGCGGATTGTTTTAGTAGTTGCTGATAAGGGTGCATCGTCCATGAGCCTAAAGCGTTATCATTGGATATTTGCTAACAGCCTAACCATGCTCATATGTTTGTCAATGTGTATATGCGACCTTATTGGAGCAATTACGACACCGAAATGCAACTGTATGTATAAAATGAGCAATAGGAAGCAGGATCGCTCACATATCACGCGGGTATTTTCGGTTGTAGATACTGAATGATGAATCACAAGATGTCTCAAAACGAAGATACACGCCATTTGTATTACCGCACCAGTTGCGGGGTAGCCGTTAGCTATGGACGGAATCGTACAGTATACGAACAAATCTATACAATAACTGAACATATGCGACCGAATTTCCTTGTTAGTACAAGCATATCTTTCAAGATAGAGATGTTATGATAATAAGGGTCTTTATAATATGAATTATATAAAAGCAGAATACTTATTCTTATATTCTACTAATAGCTAGAAGGAAATTTAGTAGTTTACTAACTTAAATTATAGCTAAACAACAAGTAAAAACATGTAAATTTAAGAAACTATTAAGTCTAATATACAATTAGAATTAAGTAGCACTAAATAATAAACAAACAGTTCTTCTACTGTTTACTAATTACTTATATATTTGTTAGTATACTTAACATTTTCTAGTACTATATTGTAGTCAGCTAGTACCTATCTTGTAGCTAGATACTGTGTTTATCCATCTGTCTAATATCCTTAGCAAAGTTTCACAATTCTTTTTAAAATCATTGTACTGGATTCTATTGACAGTCCTAGAACCACGAGCGTTATTTCAACAGGGGGTACGTGATACTACCATTGTTTGAATCTCACTTCGTGGATGTTGGATTTGGACCGAGATACTGAAGATTTAGCTTTACAATCTGGTTTCATGCAGCGCAAAGAATAATTCAATATCGGTTAAGAAACACTCATTACATTAGGTCAATAGGGTTATTAATACATATGACTATTTTGGGCATATCTCGAAATGTTACAAAATACAACAAATGGTCGAATTTTAGTCAAATGCATGCAGAGGTATACTTTGTTATTGATCCTATAACATGTTCTCAGAATGCATACGTGGTTCTAGAATATCTCCACTGCCAAACAAATCATCCAACTGTGAGCTATGCCATATTTCGGAGAAAATGGCATCCATTGACAAATCAATTTTAAAATCAGGATGAAGAAGATCATCAAAGCTCGCATCATTAGCCTTGCCAGTGATGTCGAAGGAGAAATTCCCTTCATGCGCGATGATACTGTCCTGTTGAATGGAATCTGTTGTATTGCTCTGCCCACTTTCTTCCAAAGTTGTACACAATGAAGAGCTATCGTTGTTCAAGCTATAAACCGCATGCTGAGGGCCTACTTGCTCTGTATCCCTGTTGAAGGAGGTTATACTTACGGCACTTGGGGTGGGCTCCTCTTCCACTGAGTGGCGGGCTGCACTAGGCTGAAAAGTGAGAGTCGGCTGCGAGACAACATACCGTCTCATGTTGTCAAGACTTCTTTGTAGTTTTTTCAAGTTCTGTAACAGTACAGGTGAGGTACTCCAGTATTGCTCGTGTTGGATCAATGTCAAACACAGCAACTCAAAGTTGGATTGCGCCAAGACTTTCTCACAATTTGTTTTCGCAAATGCTCCCTGCACAAGCTGTATCGCAGCCACGATCCAAAATGTGTTTACTAAAAGAGGGTGTCTATAGCGAATGTGATCTATCGATGCATTGCGGACGATGCCAACCACATTTTCTGCAGCGAGAAGATATCTCGACCATACCGAGTTAGAATATGAGTTGGCTTCGTCTAGTGTTGGAGAGGTTTTGTTGCCGAATATGCCGATGCCATCCCTGCTCTCAGCACCCCGGCGGCTGTGATGAAAGCAATCTTTGTGAAGGATCATTATCTTAGCAAGATGGATCATGGCATGAATAGTTTGTTTCTCGCTCTCTTTTCTGTGCGTATCTGGTTTGTTCTGACCCAGTGAGGGCGAATGCAGGCGCTCTGGACGAAAGCGAAGCTGTTGAGGTAATGACATGTCAAAGCAAGAGACGCAGTTGTCAAGCACAGCGAGTTTTGACGCCTGACTTGTTCTCTGCTTTGAGGTTGAATGACGTCTCGCATAATATGGCAAATCATCCTCGCCGGACGGTTCCACAGGAACCGATGGGTTGGTTAAGTAGTGCGCGTCGTTCAAAAAAGAATTTATGACTATGAACCAAGCTCTACCACTTTCGTTGTCGCTTTTTTTCAGTGCCTTCCATCGAAGGACTGGATCTGGCTCGAAGAAGCAGCTGGCGCTTTTTTCTCCATTGAACCAGCATGTGTCACCAACAGGCAGAAGCGTAGCGTGCTGATTTAGGTCCATGCCGAGTGGACTTCTGCGTATAAAGGATGCAAAAACCTCGAGCTCCCAAAGAGTCCACCACACTCTTCGTCTTTCTTCTTTAGCAATCCATACGTTTACCGAATCCGAATCAGTGCTTGTCGGAGATAACCTCAGAGGTAGATCAACGAGGTGAAGTCGAAGTTCGTATGCAATTCTAATTGCGGCTCCTAGCGATCTCCATGCGATTCCGCGAACACCGCTGACCAGTTCATAGTATGTCGTTATTATAAAAGTCTGAAGGAGCACTAATGGTGGTGGTTTGTCGCCGCAATTTTGCAACTGTGTATGCACTAACGTTGATGCAATCTTGTAGAATTTGGATGGATCCAGTACGCTCTTTCGGACATTGCTTTTGTCGTTGTATAAATGCCTGGCGGACAACGAGAACATAGAAGCAAGCAAAGCAGTGGACTGTTCGGGGCTAAGTTCGTTATAGAGGCGATGTTGGAAAGTTGGTCGATGAAATAGCGCAATTGAGGGGAGGTCGGAGAAATACAAGTCCAATCTGTAATGGACACTTATCAGCGTGTTATTATTGATGTGATCTATTTAGACTTAGACCTCACAGCTGAGGAAGCTCATCTTCATATATTTCCAGTGCAGCGCAAATCTGCTTAGCAATATTTTGACGTGTTGCTTCTCGTACAGTCGGAATAAAAGGTGCCTCGGCCGACGAAGAACTCTCACGGCTTTCCTCGATCTCGTTGTTATAAGTTTGCTCCTCGTGAAAATGATGTAGTATCCAGCTTGATAGACTACTCGGGTTTGCCCTGTGTGCTGGGAGGCCGTGTAGAGGTACATCTCGTGCGTTCGAACATTCCCCCGCAGAACGGTCTGACCGTCTTTTGGGCGGCTGTGGGATAAGTATATCCGTTTGATTCTGTCGACGACAAGAAGGCTTGGCCTTACGCTTTTGAACGCTCCCTGCACCAACGAATGTGAGCACGCCTGTACATGTGCTGCCTGGACAGGTAAATGTTACCAAGTTTCGGGCCGGGCTTCTGGGCTGTCAATGGATAACGGCAAGTTTGCTTGTTTCGAAGACAAATCTCACAAGAAGGGGTGTTTTTATCGCTAGTGGTGCCACAACGCCAAACCATTGGTCAATGATTCTTAATTGCTTAGTGGTAAGAGTCGCTCCATACCATTTGACTTTTCTCCTATAATTAAGTTAGAATTGACATTCTCAAGCAACTATTTTGGAGACGTCTATTACGAATCCACGTTGGAACTACCTGTCAGCGGTAGAGAAGAAGGCTAACTTTTTGCACTGGTAACACGCCCATGGCGAGATGCTTGTACCCTGCGATTGTCCCCTGCCTTCGGGGCAAAGCGGCGCAACCGTAGCGCCTCTCTCTGCGCTCATTCTGAATGGTGGCAAGCACGTTTAGTCTCTTTAAACACCATGGTTGTTCAGGATATAGGCAGGAGTATTGGAGAGCACGAGATCTTTGCAATGGAAATACGTCGCTTGGCGACTTCGTGTCAAACCTTCAGGTAATGGCCGAGATAAATTCTCCACCAGCTGCTATCGAATGTCTCATGTGTCAAATCTTGAATCACGTGCCTATAAAGCCAGCATAAAATCACACCGAAATTCGACCGACCTCATTAGATATACCGAGGTTGCTGCGCCATCCAGGACTCACTGGCGTTCTCTTGACTCGTATGACAAAATATCATCAAAGGGACTTGTGGTTGAACTATTCATAGCAATAAAAATTAATACGATTCGAGTCTCCAAAGGGTAATAAACGTCTTGGGCAGTTACCAAAAGTGAAAAACCAACCGAAAAGAAATACCGACTGGCTTATTAGAACATGTAGCAGTGAAACAGTCCATACACATGATGTCTAGGATTAGATTGATGAAAACAAATCTGTGGACGGTTTTCTTGTTTTCTCAGTTGTGTGTTAGACACAGCAAGCTCATTTACAACTAAGTTACATACATTCTCGAAGGAAACTGTACGCCCTATTGCAAAGCAAATGCAAGACGTGTAGTTGATGGTAATCTAAACTATAGGGCGCGATGCTAAATCGACATGTTTTCCTTCAAGAAACCTTCCAGCGACGTTAGGTGCAGTGAAGAGTACTGCTTACTGTCCAATTGCTTCATATAGCACCTGCCGTTTAGCTGATACAGTTGGTAGAAATATCCCATCCAAGTCTCAAATCTTTTGAGGCCCATTTTGAGCACTGCATCGTTAGCTGCGATGCTTAGATCTTCAACACTTCCCATGTAATCGAGCTGCACCGGTACCCCTCGAGCGTCCTGGTAGATGTCGGCGATTTCCTTGATGCTGTGCTCAAAGCTGCAGATATAATATGACCCGCCCTTCTTTGTCGAGTCCACAATAAGCTCTGCAGTAAAATTCGCGCAGTCTTGTTCGGTGGTAAACTGCCACTTCTCTTCACCAGTTCCCCACACTTCTGCTCTCTTGAGAGACGCCTCAGGATCCCATACTCCATGGTTCGAAGGCGCAAACCTCCCGTGTCCAGGAACGGAGAAGAAAACTTCTGCCAGTGTACCTTTGAATATGTACAGAACGTCTACATTGGACGATAGCGCAAGCTGTCTCTGTAGCGCAAGGAATATATCGTAGTATGGCATGTCGCCCCAACGTAATTGAGACCAGTCAAGGTTCCACGTAGATGGTATGAATCGCTGGAATATATACGTGTTAGATATTGAAAGCAGAAGATAAAGACGGGGTAACTTACTCTAACCCCCTCCTCTTCCATAATACGAACAAGAAGAAGCTCTCCTTCCAACGCCAAAGCTGGGATAGGACTGTATGCACAAACTACAGCATCCACACCCTTTACTGCTTTTCGAATGCTTTGGACATCATACCAAGACGTGATTTCAAGAAAACTTTTAAGCTTTCCTAAAACGTTGCTCGGAAGGGTTGATATCGATCTAGAAGCTCCACGGACAACGTGACCTCGCTGTATAAGGGCATCGGCAAGCTTGAGGCCGATGTTGCCTGTGATTCCAACAATAAGAACAAACATGGTAATTATAAACGAGTGAGCTTTAGTTACCAGGAGTCTTTTTGCACCTAATACAAGGAAAACAAAAAAGATTGTAATTCAGAGAGAAAGCAAGAAGAGAATTATTCCGAAGTACTATATCCCCTTTTATATATAAGTGCTTTGGGGTGATTTCGATAAGATGTTAATGTAGCACTTGGAAAGATTTCGGTTGAAATTGTTTAATAATCGGGAAGATTTCGGTCGAATATTGGTTAAGATCTCGGCCAGATGTTGGGTGATAATCGGGGAAATTTTGGTTGCATTATTATAACATAATCTCAATTTGTATTGTCACAGAGGGTTTGGTAGAATAATGCAAGTACCTACCTAGTCTTAGTATTCCAAAATACTCTCTTCTATTATCTAGGAGCAACAGGAACATAAACATAGTGTTGATCTGAACATAATCTATCACAGTAAATTAATTAGGACGTAGTAAAAGATAGCCGGGACCTAAAAAGGTACACAAGGGTCCCTTGCTTTTACATGTAATCGGGAGATACTTCTTCCAGGACCCTAATTTGGAATCATCCAAGTTGCATCAAGTCCTAAATGCACGCAAAGTACCCATTTAGAGAGGAATAGTATTTGACTACTGAGTCAGCGAATAGACTAATGTTTAGTATGTATGGCGAATGCGGAAAGCGATATCCAATCTACCAGTGGTTAAACTGAAGAGGCGAGGTTTACTAATTATTGCCATAAATACTCTAAAGATTGCCAGGTTCGGTTGATTCCACCGTCGCAACATTGTAGTCTGTGTCGGCATACGTCAGACAGTTAGTTTAGCACGAAGAATAATGTTCTATAAGAGACAGCATCACATCCACCTATTGCTGCAAAAATTAAGAGCGTTCGAACCTACACGTTTCCGTTCACCATTTGGCAACTCTAAGTCATTTGCTTCAATGTCGAATCTCATGTCTCGACCGACTCCTAAATATCACCCTATAGCAACCGCCTATGCACAGGAGCTAGTGAGGAACCATCAAGCTGCGACAAATATCGTTTTATGGTCCGGATGGTTCTGTCCCTTCAGTCAACGTACTTGGATTGCCCTCGAAGAGATGGGACTGCCCTATCAGTACAAGGAGGTCAACCCATATCTCAAAGAGGAAGCTTTCCTCGGTATGTTAGAGAAATCTTCTTGCGGCGTCATCATGAAGTACTAACACATGGACAGCTGTGAGTCCGAAGGGTCTGACACCAGGCCTGAAAGTTGCAGATAAGGCATTGCACGACTCAAGCATCATTAATGAGTTCCTTGTGGAATCTTTCGAGAGTCACGGCGCTTCCCTTCTACCGAAAGACCCATACCTACGTGCACAAGCACGCCTTGCTATCGACTTCATTAACAAATCAGTGGTGCCTGCTTATTTTAGACTACTGCAAGCTCAGCCTGACAATCCCACAACGCAAGCCGAAGCACGTCGCGAGTTTACCGTAGCGTTGGGAATCATAGCACAACAGCGGAAAGGAAAGTTCTTCTTCGGTGAGAATATCAGCTTAGTCGATATTGCAATCGCCCCTTGGGCTGTTCGAGACTTCATAGCTGCAGACTACCGAGGCTTTCAAAGAGATCAAGTTCCTAGTTGGGGAGAATGGGCAAAGGTATTGGAGCAGCACCCGACGGTGCAAAAAACTTCGAGTGTATGTTATTGATCTTTAATGGATACTACCAGAAGGCTTCTGACTTCAACCAGGATGCTTCTCAATATGTTCAATTTAATGGCACGTTCCTCAAAAACGAAGCGCATAGCTCGGTTGGTCGAGCGGCACAGTCCGGCCAAGCCATCCCCTGAGGTGGCAGCAGCATCGGCAACAGCGACAAGACCTCTCTTTTGAGATTTATTTTGCTTGGATGGTTATGAGGAGAGATATTTTGTGTTTGCTTATAGACGTCATGGCTATCTGTTCATGTTCGAGACGAAGAAGAGCGGACAGAGGAGCTGATTGGCTTTTTTACTAAATTGCGTATGAGGCCGATAAGATCAAACGACATGATAAAATGTAAATACAATCTACCTACTGACTATTGTACCTTATATTCAAGTGATACCAAATGAGCATAGAACACAGGGTGGCGGTATACTGGTAGGCATTTGATGCATACGGCGCAAGCTGACTAAGGATTCGGCCGAAAGCCCATTGTGAAGAAGTTTTGTTGGCGCCCACGAGTCATGCGACTTATTGACCCGTTGCTTAGCTACCGTGTACTTGTCGAGGAGGGTGTAAATTGACAGGCGCTAAGCGAAGGCATGACGCAAATGCTATTTGATTCCAAACCCCAGGCTGCATTAATCGCGTTATGGAAAGTTAATATCGATGATGCGAGCTATGCCCTAGCATTGCAACTTTTCTTAAAATAGCAGCCCTATAGAATGGTGACGTTAGACGATTTTCGACACTGGTAGGCCTATGTCAATGATTGAGTGAATCGAGCCTGCCCTCTTTACCTACTATACTATAAACATAGCGCCACTAAACTCAGGTTTTTAATCACTGCAGCGGTTGTTCAGTCTCTCCAATCTCTTTAGTGTTTAGATATCCGCGAACAGGCCCCACACAAATTACAATTGCGTGAGTGGCAGCCCTTCCCGCTTCAGAGAATGCTTAAAGTCTTGCCAATATTGCGAAACATTACCACGTCTGTCTCATTTCACGCAACCCAGTCTCTCTTGCTTGCTGCAAGTTTCTGTCAAGTTCAGCGCAACAGTACTGGCTTCGATTCGCTTTGGTCACCTAAGACTTCTTTACCAAACCACTCAAGACTATATCGCCCATCGTCATTACGTACCCAGCGTCGGAACATACTCATCATGTCCGAGAGTAACGGAAGTACGCGGCTAGCTTATATTCTGGGTGTGCCCCTAACAGATAACTGCGAACGGCAATGGCCACAAATGAACGAGGTAGTAAAGAGTCGTGAGCTTATCGCAGCGGTTGAGGGTAACTTCCCTGAGCTTACGCTCGAGGTTGGCCGGCGTCTATATTTGAACGATGATGTTGTTGTTGTCGAATGGTCTTGCAACTATGGTGATGGTCGCATGTTCCGTAACGTCACTATTGGTGAGCTGCGTAATGGGGAAGCCTATCGGGTCACCGACTATTGGGGGGAGCCAACAACTACTCCAACCTGGCGCAAGGAACGCACAGCTCGACTCGATATGCCCCCCAATGGTATCTGGAAGGATGCCAATAATGTCAAGCATCACTAGAGCTTATACAATATACTCAGTTTAAACCCTCTTCCAAAAAATACAAGGCATTTGAAGATTTTAGTTTATCAGCCTGCTATGTGATATTATCTGAGATACAAGGCCATCTTTCCAGGCATTATTTGTAGGAGCTTCTTTATTTAAAAATATGCAGTGTTTCACTCAAAGGCAATTTCTCTGGAATATTTTCCGGATGTGGCTGTGCCTCTTCACCAAATGTCATGGTTGCCTTCAACCCAACACGAAATCATTTGGAATATGGGCGAATTCTTTGATGTAGGCGTCAAGGGTCCAAATGCCGTTCATGTGCGGTAAATTTGCGCCAAACCCTTCAATCTCTAAGGCCGTCCAGATCAGAATTTGGCACATGCCGATGCCGTGTCCTGACCATTCGGGGATCATGTGCAGCCGTTCTTGTGATTATTCCTCACCTCTCTTATGCTATCTTTAGAATTCCAGAATAGAATATAATTTCCGTTCAACTAATATCCCGCAACGTAACTCGAGTATCAGCTTTGCAAAGTGAAGACATGCTCAGCCATAAGCATTCCCAAAACCCTGAATCCGTGGACCCATTACTTCCAGAGGTCTTCTGAAATACTTTTTAAAACAGGCCCAGCCTCTTTTTTAATAACGTCTTACATCCGTTTATGTTTCTATCCGAGGACAAGGACGAGGTGTGCATGTTGGCAATTCTAAGCAGACGACTCAAGGGAAAGAACATTTTCGACGATGTCTTTTATACGCTCATCTGACATATTAGAAGCGCCCTTGAAGCCGTATATCAAGCGACAATATTTTGCCCCAACGAACCATTGGTCGGTTGTAATATCAGGAATCATATCGTCATGCCAAGTCAATGTCCAGCGAGTGGTGCGTTCGATAAGTGAGGTGATCAAATTAAATGCTTACAGTGTGAAGTCGAAGCTGACGGGAAAAGTGCAATGCTTGAACAAAATAGTATCGGGTTCTTAAGTATTCGGAAGGAGATGATGTGATCTAGACTGGTAAGGTTAAGAAATTATCACTGGCCGTGTCGAAATCCATCAGCATTATGGCTGTCCCTAGTCATGACAGCTTCTATTGCTAGTAGTCTGCAACAATAGGTTAAATAGCAGTGGCAGACTAATGGAATTTTTATGTATCATTGATGGCTCGGCAAATAGGAAAATAGGTGAAGTTCGTTTGGATAAACTCGGACGTGACCAGCCGAGTAACTGATGATATGTTAGCTCTTTCCAAGCTCCAGCAATTCTGTCAGAAGTTCTTCGACAAAACTGAGTGGCTTTTGCTTAATAATTCTTCCAGCATTTCTGATACCTTTTTGTGTCCATGTTATAGTGGATGGTAAGGGATCAGGCAGTCATCTAATTCGTCCAACCGCTCCTCGTTTGGGTCGCTTTTGTCCGACTGCTTTTTATCCGACCGTTTTCCATCCAACAACTCTTACGTTAGATTCGTCCGCCTCTTCAACTGGTCCTCCGGCTCGAACAATCCCTATTCTTCTTCCAAGCAGACTCTTCTGCACAGAGCCGCACATCTTGTCATTCGACCAACGTGGCTTCGCCTTTGGCAATATCCACGTCTGCCCCCGATATTGTCTGAAGTTGGGCTTAGAAAGAGCTAAAATTGTTACTTAGTAAACCCACTCTTGCTTTCATCACAATCTTCTTATAGAACGGTGTAATGTTGGTTTTTGCTGGCTCAAATGCCCCAATGGGGCGACCAATTCGGAAGAAAGTCAGAAAGGGGACGAAGAGCTGTATTGAATGTACGAATATCCATCTTCGCGGTTGCAGCCCATGCCATTTGTCTGTCGAGATGGTTCTAGTCCTATTAACGGGAGGCATCTGGTGCTTTAGACGGCCGTTACTCGATGTATTAGAATTCGCGGCTTTGCAGCACCAGCAAGATACTTTCCCAATCGATGAACACGATGAATAATATTTATACTGACGCTGAACAGGCAGGCGTCGTAAAATGAAATGCACATATGACGCGGATAGACCATCAATGTATACCGATTATCACGACAGAAATATGTTATGCATCAGCCAACAACATGCCGGCAGTCTGCCTACATTACGACAAGCTGAGCCACTCGCCATAAGGGAACAAGTGCGTAATCTAGAAAGTGACTCAGATATGGCCGTTCGACAGCTGGAGAACGCTGTGCTCTATTCTATCCATCGTTAAACACGAAGAGGTAAGATTACAAGAGTCTTTATTTTGATCTTGGTTGCCATTACTTTGCTAAAGCCCAATGACAACAAGAATGAGCATGAAGCACTCCTGATTTAACCTTTCTACGTATACTTTTCTGAAGCGCCCGGCGTTCTCTTCAGCGTTCTACACAAACTCTCCACCAGTGCCTCGCTGGTCCCTCTAGGGCTTCGAATTTATGAGAAATAGTCAGAGTCTCGCTAAGGCCCTCGGACTCAGTCTGTTCAATAACTCCAATCGGCCACAAATTAACGATTTGCCTACAGTCGATTGGCAATTGAGGCTGCTCGTGACACGACTCGATGTTATCATGCGTTACGCGGGCACCCGGGGGTTACTACGTCTGCAAAGTCATTGACTTCGTAGCTTTTACCTCTACAATGCTAATGCTACTGAATCTCTTGGGAGAAAATAGTTATGGGTAAGACTCCAAAGAGGACAGCGATTGGGGACTGATATATCGGACTATCAATATCTTGCCCGGAACAGCGAGACAAGCAAGAGGCATGGTTGCCTCGCAATCTGCAATGGCCCTCCAAACGCTCGTCCCGCTACTAGATTGGAATGGGGATGAACAACAGTACGAGGCAGGCGAGAGGATATCTATACCCTTTTTCGGAACTATCAGTATAATTTAGGCCCCTTCTCTGCCAGCTACAGTGTTATCGTTAGCGAGCACTGAGCTTGGTGCTGAGTTGCACAAGGTTATCGAGGCCTCAATACATCTCAAGCGCCAGCTCTTCCAATAGAAGAATTTCTACCCAACCCTCTTCAACACACATTTAATGTACAAGTGGGTTCTGAGATACTACACCAACAACGAGATCTTGTAATATTAATACTGCCTTTCCGACAATTACAGTTGATAATTCTAATTTTAGCCAGCCTTGGTGATAATACATGGGACTGGGTTGGATTTAGTAGTAATACACAAGCTGATAAACAATAGTATGATATGCTTCGTTCCTTTTATTTATCAGTTGTCAATTATAAATACTTTCTAGCAACTAACAAATTCAATACATTATCAACCTAGCTGTATTGTTATTGTTAAGTTATCAATATACACGGGATACTATTGTATAGATATGGAGGAATATCTTTGTAATTAATAAATATATTTTTGTATGTATAATTATCCTCAGATGGAAAGAAACTAGACAAAAGATTCGGTCCATCATTTTCATGGCCGGAAACAAAGATTAAAGGAACAACAATTCATAGCTCGAGATTGCTCACGATTATTCAGAATCAGTAATCTCGAAGACAGGAAGATGGAAGGGCGTTAGTTCGCTATTCCATAACCCAGCGGTGGCAGCCCAGGCTAGTACTTATGATCAGCACTCTAACAGAGCCACGCGAAGGGTTTACTTACCCGAAAGAAAGGCAACGATAAAGCCTAGCGAATTTCCTGCAATAAGCAGGCTCGTGTTATTTACCATATATCCGCAAGCCAGGAGGAGATACTCGATATCTAGAACGACAAGATTTATGACAAGCACCCAGGTCGAACGAATTGCCGCAACAGTATAAATGAACGTGATGATCATCCATGCGAAGAGATACATAGCCAAGGCTTGGTTGAATTCATCCGTCAGCTCGCTCGTAGACGGATCGGTATATGCTTGCAAAATGCCAGACCCAGGCAGCCATATCAAGGCAAATGATAAATTGAATGCCGCGTAGGACGGAAAGACGGTAGCTCCAAACTAAGCAAGATCAGCCATCACGCCAAGTAGTGCGATAACTGGGCCCAACCATGTTTCCCGCGACGAACTCCATGATGCCTGCTAGGAACTGACAGATGCCGCCATAAAAGATGAGCATTCCAACCACCAGGTTGGGTTTGCCGATTCCTCGGGCACGGACTCCGTAGAGCGAAAAGATGAAGATACCTGCGCCAAGTAAGCTTACTAGGCAGGGTTGGGCTCAAGGTTAGTTAATACAGACAGGCGGCGAACGAGAGCAAACCCAAGGGGGATGGATCTGCGCGGACTTTGTGCATGACAGCAAGAGCCGGCTGGGCCCTTTCTTTGACTACTCGGCCGGTACGAGCGACCTCAATGCGATCTTCTGACCCTTTCTCGAGATCAGTCTCAACCTTATTGATTGACGAGCTCATGTTTATGAAGTGAAGAGAGAGTTGCAGTGGTATGGAATAGCTCGAGAAGAACTGTAGCGATGCAACAAGACTCAGAGCAGAGTAACAGACTCTGCTATATATGTCACATCTCAGGCACACCACAAGGACACTAATGAACCCCAGAATCCACCCCCGCAATGTATCTGGGGAAGTTGGCTAGGGTTGTACGTCCGGCATCTTGCCGGTGGCCGTAAAGTAGTTTGCCTACTCGTTTCCAGCGACTGGTCATTCCATGATCTCGATCCGAGATGAGAAGCCCTTCATGGAGCGTGCTACACCTGGAGATCAAGGTATCGCCAAGTAGTCGGATATATTCCGCATGTGATTCTTTCGCGCTCGTTGCAGCTCATGAGCGGGCGCAGGAGCTCTATAGGCTTGAGGAGATGCTGTGAGAAGTTTACAACACAACATTGCGTGGTGATGATATCTCGGATCCACAGCCACCAGGCGTAGGTTCAAGACGTTGGCACTTTCAGGAGACATACACAACGGTCACAAAGCTCAATCAGTGGTTTCTTAGGGTAATGCATATGTTCAATTCTATGTCCAGATTATGGATGTCAAGATGGGGAAGACGTTTGGTACAAAGTCCCGAAGGATATTATAAGATGTAAATATAACATGTTCAGGGTAGCTACATACTTTAACTGCTTTTCGGAAGGTTGCTATATACTGTCCTTACATTGAGGACTCCCTCCCTGATATACGTCTTCCCATCTTTGCTCTGCATAACATTCTTATGCACATGACCATTAATCACGATAGTGTGCAATCGAGACGTATCTTGGAACAACTCGATATCATCCAGGGGATTTCCATCAACGAGGATGACGTCGGCATAATAGCCAGGCTGGACTTTGCCAAGGCTCTCAGGATGTCCCATCATGTCACCACCAAGAGCGGTGGCAGCGAGCAAGGTTTCCTTGGGGGTGTAGCCGAACAAGTTGACAAAGTGGGCAAGGTCCTTAGCATAGGTGCCGTGAGGAGCCCACGCGAACCCATAATCGCCCCCAGGAAGGACTCGAATCCCTCGTTTGTGCATCTCCTTTATCACTTTGCACGTAACTTCGACTTCTCTTGTCAGGCCCTTCTTTGTCGCCATTTCAGGAGTGAGGCCGTATGGCGTAGCACCGCCGTTGCAACTAGCCCAGGGGAAGTTGATGGCCGGGGCGACAAATATGCGGTCTTTGAGCTTCTCGAGCATGTCGATAGTCTCATTGTCTGTGAAAGAAGCATGATAGATCACGTCGACTCCACTCAGCGCACAGAGCCGTACGGATGCTGCCGAGCGTGCGTGAGCACACACACGCTTGCCGCGATTGTGGGCTTCTTCTACGGCGGCCTTGGTCTCCTTCAAGGTATAGTACGTCTCCTCAGAGCCCATGGTTTCGTGAATGTAGTCTCCCGTCATGCTGAGCTTAACGTTATCAACGCCGAGAGAGATAATATCTCGCACGGCCCTGCGCATGGCATCCTCCCCATCCGCGAAGCGCGTGATGCTGGGTATGATGGCTCCGCCGGTCGTGGAGATCTCCTGGCAATTGGCGAGTGTGCGTGGCCCAGGAATCATGCCCGACTTGATGGCCTGCTTAATGACCAAATCAAGTCGTGGTTGGGCGCTGGCAGCTCCGAAACACATTGTGTATCCGCAATCGAGGTAAGTCTTTGCTGAATTTGCTGTGTGTAAGACATGTTCCTCGATGGGGAGGTTTGTAAGTCCATCCAGAGTCGGCGAGTTATTCCAGCTCAGATGCGTATGAGAGTCGATCAAGCCACTCATAAGTGTCTTCTTGCCATATCCCTCGATCACAAGAGTATCCTCATCGGGCGTGAAGCCAAATGTGCCGACCTTTTGAATGCGTTCTTCCTCGATCAAGACATTGCCAAGGTACGGGTCTGCTCCGGTGGAGTCAAAGATGTTGACATCCCGGAAGAAGATTTTCCTCTTGTCACCGTTTTGATGGTTATTAATGGTGATATCCGCGGGGATAGGTTTGTAGAAAGGCAGACCGTTGACCTCGCTGATGGTATTCATGCCAACGGCAGCGCCGTGAGCATTGATCCCGTGCATTGTCCCGTTAGTCGCCATCATGACTGCTGTGATATCTTATACAGGAATAATATTGATGAACAGAGGGAGAGATGGATAATGGGGTTTGTCTGGACTAGCTTGTTTCATTTCCTTCGTCAAGGCAAGAAGCGCTTCTTATACGATGTCGAGGGATCGTGGTTACCCCAGGAGATTCTCGTCTACCCCACGGGGCTTGAGCTTAACCCCAGATTACTGATGCAGCCTCTCAGTGAGTGGCACTAAAGCCCCGATAAGTTAAGCTTGGTAAAAGGTTGAGTCTCGGGACCGTCGCCGGAGAGATGCCGTCGACCGATATCATGGCTCCACATTATCGTCGTTCAACCTCGCAAAGATGCCGGAGGCTGGGAAATATGGCCTAGGCGCATTACAAAAGTCTTTTACAAGCAGGAATTATCCGAGACATAAATTCCATGAACTTTGAAAGCGACATTAGCATTCAGTGTGCCCGACACGGTCTTCTAGAGTTTCAGTGTTCGACTATACTCCGTTCAACATGGTCGCAGCAACCCACACTTTCGGCTTCATTGGGCTGGGGAATATGGGTTCCCAGATGGCTCATAACTTATCGCTTTATGCAAAGAGCAAATCCCTCCCTCCCATGCATATTTGGAACCGGTCACGCGACAAGAGCGAGCAGTTCGCTAATCAGACCGCTGCGAAAGTTGCGGACTCTGTCGAGTCACTGGTGCAAGCCTGTGATGTAATTCACATGTGCTTAGCGAACGATGAAGTCGCGCTCTCCGTCGTTCGACAGATACTCACGGTAGGAAAGCAAGAGTTGATTATCGTAGATCACTCGACTTTATTCCCTACAACCTCAAAATTACTCCAAGAAGAGGCCAACAGCCATCAAGTAACTTTCTGCTCCTGCCCAGTGTTCGGTCCTCCTGCTGCGGCAAAAAATGCCGGATTACTTATTGCACTTTCTGGTGCGGAGCATGCTCTAGAGGTGTTGAAGGAATACATCGTCCCAACTCTGGGCAAAGCTGTCATCGACTGTGGCAGCGATACAGCTAGAGGAGCTCTTCTCAAGATTCTAGGGAACAACTGCATTCTTGGCACCATTGAGCTCTTATCAGAGAGTTTTACTCTTGCTGAGAAGACTGGCTTCGATGTGGCCCTGTTTTACGAGTTTATTCGTAAGTGATGTTTTCCGTGCTTTAGTGGCTCTCCTTCTAACGATCTTTATAGAGGCCTGGTTTCCCGCAGCTGCTTGGATCAATTATGGAAAGAAGGTCCGTGATGGGTCTTTCTCGGGGGGTACTGGCTTCACTCTTTCCGGGGGGATGAAAGACGCGGCATATATACGGCGACTGGGCGCAGAGACATCGACACCAACTCCAATTATTGACCAAGCCTGGAACCATATGACTGCTGCTAAGGCTATTGGCGGTGAATCCCTTGACTGGAGCGCATGTGCTGCGGGAATGCGCCTCACAGCCGGCTTGCCTCCATTTAAAGGCGAGGACTTTGCTCTCCAGAAGAATGGAGCCAACGGCAGCCAAACGAATGGGGGCAACCAAAAACAGGAATAAAGGAGTAGATAGATTAAGCAGATGATATACTGTTCTCCGAGACTTTCAGTGTAACGGCGGTTAGAAGACACTTGAACAATTATACAACCCTGAACCCTGCATTGTGTCTACCCGGCTTGCATCGTCCGCCTACAACAACTTCTGAACACCGTTGACTAAAATGTGCTCCAGCCACAACACACCTAGCATAATAGAGCTGATGACATCTAAAGCATTCATAGACAATTTAATGATGAAGTATATTTTGATATGATGGATATTAGGGTTTGAGATTTTGCATTATTCAACATTGCCCGCATAAACAGCTTTTCTCGCCAGCATATGCACCATTCGTCAACCTCAACATATTGGTCGGCAGTTGAAGTAATTGTATAGTAAGATGCCACTTTAAATTGTTATACAAGGACATAGTATCTAAGCGGAATCTATTGGCTACTGTACTTTGTGATTATTTCAACGCACTTGAAAGGCGCCTCCAGCATGTGCCAGTGACCAACACCTGATAAGACGACCTGCTCTGCGCTGTCACCAAGGTCGGATACAACCATCTTTCCAATAGCAACTGACGAAACCTTGTCCGCATCACCGCTAACAACCGCCGTGAGCGCCTTTATACGTTTCCAGTCAGGAGCATAACTGTTCTTGAGAGACTCGACTGCCAGTGCATAGCCCTCGGGGTGTTGACGAGTAAGCATTTCTCTTGCCAAAGCCACTTCCGCGTTCCTCTTCTTAAGGGATTCCGAGGCGAATGCGTTAGAAATAACCGCATCAGCAACGGCTGCCATGCCACCTTGGCGAACTGTTTCAACACGTGCAGCCATTGCTTTCTGGCCCGCTTCAGGTGGTGGACGAACAGGGCCAAAAAGTACCAAAGCCTTGACTAGTAGTGGAAGTTTTGCTGCAAGTAGAAGGGCTACGAGACCTCCGAGGGAATGGCCCACTACGACAACCGACTGAAGGCCAAGGTGTTTGATGACCGCTAAACAACCAATTAGCCGCTCTGTGCAGGGCATCAAGACATTTGGTGAGCTCACTTACCTTCGCAGTCATTCACATATGTATCAATGTTCGTCGTCTGCGGAGTAGAGCTTTGGCCATGGCCGGACCAGTCGAATCGCACCAAATCAAAGTCGGTCAGATGAGAAACAAGCGGTTGGTAGGCATTGGTTGTACCACCAAGTCCATGAATAAACAAAATCGACTGCCCCTCAGGATTGCCCTCTCTCTCGAAGAATAAACTGCCTCTGGGGCCATCGAAGAGCCCGTAGGATCGCAGCTGAGATGCCATGTTTCTTCTATGTCTTTTTGTTCTCTTGTTTTCTGTGTGGAGTTTGACAGTATGTTTGGATACCAATTGAACGTTTTGTAGCTGGTCTGGTTTGAGTCTACATGCTGATTATTATGGCTGTGCAGGCTACGGCTCCCCTAGGCATTTTAGACCAGCTGCGGTAAGATGCCGGAAGATCTACGCTTCGGCTTTGATTGCATTGTATCATCTCTTCTTTTAGACGAATTGATGATGGAGATTCCAATGATTCCCCAGTTATTGCTGCCGCTTATTAGCTGTCTTGATGTGGTAGCGTTCTCACCTTTATTAGGGCTGCACCATAGCAGAGACGCACCAGCGAATAAGCCCCGCGATTAATATTTAAGTCATTAATCCAGATCTATCATATGGGGATATTAAGGCCATGTTTTGCTTATATAGAACCACAGTAGTTTAGCACTTGATAAGAAGAAAATGTAAACAATTATTTCGGTTTGTATGAGATACGTAGGGCATCATATCTAGTCAGAAAATGGAAACGCAAGTACATAGCCATATCTCAGTAGACATCTATCAAAGGAGCATGGAATCCACATGTAGTCCGTAGTATACAATAGCCTTCCTTAACCCTCATTGTGCGGACTTAGTCAAAGTTATCGAACAGTGCAGCTATATACTCGCTGTACCCACGAATGGTCTCCGTTGCAATTGTTTCTGCGTTGTGACCCTCAATCAGCAGACGTGGAGCTCTAGGGAAGTCCCGGACATGCGTCGTGACACCGCCGAGATCTAGAGCGCACTTCTGTGCCTGCGCCATCAGAATGAAACTACCATCCAGCTTCAATGCTTGCGAAGTCGTGTTGTAAACCTGAAATACGGCAGAGAAGACAAATTCCAACGGGCTTGGAAGACTGGAGAACTGTTTCAGCAAGCCCAACTGTGGGGATGGTGATGTAGACTTCACCGAAGCGCCAGTCGATGCTGCCCACATTTCCAAGCCGATGGGCCCTTCCTTCGATGAAGTGCAGCCCATCAATGTTAGTCCACAAAGAAGATCTTGGCTTGCTAGCTGGCTGAATACTGTAAATGCGCCGACAAACAGTTGCGGAGACTTGTGCTCGTCGAGTGGGAACGCAAGTGCAATCCCTCCCAGATCGCTGTCTCTTCCGTATTTGTTAATGTACACATTGCCCACGCTATCTTGCTGCAGCAAGTTAGTTAAATAGTGCTTTTTCAATCGGGCATTGGGAACTTACACGAAATTCAAGCCGCTCCGCCGCTGCATGTTGACGAAGGGCCCTTCGCATTGCTGTGTTCAGTGTGTCTTCATCTCCCTGTTTGCTGTACGCGCGCTGAAGAGTATCGAGAGACTGCACGAAAGACGACATTTTGGTGATAGGATGCGCTATCTAGGGAAGTGAAACCAAAACATATGACACGGTAATATACGAGCAAATAAATTGTGACCCATTCGCCACCCCATCAATTGTACTGACGACCGAATTGACCGACTGCGAAGTTGGCACGGAAAGATGCCGGCGCACTAGATCAGCTGCGAGTTACTAGCGTCAACCCTTTCGCAGATCGCAAGTTTGGAAACTGATTCATGGATGGCAACCATACGATGGCCCACGAATTCTAGATCTATGGAATAATCGGCGGAACTTGATCAGAATGGACAGAAATGCAAGCTTGCCTCTCTCGAGTTCGATATATTGCCTGGCCCGGGATCCTCGTCGGGAGGGTGAGCGAAGACAGACCCATCGACCGCCAACTTTTTTACACCACAATTCCCCGGAGCTGAAAATGTCACGACCAACCCAGTATGAACCCAAGTTGCATACGGCCATTGAATCTTCTCTACCATGCTCGAATGTGGCAGAGGCTGACTTGTTGGTGGACCGCCACCGCCCAAACTATCTCAAGACTCTCGTTGTGCTCGATGATGATCCAACAGGAACTCAGACGGTTCACGGCATCTCTGTGGTGACAACTCATTCCGAGTCCATGCTACGAACACAGCTGAAGAGAAAAGAAAGCGGATTCTTCATATTGACAAACACTCGTGCACTCCATCATGATCAGGTTGGCAGGCCCAAACAATCACAAAGAGCCGATTTACCCCCAGCCTCGCTGTCTATTTGTATTAATTATTCGTAGGCCAAAGATCTTCTTCAGGTGATCTTGATCAATTTACGCGCCGCCGCATCTAAAGAGGGCGTAGAGATTGAAGTCGTCACAAGATCCGACTCATGCTTGCGTGGGCACTTTCCTCTGGAGCCAGATCTTGTAAATCGCATGATCGATCCAGTAGATGCATGTATCCTGGCACCGGCTTTTTTCGAAGGCGGCCGTATCACAGTCGACGATGTGCACTACGTACGTGAAGGCGCCATGCTTGTGCCAGTTGCCGATACGCCATTCGCGAAGGACAAAGCTTTTGGATTCCAGTCGAGCAATCTCCGAGAATGGGTTGTCGAAAAATTTAAAAGAGAAAGAAAACATGCTCCAGAAGTCACAAGCATAAGCCTCGAAGAATTGCGACATCCAGATGCGGTATCTCAAATTGCTTCCAAACTGGAGCGTCTCTCAAATTCGGCGGCCTCGGCAACGGTTGGCATTCCATTGATCATCATCCTCAACGCAGTCAACTACAACGATATGGCGACCTTCATCGCAGCCAGAGCAAGAACCAAAGCCAGATTTGTCTACCGAAGCGGTGCAAGTCTTGTTTCGGCGTACCTTGGAATTGGGAAGTCGCCCCCGTTGTCACCGAAACGCTTATTCGAAGCGTCCAATACCAGTAGTAGAGGTGGCTTAATCATTGTTGGGTCTTACGTCCCTAGAACCACAGCACAGCTAGAGCACCTGTTGCAGAAGAATGTGGAAACTCTAAAACACATCGAACTCGATGTCGATGAGATCCTAGCGGCTTTCCCAGACCAAAGAATAGGCATTGTGCGAAATTGTTCACATCTTGTGAATGATGCAATCGCTGGAGGAGTGGATGTTGTCGTGAGCACAAGCCGAAAGCTGGTTAGCAGTGATGAGCCATCGGAAAGTCTAAACATGGGGAAGATAATTAGCGAGACGCTTTGCGACATTACAAGACTTGTGGAGACTAAACCACGATACATCATTGCTAAGGTAACCAAATTCGAGTGTTTCACACCTACTTTTGGGAATTTAGCTGAACATCAACAGGGAGGCATCACTAGCAGTGATATCGCCACCAAGGCTCTCGGCATTGAGAAAGCTACAGTGCTGGGCCAAGTTGCACCGGGCATACCAGTCTGGGAATCAAGCGATGATTGCTCCCCAAAATGGCCAGGACTCCCATATGTAGTCTTTCCCGGGAATACTGGAGAGGATGTCACTCTAGGCGATTTAGTGTGGGCTTTTCGCCACGAACGCGGTTGAAGACATCACACTATATTTAGGAGTGCCATTTAATAATAAATGTTTGAAGACAAGTAGATATTTATGAATGTGAGAGAGACTATTCTATTTATGAGCATCGACGTTCTCCTTAAAACTCAAAGTCATAGGCCAACGTCTGACTACACAATGCTTCGCGAATCTCGTGAACGCTATTCGAAGTCAGTTTGTTAGTAGAATTACAGTGAGAGCTTTTGAAACATACCGTTGATGCACCGGATGCTTGCCGTAAGTCACAACATCTTCTGGCTTTTCCAGAACTGCGATGAGGCCCATATCATATCCTTGGGCGCGATGGGCAGTAGCTGGTAAAGGAGGATTGGCATCCCATTTCAACAGGCCTTCGTTGGTATTAGAATTCTTTTCTCAAAACAATAGAGCCTAACGAGATCAGTACCAGGTATTTTTCCAACCATAACGGCACCCAGTTCAGACCACTCTGCGAGCTGAGCCTTGCTAATATTAGGCTTGAGCTTGAATAGGACTAAAAATCTCAGTCAACTCGTTTTACCATCATAGTAATCCGTGGATGCTTACCAATATGATATACTGGCATTGTTCACTTGCAATTCTGGATGTGTGATAATTGTGTCCAGAGAGACTGCAATAACTGCAACAACGTGGAACTTGGGATAGTTGTACCCCTCGATATCGACCCCGGTATAGCGAAACGTAATGTGCCACTTATCTAAGGGCTATGAATACGTCTGAAAGAGAGTCATTAGCCCTTGGACGTGTCATTAGCCTAGCTTCGGCCCAGCCCTTCCCCAACTTTAGACAACTTCTAAATACAGTAGCGTCTCCACCTGTCTGGCATCTTTCCGCCAAAGCCGGCATCTCTCCGACTGTCGGACATACGAGGGTAGCTCGGTAGGACGATTGTGGTTCGCATGGGCTACTCGCAACTGAAGCATCCAGCTCCTCGACAGCTATCTCACGCGGTAGGAAAGTGGTCCGGATGCTGGTTCACTCTTGAAACTTTCGACCCTATAACGACAACCTTGATTATCTTTTGGTACGATGACAGAGACCCGCAGAGATTCGTCACTCGCACAGTCGCCTGTGGCGCGGCAACAGTCCAGCCCACCACCGCGAAGCCAGGGGAGACGATACGGCTTCGCTTGTGCCAACTGCAGGAGACGCAAGGCCAAGTGTGATGGATCCTTTCCAGTGTGCAAAAAATGCGTTACTGCTCATGAAACATGCAGCTATGACAAGTTAGTATATCCAGCACCAAGTGGTCACAATGCTAATAGGCGATGCAATAGGAGACCATCGGTTGCATTTGCTGTCGCGCTTCAGCGGCAATTGAAAGCTTACGAAGATCGGTTTCAGCAACTACGCACCGCTAGTGAAAGTGATATATCCTCACTGTTGTCAAATCCCGTAGTTGTTGAAAAGCCGAAAGGGGGGCGGGCACGAGCACCTAGTCCAGCCAACGCTGACGCTTCTGGACATCTTGCTGAACTAGAAGCTAATGATTTCCAAGAAGAAACTTCCATTGGAATTGATGGTCAAGTTTACTTCTATGGCCGCACCAGCTTATACCATATTGATCCACAAAAGAAGCCCCGGGACGAAGCACGGGATGATAGCAATCTCGCCTATGGGTCAGAGACTAGACCAGAAGAGCAGAACGAAATGGCTGCTTTTCTAGCCGAGATCTCTCCTGCGATGTTGCATGAGCTGCTGGCCACATATTGGTGCTGGCCTCACCATCTCCATTGTGTTCTAGTCAAAAAGGTGTTTCTTCGTAAGTCTAACACCCGCTTGAACTTCACGTCGTGCCCGCTAACTCAAGTTGCCAGGAGACTTGCATACTCTTGGCCCATACGTTTCACCTTTTCTTCTAAGCGCTGTGCTGTCGCAAGCTGCTCGGTATTCGCCACGACCAGACGCCAAAGATGTCGGTGAACGCTTTGCAAAACGTGCCCTCGGGCTCCTCGTTAAGGATATTGATCGAGGAAGTTCCATCGCCACGCTCCAGGGCCTGCTAATATTCTCATCGCGAGAATGCGCGTGCGGGAGGACGTCACAAGGCTGGCTATACAGCGGCATGGCCTTTCGTATGGCCAGAGACTTGGGCTTGCATGTGGATCCCAAGAAGCTCGGCCCGCTGTCGTCACAGTTCTCAGGCGAAGATCTCGCGCTGCGGCAGCAAATGTTCTGGAGTTGCTACTCATGGGACAAGACTATGAGTTTGTGTCTAGGCCGAGCCCCTACTATGTTAGAAGCCATTGAGCTGCCCACTGCCGACACTCTCCTAGACGGGCGAGATGCCGACGACGAAATCTGGCAGCCCGTTCTGGTCCAAGGATCTTTATCTGAAAGTCTTATTCGGCATCGTGCTCTCAGCAGTACGAGATTCGCTGCTTACTGTGAGCTCTGTACAATAATCCAGGATGTCCTCGACACGCTTTACTCGCGCCCACATAGGGCAGAGCGAGACGACTTGCTGATGTATCTGACAAAGACCCTCGAGAAGCTCGAAAACTGGTCTTCCCGACTGCCTCGTGAGTTATTAGTGCAGCAGGATATTAGAGCTGTTCTCTGCCCTCCTCTGCATATCCTACTATTAAACCTGCTCTATCACACTACTGTGATTCTGCTTTGCCGCCCATATCGAGCTCTATCCGCAGCGGCGAAGGCGCGATGTACCGAAGCAGCGCGGGCAACTGATATACTGTTTACAATGCATGTCCGACGTTTTGGATTCCGCTGCATCACTTGGCTTCAGACATATACCATGTTTGTGGCCTGCACTATCAACGTCCGTGACTTGAAAGAATGTCAAGAGGTTGGCGGTGACACGACGTTGGCGCATGAGTCCGGGGCACGCCTAGATTTCGGCATGGAAATCCTTCGCCAAGCAGGGAGCACGCCTTCCGCCAGCCGATGCGCGCTGATTATAAGCCAGTTGCTACACGGCCAGATAACAAAAAACGGAGCGCCGCAGACAACAGAAGAGAGCCAGGCTCTCGGCAATTCAATGGGGCCTCCAGCGACGGCCACCGAGAACAAAACACAGCCTGTTCCAGATGCTATGAAGGGAAATGGAGAAGATACTTCGCTATCATCTCTTCCAATACAGCCAATTGTTCAACACGAGCCACACGATCAAAGGCGACATGTTGACTTCGGCCATGCGCCACCCCTGCTCTGCCCCGAAAACTCAGATCAAGACACGGAGGCCCTGGCTTACCAAACCGAAGCTTCGCTTAGCAATGGACCATTCCTCGGTCGTGTTCATATTGCTTTAGATCCTACATTGTGTGGAAACGGAGTAGAGACGCCGTTCCGATGGCTTCCTGAGAACGTATGCGATGACGGGAGCTGGATGCTGATGGATATGGAATTCAATCCAAATTTGACATATTATAATCCTCAGCAGGTAAATAATGAAGATAAGGGCCTCTATACTACAGGGGACTTTGTTAAATAAATCAATCTATATACCATTGCTTCGGGTATTATTTATAACACTCTCTATTACGCCTTGCTTCTGTAGATACATGTAGGTAGTTCTAGGTATAACTGTGCCTGTAAGTATATGCAGGTTCCACTGAACGCTTACTAATGTACCTACCTAGGTAACAGGTAAATGTTAAGTCCCCTATCTTCGCTCTTTGCACTCAGTGTATTCTCAAACATCTTGGCATTAACCTCTTAGATGCCTGTTCTAAACGAAGTCCCTGCGTCCTATCGAGGACGGTGGGATTCTAGTGCCTGCTTGCCGACTCAGTCGCCCGCTCCAACGTTTCTCAGTGGCGCACCAGTATCAATTATGGAATCTGACTCGATACCGCCCAAACTAAATTCGTCCTGCGTGCAGTGTCGGAAGTCAAAGGTCAAATGCACGGGAGGGAATCCATGCAGACGCTGTGAATCGTCACTCGATCCTTCAGCATGCACCTACAACGCGTCACGCAGGCGCGGTAAGCGTAAAGCTGATGACAGCAACATAGAGTGGCACGTGCAACAGGCGGGCGTCTCGAGTCAGAATATATTGCGTGACGGTGGAATCAACCTCACTGAGCCATTGCAATTGAGTCTCGTGGAGAAGAATGGAGAGGATGGAAATATCTGGAGTGGAGCTGATGAGTCTGGACACGCCGTTTGTTTACCCGCACAGGTACCCGAGCACTAATAACAATTGAACACTGCTAACAGTCTATAGATAGCTGCCGCCTTCCCAGATCCGTCCATACCGCTGGAGTCTTACAATATTGCTCATGCTGCGTCTCCCAGCTTGACCGAGATCCTAAATTCCTTGGGACCGTCTGGCTTACCGCCAGGACCTTTTCTTGGGGATATTGGCATCTGCTCAGAGTCATGTTTTATATCCGTCCATTCTGTCACCAATCAACTTTCGTCTATAAGAAAGTCGAAGGGCGCCGTGCGGCTAGATAAGATCTTTTGTCTTATAACCGACTCTATACATCAAGCAGCAAAGTATCTCGCGTGTGAACATTGCGATTCAGGCTGTTCTCGCCTCATGACACTATCATTTCTGCATCAGTGGCAGATAAACATTCTCTTGGATGTCACGAACAATCCTACAATATATTTCACAAACGAGACTCCTGAATTGAAATTTGGCGAGTATAGGGCTTCTGCGGAGGACGATATAGCTTTCAAACGGATGGTATCTCTGAGACTCACCCGCGATATCAAGCTTTCCTTAGATCGTTTCCACCACGGAGCTAAGGATTTCGAGGAGCGGTACATTGCAGGGACTTTAGAGCTAGGAGAAGCTGGCAAACTCAATCTGGAGTGGCTATTAAAGGTAGCTGTCAGCTTGAAAAGGCAAGCCGAGTTTATTGCAATCGCTGAAGAAAAACGAGACTAGACTGCCAAAGGGGAGACTCGGATGAAAACGCTCCAAGCCATTCAAATATGTAACTCATATCGTATTGTATTCGGAGCCACATATCTATATTCTCCTCAATCAAAAGACACGGTATATTTCTTTCGCAGAGTTTCTCCATATTTCCAAAAAAGTAACGGTGCGGCAGATAGTATGATGGCAATGAACCCGAGGACGGAATTACCCTGTGCACTATGTTACTGTAAGAACAATGTATAAGTAGCACTTTTAGACTTACCCAACCGTAGCCGAGCGCTTCGTATAGAGGCAAACCAGCCATGGGTAAAATTCCTCCCACGATGCTACGCACAATGCTTGTCGCTGCGAGGGCGCTAGCAGCAAAAGCTGTAAAAGCATCGATCATGTATATTTGTGTAGGCAACTTGACGATATTATTAGTGTGCGCGGGTGATGGGTTTGTCAAGAACGAGCTTTACTTACAAAGGTGAATATAAGCCCTGCCCCAATGAATCCCGAGGACACGATGGGAACCATCCAATGGACTCTATATTCGGTTGTCCATCCATACACAAACAGGCCGGCTGGAAGTAGTGGAATTCCAAGCACGATAGGCAATAGTCGGTATCTACCACCCATGTCAGTAATTTCTTTCTAGCACTCGGCATGTTTGGTAGGTACTCTGGTTTTGCTTTTCCATATCTCTTGGTCAACCTTTCTTGTAGCCAGTCGCTAAGCCACGATAATAAAAGAAGTGCCAATAACTGGCCAACGCCCATGCCAAGAAAAGCCAATCCGAGGGTCTCGGTGCTAAAGCCGTATTGTTGCGGGAAAATGGTCGAGAACGTGGTGAAGAGCAGGTATAAATAACCGTAGATTAGCGCGAGGTATAGAGAAAGACCTGCCACTATGGGGCTTTGAGTCAACATCCTGATGGGTCTAATCAGCGATCGTATCAGAAGTTTTTTCTTTTCGGTTGCATCTATGACAGGCATGTCTGTTGAACATGTTCCCCCTTCCCTTTCTCTTTTCAGTTGAATTGTTGGTGCATGACTTTCAGACAGAAATAGCAACGCCACAATAGTTATTACACCCTTCTATGATATTGATTAGCGCTCCAGACCAACACGGCGAACGAACTATAATGTCACTATACCACAATTGCCATAAGCCAAAATACCCAGCGCCAGCCAAGAGCATGTGCAACAAAACTGCCAATCACAGGCCTAAACACTTATTGTTAATTGACCATCCATATTTGTGGCATGGCACATACCCTAGAACAGGTCCCAAGAAGATGCCTGTGAAGAAGATAGACATAACTGTTCCTCTTCTGTCAAATGATACTTGGTCGGCGATACTGCCACCGCCAATATTCATCGGCCCAGCCCCGAAGCTGCCTGCGATGAATCGGAAGACGATAAATGAGGCGATGTTAGGGGCGCTTGCACTGGCGATCGAGAAAGCGAGCGTAGCCACATTGCAGACATTAAGCACCAACCTCCTTCCATAGAGCTCCGACAATGGTGACAAGAGGATGGGGCCAAATGCAAATCCTAGAACGAATATAGATACAACAAGTGAAGTTATCAAATGACTTGTTTCGTGAAAGTCCTTCTGTAGAAGAGGAACGCCGGGCACAATGATGGAGGACTCAAGAGGCCTATAGAGTAATTAGCATGCGATCAAATGCATAAAGAGATAGGTTCATTGTACGTGATAAATGCCAGGAGAGAGACAATTCCCAAATTGACTGTTTTCTTTCCTCTGGTCCAGTTTTGTGGATTTGCCGGATGCTCTTTCCAAGCGACAATCCCTTCGCTTTGGTGGCTTTCAATCGCACATTTAACATTCATTATGATGATTGGGGCAATACAGATAATCGGCAAGTTTTCATCGAGAAGAGATATTTCGCATAAATAGATCTTCTGTTTATACTTGGTCTCGTGCGCAGCGTGTCATTCACGTCGGCTTTGTCTGCGTGCTCAACATGCCGGTTTTGGATTAGTAGCATCCCGCTCAGCGAGAATTGCCTTTTTCAGTATCTCGGTGGGCGACGTATGTCCCAACCCCTTATTGACTCAGACTGCCGATCAGAGTGGGAAGATTGACGATAGTGAGCTTACAAATGCGACCTTGAATACCGACTGAACGTATCTTGGATGTTGACCCTGTACCGGTTCTGCTTCAGCATAAATCCCGCGATGCCCCAACGCGAGTAAACTAAGCGTTTAAGAGCTCGACAATAGCCTTCGCACAGCAAAGCAAAGTAGACGACTTAATTATACTACATACCATCTCTTTAAGAAATGTCATCCATCGAAAAAACCATTACTCTTAACGATGGAACAAACATCCGCGTCAAGCTACTAGGCGACGAACATACAGATAGACCGTTGTTGATAGCCCTTCATGGTGCACCCGGACTTTCGAGCCTCAATGAGCCACTTGCTTCGTTTGCCTTTCTCGCAGACAAGTTACGCGTGCTCGTATACGATGCAAGGGGAAGCGGGAAGAGTGATTCCCAGGGTTCATTAGCAGATGAGCAGTGGATTTCCGATCTGGATGAGATCAGGTAAGACATTCATTCCGTATTTCAAACTGTCAAGCAATGTTCTAACAAGACACTACAGAGCCTGGGCCGGCGTTGAGACATTCATACTTGCAGGGGGTTCATATGGTGGCTTTCTTGCTCTCGGATACGCTTTGACGTATCCTGACCGACTTTTAGGCCTAATCTTGCGCAACACTTGGGCCTGCGGATTCAGGGGAAGCTTGCGTATCCTGAAGAACATTTGTACTTCGCCACGAATCAGCCCTGACGTTGATCGCCAGGTAAGGATGTGGTCTGGCAATGTCAGAGATAATGAAGATGGCGCAAATGGGTTGGCAGAGATCCTTGCTATATACACGCCCGCAAAGGAAATGAACGAGGAAGAGGGTCCTGCAGCTTTTGAGGGTGCTGGAGATGACTTCAAAATGCGCTGGGAGGTGCATAATGCCGCTTGGTCATCCAGCGTGCCTCGATTTGACGTCCGCAACAAGCTTCATCAAATTAATACCCCCACTTTGGTAATCGCTGGACGTCACGATCCCATCTGTCCCGTTGAAGATTCAGAGGAGATTCACCAAGGAATATCCAGGAGCGAGCTTGTAGTTTTCGAAAGTTCTGGTCATAACCCTTCAGCTGACGAGCCACTCGCGATTCAGAAAGTTCTGAGTAGCTTTCTTGGCAAAATCTTCGAGAATCTATAGGGACATGTTTGGTTGTACTGGAACTACGTAACTGTAGCCAACACCTGGGACCGCACGAGGAGTTTCCAGAGGGACACAAAATTTGGGGCCCCAAGAAAAGATTCGGTTCGTAGCTGCAAGCCGGCACGATACAAACTTGCAGACGATCGGGTTCACTTGTTGCTAGCAGAGAATTGCCCCTTATCAATAATGAACAGGCCGGACAGCAAGTAGTCGCGAACGACTCCAAGTCCTTCACGAGGGCAAGACGTACCGCAGCCATGACAGCTTCTCGACATTCCTTTCCTACAAAGTATCCTCCAATATGTAAACACAAATACAGATTGCATTTCCTCATATAGTACCAATAAGCTTTATAAAGAATAGAAGCTGTATCCTAACTCAATGCCAGGCTGAAGAGCCATAGTGGCAATGCTGAAACCAGCGGCGCGTTCTGGTGGGACTTAGGGTTAGGTTAGGTTAGGGTTAGGGTTAGGGTTAGGGTTAGGGTTAGGGTTAGGGTTAGGGTTAGGGTTAGGGTTAGGGTTAGGGTTAGGGTTAGGGTTAGGG